CCTAAGCCTAAAGCCTAAGCCTAAGCCTAAGCCTAAGCCTAAGCCTAAGCCTAAGCCTACGCCTAAGCCTAAGCCTACGCCTAAGCCTAAGCCTACGCCTAAGCCTACGCCTACGCCTAAGCCTAAGCCTACGCCTAAGCCTAAGCCTACGCCTAAGCCTAAGCCTACGCCTAAGCCTACGCCTACGCCTACGCCTACGCCTAAGCCTACGCCTACGCCTACGCCTTGTTTCGTCACTAAATTATTCATCAATTTAAAAAAAAATGACATTAACACATCCATATAAAGTTGCTGATATTTCTCTTGCCAACTGGGGACGTAAAGAAATAGAATTAGCTGAAAATGAAATGCCTGGGCTTCTATCCTGCCGTAAAAAATATGGTGTATGTTTTTTATTTCTAAAAAAATCTAAAAACATTAGAATTCCAAACCACTAAAAGGTGCAAGAATTGCTGGATGTCTTCATATGACTATACAGACTGCAGTACTTATTGAAACTCTTGTTGAGCTTGGCGCTGAAGTAACTTGGTCATCATGTAATATTTTTTCTACACAAGACCATGCAGGTAAATTTAAAAAAATATAAATATTATTGATTCATTAACAGCTGCTGCTATTGCTGCTTCTGGCATCTCTGTCTTTGCGTGGAAAGGAGAAACTGAAGAAGAATATTTATGGTGTATTGAAACTCAACTAACATCTTTTAAAAATGGGAAACATTTAAATATGATCTTAGATGATGGAGGTGATCTTACATCTCTTGTTCATAATAAATATCCAGAATATCTTGAAAACTGTAAAGGGATTAGTGAAGAAACAACTACAGGCGTTCATCAATTGTATAGAATGTTCAAAGAAGGAAGACTTAAAGTTCCTGCAATTAACGTTAATGATAGTGTAACAAAAAGTAAGTTTGATAATTATATGGGGTTGGCTTAGTCATAATATATAAAATAAAATCTAATTTGAAGTAAAGATGTCGAGAATCCTTAATTGACGGTATTAAACGCGCAACCGATATCATGATTGCAGGAAAGGTTGCTATTGTTGCTGGCTTTGGAGATGTTGGAAAAGGATGCGCTAAAGCTTTGAGAGGGATGGGTGCCCGTGTTATTATAACTGAAATTGACCCTATTGTTGCTCTTCAAGGCATGTTAAATAATTTTTATTTAAATTAACTGGAATAGCAAGTATGGAAGGTTATCAAGTAGCTGTAATGGAGGAAATAGCATATCAAGGTGATATTTTTGTAACTGCAACAGGTTGTAAAGATATCATATGTGAACGTCACTTTGAAGTAATGAAAAATGATGCTATTGTTTGCAATATTGGTCATTTTGATGTAGAAATTGATGTTGCATGGCTCAAAAAAAATGCAGTTAATGTATCAAATATTAAGCCTCAAGTGAGTTTTTATAAAGTAATATTAGTCCAACATATTTAGGTGGATCGTTATCAAATGAAAAACGGTCGGCATATTATTCTTTTAGCAGAAGGTCGTTTAGTTAATCTAGGATGTGCTACAGGACATAGCAGTATGGTTATGTCTATGTCTTTTACTAATCAAGTCTTAGCACAAATTGCATTATGGACAGCTCAGGAAGGTCAATATCCTTTAGGAGTTCACTTTCTGCCTAAAAAATTAGATGAAGAAGTTGCACGTCTTCATTTATCTAAACTTGATGTTAAACTTACTTGTTTAACACCTGCGCAATCACTTTATCTTGATATTCCTATCGATGGACCATATAAAAATGAACATTATCGTTATTAATATTTTATTTATAAATTATAAATAAATATTTTTAGACTTTATTTTCTCATAAAACTTTTATTATTTACATTTATTCACTAAATATTAAATATATTTTTTTAATCTTTATAACTATTTTAGTTTTTATTCTTTTGAAAAAAATATTTATTTTTTTTATTAAATTTAATGTCTTTAGTAAATTTATTATTATTAAAATTATATAATATATTCATGATTTATCAAAGTGATTACGTTATCTGTTTTCTAGTTGCCAATATACTTATTATCTAATATTTTAAACTTATATATTAATAGTATCTTAAGTTTAAGAATAGGCCCTGCTGGCGCAATGGTTTAGCGCATCTGACTTCTAATCAGGAGGTTCTGGGTTCGAGTCCCAGGTAGGGCTTCTAAGATATTTAAAAATTGATTTATGGTGATTATTAAGATGACTATTCCATGAGATAGTATGATTTTTTTCTAGATCTCTCTTAAAACCAATTATTTAAAAAATGTATCATTTAATTTTAATGAAATACTTTCTGTTTTTAAAATAAAATCCTAACATAGAAAGATTAATAGTAATCTCTACTCATATAATCAAACATATATTTATAAGAATAATTATTATGTTAATGATAATATTGAATTATCTTTAAAAAATTAAATGCAAAATGTGTGTAGAAAGTGTTATATCCATAAAAGTTAGCTTAAAATGAATATAAAATGAACCCAAATCAATCTTTTGGAATATAATTAAATTTTATTCTAATATTCTATATCTTATAATTAAAAAAAAATAACATTAATAAAGTGCTTTTATTTTAAATATCTTTTTTATACATCCCGAACATATAGATTTAAAAAATTACTAAAATATTTTTATTTAAAATTATCTATTCTTAAATTATATAATAATAATTGTTCTTCTTTTTCTTACTATAATTTCCTATTACTAATATTGCTTATTCTAAGTTCTGTTTTTGTTTTAATTTAATTTAATTTCTCTTAATTTTAATTTTTTATTCTATTTTTTTGTATTTTATAGAGATAATAATGAGGATTTCATATAAATATAAAAATATGTTTGATTCTAGTGCAATCAAGATTATTTGTAAGATTTAATTTATTTTTAAATAAAAAAATCATATACTTTCATGAATCAAGATATGACTTAATTCTAGATATAATAAGCCGAAAACCCCAATGGAGACCTTGAGATCCCATTGGAAAATAACTAATCAAGTACCATAACAAAGTTATAAATTGTATTATAGAGGAAAAAATAGCAAGAATAGTTGATTTTAACTATCGCTGGTCTATTAAAACATATTTACCTTTTTTATACTCACATGTAAAATAAAATATAAAGTCAAAACCATACTCCCTAGGTAAATACATGTAAATGGAAACCGTGGTGCAGAAAATAAATGTTTAATATAAGTCCAAGGACCTTGAAGAGCAGAAAATCTGTTGCAAATTAAATTATATCTTAAAAATTAATATGTACACCACGATGCAAGAAATAAAAGATTTGCAATTGTCCATAAAAGAACCACTTTTCTTGGTTTGAACAAAGTTGTCATCAAAAAAATAGCAAAAATAAAACAAATAGCTGAGCTTAAAATACAAATAATAAAAATAATCACACGATCTGTATAAGATAATTTATTGTATTGCTGTACATCTGTTGGAGAAGATTCTAGATCTTGCTTATTTACATTGAGTATTTCAGTATATTTCTTGTGAAATAAAGGATACGAACGAATTCGATTTATCATCGTTCTTTGAGAAGTTTGCAGGTATTGTAATAAACGTTTTATAAGTAAATTGAAATAAAAAATACCTATGAAGTATGAATTATATTTATATTAAAAAATATTCTATATTTAATTTTCAAACTTTATATACTGTATATGCAATATTTATACATTATATATGTATTTGTACGCACTTTTCATATATTCTATGTAGCTAAGATGTAATAAGTCTAAAATATGAATAAATATACCTTATAACCCTTCTTTTTACATTCTCAAAATTTTTGTTGCTCTACAATTATTTTTTATAGATTAACATAAATCTATTTCAAAGGATATATAAAAACATTCCATCTATATTTATTTCTTTATTTACAAATAGCACTTATTTAAGTTTCATAATATTATCCATTGATTTTAAAATTTATTTCCGAGTCAATAGCATCTGACTCTATTTCAACTATAAAATTTAATTACTAATACATCTATTTGTACGCATTTTACCTAGTACAATTTCCTTATCGAGCAACTTTTCTCCTTTCAAAATTTCTTGGTCTTTCATTTTTATTGTTTTTTTAGTTGTTCAATTGTTTGTGTTTCTGAATATAACTTTTGAAATCCTAAATCACGCATTTCGCGTGACTGAAATAGCGATCTTGATGTGTTAGATATTTTGATTATTATGAAGATTTTGCAAACCGGTCCATTCGGCATTGTAAATATACTTTTGCCATATTTTTGCACTGTGATTGCTCATAGTGATGTGTTTGAAGACAATGTAAATAGGCTTTCATTAAGGACGTGCATTCTCCTATGTTTATCAATTAATATTATAGAATTTTGAGGTAGAAATACCATCATGATCCAATGGAAAACTTCCATATAGGGGAGGAGTTAACAAAGTTTTAGAAACTACTATTAATTAAAAATAAAAATTAAGAAAGGGTTTAACTTTGTATAAATCCCATTTATAATTTAAAAAAAAAATATTATGATAAGGTTTGCTAAATATCTTGAACAGTGTAAAATATTTATAAACGAGATCTATAATTAATTGAAAGATGTAATGAATATTTAAGGGGTTTATTTTTTTTACAAAATATCGGTTGAATGTAAAAGAATGAGTTATAAAAAAATTAATATTTATAAGCTTTAGAAGAAAATATACACATGTCATAAGTGAAGAAATGTTTATATAGATCTTCATGCTGAAAAAAAATAATTGAAATAATATCTAATCAACAGTTTTATACTTAATCAGGAGTTTAAATGTATATCATCTTAAATAGATATTTTCTTTTACTAAGAAATAGATGAGAGCATCTTTTAAGGAAAAGAATGTGTTAGATGTGAAGGAATATTGTTCTTTCATAAGAATGTCTAATAAAAATCAATCAAGAATAAAATTAAAAGCATACAATACAGTAGAAGATGTTCTTCATTTGATTCAAAAAAGTCAACGCATTTTGGTTATTACAGGAGCTGGTATAATATTTCTTTAGATTTCTTATTTTAGTTCTTAAAAAGGATTTTGTAGGCATAAGTACATCATTGGGAATACCGGATTTTCGAAGTGATACAGGGATCTATTCCATATTAGAAAAATATGGGTTAAGTGAACCACAGGTTCGAAGATAATTTAGATTATCTAATGATTTATTAACTAAAGGTTAGGAAGTGTTTGATATTGATGTTTTTCGAGAAGACCCAAGGTATGGGACTATATTTTATTAAGTTTTATATAAGTTTATTTAAGATTAGTATTTTTTATTCTTTTGCATCTGAATTGTTTCCTCCGGAGAAGTTTAAAAATCTTTTTTATTCTCCTACGCATGCGTTTATAAGGTTATTACAAGACAAAAGAAAACTTTTAGCGCAATATACACAAAATGTTGATAATATTGAAGAAGTAGTAGGTATTCAAAAAGAAAAGTTAGTTCAATGTCACGGTATTTTTTATGTTTCTTATTTTATAATCTAATTATATAGGATCATTTAAAAATGCAATTTGTATTATATGTGGACATATGGTTTCTGGTGAAATTATTTTTGATAATATATTATTAAAAACAGTTCCTAAATGTTTAAAGTGTTTAAAAAATAAGAAAAATAGGAAAAAAAATGAAAACAGTTGTGAAATAAGTCTAGGAGTTTTAAAGGTTTTGTTCTATATTTCTATATATTAGAACTAATTTTGTAGCCAAATATTACATTTTTTGGTACTTATTTCACATATTTTTTTTGTATCTAAAATTAGTAATAGGAGAAAAGTTGCCAAAGTCCTTTGATAATAGAATAGAAAAGGATATATATTCATGTGATTTAGTTATTTGTATTGGTACATCTTTGAAAGTGGCTCCTGTTTCAAAAATTATAAATGCTATTCCTTCAAATATACCTCAAATATATATATCTAGGGAATCAGTTAAGCATATTACATTTGATATTACTTTACTTTCAAACTATTGTGATGATATTGTAGCTAATCTATGTAATCGCTTGAATTGGGATGAATTTTATGATATTGCAAAACTTGGTCATAAATATGCTTTTAATAGAATGATAAACAATGCTAAATTAACATGGAAAAAAGAATCAGAATCAATATGGAGACTAGACAAAGATGTATAATAATAAATATTAAATATTTCAAATGTATTTAATTTACAAAAAGTATTACAATAATATTTTGTGTTCTATTCTAAAAGTTATGCATATGATTGTACCAATTAATCCAAAAACATACAACTCTACGTATAAACTTAAGAAATTATTACAAAGAAAATGAAAGAAAAAAAAAAGAATAGAATAGGTTAATAATTTTGTTTTTAAACATTTTCAGAAATTTTTAATGCCGTTTTAGTTTTAAGTTTACTATTTTAATTTTTATCAACGTTATATAAATTCTTATTTAATGAAAAATCAATGTTTAATTTTTTTATAGTTTCGAATAATCTTCCAATAAATTCAGGACCTACATAAAAAAAGCATGTGTCTATATTCTTAATATCATTATTCGCATCAAAAAAAACGATAAAAGTTTATTTCCGTTTTTAAAAGATGTCTCAATTTAATTCTCGATAAAATTATTGTATAAACTCATAAGAAATTCCAGTGTCTAATATTTTATTGTCAAAAAATAATGCATCATTTATTTTACAGTGACCTGCAGTAGCTAATGCGGAATTACTAAAGTCTGAATCTGTTTTTTCCAAATTAATCAAATTTGATGTTTCTATTTGTGAAATAGATAATTCTGAATATAATCTAGGAAACCGTGCCATTAATTGTTTTTCAAATATTTTGAATCCTTCTTTTGAGGATTTCTCTTTTTCAAGATTTTTTTTAGCACCATTTAAAGAAATGGTTATATTATTTTTTTTTTTTAATATTTTAGATTTTTGTTTTAAATACAATATTGAATGAGGTTTCTTTAAAAATATAAAATGCCTTTTCATTTCCCGTATATCATCTCTTAACTTTAATATATCTTTTACTAGTTGACTCGTAAATTTCAAATTATTTGTTGTAATATTCATAGTTTGATCTGAGCTTATAGTTTGTATAAAATCACATTTAGGAAGCAACAATTTCGCCATTTCTATACGTTCACCAAATATATCAAGATGTTTCATAGCTGATCCTATAAAAGATTAGTTAAAATATTTCGCAAATTTAATTAAAAATGCTACGTATTATTTGTTCTGTTTCCTCTGAAAGATCTAAAAAAGCTTGTTGATTTGTTGTATCTGATGTATGCAAAGTAACTTCCAGAGCTTCATAACCGCTCCTAGTAGGAATAGGCTCGTGAATATAAAAGATATCTTTTTCTTCTATAGATAAACAAACCATAATTTAATATTTCTGCTTATTTTTGCATGAAAAAAGTCTAATGCCCATAGACAAAAAAACTTTTTAAGTAAAGAAACACTTTTAGGTTTTTCTTTAGTGATACGATATTTTTATGCTTTAAGTCTTTTGAATAATGATTTTTTCCTTATCTTTAAGAGACGGGTTTTGTTGAACGATATTTTTAGTAAAAACATATTTTTAATAAATTTTTAGAAATAAATATTAAGTGCCATTGATTAAGAAATATAAAAGTATGTATGTTTTTATACGTATAATAAGTAATTTTACAGTTTTTTCCTATTTAAGGACCTAAAAAATCATTAATTTTTTAAAATGGCCAGCAAGTTATATCCTTTACAGAAAGGATTTAATGAAAGACAGCCAGAAACAGTGCGGCTTTATCCTTTATGTTTGTTAAATATGCTATGATAAGGACTTATTGAATTATCTCTAGCAAATTATGTTTTTTCTACGAAAGAAGCACAGCCAGTATTGAAAATTATTGAAATTTATTTTAGAAAATTAAGTATAAATATTAGGAAGAAGACCCAAGCGTCATATCTCGTCTGGAGCGCTTGAAATCACATTATGAAAAGAATGGAATGAGAAGAACATGTGAAGGAATTTTAGTAGTCCATGAACATAAGTAGGTTTAAAAGTATATAAAAATTCTAAATTTTCTAGTCATCCACATATATTGATGCTACAAATAGCGAATGCGTTTTTTAAACTGTATTTTCCTTTTAGTATTTTATAGATATTAATCTTATAAGGCCTGGTGATTATTTGCGGCCGAATGAACCGGAAATACAGGGTTTTGTTGCTAGATTAAACGAACGACTAGCACCTACGACACCAGAATCCCCAGAGGATATGAAATGGGAAATTGGAGATTGTCTTGCTCAATGGTGGAGACCTAATTTTGAAACGTTTATGTATCCATTCATACCTGCACATGTTACAAGACCTAAAGAATGCAAAAAACTCTATCTTATAAAATTGCCAAAGACGAGTATTTAAAATTCTTTTTTATATTGAAACCTGACCATTTGGTTAACAGAAGTTTTAGCTGTTCCCAAAAATATGAAATTATTGGCTGTACCACTTTTTGAGTTATATGATAATTCGGCTCGCTATGGACCACAATTAGCAGTAACTATTATAGCTATATGTTGGTATATTTTAATAAATTATAGGCTATTCCCCAATATTTAGCAAAGTATAATTTTGAATTCGTAGACTCTAATGATAGAGTTATTGTACAAACACCAGGGAATACAATGGGTGATGGGACTGTTGTAAGAAATAATGTATATTAGGATGAACTAGTTATGAATATATATATTGTAAATTTCATTTAAATCTTTTTTTTTTTAACCAACGTTTTATAATTGTATAAATAATAGATATGATTGTAAGTACAGGAATCGTTCTTTCGAGTAGGCATCTTGCTCGTGTGGGTTGTATATTTTTTATTAATGCTTTAATTTTGTCTTCTAAATCTTTTTTATTTCCATCATTCCATATAACAATGTCTGCTAATTGAATTTTATGACATAAAGGCATTTGGCTTTGAATTCTTTTCCTTGAATCTTCTTGTGTATAACCATTTCTATTTCGTAGTCTTTGCATCTGTGTATTTTCTTGACATGCAACACAAATGATTTTTCCACAAAGATAATCAAATCCGCTTTCAAATAGCAAAGGCACATCTACTATTATGACATCTTCTCCTCTTATCCATGCTTTTATTATTTGAAGAATTGTCATTTTTAAAATCTCTGGATGCATAATTTTATTTAAAGTTTTTCTTGCATTTATATTAGAAAAAATAAGTTTTCCTAAAGCTTCCCGATCAATCGATCCATCCTCCATCATAATCTCTCTTCCGAAGCTATCATTTACTTTCTTATATGCACTTGTTCCAAACATGATTATTTCTTTTGCAAGAAGATCTGTATCTATTAGTGGCCATGAAGATATTGATTGCAAAAATGTAGAGACGGTAGATTTTCCTAGAAAAAAAGAGCAATTAGAGATCATTTATTTACTATATTACATGCTTTTACCTGTTGCAATTGATCCTGTTATTCCTAAAACCAACATTTGTTACCTCAATATTTTTTGGAGTTTTGGATGTTATCAAATTTCTCGACTACAAAAAATTTAATTTAAAAAAAAGTTTAAAAATCCTTTCTTAATGGCTCAAAATTCATGGGAAACTTTCTTGCTATCATATGATGATGTTCAAAAAACGTATACTGAATTTCAGACAGATCAATTTGAGAAGGATGATTTTGAAAAAGAACTTAATAGACATAAAAGAATAGTGGAGGAATTAAATGAAGATAATTTCTATGCTCTTTTGAACGTTAGCAAGAACGTACTTTTTATTTTTAGTATCAAGCATAGTACTAAATTATTTCTCCTCAGGCAACGGAACTACAAATTCGAGAATCATATCATCGTCTTTCCCGTACACTTCATCCTGATAAACATCATAATCCAGATTTGAAAGCTATTTCTGAAGAGAAATTTCAATTAATTCAACGTGCATATGAGGGTTTGTTGGTTATCAAAGGGATATATTGTTATTAACAACAAAAGTATTGATGGATCCAAGAAAACGATTGATTTATAATATATATGGTGAAGAAGGATTAAAATTTAGTTGGGATATTCGAAAAAAATTTAAAACATCTGAAGAAGTGTTTTAGATTGTGCCTTAATATAATAGTTGATTGTTTTAGCTTCTTATAGAGCTTGAAAAGCAAATGCGTAAAAAAAATGAACAAAACGTAGAAAATATGGTTAAGTCTAGGGTAAGTAAGATTCATTCTTGTTACTTATGTCTTATTTAAAGGGATATATAAACTTGCTTTTTAATATTTCACCATTGTTTCAAACAATTCAAACGCCTGCATCATCACGTCTTGGAATATTATCTCAAACAAGAAAATTGAATTTTTTTGAAAGAATTAAATACACTGGTATTTCGGCTGTTTTTATGAAGCATTCGTTTTCCATTCCATTGTCTTTTGGGAATAATTCGTATTTTAATGATAAAATTACATTTACTTTTATTGGGCAAATGTTATCTAAAAACAAAACATCTGAAAGGAACATTATAGGAGTTATGCGTTATGTTTATAGTCCAGCTATTTGGTTTGAAGTAATAGTCATTTTCATTATATTTCAGCTAATTGTATATAAGGTAGGGACATATCTTCTTGATCCTAAACTATTATTTTCCAAACTTGTCTGTACTTTTAATAAAGATTCGTAATTCATGATGTATTTTATAAAACATTCTTATTTTTTTTAGATTTATGACAATACAAACACATTTTCCTACTTTTTATGCACCGCCTCAGTTCATTATAAGTTCTGGGAAACGATTAACTCCTCAGGGAACTGGATTTATGATTTTTAAGACAGGATGTTGGAATTTTTGGAATTGGGGGTTAAATATTCCATTTTCTAGTCAAAGATCTAGTTTTACTCTCGGTTGGCAAAGCGCTTTGAAACCCGGCCTTGATAATTCTTGGAGTGCAGAAATAACTGCCGGAATTTTGGAGAGCGGTATCTCTTGTGAATGGGTGAATAATATAGGGAAAGGAAAAAATGTAGAAAAAGTGAAATTTACCGCATCTGTTTTGACCAGTGGAGCCGTATTCGGTATGGAAACTTCACGAAGGATTGGAGAAAATTCTAATGCTTTTATTAATTTATCTTTTACATTGCCCCAGGGTATGATAGTATTAAAAGTAATGTAAGTATTAATTTAAGTTATTTCTTGTTTTAAAAAATAAAAAAGATTTTCAAGACTAGGGCAAAAAATAGTTATTCCAATTATATTATGTACTAAATATAATCTTAAGGCGTCTTTATGGGGAGTAATAGTTCCAACAAGTATTTTGATAGCATTAGAAGCAATTTATTTTAAATCTAATCGAATAAAAAAAAAAAAAGAGTAATACATATTTAGATTATTCATAAAAATTAATTATTTGCCAGAAAAATAGCTGCAATTAAAAAAGAATACGAAGAATGTTTAAATATAAAAAAAAAAAAGGCGGAAGATTTCCTGCATCTTATTTATGATATGGTTCATAGAAGACAATGTTATGAAAAACAAAAAGATGGATTGTATATAATTAAGGCTGTTTATGGCGATTTCATGACAGGCGATATAATTGATGTAACAATTGCTATTGCAGCTTTAGTCAATGAGAGCCAGCTTACGATTCATCATGGGTTTTCTAAGGTAAAAGATATTCAATAATATTTAATATTAATTATGTAATAGTCTCAAATTATTGGAATTTGGGATCCTGCTTTTGGCCAGAAAAAGACATTACGTGTAGAATATTCATTTAAAGGAAGAGTTCATTTTGTAGAAGTAGGAGATAAACATGGTTTAATTGCGCCATTAAGGGAACATTTGGTTACTAATATTAAAAAAAATAATTTTTAAAAATATAATTTTTGGTATTTAGGAAATTAAAACACATGTATACAATAGCAACGTATATATTATTATTTATTAGTTTTTTTAATTTTATTTTAATATAAAATTAATGATAGTATTAATAAAAAAAATTATTCTAAAGTCCTTTTTATTATTTTAATTTGAATCCGAAAATTGTCTGGCATTTCCTCCATTAAAACTTCCCATAAAATTTCTAGCTCTTCTAAAATAAGTGTTTATGAATATTTTAGCCAGATACATACATATTTCTCATTTCTGGGTCATTTATTATATCCTGAATATTAGGAGTTTGTTCGCCGCTCATAATATTTTGTGCCCTGATATAATTAACAAACTTTTTACAAAATAGAAGTTTTACAATCGCGCAACATGAGGATTATTTAATAAGTTATTTAAAGCACCTGAGGACATTAAATTTTGTGCTACAGACATAAAGGCTAAACAATATCAAACTATAAATGTAACTTTAAAACAAAAATACCAGGATTATTCATCATAGATGTAAAATCGGGAATTCCAACTCTAGGTGTTTCACTTGAAGAATTTAAATTCGAAGTTTTGGAAATATCTTCAGATTTCAGATTTTTCTCCTGTATAGGAGCAGAATCATTATGTTCAGTAAGATTCTTTTTTACCAGTTCATATCCTCGTTTCATTACTTCAGAATTCGGATCAACTTTTAAACCTTTTAGATATACATTCAACGCTTCTTTGTATTCTCCCATTGAAAAATAGGCATGACCTAAACGACTGTATGCTTTTCCATAGTCTGGGTTTATTTCTAATGCTAATTTTGCATCTTTTATTGCAGAAATATTATCCCCAGATTCAGAATATGCTGCTGCACGATTAGATAAATATATAACATCTTTAGGAAAAAGTTTCAGCGCTTCAGTGTAGCAGAAAATAGCATGAGAATAATCTTTCCTAAACATAGCATTATTTCCTTGAGATTTAAATTCTTCTGCCTTTGCTTTATTGTTTGGATTTATATCAGATGTTGTATTTATACTAGCTGTAAATTCTGTTGTGAGAAGGGAAGAACTTCCCTAAAGAAAGATTAAATTTTTTCAGAAAAATAACTTATTTATTAATTATTCACTGTTTGTTGCAGCGCCTGTTCAAAAATGTTTGTAAGTGTTTGAGAATTTATTCCAAGGTTTTTTCGTTGTTCGTTATCACAAGGATAGACTGAAAAGGTTTCAGAAATACAGTGAGCTTAAAAAAAATCAGAAATATCATATTTTAAAATAATATAGATACTTGCTATCTCAATTCCTTCTTTTTCTTCTTCTGGAATAATCCCTTCTTTTAAACAGCTTTGAAGCCAATCAACTATCATAAATGCAATGAACTGGTGCTTAGTATTAAAATTAGAGGTCTAAAAGCATATTTAATAGAAATTTTGACTTAAACCTATTTTACCATTTTTTAAACCTTTTTAAAAATTATCGAGAATAAGATTTTTATAAATATAAAAATATTTATGTTAATTTTAAGATATATAATAGATTATAAACAATTACATGTTTATTTTTTAAATAAGAGCAATATTTTTTGCTTGAACTTACCTTTAAGGATAGCTTTTTTTTCACATTTGTCGTTAATTTATAAGGATAAATTCAAAATAGGAAATTTGGCGGATTTAGATAAATTTCTAATAAAAGCTAATGATACGGATTCATCTCGAAAAGAAGATATAAATGAAAGTGTTTTTGATGAAGATAGTTCGATATCATTGGATTTGAACCCAAAAAGCTCGCTGCTATCTAATACATTTACAGAAATTATAAATAAACCATTTCATTATAATTCTTCCCAAACTAAGGAGAAAATATATCATTTACATGCTTATTGTTCAGATAATAATACTATTATTACACTGACTAATTCACATTATAATCCTGTTATTTGTATTTCGAGTGGTATGGTTGGTTTTAAGAAGGCTCAAAGAGGAGGATATGAAGCTGGATACCAAGTATGTATGTCTTTATTTAAAAAAATGATGCAAAAGGATATTTATCCAACACAATTTGAAATTATTCTTCGAGGCTTTGGTAAAGGTAGAGAAGCAATATTTAAATGTGTTAATGGGATAGAAGGGTTACCTTTTAAATCTTCTGTATCTCGTATTACAGATGCAACAAGAATAAATTTTGGTGGTGTAAGAGGTAGAAAAGTCAGAAGATTATAATATATATACATTATCCATATTTGAGATTCTAGATATATATTAGGAGATTTTTTTGTATTTTAAATTTTTCCACATTTTAGGTTTTTATTAAAAATTAATTCATTCTTCTATCTTTTAGGATTTATATATTGGCTCTATTTATACATAATTTATATATATGTCTTTATGTTTTTATGTCATTATTTTAATTAGTAGGCTTTTATTAGGGAATTATACAAATAAAAAAAAATAAGTTGTTTTATATAAAACTACTATGCAATTGTTGACTTATTCAAATTATATAGTAGATTAATTATTTATTAGTTTTGGAAATAAAGTGTTCGAAAGAATGATATTTAACCTGTCGTATAAAGCGTTTATGTATATATTAATTGATGTTTTATAATATATTTCTTAAAAGCTTTTAAAACGTACTTGGAACCTAGTACAAAAGAAAGAAGTATGTAATAGATATTTAATAAAAATTATATAAAAAATATTTTTAATACACTTCATTATAAATTTAAAATATTAAAGCAGAAAAGATTATATGAAGAGTTAAATATTATTTTATTTTATATTTGAAATAGAATATGATGTTTTTAGTTTTGAACTGCATAAAAGTTTTTGGATTTAAAAAATGAAAAAAAATATTGTAAATTTTTATTTTCTGATTTTAATTCGTATTCTCTTTTTAATAATTTTGCGATATAAAATTTTGAAAAATAGAAAATAAGTTAAGAACTATTTATAAACGTATAAAAAGTTCAAAAATATATTTCTGTTCTGTCTTTTCTCATTTGTACTACTTTGTTTAAGGACAAAGGAAATGATGGATATAAACAGGACAATGCATATGGAAAATAGAGAACAAAATGGATATTGTATTCAACAGATTCCTTCATTTCGTCAGAATTTAGTACATAATCATCAATATTGTTCATATTTGAAAGGAAATAGTATTATTTCTATTGATGAATTGGCGGAATTAAATCTTAATTCTTCAGTTAATACTGTTATCCATGATATTGGTATATTAAAATTGGAATCAAATTTATATATAAGTCCTCACTATTCTTTAGGGATTGCCTCTGATTCGCAATTTCCAGCTTCCCGTAATCTTAATCTTTCATATACTGGTGATTTCTATTCTATAGATGTTATGCCTATAGCAATTGAAAATTCTAAAGCTATTCAGAGCATGAGTATGCCTATTAGAATGGATGATTGTCAATCTTCTCAAATTTATCCCAAGGATTCTTTCAAATCGTTTTTTGACTCCAATTCTGAAAATATGATTTACAAGAAAATAAAAAATGAGTCTACTGTTTTTATTGAGGATCCATTTATGTCTTTTAATGTTTTTGATGATAAAAGGCTTTTGGAAAAATATAGAAAGCGTCGTGAAAGCCATAATGCAGTTGAACGTCGCCGTAGAGATAATATTAATGAAAAAATACAAGAACTTGCTTCTCTTGTTTCGAAAAATCCATTCAAGGATAAAATAAAATTAAATATGGATTCGGGAGATAAGGGTTATTCTGATTTTAAACTAAATAAGGGTGAAATTTTGCAGCAATCTGTTAATTATATTCAATGTTTGCAAAATTATATTAATGAGTTAAATTCGCGATCTAAATTGCTTGAAAATGAGGTTATTAGACTTGGAGGTGACATAAACTTTGTAAATAAGATAAAACCTATATCTTATATTCCTCTAAATATCAAAGGTATGAGTTCTAATGATTGTGACAATGATAGTTTTAGCAGCATTCACTCTAAAAATGATTTTTGTGATGAATTGGATGTGGATTATTAGTTATTATAATTTTTTTATGATATAGCACAATTTAAATTGAATTTAATTATTAAAATCATACGATTCTACTTTTTATATATTTTATGCTTTTATAACATAGTTTTATGAATATACTAATCTTTTTTAATTCTTATTATAGTGGATTTTAGTAATATTAATTTTATTTTGATAGATTTATTATAATTTAATATTTTTTTAAAAACCTTAAACTATATTTTATCATTAAAAAACTCATACAAGAATTAAGGATAATTGAGAATATGTACTATATAATAACCCAAATATTTAGGTGGATAGTTTATACTGATCTTTAGATATATTGTTAATCTATAATTGTTTTAATAAGAAAATTCTGTAGAACGGAATTTGAAATGGATTCGGAAAAACTTAGAGATGTAAAAAATCATATTCTTTTTGAAGTATCAGTGGAAGTATGTAATAGGGGTATGATGCTTTTTTATTTTTCTTATACTATTATTTTTTATAAATTTTTTTCTCAATAAACTAATTTATTTATAGTTGGTGGTATTTATTCAGTTTTGAAATCAAAAGCACCAGTAACATCTTTGGAATATTCTTATGATCGCTATATTGCTATTGGGAAATTTACTCAGTCTGCAATTAATTTCGAAGTTGAACAACTTAGTACTGAGGATCAACCCATACTTCATAAAACATTACAATATATGAAAAATAGAGGTATAAGGTATATGATATTATCCTTTTTTTCCTTTAATATTTAAAATATTTTACAGTTATACTTATGGAAGATGGCTTATTGACGGGGCGCCTCGTGTGCTTTTATTCGATATAGGCAATGCCTTCCATTGGCTAAATGAATGGAAGGGCGATTTATGGAATACTACTGGTATTCCATCTCCTCCTGATGATTCAGAAACTAATGATGCTATTGCTTTTGGTTATATAGTAGCTTGGTTTTTGGGCGAGGTAATTAATGACATTTGTTTAATTTGTTATTTAGATTTTAAAGTTTATTTCTCATGAATATGAAAGAGCTGTTGTAGTGCATTTTCATGAATGGCTTGCGGGTGTAGCATTGCCTCTTTGTAGAAAACGTAGATTAGATTTAACAACTATTTTTACTACACATGCAACTATACTTGGACGTTATCTTTGTGCTGATAATGCAGATTTTTACAATAATTTGCAATACTTTGATGTAGACTATGAAGCTGGTAAACGAGGGATTTATCATAGATATTGTATAGAGCGTGCTGCGGCTCATAGTGCAGATGTTTTTACTACAGTATCGCATATTACTGCTTATGAAAGTGAACATTTGTTAAAAAGAAAACCAGGCAACTATTCCTTTTTTAATAATTTTTGTTAATAAGTTAAAAGATGGTGTTTTGCCTAATGGTCTTAATGTTGTAAAATTTGCAGCTGTTCACGAGTTTCAAAATCTTCATGCTACATTTAAGCAAAAAATAAATGAGTTTGTACGTGGCCATTTCTATGGACATAATGATTTTGATCTTGATAATACATTATATTTTTTTATATCCGGAAGATATGAATATAGAAATAAAGGTGTTGATTTATATATTGAAAGTCTTGCTCGTAAGTTCTATAAAATATTTACTTAAATGCGTTTTAAGATTTTTAAGGGCTAAATGAACGTATGAAGGCATCTGATAGCAAAATGACAGTGATTGCATTTATTATCATGCCAGCTGCAACACATTCATATACTGTTGAAGCTTTAAAAGGACAAGCAGTTATGAAATCTTTGCAAAATACCATTGAACATATTCAAAAAGGAATAGGTCAGCGAATCTTTGAAAAGTGTTGTCGGCATTCAAAGTAAGTAATACTAATTTCGTTTTGTTGGTTAAATGGTTCAGGGATTTTGATGAAAAGTTTATCGATACATCAAGTCTTTTGACAGATCAAGATAAAATTTTGCTAAAACGACGAGTTTTTGCTTTAAAAAGATCGACATTACCGCCGATTGTTACACATAACATGGCTGATAATAATGATCCTATTTTGACACAAATAAGAAGAGTTCAATTATTTAATTCTGATGATGATAGAGTCAAAATAATTTTTCATCCAGAGTTTTTGAATTCTAATAATCCGATATTGCCTCTTGATTATGATGATTTTGTTCGTGGATGTCATCTTGGTGTTTTTCCATCATATTATGAACCATGGGGTTATACATCAGCAGAAGCTGTAGTCATGGGTGTTCCAAGTGTAACAACAAATATTTCAGGCTTTGGATGTTATATGGAAAACATAATTGAAAATCCATCTGATTATGGTGTATATATTGTTGATAGGAGAATGAAATCTGTTGATGAAAGCATAAATCAACTTACAAATATCATGTATAATTTTACTACTAAAACCCGACGACAGCGTATTAATCAACGTAATCGCTGTGAAAGATTAAGTGATTTTTTGGATTGGAAAATTATGGGTCTTGAATATATTAAGGCTCGACAACTTGCATTGAGACGTGCTTATCCCAACAGTTTTGATACTGATGATTTAATAGACAAAAATATAGATCTTTCTCTTGGAACCTTGATCAAAGTTCCTCATCCTTTATCTGCGCCTACGAGTCCAAAGTGCCGAAATGGTTTTTTATCTATACATAATCTAGATGATATCCAAAATATTCAATGCCTTAATACAAGTGAATATGCGACAAATAAGCATAGCGATAATGATGATGTTAATTTATTTTTTTTTTTTGATTTTTTTCTAATTTATCTAAGGAATAAAAATGATTATATTTCAGACATATTAAAAAACAAACAATAATGGAAATAAATTATCAATTAATGTTGGGAATATAATATTTTAATAATACTTTTTTAATAGATAGGCAAGGATAGTTTTTAACTATTAATGTTCTTAATGGTTATTATATTGAAATTAATTTAACGTAACTTTGCATGTATCTAGTGTGATTATTTTTTAATTTAGTTTTATCTTTTATGCTTGTCTATAAATATCTATATGTAAATTACAATATTCAAACATTTAAGATGATAACTATTATATATATAATAATTTTGATCAGATTTAGCAATAAGAAATATTTTAAAACTTTGATAGTTTGTATGATGATATGCTTTTGCAAAAAAATCTCTAAAAAAAAACATTATTTATAAAATATATATAATTATATATAAAAATATTAATTTGCTTAAATATTGAATCCATATGCATGGTTATTGATTCTAAATCTAAACAATAAATAGATATGGTTAATTGTATTTTACTATGTTTTAATGGTCATATCTATAATTTATAGCAAATTTTTAGTCAAAACCAGTAGCTAATGGAAATTTTGCTAAAATTAATTTCTTAAAAAGACTCTTAAGTCTATCTTCAGTAACGATATCAAACGCTTCCCTAAATACCACAATATTGTCAAAGGATAAAAGCTGTACTATGGCTTTTTCTAAATGAGAAAGCTCATTAATAAGTACAAGACTTTTAATATAAGATAATACATGGTATGCACTAAAATTTTTCGTATATTTATAAAATTCCTCATTTAAATCATATTCTGTAATATCGGTAGAAAATATTTCATTTTTTTTTTGAGTTATTTCTTCTACATCCTGGGACTCTAAAATATTTTTAACTAATAATATATTAAAATGAATCAATGAAAATAAATTATACAGTTTTTTTTAAAATAAATTATTTGTAAATGTAATTCTGGATGATATAAATCCAATTTTTGTGCATTCAAAATGCATTTTAAAGCTTGTGAATAATTTTCTAAATATATTAAACCCAATTTTTACAAGCCATTTAGTATAATTATCATACTCTGACGAAAATAAATTTCAAACCCTAAAATATAGATCTGTATATTGTCAAGAACAAGTGATTGCAATGGTGAAAGAAAACGCAAAGCATCTTGAAGAGGATTTTCGGTCTATTAATTAATAATTCATTTCAATATGTATTTACCTGAATTAATTTATTTCCATTTGGATCATCATCAAAATTTAATTTTTCGTTTTCTTTATATTTTTTATTTAAATTATTGTTTTGAAATTGAATATTTTCCATTTGTTTTAATGTTTCCTTGTTATCGAATGCAATTGAATCAATATAGTTAAGATCGTTTTTTAAATTCGGATAATCATAAAGTAAAACATATATTTTGATTGCTAGCTGTGCTGCTTTTAGATAGAATGGATGTGAAAATAAATTATCTTCCCATTTTAAACAGTTAATATAAGTTCTAATAGTACCTTTTCTTAAAGAATAAGAATGAAAATCAAACTGATCCTCGCTCCAAATATTAAAAATCTAGAATAATAAAAAAAATATTTTAATAATTAAAAAAAATACTTTACGAATTGTTTCGAAACGTTTTAATGCAATGTTGTATTTTTTTTGACGTAAAAATGATTGTCCATCTTCTAAAATAAACCAAATACATTGCATGTCAACTAAATCATCTATTGGTCCATCAATTATGTTAATCTACTAAAATGTAAAAAAAATATACTATTAAATTATATTATGCTACCTTAGTAAAAAGGCTAAGAATATTTAGAGCCTCTTCATTGCAATCATTACGTAACATATATTTTGCACATTTTGTATTTATATATCTGTCTTGTAAATCTAATTTCCGTGCATTATTAAGAAAGAACATTGCTAATTGAGTATTTCCTGAATGTTTATATATACGTGCTTTAGTTAAATATAACTCCACAAGGGTAGGTGTATGCTCAATAGCTCTATTAATGTACATTAATGCTTTTTCTGTTTCACGCAAATAGTCATAATGTTGAGCAAGAAAATATAATATCCAAAGCAATAAAGTTGGATCGTTATTCTTTGTTTCATTCTCAACTCCGCCTATTAATAATGAACATATCTTCATAAATTTATTAAAATTTACATAAAATATCTTTTTTTAAATATAAATTATCTAAGTATTGTTCTACCGAATTTTGAATTATGTCTTTTTTTTCTTTATCTGAATATAAACATTTAATAGAAATAAATGTGGATGGTGTGCCTTTTTTAAAAAGTCTTTTTAAATATTTATTTATAGCTATTTTAAATTCGTCGCCTATAATACATTAAAAAAATGTTTTAAAAAATACGATTAGATATTACCAGATAAGAAATCAAGAAGTAAACGTTTAGCTACATATGATCCGGGATATCTTTTCTCAAGATCAATATACATTTGTTTCAATCCATTAGTGTCTATTACTTCATTTTTGTTTTTTAATCCTTTAGCTTTAGCTAGATCCATGTAATATTCACAATTTTCAGAGTTACGATCTAATAGCTTAATATACTCCGCTATCGCTTCTTTTTTTTGTAATTTTAAAAAACATTTAGCCTTAATCTCCATAATAGACATTTTATCAATCACTTGACATTCTACAGAATTTATATAATTTAATGCTTCTATATAATTCCCCAATTCCATGATTATAGTACATTTGTATAAAATTGTTTCAGAATTTTCATAATTCCTTAAATTGTTCTGTAATATTATATAGGAATTAAAAAATAAAATGAATATACAAACCCCTGAGATATTTTCGTATATTGTTAATACTTTTTCTGATGCTAAAATATCTCCATTCAAATAATTTGCTAATGCATATGCTGTCCAATTTTGTCGTTGCTTAGGATTTAATTGAAGTAAAATATTTCTTGTATTCTATTTATATAATTAATTATAATATATTATTAAGATGATATTCATACAACCAGCTGTATAAAAAGACGTTTGTGAGTTTGAAGTAAAGCTAAATCCCGTAATATCTGCAAGTTTTCTTTGTCATATTTTAAAGCATTAAGATAACATTTTATAGCCTCGTTGTAATTTTTATCCAAACGATGTAAAAGACCAAAAACATGCCAACATATGTGAGATGTAAGGTTATTTCTAAGCCCTCTATGCGCATGCTCATATCCTTCTGATTTTTTATTTAATAAAGTTAAAATTAGACCTTTCATAGCTAATGTTTCTAAGTAGAAATATTAATATAAAAACATATATAAAATTCTAGAACCTCCATGTTCAGGATATTTTTTTAAGATTTGATCCGCATTTTTTAAACTTTTTTTATATTGTTTTATTTCATAAAGTTTCTATTAAAATAAATATTGTTTTTAATTTAAAGAATTCAAGGAAATTACAATAATCTGACGAAAAAGAGATGCTTCTTTAGGGCCCAAATCCTGTTTTGCCATTGGGATGATTCTAGATCAAATTTACAATTTAATTTTTTGTTTAAAAAATTAATCGTAGTATGATTTTAAAGATAAAAAATTCTAATATTTAAAATATATTAAGAGCATATTTGTATTACAAAGAACAGTTTTATCTTTCCTACAGTTTTTTTAAAATATTGATATATTTAATATATTTAATTTGAATATATATATATAATGTTTTAATGAAATTTATTTTACATAAAAATATTAAATTTTTAAATTTAAAATTAATACACAATTATTTATTACAAAAGAAATTATTTAAAAAGTATAGTTTTGAAATTTATGCAAATAGGATTTCATTTTATATAGAATTAATCTAAATTTTCATATTTTTACATAACATTTTATTAGCATATTAATTTTATTTTTTAAATGTATTCAATAGAATTTGAATTTTATATTTAAAATTTCTGAAATAATTATTTATAATTATATATTTAAACAAAACAATGTATGCAATTAAGCCTACACTAAAGTAAAATTTGAATATTTATAATATATTTGAAATGTAACATTTTTGATTTTTCATTTTAAATAAATAATATATAATTTTATTATTAAAAAATGTTTTTAACTTTTACATAAAAATCCGTTTGTATTTAAATTATATCTATTTTTCTAAAATAATATTATGAAGTATGAAATGTTTATCATGGTTATATAATATAATTATTTAAAATAAAAAATATTTAAAAAAAAGCTAATTTCCTTAATATTTAATATAAAAATAACTTAAAGATAGAGGAATATTATTCGTTTGACATATTTTTTTAAAATTTTTATTATTTTAGAAACAAATTATCCAGTTACATATTCTAGAATAAGACTTTTAAAATACTAAAAACACATGCCATAAATAAAATAATACAATATTATTTTCGTGTATAAACCCATTATAACTCTGTGTACTTATAGCTGAAATTAATCATTTCATAATAACAAAAAAATTTTAGAGGGCCATTATTACAATAATTTCAACTATAACTGAGTTCAGTTTTGTTAATGTAAAAAATAAAAGTATTATATAATATCTTAATATTATATTTAATATTAAGATAACCGACAATTTCTCTACAAAATATGTTATAAATTATAAATTCAATTTTTAAAAACAAATTTTCAAAAATCTTAATTATAAATTATATATTTGTAAATTCAATACCATTCAAATTTTATTTATTTTATTAAATTAATATTACACAACTTCTTGTTTTTCTAGAATATTTAATAAATCCTAAAACAATTATTTTATGTTCCATTCTTTTTTTTATGAACTTTATCTTTTTCCGATTTATTAACAGAAATCCCAAGAAGTAAAGCAGCCTTTGCAGAAGAATTTATAAGTTTAAATCTGGAAGGACCAAGATTAATTCCTCCATGCCATCTACTTACAACTACAAGAACATTTTTTACACCCTATACCTATGTAAAGTATTAATAAAATAGATGAATTAGTTACCATAGAATACAATAAACATGATAAATTCGAACCAGCCCCTTTTTCCCCATCGTCATTACTGTCTAAGAAAGTTATATAATAATTTATCTACAAATTAACTAACCATAAATTATTTTATCATTTTTTTCTATTAACCTATATGCCCATATATTATGAGTTGCATTCAGTAATGATTTTTCATGTTGCAAACTTTTAAGGGCTACATAAACCATATCTAAAGAATTAACTTCAAGCATTCGTCCAATAAATCTGGATTTTTTAGAAATTAATACATCAGAAACGATCCAAGGTATTTCATTTTGATTAATACGCTTTTCATTATTTTCTTTCGAAATAAAGTCTAAAGTAGGAGAAATATTTATATTAATATTGCAATCATTTAAGGTATTAAAATTTTTCTGAAGAAACTCTTCTTCTTCAAGACATTTTATTAATTCAAAAATACAAACCTAGTATTATAGATATCATTAATAATTTTCAATAATAACTATATCTTACATCTCCATAGGGAATCTGTGCTAAAATATCTCTTACAATAGATTTTTCAACATTTCTAGATTCCATAATATATGGTTTTTCATAAGGATATGTTTCTGGAAACCGAAGAATAATATAGTATGGTTTTTTTGGAATTTTTAAAGTATAAATTTTTGCATTACTATCTAAGGATTCAAAACATGATGGATATATCGAACTACTAATTCTTAAAAATGTATATAAAAAATAAAAATATTTACTTTATAGCAATAAATTCATCATCCAGTACCTTAAAAGACATAAGATAAAAAAATTAAAATATTAATTTTTAATTTAAGCGACGTTATCGAAATTAATGCAAAAGGTTTAAAATTTTTCAAATCATAAATATATAAATTTTATATATAACTTATATTTAATAAAATCTCAAGAAAATTAAGATCTCTAAATTTTCTTTTTTAGAAAAATTAAAATACATTTTAAAAGATTAAAACTCGATTATATTTATTTAGTAATAAAAGCTATATATTTAAAATCTAGATATTTTTATTTTAAATTATACCGTTTTGTTATTTTTTAAGCTTTATAGAAAAATATAAGAGTTGTGTTATAACAAAGTGTTTTGTTTAATGGATACTGATTTTTTGATAAGCAAATTATTCAAGAAGCTTTATGATTTAACATTAAATAAAATACTCTTTAAAATTAAAAAAAAATTCAAAAGATATATTAAATACTCCGAAACAATAATATAGTATTACTTAATTTATATATAATCTCATAAAAGCCCTAAAAAGCATCTAAAGAATATGTAAAAAAGATTTTTCTTTAGTAAATGATTTAAATATCAAACAAAATTAAAAAATTATTGCCGAACATTAAAATTTAAAATTAGATTTTTCAATTCAAAAAAACCAAAAACACAATCATGTAATATTTTAAATAAATCTTATGTTTTCTAAAAAATGTAAATAAACTAATTAAGTATTTTTTGAATCAACATATTAGTATTTTTAGCAATTATTATAATTGTATAATGTATTTGAAATCATTAGGTTAAATTGTCTCTAGAAAAATTAATAATCTATTTGTTCTTTAATGGTTAATAATGAATTAATCATGTAAAATAGTATTCATAAAATAACAAAAAACATTATATATCCAAAACTATAATATTTCAAAATCATAGGCGACAAGAATTAAAAAAAAGAAAAGATTGAAAATATGGAGAGATTCAGTGCTATATTGCAGTAAAATTGCACTTAAGTGCATTTATTACGCAGAGCTAAATTAATATTAAAAAAATTTTAAGTTTAAAAATAACTATTAACTATTTAGAAAGAAAAAAAGATATATAAATTTAAAAAAATACAAAAAATAATAAAAAAATTTAAATTGCATCTATCAGTTCTTATAAGAAATAGAAATAATATATAATAATAAATGTCACTAATAGTATTGTTATTCTACTTTTGATAAACGTTGCATCTTAAATTATTTCTATTAAAAGTAAACCATAAGTTTTATAATTTGATAAAATAGAATTTAATATAGTAGAAAAAAAATTGGATTTATATTTTGGATTGGAATACTGTAAAATTGTATATTAATTCAAATATTGTCATAAAAATACCATTTAAAATTAGCAATTGTGTATAAATTTATAAATTTTACATGTAATACTTCAAAATCTGTAGAATTTATATTTAATGTAAAAACAATTATCATTAATTACAATATCAAGGAGTTAATTATTTAAAATAATTTCTATGTAAATTACAAGATGAAAACAAAAGAAAAAAAGAATGAGGATAATAACAATATTAACAACAATTAATTGCAATAAAAAAGAAATTGTGATTAAAAAATAAAGTGATGAATAATTTTCACTAATAAGATGTTGTTTTATACAAATATAAGAGAAATGTCTTTAGAATAAGATCAATAGTAATATCAATAGTAGCAATGCTATTTAAATAAAAATATAAAATAAATTTGAATAAAGAAACAAAGACGCAAACTTAGATAAAGAAATAAAAATGAAATATTGAATTTAATAAAATAACATCATCAGGAATAATTGTTATAAAAATACAAAAAAAATAAAGATAAAAAAAAGTATAGAGATAAAACTTAATATATATGTTTTATATAAATAAAATATAACAAGATAGCATATAGATTTAAAATAATAAATTAAAAATTACCAATTAAATATTTTGAAAATTACCCGTGATTTCTTTTTGAATTTTATCTTTAAAACATACCTTAATTCATATACGTCAATTGAAAAATAAAATTATTATAAAACATTTATCATAAAGGATAATTATAATGCCATTATTTATAATTGTTTTTTTTTTGCCAAATTATATTTTTTGAAAATGTTAAATAAAATTATATAAATGTAAATTTAAAATAATTCTAAAGAAAAACAAATCCCATATATAATTAATATATTAAGAAAAAATATATTCCGAAATTATAATTTTTTTTAAATATATATGCTTAACTCTTAAAATTCTAATTTTTAGTAATAAAAAAAACAAAATTTAGATATATATAAAAATAGAAATTATAATTAAAAATGTTAAAAATGCTAAAACATATCATTTTTGAATATATTTATATTGGATATAGAAAAACTAATCTGAATTATGATAAAAATTATAAAAAATTAATATATAAAAAAATTGAATCTAAAAAATAAAAACATTAGAATAATATAAATACTTCTTAATATTAAAACATATTAAAATATAAATCCAGATTATTTAATAAAACTGTTCTATTTGAGAATTTCCAAGTTTTGTTTTAAAAAGATTAATTTTAAACATTTAAAAAAATCATAAATTTGCTAATTATTTAAAAGAAAAGTAAATGCAAAATAAATTTTATCTATAAAACAAGTCTAATTTAATATTATAAATATATAGATATATCATAGACTTTTTTTTCTCATTTTAAAACTCCACATTATATAAAAGACCCATAAAATTATAATTTAATAACCGTTAACATAAATCAAAGATTATTTGTTTTTGTTAATAAAATATGAAGATTATATTATTTTTTCTTTTTACTTTCATAACATATGTTCTTTCTGGAACTTTTGGTCCTTTAGGTATCTTATTTTTTATCTTTTATCTTTTTCTTATTTCATTAGGGTTTGCAACATTGATGCCCCCTTATACAACATCAACTTCGGAACTTCATTTTAAAGATGATTTAATATCTGGAACTTATAGCTCTGATGAACTTTTGATGTTTCTTACAGGAGGGAATATTGGTTCTTGTCTACGTCGTCTCTCATATTCATGTGGTGAATTAACAAAAGTATACGGTGATCTTTCCAGAATTGGTAATGCCATGAAAAATATATGTGAACATTACTATGAAGCATGCCGGAGATTGCCTAAAATCAAAAAAGAATTATGTAACCTCGATGAGGTAACTTATAATGATAAGCTAGAAAAAACATCGCCTTTGGATTCGAATCAATGCTTTTATTCTTATATAAAATGTCGTCTTAGGTCACGAGCATGTTCCTATAAATACATGGAAGAGTGCCGTACACTGTTGCATGCCTGCCAGCGTAGTTATAGTAAATATGAACTTCATACTCTCTTTACAAATTTAATTAGTGATGATTACAACTCAGAATCCTTCCGAAAAGAATTGAAGGTTTTATGTCGTGATCTATTCAACACAAGCGATCTATTTGTACAGCTTTGTCTTAATCCTGATTTGTTAGTATCAGAATTAGGTAAATTTAATTTTCTTCGGAAAGAAGGAAGAGGGGGCTTTTTTTCATATCCGCATGTGAGTATAGGAGCTTTATTGGATGCCCAGGAATTGGATGGCAATTTATTCTTGCCAAGAACTGATCCTTCAGTTAATCCTGTATATTTTATGGCTTATTTGCTTGGTCAACGTGGCTCTACTTCATTCGTATCGGATTGCTTAGAAATAAGTCAGAAATGTTTGGGTCTAGACTTCTTTCCTCAATCATCTTACTTTTGTGAGGCTGGGTCCAGCACTTCTCGGAGTAGTGCCTGTAAAAGAGCTGAGGTTACACTTCTTGAACAGGATGTACCAAATTTAAAAAACGAACTTCAACGTAAACTCAGAGATCGACTACATCCCGATACTATTTTTTGGACAGGCGTAGATGTAGATTTATGTACGGAATTTTTAAAATCATGTTCTTACCTAAAAAAACTTGATTCAAGACTCGATCGTTTATGTACTCTTCTTGAAGGTCATTGTGCACATGGCTTAGAAGTAGGATCTTCTCTTAGTGTATTTAACAACTACTTTAACGGAGTTGACATAACGAGCCGTCCTGTTAGTCAACTAGATCTATGTCGAGAAGCACTTCCTCAAATATGCACTGTTATATTAAACAAAACTGTGGATTTCCTCACTTTCTGTTTAAGACCATCGCATACATGTTTGGCTTTAAAAGAACTTGATAGTGTTAGATGCAAAGGGTTTAAAAGTGTATTGGCTACTACTGATCCTACGGAACAACAATGTGATGATCTGTTCTCGAAAATTGGCGTCTATCGGGAGAAGTGCCGAGTGTTGAAAGGATATAACGAATTTCTTACCACATGTTATACCAAATATCCTCATAATTGGTTTTTAAAATCCCTTAAAGATTCTGATCCTAGTAGATTTGCTCCTCGATTGGATTTCGGGAAACCAGATGATGATGATAATGATGATGATGGTGGTTTTTAAACCATTATTTCGTACTAATTTTTAAAGATTAATATTTAATTATTTAGTATCTAATATTTAATTGTTTTGTTTAATATGTAATATCTAATTATGTAATATGTAATATTTAATTATGTAATATGTAATATTTAATTATGTAATATCTAATGCATTATATATCTTCATTTAAATTATACAATGTTAATAATAGGATTTTGAAATCATTTAAATGTACAATATTTTCTTTAAAAATAGCCCTGAATAAGAATTAAAAGAACATTACATTTTTAAACCATATTAATATTATAGATATTTTTAATGAGATTAAATCTAGTTTAAAAATTATTTTAAAAATATATTAAATATCCAGAAAAATTATAAATTTGTTAACTATTTAAAAAAAAGTAAATACCAAATAAATTTTATGTACAAAACAAATCCAACTTAATATTATAAATATATAGATATATCATAGACTTTTTTTTTTCTCATATTTTAAAACTCCACAAATTATATAAAAGACTTATAAAGTTATTTAATAACTGTTGACATAAATCAAAGATTATTTATTTTTGTCAATAAAATATGAAGATTATATTATTTTTTCTTTTTACTTTCATAACATATGTTCTTTCTGGAACTTTTGGTCCTTTAGGCATCTTATCTTTTATCTTATCTTTTATCTTATTTTAATTAGGGTTTACAGAATTAATGCCCCCTTATGAACCTCCAAGTATAGAACTTCATTTTACAGATAATTTAATATCTGGAACTTATAGCTTTGATGACCTTTTGATATTTCTTACAGCAAGAAATGACCATTCTTGTCTACAGCATCTCTCAAATACATGTGAGGAATTAACAAAAGTATACGGTGATCTTTCCAGAATTGGTAATGCCGTAAAAAGTATATGTGAACATCAGCATGAAGCATGCCAGAAATTGCCTGAAGTCAAAAAAGAATTATGTAACCTCGATAAGGTAACTTATGAAAAACTAAAAGAATCATCGTTTACGGAGGAGGATCAATGCTATACTACTTATACGAAATGTCGTTTTAGGTCACGAGGATGTTTTTATGAATACATGGAACAATGCCGTAAACTGTTATACATCTGCCGCTATATTTATAGTGAATATGAACTTCATGCTTATTTTATAAATTTACTTGGTAATGATTTCTCCTCGGAAACGTTCCGAGAAAAATTGAAAGTTACATGTCGTGATCTATTCGACACAAGCGATCTATTTGTACAACTCTGTTTTAATCCTGATTCGTTACTATCAGATTTGAGTATAACTGATGTTTTTCAGAAGGCAGGGAAATTAAGTTTTTTTTTTTATTCGCAATGGAGTACAGGAGCTTTATTGAACGCTCAGGGATTAGATGGCGGTTTATTCTTACCAAGAACTGATCCTTCAGTTAATCCTGCATATTTTATGGGTTATTTGCTTGGTCAACATGGTTTTACTTCATTCGTGTCGGATTGCGTAAAAATAAGTCAGAAATGTTTGGGTCTAGGCTTTTTTCCTCAATCAGCTTACTTTTGTAACGCAGAGTCTAACACTCATTGGGATACTACCTGTAAAAAAACCGAGGTCGCGCTTTTGGAACAGCATGTACCGAATTTAAAAAAGGAACTTGAATATAGACTCTCGGATCAGCAATATCCCGAAGGTATTTTTTGGTCAGGCATAAATGTAAATTTGTGCACGAAATTTTTAAGACCATGTTCTTACTTAGGAAAACTCGATTCAACACTTAATAGCTTATGCGATTATCTTAGAGGTCATTGTGCTTACGGCCTAGAAATAGGATCTTCTCTTAATATATTTGAGTACCAGTTTCGCAAAGCTAATTTAAGAGAGGACTCTATTCATAATCTTGATCTATGTCAACAAGCACTTCCTCAAATATGCACTAGCATATTAAACAAAACTGTAGATTTCCTTGCTTTCTGTTTAAAACCATCGCATACATGCTTTGCTTTAATGAGTCTTTATTTACATAGATGCGATGAGCTTAAAAAGGGAATGACTGAAATTGATCTTTCGGAAAAAGAATGTCTCATTAAGTTGCAAAAAGCGGACACCTATGGATCTATGTGCCCACAAAGCGAAGAATATCTCAAATTTCTTACTACATGTTATACTAATTATCCTCAAAATCAATATCTGAAAAACCTTGCAGCTTCTAGATTAAAAGATTTGACTTCTCAAGAAATAGAGTCTGAAAAACTAGATGATGATGGTTTTTAAACCATTATTTCATACTAATCTTTAAAGATTAATATTTAATTATTTAATATGTAATATTTAATTATGTAATATCTAATGCATTATATATCTTCATTTAAATTATACAATGTTAATAATAGGATTTTGAAATCATTTAAATGTACAATATTTTCTTTAAAAATAGCCCTGAATAAGAATTAAAAGAACATTACATTTTTAAACCATATTAATATTATAGATATTTTTAATGAGATTAAATCTAGTTTAAAAATTATTTTAAAAATATATTAAATATCCAGAAAAATTATAAATTTGTTAACTATTTAAAAAAAAGTAAATACCAAATAAATTTTATGTACAAAACAAATCCAACTTAATATTATAAATATATAGATATATCATAGACTTTTTTTTTTCTCATATTTTAAAACTCCACAAATTATATAAAAGACTTATAAAGTTATTTAATAACTGTTGACATAAATCAAAGATTATTTATTTTTGTCAATAAAATATGAAGATTATATTATTTTTTCTTTTTACTTTCATAACATATGTTCTTTCTGGAACTTTTGGTCCTTTAGGCATCTTATCTTTTATCTTATCTTTTATCTTATTTTATTAGGATTTGCAGCATTGATGCCCCCTTATAATCTTTCAAATCCAGAACTTGAATTTAAAAAAGATTTAGTATCTGGAGCTTATAGCTTTGATGAACTTTTGATCTTTCTTACGAACGGGAATACTCATTCTTGTTCAGAGCATCTCTCAAATGCATGTAAGGAATTAACAAGGGTATACGGTGATCTTTCCAGAGTTGGTGATGCCGTAAAAAGTATATGTGAACATCAGCATGAAGCATGCCAGAAATTGCCTGAAGTCAAAAAAGAATTATGTGAAACAGAGGATGTAACTTATACTGATGGGCTAGAAAAAACATCGCCTCTGGATTCGTATCAATGCTTGTATTCTTATACGAAATGTCGTCTTAGGTCACGAGGATGTTCTTATGAATACATGAAAGAGTGCCGTACACTGTTGTACGCCTGCCAGCGTAGTTATAATGAATATAAACTTTATACTCTCTTTACAAATTTAATTAGTGATGATTACTACTCAGAATCTTTCCAAGAAAAATTGAAGGTTTTATGTCGTGATCTATTCAATACAAGCGATCTACTTGTACAGCTTTGTCTTAATCCTGATTTGTTAGTATCAGAATTAGGTAAATTCGATTTTCTTCGGAAAGAAGGAAGAGGAGGCTTTTTTTTATATCCAAAAATGAGTGCAGGAGCTTTATTAGATACCCAGAAATTGGATGGCGGTTTATTCTTACCAAGAACTGATCCTTCAGTTAATCCTGCATATTTTATGGGTTATTTGCTTGGTCAACAGGGCTTTACTAAAATCATGTTCGATTGCATGAAAATAGGTCATAAATGTTTGGGTCTAGGCTTCTTTCCTCAATCAGCTTACTTTTGTGACGCCAGGTCCGACGCTCATTGGGATGTTCCCTGTCTAAAAGCCTCGCTTCTGCTTTTGGACGAGGAAGTACCAAATTTAGAAAACAAACTTCATCGTGAAATTTGGAAGGAACGATATCCCGAAAGTGTTTTTTGGACAGGCATAAATGTAGATTTGTGTACACAATTGTTAAGACCATGTTCTTACCTAAAAAGACTTGATCCAAAACTCTTCCGTTTATGTACTCTTCTTGAAGGTCATTGTGCACACGGCTTAGAAGTAGGATCTTCTCTTAGTGTATTTGAGCGCTACCTTCGCGGAATTAATTCAGGACATGACTCTAATAGTAGATTTGATCTATGTCAAAAAGAAATTCCTCAAGTATGCACTAGTATATTAAACACAACTGTGGATTTCCTCACTTTCTGTTTAAGACCATTGCATACATGTCTTGCTTTAGAAGAACTTGTTCAACTCAGATGCACTGAGATTAAAAAGGAAATGACTGATACTGATCCTACGGAACAACAATGTACTGATCAGTTGTTGGGAGCCAGCGTCTATAGAGTTCAGTGCCCACTAAGCGAAGAATATCTCAAATTTCTTACTACATGTTATACTAGTTATCCTAAAAATCAATATCTGAAAGAGCTTGCGGGTTCTATATTAAAAGATTTGACTTCTCAAGAGGATAAATCCAGAAAACTAAATGATGGATCCGGAAAACCAAATGATGAAGTATTCGGAAAACCAAATGATGAAGTATTCGGAAAACCAAATGATGAAGTATCCGGAAAACCAAATGATGAAGAATCCGGAAAACCAAATGATGAAGTATTCGGAAAACCAAATGATGAAGTATCCGGAAAACCAAATGATGAAGTATTCGGAAGACCAAATGATGAAGTATTCGGAAAACCAAATGATGAAGTATCCGGAAAACCAAATGATGAAGTATCCGGAAAACCAAATGATGAAGAATCCGGAAAACCAAATGATGAAGTATTCGGAAAACCAAATGATGAAGTATTCGGAAAACCAAATGATGAAGTATTCGGAAAACCAAATGATGAAGTATCCGGAAAACCAAATGATGAAGAATCCGGAAAACCAAATGATGAAGTATTCGGAAAACCAAATGATGAAGTATTCGGAAGACCAAATGATGAAGTATTCGGAAAACCAAATGATGAAGTATTCGGAAAACCAAATGATGAAGTATTCGGAAAACCAAATGATGAAGTATTCGGAAAACCAAATGATGAAGTATTCGGAAAACCAAATGATGAAGAATCCGGAAAACCAAATGATGATGATGGTGGTTTTTAAACCATTATTTCATACTAATTTTTAAAGATTAATATTTAATTATTTAATATGCAATATTTAATTATTTAATATGTAATACATTATATCTTCATTTAAATTATACAATGTTAATAATAGGATTTTGAAATCATTTAAATGTACAATATTTTTTTTAAAAATAGCCCTGAATAAGAATTAAAAGAATATTACATTTTTAAACTATAGTAATATTACAGATATTTTTAATGAGATTAGATCTAGTTTAAAATTTATTTTAAAAATATATTAAATATCCAGAAAAATTATAAATTTGTTAACTATTTAAAAAAAAAGTAAATGAAAAATAAATTTTATGTATAAAACAAATCCAACTTAATATTATAAATATATAGATATATCATAAATAGACTTTTTTTCTCGTATTTTAAAACTCCACAAATTATATAAAAGACTTATAAAGTTATTTAATAACTGTTGACATAAATCAAAGATTATTTATTTTTGTCAATAAAATATGAAGATTATATTATTTTTTCTTTTTACTTTCATAACATATGTTCTTTCTGAAACTTTTGGTCCTTTAGGTATCTTATTTTTTATCTTTTATCTTTAACTTTTATCTTATCTTTTTTCTTATTTTATTAGGGTTTGCAACATTGATGCCTCCTTTTAAACCTTCAGATATTGAACTTGGATTTTTCAAAAATTTAGTATCTAAGATTTATAATTATGATGACATTTTGTTGTTTCTTACAAAAGGAGATACTCGTTCTTGTCTACGTCATCTCTCAGATGCATGTAAGGAATTAACAAGGGTATACGGTGATCTTTCCAAAATTGGTGATGCCGTAAAAAGTATATGTGAACATCAGCATGAAGCATGCCAGAAATTGCCTAAAGTCAAAGAAGACTTGTGTAGAGATCAGTCTGATACTTATGATAATCTTGAAAATTTTTTTCTGTCTGGGACTGACTGCCATACTGCTTATACAAAATGTCGTCTTAGGTCACGAGGATGTTCTAGTGAACTCAGCAGAAAATGCCGCACACTGTTATCCCACTGCAACTATGCTTATAATGAAGAGCACCTTCGGGTTCTTTTTGCAAATTTTCTTGGTGATTCCACCTCAGAATCTTTCCGAGGAAAATTGAAGAAATTATGTAATGAACTATCCTTTTTAGGCGATCAATTTGTGCAACTTTGTCTTAATCCTGATTCGTTACAAACATCACTTCCTGGAATACGCGATTCTCTAAGAAAATCGAGTCTTCCTTTTCATTCATATCCGAAAATGAGTATAGGAGCTTTATTGGATGCCTCGGAATTGGATGGAGGTTTATACTCACCAAAAAATAACCCTACTGTTGATCCTTCATATTTTATGGGTTATTTGCTTGGTCAACATAGGTCTACATCATTCGCGTCGGATTGCGTGAAAATAAGTCAGAAATGTTTGGGTCTAGACTTCTTTCCTCAATCAGCTTACTTCTGTGACGCTGAGACTGCCGTTTCTCTGAATTCTCTCTGTGAAAAAACCGCTGTTGCGCTTTTGGAGCAGCATATACCGAATTTAAAAAAAGAACTTGAATATAAACTCTCGGATGAACAATATCCCGAAGTTATTTCTTTATCAGGTATAGATGTAGACTTCTGTAAGGATTTTTTAGGACCATGTTCTTACCTGGAAAATCTTGATTCAACACTTTATAGCTTATGCGACCTCCTTAAAGGTCGTTGTGCTTATGACTTAGAAATAGCATCTTCTCTTAGTATATATGAGTACTACTTTCGAGAAGTTTTTTTAAAAAAGGACCCTAATACTCATATTGATCTATGTCAAAAAGTACTTCCTCGAATATGCGGTTTTACATTAAACACAACTGTGGATTTCCTCACTTTCTGTTTAAACCCAGCTCATACATGCTTTGCTTTAGCAACACTTCTTAACCTCAGATGCGATAGGATTAAAGAGGGAATGACTCAAGTTGATCCTTCACATAAAGATTGTGTCACTAAGTTGCGGGAGGCAGAAACCTATGGATCTCTCTGCACAGAAAACGAAGAATATGTCAAATTTCTTACCACATGTTATGAAACTTATTTCGATGAGTATATCAAAGAACTTGCAAATTCTAAATTAAAAAAATTGACTCCTGAAAATAAATTCGGGAAACTAAATGATGGTTTTTAAATCATTATTTCATACTATTTTTTAGAAATTAATATTTAATTATTTGATATGTAATACATTATGTTATATCTTTATTTAAATTATACAATGTTAATAATAGGGCTTTGAAATCATTTAAATGTACAATATTTTTTTTAAAAATAGCCCTGAATAAGAATTAAAAAAATATTACATTTTTGAACCATATTAATATTATAGATATTTTTAATGAGATTAGATCTAATCTAAAAATTATTTTAAAAATATATTAAATATCCAGAAAAATTATAAATTTGTTAACTATTTAAAAGAAAAGTAAATGAAAAATAAATTTTATGTACAAAACAAATCCAACTTAATATTATAAATATATAGATATATCATAGATAGACTTTTTTTTTTTTCTCATATTTTAAAACTCCACAAATTATATAAAAGACTTATAAAGTTATTTAATAACTGTTGACATAAATCAAAGATTATTTATTTTTGTCAATAAAATATGAAGATTATATTATTTTTTCTTTTTACTTTCATAACATATGTTCTTTCTGAAACTTTTGGTCCTTTAGGTATCTTATCTTTTATCTTTATCTTTTATCTTATCTTTTTTCTTATTTTATTAGGGTTTGCAGCATTGATGCCTCCTTTTAAACCTTCAGGTATTGAACTTCGATTTTTCAGAAATTTAGCATCTTACATTTATAATTATGATGACATTTTGATGTTTCTTACAAGAGGAGATACTCGTTCTTGTCTACGTCATCTCTCAGATGCATGTGAGGAATTAACAAGAGTATACGGTGATCTTTCCAAAATTGGTGATGCCGTAAAAAGTATATGTGAACATCAGCATGAAGCATGCCAGAAATTGCCTAAAGTCAAAGAAGACTCGTGTAGAGATGAGTCTGAGGCTTATGATTATCTAGCAAATTTTTTTCTGAATGGGAATGACTGCCGTACTGCTTATACAAAATGTCGTCTTAGGTCACGAGGATGTTCTAGTGAACTCAGTAGAAAATGCCGCACACTGTTATCCCACTGCAACTATGCTTATAATGAAGAGCACCTTCGGGTTCTTTTTGCAAATTTTCTTGGTGATTCCACCTCAGAATCTTTCCGAGGAAAATTGAAGAAATTATGTAATGAACTATCCTTTTTAGGCGATCAATTTGTGCAGCTTTGTCTTAATCCTGATTCGTTACAAACATCACTTCCTGAAATACGCGATTCTCTAAGAAAATCGAGTCTTCCTTTTTATTCATATCCGAAAATGAGTATAGGAGCTTTATTGGATGCCTCGGAATTGGATGGAGGTTTATACTCACCAAAAAATAACCCTACTGTTGATCCTTCATATTTTATGGGTTATTTGCTTGGTCAACATAGGTCTACATCATTCGCGTCGGATTGCGTGAAAATGAGTCAGAAATGTTTGGGTCTAGACTTCTTTCCTCAATCAGCTTACTTCTGTGACGCTAAGACTACCGCTTCTCAGAATTCTGTCTGTGAAAAAACCAGGGCGGATCTTTTTGAACAGCATATACCGAATTTAAAAAAAGAACTTGAATATAAACTCTCGGATGAACAATATCCCGAAGTTGTTTCTTTATCAGGTATAGATGTAGACTTCTGTAAGAAATTTTTAGGACCATGTTCTTACCTGGAAAATCTTGATTCAAAACTTTATAGCTTATGCGACCGCCTTAAAGGTCGTTGTGCTTATGACTTAGAAATAGCATCTTCTCTTAGTGTATATGAGTACTACTTTCGAAAATTTTATTTAAAAAAGGACCCTAATACTCATATTGATCTATGTCAAGAAGTACTTCCTCGAATATGCGGTTTTACATTAAACACAACTGTGGATTTCCTCACTTTCTGTTTAAACCCAACTCATACATGCTTTGCTTTAGCAGCACTTGTTAACCTCAGATGCGATAGGATTAAACAGGGAATGACTCAAGTTGATCCTTCACATAAAGATTGTGTCACTAAGTTGCGGGAGGCAGAAACCTATGGATCTGTCTGCACAGAAAACGAAGAATATGTCAAATTTCTTACCACATGTTATGAAACTTATTTCGATGAGTATATCAAAGAACTTGCAAATTCTAAATTAAAAAAATTGACTCCTGAAAATAAATTCGGGAAACTAAATGATGGTTTTTAAATCATTATTTCATACTATTTTTTAGAAATTAATATTTAATTATTTGATATGTAATACATTATGTTATATCTTCATTTAAATTATATAATGTTAATAATAGGATTTTGGAATCATTTAAATGTACAATATTTTTTTTAAAAATAGCCCTGAATAAGAATTAAAAAAATATTACATTTTTGAACCATATTAATATTATAGATATTTTTAATGAGATTAGATCTAATTTAAAAATTATTTTAAAAATATATTAAATATCCAGAAAAATTATAAATTTGTTAGCTATTTAAAAGAAAAGTAAATGAAAAATAAATTTTATGTATAAAACAAATCCAACTTAATATTATAAATATATAGATGTATTATAAACTTTTTTTTTTTCTCATATTTTAAAACTCCACAAATTATATAAAAGACTTATAAAGTTATTTAATAACTGTTGACATAAATCAAAGATTATTTATTTTTGTCAATAAAATATGAAGATTATATTATTTTTTCTTTTTACTTTCATAACATATGTTCTTTCTGAAACTTTTGGTCCTTTAGGTATCTTATTTTTTATCTTTTATCTTTAACTTTTATCTTATCTTTTTTCTTATTTTATTAGGGTTTGCAACATTGATGCCTCCTTTTAAACCTCCAGGTACTGAACATCGATTTTTCAAAAATTTAGTATCTAAGATTTATAATTATGATGACATTTTGTTGTTTCTTACAAAAGGAGATACTCGTTCTTGTCTACAGCATCTCTCAGATGCATGTGAGGAATTAACAAGGGTATACGGTGATCTTTCCAAAATTGGTGATGCCGTAAAAAGTATATGTGAACATCAGCGTGAAGCATGCCAGAAATTGCCTAAAGTCAAAGAAGACTTGTGTAGAGATCAGTCTGATACTTATGATTATCTAATGACTTTTCTTCTGTCTGGGACTGACTGCCATACTGCTTATACGAAATGTCGTCTTAGGTCACGAGGATGTTCTAGTGAACTCAGTAGAAAATGCCGCACACTGTTATCCATCTGCAACTATGCTTATAATGAAGAGCGCTTTCATGTTCTTCTTGTAAATTCTCTTGATGATTTTACCTCAGAATCTTTCCGAGGAAAATTGAAGAAATTATGTAATGAACTATCCTTCTTAGGCGATCATTTTGTACGGCTTTGTCTTAATCCTGATTCGTTACAATCATTACTTCCTACAATACGCGATTCTCTAAGAAAATCGAGTCTTCCTTTTCGTTCATATCCGAAAATGAGTATGGGAGCTTTATTGGGTGCTATGAAATTGGATGGAGGTTTATACTCACCAAAAAATAACCCTACTGTTGATCCTTCATATTTTATGGGTTATTTGCTTGGTCAACTTAAGCCTATTTCATTCGAGTCGGATTGCATAGAAATATGTCAGAGATGTTTGGGTCTAGACTTCTTTTCTCAATCAGCTTACTTCTGTGACGCTAAGACTACCGCTTCTCAGAATTCTGTCTGTGCAAAAACCAGGGTTGAGCTTTTTGAACAGCATATACCGAATTTAAAAAAGGAACTTCAAAATAAACTCCCGGATGAACAATATCCCGAAATTGTTTCTTTATCAGGTATAGATGTAGACTTATGTAAGAAATTTTTAGGACCATGTTCTTACCTGAAAGATCTTGATCCAACACTTTATAGCTTATGCGACCGCCTTAAAGGTCATTGTGTTTTTGATTTAGAAATAGCATCTTCTCTTACTGTATATGAGTACTACTTTCGAAAAGTTTTTTTAAGAAAGGACTCTAATACTCATCTTGATCTATGTCAAAAAGTACTTCCTCGAATATGCGGTTTTACATTAAACACAACTGTGGATTTCCTCACTTTCTGTTTAAACCCAACTCATACATGCTTTTCTTTAGCAGCACTTGTTAGCCTCAGATGCGATAGGATTAAAGAGGAAATGACTCAAGTTGATCCTTCACATGAAGATTGTGTCACTAAGTTGCGGGAGGCAGAAACCTATGGATCTCTCTGCACAGAAAACGAAGAATATGTCAAATTTCTTACCATATGTTATAATAAAAATCCTTTGGATGAGTATCTGAAAGGACTTGCAGATTCTAAATTAAAAAAATCGACTCCTGAAAATAAATTCGGGAAACTAGATGATGGTTTTTAAATCATTATTTCATACTAATTTTTAAAGATTAATATTTAATTATTTAATATGTAATATTTAATTATTTAATATGTAATATTTAATTATTTGATATGTAATACATTATGTTATATCTTCATTTAAATTATACAATGTTAATAATAGGATTTTGAAATCATTTAAATGTACAATATTTTTTTTAAAAATAACCTTGAATAAGAATTAAAAGAATATTGCATTTTTAGACTGTAGTAATATTGCAGATCTATTTAATAAAAACAGAAAAATATTTTCAATATATGGTATAAAAGTCTATGATATTTCCTTTCCAAATATTATAAATTGAAACAATAACATTTTATTTTGAAATTTTAAAAAATCGTTTTTTTAAAATATTAAATTAATTATAATTTTTTAAAAATATAATATATTTAATAATAATTAACAATTCTATTTATTATATTAATGTAAATATTTTACCATATTTCCATTATTTTTTTTTTTTCAAGGCGATAATAATAAAGTTTCCTTGCTTGCCTATATTCTTTTATAAATATTAAAAGACTAGTATTTTCTTTATTTTCTATAAATAATTTCTGAAGAGAGTATGAAAAATTGTTTATTTCGTCTATTGCATTTTGAAGTCGAAAAAGTATATATGATTTTGAAAAAGGCTATCGTTTATTATTTTTAGATTTTAATAAACAATAACAACTACCTGTAACGAAATATTCATATTCTCTTTAGAATCTTCCCATTGTCTTTGATACTTCTTCATTTGATTAATTATATTTTCTGTACTTTTTTGCAAATTTAAAAGATAAGATTTTTGATTTAACAGTTCTTCTATACAAAATTACCCAAGTTTTTTAAATAAATATCACATTTTATACCAGAAAACTGTATATTTGTTTTGTATGCATCTATAAGTGCATTTGTTTGTTGCAAAATTCCCGGATAAGTTATATTTAATATTGTATCTAAAAGTAAAGAATCATTTAAAACATCTTCAAGATCTTCTTGTCTATATTTTATTAATAAAAATAAAACAGAAAGCGTTTAATATACGATTTCCCATAAAGAATAGATGGAATAAATAATGTTTCTATATTATTATTGTTTTCTCTAATTTCAATACTTGAATCATTTTCTTGAATAGATATTCTAGACATTTTCGGCTTATAATTTGTGTTTAAAAAACCTGAAGTACTAAAAACATTTGAATCAAAAAAACAAGATGATTTATTAGAGCTTTTATATCTTTTTAAATTATTTAAGTCCCAAGATTCAATAATTTATGATATAATCTAAATTAAAATTCAATATTATTTTTTTTTCAAAAAAAATATTGAAAATATGTAAAACCATAATTTATTCTCTTACATTTCAAAATCATTATTTTTCCTGATATACCCTAGTCCAATACTTATGAATTTAAATAATCTAGATAAAATTATAAGATATAGAATTTCATTAATTACATATATTTAAAACCCACAAATTTTATCTTTAAAATTATATTTATAAAATCGGATCAAATATATTAGTTAAATACGTAAATTTTTCTAATTCTTTATCTAATTTTATAAAGCAAGAATCTAAAAGTTCTACCAAAAATAGGTTTTTTCAAGATTATTTTCAAATACTTGTAATACTTCTCTAATATCCTTTCTTGGGATTCCTTCAAGAGATGATATTTTTTCTAGTGCATTTTTTCCATTAAAATATTTAATAATTCTATTTTTTATTAATGCTTATTGTAAATCATTAATCAATACCTATTAAAAAGAATAGCGTATTTTAAAGGTTTCCTACTTATAATTTCTTCAATCCATGCTCGTTCTAGTTTAGAAGCTTGATGAGGCTCTCTAATAATAGAATCCGTTAAATCATCTATGGGAGTAAATGAGGTGGAATCAATAAAAGAAATATGTCCTCGTTTTTGTTTATTCAAAACAACCTCTTTAATTTCTTTTGAAACCCTTATCCAAATAAACGTTTTAAGCTGACAAACCCATCCATATCTTATTAACCAAGTAAGAACATTCAAATAAATACCACGACAACTTTTTGAAGGAATGTAAAACGAAAAAGGATGCAATTCTTTTGAAAGTTGTTCCAATATAGTAGAAAGAGATGGTATCGTAGGAAATAGCATTCTAAACATAGATTCTTGGTATTTTAATCTAAAATAAATCAAAAAATCAATGCATATATTAAATCTATACTTTGCCATATTTGCAGCAGGGCTAACAAAGTATATGTTCCGCATATTTATAGGTGGTATAGGTATAGCTCTTCTCCAATAAATAAGATGCTCTGCAAGAACATGTATAGTTTTCAAAGGAATATTAATTTGCTGAGATAATTTAAGTAAACTAAAAAAATCAATAATAAATTCCAACCAGTTATACAAAATTACGTCTGAGTCGGACGTATATTTTTTACAAATAAAGATAAAGAAGGGTTCGCATCAGCTGGTATATTTTGTAAGACACTTTCAATATCGTCCAATAATAGTAAAGAAGAATGTGGAGTTAAAAATGGATCATTATAATCCATGTCTTCATCATAAATATCAACAGATGTTAGAAAACAATTACTTTCAGAAACATCGGTAGGAATAGAAGAAGTGATTATAGGAGTCGGAATAAAAATAGATAAGTCAAAAGAGTTGTTAATAGTTAAATGAGCTATTCCAGATACAGAAATAGCATTGTATACAGTAGCTAATGCTGATGCAAGACTAGATTTAAATAGAATGTCTGCCCATAATGCATTAAAAGAGATTCCTAATACATAAGATTAAATAAAAAAAGCAAAACGATTTACCATCATTTACAGCTTTTTCTCGCATTTGCAAAATAATTTCTGATTGGGACCAAACATAGTTAGTTTTTGCTTGTTCATAGTTCAAAGCCATAGCTAACTTAGTTACAACATTGGTATACATTTCATTAATTTTCGCGTGATAATTTTGCGTCAATGATAATTTCATAGCCATAACTATATGAAACAATGTCATTTGATGCTGAGAAGGTTCAATACAGTCTTCCACAGATTCATTTACGCCAGATATTTCTAAATCAAAAACATTAGACGCTTCGCCGTGGCTCAAGTCACAATATCTCAATAAGTTTGCCTGTTTAGACCATGTACCATCCGACCGTATATGAACAGGAAGTCCAAGGAAAACTAATTCATCTACCCATAATTCAAATTTTTTTCCGCAATGAGTTTTACACGGTGTTAAAAGATCTGCTAAAAAATCACTATTAAACCCTAAAATATTATCCCATGGATGTCGTCTTATATGATCCTTATCTGTATCTTCTAGTTGACATTCTTCTCCAAGACCATCACTCAATTCCGACGCCACAAAACTCTCTTCTTCCAGACTCTCTGTTTCATTTGACGACAATCCATCTAATACATCAATATCTTGTAAAGAATTTGTCAATAATTGGTCAGCATCCGGACATGGGGGGAAATGAAAAACAAGGCTACTCCCGGAAAACGAATTAATAACAAGCAAGACAGCCACAAGATGAGAAGGTACAGTCATATCCAGTTACATTACTTTATTGTTCTTTGAAAACAATTTCATTTAGTGTTATCCATATAAACAAAATTTCCTATATATAACACATTCATTTATAATATTTGAGTATCTTTTTTAATTTTTATTAAGTTATTAAGCAATATAATTTTTTGAAATCAAAACGGTGCAAAAATTTCGAGATTTAACGATACTAAAATAAGCCTGTGATGCAAAAATACAGAAAAAGTGACTCAAATAGCAAAAGTTCATTAAACTTCTGTGCATTATGAGCCTTTCTACACTTGATCTGAGGCAAAAGTATTTTTTTTTAGAAGTTAGTCTATAGTACAACTACGTAACGCAACAAATGCTCTTTGTAATTGATCGAGTCTGCAACGTTCTTTCTGTATTGTAGCTATCGCAAAGTTTTTCAAAGCTTCTTGTATTTTCTGAATATGTGCATTATAAAAGTCAGCAAGTTCAGTAATTAAAATAATATGTGTATAATGAAGTTTCGCTGATTGTTTTAATAATGTTTGTATACAGCGAGTGTTATGTTTTGCCACCATTTGCTGTATCCTTTTTCTTGTATTGCTTAGAAAATTTAATGGCCATGCTATATTTTTATTAATAACAGGAGATTTCTCCGAAGATTTATAAAATGATATTAGTTCCTTAATAAATGGACGAGGCCGTTCAAAAGCATTCTATATACAAAATTGAGATGTATTAATATGCATTTGGATGAAAAATACCAAAATATCACTAAATATATTTTCTGTTTGTTGTATTGTATGAATAAGCTCTGTTATTAAAGGCGTCTATACATTTGTTTAAGAAAGCTTTAAAGTAAACAATAGATACCTTTAGGACAAGATTATCAATAAAATGTTCAATTACAAAAAGATGACCTTTAATCTCAAGAAATTTAAAAGAAGGAGTTTGTAAAAAATGGAAAAATAATTTATATGACATTTGATGATCTCATAAAATGTCATTAAAATACCCTTTAATATTGTTCAAACTTACCTAAATAACTAAATTCTAAAAAATATAAATTTCTATATAAACGATAATATGCATGTTTCATATTTCCAATATTATTCTTTGCATATTTAAAAAAAAAATCAGCATCATTAACATCTTCAATAGAAATTAACTTCTTTGGAATTTCTTTATCTTTATCCATGTTCTTTTTTTGAGTTCGTTCTATAATAATACATGCTTGTTCTGGCGTTGTAAAAAATTCCCAAAGTAATTCATGAGTAGAAAAGGTTGAATGTTGTAATAAAGCTTGCAAAAAAGCATTGGAACAATTAAGAAATGCTTGCAATATACTTTTCGAAGGCTTAGAAGGTATCATACAAGGATGCAAAAAGTTTATATGAAAAGACGGAATCCATGATTCAGAATACTCATGAATAAAAAATTTATATAGAAGTTTAAAATCTTCAACTGTACGAATAACCGTGATAAGATTCTTAGAATTGCTATTAACCTATTAAAATGAGTCTTTTTAGAAAAAAAAAGCTAAATTATACAAATCCACTTTTAATAACGAATTTGACAGTAGAATCATTTTCAATCATTGCCCTAACAGCGCGTACCATTCTTTTATTCCTTCCAGAGCTATTCATAAAAAGGGCATATTCTATAAATAGTATTCAACAATTTTAAAAATAGGAAATATTGACAACACATACCATCCAACAAATCAATTACTTCTTGATCTGTGGCAAGATCTACAGGCCTGTCTCCCTTATAATCTAAGGCATTAATGTTGGCCGATTTATTTCTAATCAAATAATTAATACAATCTAGCGATTTCTCTTGAGCCGCAATATGTAATGCAGTTAAACCTGTATAACTTGTTCGTTCTTCTATATTTATTACTTCTGTTAAAAGATTCATAACATCTAGATTCCCTTGAGCCGAAAAATGTAGCGCAGTAAATCCATTCTTATCCTTTGCAGTCATATCTATTCTCTTATCATTCACAAGAATCTTAACCAATTCAGATTTTCCCGATTTTGCATGGTAAATCAATGGAGTACATCCATGATTGTTTTTTTTATTAATATTCCCTTTGCAGTTTAATAATGCTAATAAACAATCCGAATCATTAATTGTATGGAAAAGAGAATTTCCATTATCATCAACATGATCATCGACATTTAAAGTATTATTTTCTATCAATTGAACAATTTTTATTGCATTTAAAAACATTGTTTTATAATCGGGATGATCATACATTGTAGAAAGTATAAATAATGGTGTTTGTCCATATTTATCACGAGATTTCCAAGAAAGATAAATACCAAGTTCCATAATGAGATATGGTTCATGAAATAAATAATGACAAACAGTTCTTCCCAATTTATCCTTTTGAGCCAAATAATTAGTAAATTCATCTTCTGAGCATTCCTTTAATTTTTGCAGAAGCATATTAATCGCTTCTTTAAATTCAAATTTAATAGCCACCATTAAAAGTGTCGATCCCTCAATATCATGATCATTTAGTAGAATTTCAATTGAAAATTGAGAATGATTAAGGAAAAAACTTACAGAAGAAAACTGTTTTGTTTTTATTCCAAGCATTATTACAGAATCCCCATTTATATCTTTATAATAATAAATATCCTTTAAAACAGATGATATTTTAGATGTACAAGTAAAATCGCCAAAAAACACAGAAATAAAATTTGGATTTTCTTTTTTAAAAACAGAATCAAGAATGTTTATATCTCCAGACTTGACACTATCCCATAATATAAGATTATAGTTACTTATAGCTTTTAATTTATCTTTTTGATGTAAAATATGATGTAAAACAGCTTCTAAAGAACTTATAGCATATAATTCTTCGCCTTTACGTATATTTAAAAATGAAAAATGAGTCATATATATAAAATCAGTTTCTAAATAATTCAGTTTTGCACGAACCCTAGAACAATCAATCATAAAAAAAATTAAAACAAACTTACACAACTAATAAAAGTAATGGTATTAAATAATCACCACCCAAATTATCTTTCAAGAAGTTTGATGCATCCTGAAATATATTTTCATTATAATTTTTATTTCGTTGAAATTCCTCATGAATTTTTACAGTTTTGCTTACTAGTAAATGTATCGTCTTCATAAGAATACTCAATTTTTCAGAAGGAATCTTGGTTTCTTCAAATTTTTTAAAACAATTAATAGCATCATATATACGATCATTGATCTCGTTATTGACAAATGGTAAACCAAGCTGATAAATATCAATATGCTCCATAGATATAATAGAATCCATCAATTCTAAATCATTATCTTTATATATAGCTTTTAGATAAGGAAATACTATATCGTATGTTTCATTACATACATAACTTGAAACATCAATTATTATTTCAATAAAGAGAAGTATATACTTTTCAACTAAGATTCCGATATCATCTTCTGTCAAACTAGTAGTATTTAAAAAGGCCCTAACACTTGATAAATTTAATGATCTAAGCATTTTTAAAGAAGAAAAAACAGCGTCTTCTATTATTTGTTGAATATTATTAACAAGATTCAAATTATCAGATTTCTCAAGAATATTGATTTTTTTTAAGGAATTGGAAAGAACTTTATTGATTTTTTGAAGAACTGAAGAATTAGATTTAAGAAGTTCCTGAAGAGTTGTAATTTTTTCGGCAGGTTTATTAGATATAGAAAATGATCTTGAAACACGAAAACAATTCTCGCATGATTTTACAAGAGGCCTATCAAGAAAGTATATAAGATACGGATGTCTATTCAAATCTTCGGAATAATATAGCATATCATAAAGTAATTTAGCATGACGAAGAGATGAAAATCCTTATTTATAAGAAATTAATAAAAAAATAAAAAAGACATACCTTTATCCGAGTAAACAAAATCATTCTTAATAATAACAGTTTTCCCATTAATTGTTGTAAACTCCTTAATCTTTCCATAGACTCCATATCTTGAACCAGATGAGGATTTTAAAATATGACTTTCTAAATATAATTTATAAAAAATAATATCAAAAAAAAAATACCAATAAAATCATCGTCAATTGTTTCTATCCAAGGAATCCCTGTTCCTTCTTCTAAACCCTGAAGTGATTCTGCAATGGGTGCTAAAATAATAATTTCATAGACAGAAAAACCCTGTGAAAGAAGATTTTCAGCAAATGATTTATTATTTTGATCCACAGAAAATAAACGATCAAGAAAAATGTTTGAATAACCTAGTTTCATAACTAATTTATACTTTTTCGGTAAAAAATCAATTCTTTTTAGTAAAATAGGTTTTTTTTAAAAAAATTTAACACCAAGAATTATATAAAAAACAAAAAACGATCTAAATATTTCAGAAAAATATAAAAAAACTAACTCTATCTAAAAAAATAATTAAAAAAAAGCAGATTCAAAGAAATATAAAACTTTAATATATTTTTTTCTTAAATAAGCTTTTTTTTCCTCTAATTCAAAACATAATTCTCGCTTCAATCATTTATAGATTCTTATCTAAACTCATATATAGGATTTTTTCCTCACTATCAGCTTTCCATGTCCCCTTAAAGCCACGTAATATAAGTTCAAAAATTATATGGTTTTTTAAAAGCGATTTGAAATGTGAATCGATTAATAGAAAAAAAAAAACATAAAAAAATAAATCACGAAGAAAAAAGTGTGAAAAATATAGTAAAACAACTACAAAAGCATATTAAGGATACAGTGAATTCATACCTTTTGTAATAAAAGAAGAAATTAAATTAGAAAACTTATTGAGGAGAAAATAACTATTTTTTGTTAAGAGATTTTTTTTTTATTTTTAAAAAAAAATCAAAGTATTTGAGTTAAAGTCTTTAATATAACCAGTAATTGCATATTTTGTTGGGAAAAGGGGTTGAATCAATAGTGTTTAATCAGATATATAAATTATTTTTGCAAGGAAATTATTTTATAAAAAAATTATAAGCGAATAAGTTTTAAAATTTAGATTAATACTTATTATATTTTTAATTGTTTTTAAGTCAGATCATTGAAAAAGTATTAAAACATTTTTTTCTTAAAATTAAATTGGATAAAAAGAAAATGGAGGGGAATGAAAAACTTTCATGGGCCTCTGCGGTTTCATCATCAATATCTTTAGCAAATGAAGATAATGTTATGGGGTCTATAGAGTCTGCTCCTTTAAATTCATCTGGAACAATATTGGACAAGAAAGCAGCTAGTTCAATGTCAAAAACAAATGTATGGAAAGCTAGACAAGAACGAATGGTTAAATTATCAAATTCTCAATCTACGGATTCAGCAACAAATAATATTTCTTTAAAGAAAAAGCAGTTGCCTGTTAAAACATTAACTAATGGAGATTCTTTGGATTCAGAAAATATGAAATTAATATCAATTTTGTCTGATACGGAAAGCTGGCCAACTTTAGATAAGGCAGTTTCGGAAGAAGGATCTCATGAGAAAGAAAAATCTAATCCTCCACTAACAAAAACATCTGGAAAAGAAAAATGGGTTTCTTATACACCAACAATTACTCACGCAAAACCGTTGCCTACAAAACCAGCTAATCGAATCCGTGAAGGAAAAGTTTATGATAATTCATTTCGAGGTTCTGTTAAAAATGGGTTGGCAACTACTGAGGAGATCTCAGAAGTCTTAAAGAATAAAGAACATAAAATTGATAAAGGGAAACATAACAAAAGAGCAGGAAATATTCATGATAAACGTGAAAGTCGGGTTGCTACTCAAATAACCACTTCGAAAGATAAAAATGCATCTATTACACAATCTGCAGGATCTGTTAAAGAGAATACAAATAATGTAAAAGATATTAATGGGGTTTCAAACGAACTTAGCTTAAAAAATCTTGAATTAAAAGATAATTCTAATGGAACTAGAGAAGATGCCAATCGTCATAACCACAATAATGTTTATAGACCAAGAGGTAATGTTTTATTAGTACTTTTTTTTTTTAATCATAAATTAGGTGGCCTTCATATGCCATTTATTCATCATAATTCTCACCCTTTATTAAATATCAATGCATTTGTACAAACACCGAATATATATTTGCCTTTTTGTCCACCTACTTATGGGAATTTAACTATACCTTTTTATCCAAATGAAAAATATCAACAATCTTATATGTATGATTATTCTCATATAAATCATATCGGGATGTTTATGCCTGTTATATATGATCCTATAGTTTTGAAAAATTGTATTCTTAGTCAAATGTATTAATTATGATATGTTGACTTATACTAATTTATTTTAGCGATTACTATTTTTCAGTTGAGAATTTATGTAAAGATTTATTCCTTCGTCGTCATATGGATAGTCAAGGATGGGTAAACTTGTTGATTTTGGCTAATTTCAATCGGATTAGAAGTTTCGCATTAGAATATAGTTTTATTAGAGATGTCACTACCTATTCACGTACTGTAGATATTAATTTTTCTGATGGTTATGATCGAGTTCGAAAAAAAGAAGGTTGGGAAATATGGGTCTTGCCTGAAGAAGAAAGAGATCCCAGTGTACGAAATGGGCGGACATTGATTTCGTCTAAATATCCTAATAATGAAAAGCCAAGTATGACAGGTAAAGCATTGAAAGAGAGTATAGATGCTCTTCCATTTTTGCCTCGAGCGAACATAAATACAGTACCTTTTGCACCCAGGGCGCAAGAAATGCCTTCTAATCAACCGAATATAAATGTGTTTAGCCAGAGAATGTCGCCAAAGGCCCTTGTTTCTAGTTCTACAGTACGTTAGGCTATTTTTTAATTTTATTTAATATACTTATTTTAATAGAAAATATCTAGCATTAATAAAAGTGAAAAATCAAAATAGCGTAAAAAACAACTGCATTTAATTTTGATTCAAATTAACCTACAATAATTGGAAATTTAATTATATTTTAAAATAGGGTATCTTAAAGATGACAAATACAAGACATTAATTCAAGAAATTTAATTTTTTTTAAACATATAGTTCAATTTTCTGGATTTTTTTTCAAATAATTTTATTTTTTAGATTAATAATTATTTGAATACTTTTTATTGTCGGTATCTTTCTGTCTTAATCCTGTCTATTGACTAATTGGTACATTAAAAACAATTATCGACAAACGTATGATTAGAATCTACTTCGGTTCTACATATTAAATTTTATTTAAATCACTTTAATTTTTACATATTTTAACTAGTTTTACATATATTTTTATTTTATCTAGCAGAGCATTTTATGATGTATTAATTTATATATTAGTATTTTATTTTATCTAATTCATTTTTTTTTAACAATTTTAAAAATCCTGCTTAACCCAATTTCCTCAATATATTCCTATATTTAAGACAACCCTCATTTTATTTTGAATATATATTAAAACCCTATTTTTTTAAAAAAAAGGCGAAAATTTTTAAATTAATAAATGGACTACCAAAACCGAGTTGTATGTTAATTTTGACTATAAGGATTGAAAGAACTCATATGATTTCCATAGGGAAGTAAATTTGGAGGGGGTGGCGTTGCAGGTACAAGTGAAACAAATGCAGATCGTCGTGAACGGTTAAGAAAACTTGCTTTAGAAACAATTGATTTAGCTAAGGTTTGAAATTAATAGATCTGGAGATAGGGTTAATAATGATTAAAGGATCCATATATTTTAAAGAATCATCTTGGGAGTTTTGAATGCAAGCTTTGTTTAACTCTTCATGCAAATGATGGATCATATCTAGCTCATACACAAGGAAAAAAACATCAAACAAATCTTGCTCGTAGAGCAGCAAAGGAACAAAAGGAAGGGGCTACAGATGCAATTACTGGTCTTCCAGTAGGAGTTATTGGGCAACAAATTCAAGTTCGAAAAAATATAATTAAAATAGGCCGTCCTGGATATAAAATTACAAAAATTAGGGATCCATATACGAGGCAAATTGGGCTATTATTTCAATTAAGCTATCCTGAGATTGGGACAGATATTCATCCTCGACATCGATTCATGAGTGCATATGAACAAAGAATTGAACATCCCGATCGAAGATGGCAATATTTGATTATAAGTGCAGAACCATATGAAAGTATTGCGTTTAAAATAGGTATATTTTTTATTTTTTTGTTAATTTATATTTTTATTATTTTTAGAAGCAAAAGAAATAGACAGATCAGAAGGGAATTTTTGGACTTTTTGGGATAAACCTACATTTTCTATGCAATTCTTTTTTAAATCAGATAGAGATACAAGATATATGGGTGTGCCTGGATTATCTAATTCTTCAACAAAATGAAACTAATATATTTAAAATTTAAATATATATTTTTTAATGATTTTTTATGTGGTATTTTCTATTCTAAAAAAGGATTAAGCAATATATTTGGAATATGAAATTATATCATTTCAATGTATCTCAGAATTTTAACAGTTTTTCATCGAAAAAATAAACATGTAATTTATAGCTTTTTCTTTTAATATTTGTAATACTTAAAACATATAGGTATATAGCATTATATATTCAAAAATACGGCATATTTTGAAAATTTGAATTTCACTACGATCTTAGCATTTTTAACGCGAATTTTTTTTTACATATCTCTAAATATGAGTACCTTTAAAATGAAATTTATAATGCACAATTATAGATTTTAAAAATATTTTAAAAATAATCTCGAATGCTTAGAACTATTTTTTTGATATAAATTATTCAATATCAAATTTCATAACTAAGGTCAATTTTTATTACAATCTTGCAAATGATATTTTAATAACCTAATCAAAAAATATATTTAACATTATTTAATATATTAAATTACATACATTTTTATCATATGCTTACTATGTACTTAGATTATTATTTAAATGAAAACGAGACTTCATAAATATTTTATAGAAAGGAAATATTTTCCTATTTCTTTGAAATTTATAGCTATCTATGACTAAAAGGTATTTTTAATTTCATTTTTTAGTTACAAGTGTTAAAGTATGATGATTTTCTTTAACAATCCAACTCTTAAAAAATAATTTTGTGGATAAAATATGCATAATACCTGATTTAACGTATTTAATGTTTTGTAAAATTTTTCTAATATATTTTTAGAACATATAAATTATTGTTTTAAGTTAATAATAAAAAACGCTGAATGTTTGATGATAAGATGAACAAAGATTTCTGAATTATATGTAGAGTCATTGATAATAAGTTTCAGCCTTGTCTGACATTTGCGTTAAATTGATACAATAATGGATACTAACTTATTTATAAGAATGGTATCATAAATGGTTAAATTGCCTAGGTAAATTGTTTTTAAATTAGTAAAAATCTTATAAAATTAAAAATGATTGAAAATAATACGATGGGCGAACATATCTGTCAGTTTATTTTTATTAAATTGTGGATGTAAGTGTACAAAAATCATCCGAAGTGGCAGAACTGGTGAAATATTGTTGTTCTGATTTAAGAAGATTTTTCTATTTACTATTATTTTATTTAAATCTAATTTTTATATAGCTAGTATAGAGTATAGACACTCTTTTATATCTAATATTATTCAATATCTAATAAAATACAGCTATCTAGTTATATAGGCTCTTATTAATAGCATTCGCATTACTTAAACACAATATAGTGATAATATATTTAAATTGTCTTCAAAGATATGCAAATTTATGAAATACCTTAAATGATCAATTTTTGAATGTATTACAATAGAACAGTTCTCTAGAATTATGTAACCAACATATTATCGATTAATCATTCTTTTATAGTTCATAATTCATGTATGAATAGTACCAATCCATTCCCAAGCTCGTATCCATTCTCCATTTATTTCTGCTAATCGTGTTCTTATGTTTGAGTTGTTTTCAACAACTTTCCGTACTTTATTCCAAAGCTTATTTCGTTGGTCAGTATTAAACTCATTTACAAGAATATCATCCCGTAAATGCGAAATAGCAATATATGGATATGTAGATTTTGGATCCAAAATATATGAACGTTGTTGCTCATATAATCTTTGTAGAGAAATATGAACTAATTCTAGAATTTTTGATTTATAGGTTCTTTGTAAAACAAAAGCAGATTTTATTTTAAATAAAAGAAATATAGAAGATATTATTCCTAAATAAATATTTACTAATGATCAAAAAAAAGAAAGAAAGACTATACCAATAAACTCGACTCTATAGCGTACCAGTCCTCGTCTGATATATTTTTTAAGTGAGCATCCAAATGAAATGTTTGAAAAAGATGTTGATTTAAAATATCTTTTTGATCTATTAGATCAATATATCTAGGTCAGCCAAAGCTTAGAATGATAAAAAAAAAGACTAAATACAACATACCCATCTTTCTCTATATGAATTTCATCATACGTAACTATATCTTCAAATGCATCCGATAATAATTCTTGAAATTGTTGATCATCTATATCAGGCTAATTTAATTAGTTTAAGAAAAAAAGAGTCACTGATACAACAGATTTCATTTCCCAAAGATATTTCTCAAGATCTTTCTCATATATACCCTCCTTTTCTCCTTTAAGCAATTTTGAAGAGCCACATTCCAACTTAGCATTCTTATCTCTAAGCATCTGAATTATCTCATTAATAATAATATGAACCCTTCTCAATTTTTCTGTATCTGGTATACATGATGGTACAATAGGAATCAATCCGTTGAAAGATAATATATTCGGGGTAAGAATATAATCCTTTTGACATACAAGTTTAAAATTAGGATAACAAATAGCATGATCAGGACATGGTTTGCAATATACAAAAAGATTATTGAGCAAAATTCTTGGTAATTTTCCTCGTATTAATGAATATGTATTTGGTATTTCTAATTTTTTTAAAAAAATCATCAATTTTACCATTCTTCAAAACACTTGCCTTTAATTTCAACGCCGCAATAACCCACACGAATTGTTTCCTCTCTCCAAATACTTCCTAATGTAGCTATAGATGTGCTAAAAATAAATACCACAAAAAATCTTATAAATGAAAATTTTTTGCGTTTAGGTTTGACTTTCGATTTTCCATAAAAAACATTCAAAACCTCTTTATTCAAATCTAATTTGTCTTTACTTTCTGTTTCATTATTATTTAAAGGAAGATCATTATGCGTAAATTCATTATTTTCAGATGTTTGTGTAGTTAATTCATTGTCAGGTTTCGAATACATTGTCATATGATAGAATTGTTGTGATGTCTTCAAATTCTCAATATTCGTCATAAATTTTTTCGGTTTAGACCGAGGCAAAGTAGTATTCATTAATGGCTGAACCAAACTCTTTGAACGAAGCTCCGGTTTAACTCTCATAATAGATGATTTCTCAGGTACTTCTAATATATCCACAACTTCCTTCTGATGAGCCTCAGGCTAAGTACAACATTATAAATATCTTAAAACAATATTTTTAGTTTTACCATTAAAGGCTGTAAAGATGAACGAAATTTATATGTTTCACATAATGGAGATGTTTGCTGAAAAAAGTTTTCATTAGAAAACCCCTCATCTAACGAAAGTGACTATAATATTTCTTAAATATTCCCCTAAAAAACCCATTACTTTTTAAAATACCTTTTCCTCTAATTTTTCTTTATCCTCAATATTCGAAGGCTGATCACTTATTGATCTACGTAAAGACATATGAGAATATCTATTAGCAGACAACGTCTCTTTTGAATCATTTAACTGCTTTTTACCCTTTTTTTTACTCGATTTTTGTTTAACCTGTTTAATTTTCTAAATTATAAATTTTTATGATAATAACGAGCGAATTTCCGCCAAAAAAACTACATACACTTATATTATCACTCAATATATCGTATTCATCCTTATTTTCGTGCTTTTTCTCTTTTAAATACCCTTTTTTACCTAAAACAATATGTTCATAAAATAAGTCCAAAAGTACTTGTTTCTTAGCAGATGATGGATAATTCACATTATTTTCAAATAAAATGCGCCGAAGATCTGCAATTCGAAGTGACTTTGCATCAAAGTTTTCATCAAGATAATCCTGTAACATAGATTGAATAGCGATGGTAAAGAATCATGAAAAATAAGACAAGTCGAATATTATATATATAGAATAAAAATTATACATAAAAGTTAAGCAAAATTTTTAGGATAAGATGATATATATTTTTAGTGGGTAGAAAAAGAATCAACAAGAGCAACAGTGCCATCAAAATGTTTAGGAGAAAGAGATAAAGTATGAATATTCGAATGAGATGTTTGAAAGTTCCAAAGAGCTAACATATCATTTGCTTCCTTTGGATGAATTGTTTTATTCTCTGTCCCTATTGTAGCATGAAGAATTGGGTTAGCTGATTGTATTTTTTTATTTTCCATATCCAAAATTACAGCAACCAGAGCCATAATTCTTGAATCCCAAACAAGATAAGTAAATTCAACCTGAGCCGAACAAACGACGCCAGATGAGTCCATTTGAGATAGATAATATTGCCAAATTTCAGGATATTTTGACTTATCGGAGATATGAATCAAAGTAACATGAAAAGTAGACTGTACACGCTTTGAACGCTTAAGATGTTCCCAAAAAGCAGAGACTTCTTTTTTCTGATCCTTCATAATTTGTTCTATATAAGGAGCTAAATCATCTTTAAGGATAATACCAAAATATTGAGATTTTTGTTGAGATAATAAACCAGTTTTCTGATGAGATAGTGTTAAACCAGATCTTTTGTTAGGACAAAAATGATTTAAAGCGATACGAATTGCAGAATCTATTTCAGATGCTGTTGGTATTTTTATGACAAATTTTGGTGCTATTTCATGAAGCCGTTTAATCACATTTTCTAAATTAAATTTTGTATCTTTCATAGGATCTAAAATAATAGAGTCCTCAAATAGATTATCTGGCTCTTTATTAAGATCTAAGGGCTCGAATCTTGAAAGAAACCCATTCATAATTCCTATCGCAGTTTTACCCTGATTTAATGATGCATCAATTGTTTGATGATTACTTCCACGTGCAAGAACTCTGGCTTTTGTTACTTTTAAGATTTCATTTAATTTTTCTTTTCTAGTAACTAAATCATCATTTTTATCAAAATGATCATAATAAAGAGCGATAAAACGAGTATTTGGAGATCGTTCAGAAACTAAGCGAATCAATTCATCTCTTTCTGAATATTTGTGATTATTTCTGTAACAATATTACTAATTATTCGATTAACTAACATAAACTTACTTGTCTGCTACAACAACATGTTGATGTTTTAACGCATCAACAATTGCAGACACAAACTTTTGAATTTTTGCTTTTTTTCCTGGTATATCATCATTTTGAATATGCTTGAAACCAAATAATAAAGATAAAGCAAAAGCAAGAGTTGTTTTTCCACAACCAATTGTAGCAATAGGAACAAGTAAAATATTTCTATCCTCAAGAGGACAGTTTATAACTAGCTTCTTTGAAAAATCTGAAGGGGAATAGTTGTATTCTTTCAAAAATTGTTTGCGAAGAGCCACAATTCCATGGTTTTGTTTATATTTTTCCACAAAATCAGGATTTTCCTTTAATAAAAGACGTACCCATATTACATATTTTTTTGTAATGTCATCCTCATTAGAGTTGAACTTATATGTACCAGATATAATCGCATGAGTCAGTTCTCTCCATCTTCTATAAATAAAATAAGGCTCTTTAAATTTATACTTAAAAAAAAAATCATGAAAATGGATATCATCTAATAATTTAGATTTGCATCGTATAACAAAGCCTTCAATTTCTCTTCCATAGTAAGACTTTGTCTTTTCTGAATCTTCTAAAAAATATTTCAACTCTGACAAAGTTTGAAAGATTTTATAATCAACTTGTCTAAACCCCCAATTATGAGCAAACAAACAAACTTTATCAAACTCATATGTAACAAAAGTAGCCTCATTTAAATTGATTCCATGAAGATAAAGACCTCTCTTTTCGGGAGGATATTCTATAATATGTTCTTCAAAACCATCATCACATAATTCAAAAACAAGTGTTGCATTCATTTGTCGTAATACACGAGCCAACTGTTTTCTAGTATGCATAGAATCTGACAAATGCCTTTCTAGCCATGTTTCTCCTACTTGTGCATGAACAGAGGTGCCATTTGCCACTGGACCCATTGAATTTTTACTTGCAACAATTAAAGAATCATCCGAAAGCGCTGAAACAAAAATAACACATCCATTCTCCTTCAAAGTTAAAGCGTAAGGACCTATTGTATGTTTTTCTAAGGAATCCCACTAAAATTTATCAATCAAAAATATAATAAATCTTCATTAGAGATTACTTTTGTTTCTTTAACCTCATTTACTGCAAAAAACTTATTATAACCTATTTCCATAAAACAAAAACTCTAGAGAAATACAAACTAATACCTCTTATGACAATTTCATGGATATTTTTATCATTTGTTATAGAAAAAAGCCCTCGAATATCTGTCACTAATTTAGATGATTTTTTAAACCCAAAATTTGGTAATTTCCAACTATCAATCTTTACCCCATCACCGTATATAAATGTATGTTTGGAAATAGACTTTGATTTTTTATTTTCATTCTTTTTTACTTCTTTTTCAATCCTTGAGATCAATTCATGGGCTGTTTCTTGATTCTCTTTTTTCACACTTCCAGACATTATGCTGAATAAATATATGTAACTAAGATCAAAAATGTCAGTTTGGAAAAAGTAGTTTTATATTTTTAATTTTTTTTTAAAATTCGAATATAAAATTTTTTATGAATATTGATCAAAATTATTTACATATTCATAAACAAGAAAATGCAAATCTTGGTTGTTTACAGTATCTGAATTTAACTTTAGTATTGTATATGTATTTTCCCCCCCAAAAAAATATCCATGTTCATAATTTTCCCAACTGATAGGTGAATCCTCAAATCCATTAACGGTTAAAGAAATCCAATCTATATCTTTAAGGTTCCTAAAAATATATTCTAAATATTGTATTGAATGCTATGTGAAAGTTACCGTAAAAATACCCATAAATCTAATATCCAGCTACAACTAATCATTCCTGACCATAAAAATCTTATAATCTCATCTTCTGAAGAATTTGAAAGATTATAGGGCAATGAATATGGATCATCATTAAAGCCGGTGTTTAATCTTTTTTTATTAAGGAATTATTATAAGACTTTATAAATTTTACCTTTCTGATCCAAGAGAAACTAAACCTAACCATTCATATATCTCCGTAGCCCATTCTGCTTGAATAATTCTGTCTATACCTGGATAGTCCACATGTCTTGGATAAGAAAAAGAAGGGCAAAGTATTTTTCCAGACTCATGTTTTTCAAAATTCGCAAAACAACTAGATGAACCAACAACTTCTTCAAGAATTTTAATATCATCTATGAAAAAACTTAAAACAAGCCATCAATTACAATATTTCAAACTTTCATTTAATGCGGACATCCTAAAAGAAAATTTTTTTTGAAGAACATTCTCAAAACTCCATAAAATTCGATCAAATCCTTTCTTTCCTTTTTTCATAGCTGTCCCCCTCATATCTAATATTACGTCTAAAAAAGTTACTCCAAAATATTATAACTTAATTCAAAATTACTCCATCTAGGACATTTTCTTGAAAACGCAGAGGGCTTTCCTACAAGACCTACCTTTTCATATGTCTCTTTTGTCAGAGAAAGAATAATCTTCCCTAAAAAACTCAACAATACAACAAAATTGCATATAAATACCCTTGTTTACACAAACAACATCATCCATATCTATATTATTCATAGAAAGTGCACATAGTATTTCTATACTTCTTAATAAAAGTCGATATTAATAATTTAACAATTTACCCGTTTTAATCAATTTGTTAAGAACTTCTTCCTTTAAAAACCATCCCAGAGAGACATCCAGAGTAACAAATCTTGGATGATTACTTTTTTCAATAAAACATTTCACTTTTTTCAAATCATCTTTCCTCAAACAAAACTCTACCTAAAAATACCAATCATTCCTTATTAAAAAAATGTAACAAGAAAAAAACTGAGAAATTAAACGGATGTAATCTAATTAAAGATAATTCTGGGCATCCAAATGTAATAAAACATTTTTTTTTTTTTTTTAGACTTTTTCCAAAAGGTTCCATATCTATTTTATTTAGAAAATACTAAAATACTATAATAATTTAAACCCTTAAAATATGTTTTTTTAAAATGAACTTAGGCTCCTAAAAATATTATATTTTTAAAAGGTACATCAAGCCCAGTTTCTCGATATCTGTTTCACGTGACCACAACCATTGATAACCAGGAGATAATTTTGTAAATAATAGTGGAGAATTTTAAAGGACAAAAAGACCATTAAAAGTATAAAATTTTTCTATAAAATATGCCTTATCCATTCCAAAAAGGAGACATTAAGTCTATATCTAAGCAAGAAGTTTTTTTTTACAGTAAAAGATGATTGATTTAATAGTCTTTTATAGGCACATAATTTTTTTTCTATGCAAAGAACAAAAACAATTGGAGGTCATAATGATTTAGTTAAAACATTAGGATGGAACTGTATAGGAAGTAAGTTGGCATCTGGATCGGTCGATCATAGTTTACGTATATGGAATCCGGATAAATTAGAATTAAGATATTCTGTTGAATTTAAAGGACATTCTTCAAGCGTTGATTATCTTTCATGGGATCCTACGCACAGTGATCGTCTTGTGAGTGTAGGAAAAGATAAAATGATTCGTTTTTGGGATTATAGAGGTATTAATGATGGATTTTAAAATATCTATAATTAGGATTATTAGAGGCGAAATGTACCTTAGAAATCCCAACTAATGGAGAGAATATTAGTGTTACATGGTCTCCTAATGGAAACTATGTAGCTTCTGGAAGCAAGGTCTAAAAAAAGGAGATTATGAAATAATTTAATATGAGTAGGATGATGTAATTACATTTGTCGATGTCAAAGCAAAAAAAGTCATTAATTCTGTCAAACAACCTACAGAGGTATATTTAGTATGATAAAATATTTCTTGTTTAAAAAGATTGAAGACAAATGAAATATCATGGTCAAATAGTGGGGATTTTTTTGCTTTAGCTACGGGACATGGAACTGTTAATTTAATTGAGTGGCCGTCCTTAAAACATGTTTATACTATAGATGCTCACACTTCTAATTGTTTTTCTCTGGAATTTGATCCTAAGGGAAAGTTGTTTTTCATTTATTCTTACGAATATGTCTAACTTTTTAGATATTTGGCTATAGGAGGATCAGATGCTCTTGTTAGTTTATGGGATCTTGATGAATTTATATGTGTTCGAACATTTTCGAAACTAGAGTATAGTTTTTTGTATTAGTTCTGATTATTTTTTAATCTATTTAGTTGGCCTGTAAGAACACTAAGTTTTACTCATGATGGACAATACATTGCGTCTGCATCTGAAGAAATAGCAATTGATATTGTATGTTTTATTTAAATGTTTTTAAATACATTAACATATTTTTAGTCACATGTAGAAACTGGAGAACATATTTATAAAATTCCCTCCAATGCAACTAACAAAGTTTCTTGGCACCCATACAAGTATTGGTTAGCATATGCTGGTGATGAAGTAAATAAAAAAGGCGATTTATCTATTTTTGGTATCAACAGTTAAAATATCTTCACTTACTGAATTTATTTAACATCTATACATAAATTATTTTAAAAAATAAACACAGTCATTACACTAAGGCTATTATAAATAAATAATCTTTTTTTTTATTCGTTATATTTATACAAATTCATTTTAACCGATTCTTCAACCAACTGCACTACCAAATTAAACAATGTTTTTCAATATTTTTCCAAAAATAAGACATAAAACACTCTTCCATTTAAAGCATTATTCTGATTCATATAATCGCTTTAAATATATTGGTTATTTTTTTTTTCTAGAAAACAATAAACTACATAATATAACTATTTTTTTTCAAGATTATAAAACAACGGTTGAAGCACCAGAACAAAAAATACAGGGAAAACAACTACCCTTTCTTAAAAAATATAAGCCAGTAACTCCTGGAAGACGTGGACTTTGCCGTCCTTTGAATAATCATCTTTGGAAAGGTCGTCCAATACGTTTTTTAACGATTGCAAAACGCAAAACTGGTGGACGTAATAATCAAGGAAGAATTACTACACGCCATCAAGGAGGAGGACACAAGCAACGCATACGCATTGTAGATTTTGTACGTAAAACTCCTGGGCCACATCTCGTCCTACGTATCGAGTATGATCCAGGACGTAGTGGGCATATTGCATTAATAAAAGATTTAAAGACAGAAAAACTTTCATATATCTTGGCAGCAGATGGTCTTAGGGCAGGACATGTCGTAGAAAGCTATAGAATGGGTTTTAATTCTTATGGAGAGGAACAACATGAAAAAATTGATTCGGGTACTTTTATTACAAAAGCAATTCAGCCTGGAAATTGTCTACCCTTATCAATGATCCCCGTAGGAACAATTGTATTTGCATTAACAACGAATATGCATGGACCTGCTAAATTCTGTAGAAGTGCTGGAACATATGCACAAATACTTTCTACAGGAAATGAAGGCTATGCCACTATTAAACTACAAAGTGGTGAATTACGAAAAATATCCGTTCATGCAGCAGCTACCATTGGAATTGCGAGCAACATTAATTGGTAATATGTAATGATTTATTAAATTTTTTTTATAATTTATAAAGGAAACATCGAAAATTGGGAAAAGCCGGACGGTCTCGCTGGTTAGGTATTAGACCAACTGTCCGTGGTATGGCGATGTAAGAAATATTCTCCAAAATGTCATAAATTTTTAATATATATTAAGGAATCCACGTGATCATCCTCATGGCGGAGGGCGTGGTAAAAGTAAGGGTAATCGACATCCATGCAGTCCATGGGGGAAACTAGCCAAAGGCAAAAAGACTCGAAAAAAGTTAAATCCATTAGTCATTAAAGGACGCCCTAGATGATATTCATAATTGAAGCTATCTTGATCGATTACATTATCACATTTGGATCAAAAAATAATATTAATGATCTAGATACACAAGTCAGTTATATTCCTATAAATCCTACAATATGAAAAAATATGCCGAATCTCGTTTAAAAAATTATATATAAAAATCCCCAAATATTATTAAACCGTTATACATCAATGTAACATATATTCGTGTCTAAAATCATTTAAATGTGCGATTTTATATATGTATCAAATATATCATAACTTCAACTTTTATAGAAAACTAATCTTTCAATCATATAAATCATATTTCAAAATCATTTGATACATTTTCTGATCCAAAATCAAGTTCTTTTCTAAACCTATCCTTATTAAAAACAACTCCATATAAATAATATATAAAAAATACATAGTATCAAGACTTTTCAAAATCAAATACTCGGGAATCAAGAATAATGCTTGTTTTACTTTTGTCAAAAGTTCTTCCTGATCTACTTCACTTTTCGTTCCCATTGTTCGCACAATATTCAAAATTCCATTCATCGGCGCCGTTAATACAGGATCCGGTTTTAAGACATTCGAAAAAATATCTAAAAGTCGACTCAATTTGCAGAGCTGAGATCTCTGAAATAATAAACGTTCAGATTGAAATCCTTTCTTCATTTTATATGATATTTCATTAATTTATTTTCTTACCAATTGTCGAATCCCTAGTCCATTGTTCGATAATACTTTGTAACGTCGGGCACTATAAGTTATTAAAAAAATGATTCAAATTATTGAAAATTACTGGATCTGCATCCAAAATATGTAGAATATGATGAAATCGGGATGTCTTATCAATATTATCAATAAGATTTCCTTTTGTCCATTTCGGCTCTGTTAATGGCATAGATAAATTTAACCATACTTCGATTCGTTTAGCTCGTAAAAGCTCGCCCTCTGTCGGATCTACATCTGTTACACGAAATATTTGTTTATGCGTTGCGCTAGTCGCCAATTCTTCAAACTAACGTGGTTCAAACAACTGTTCCAAGTATATGCGCATAAATACCACAGCCCATCCATCTGTCTGAATTACTATTCTCCCCTCGTTACGAGAGAATTCGATTGAAAAAATATGCTCTGCTGGAATAATAATACGTTTCGTACCCTTTTTTATTGAAAGAGAAACCCTATCTGGTGCAACAAGCGCTGCTTCTGTTGCTGATAAATTGGTTTCCGGGTGTATATCTGTTGAATTTCTAAAATAAAATCGGATCCGTGCATCCTTTTGATCTTTTTCTTCACGTATTTCTTCTATTAAGAATAAGTCTTATCTTTCTAAAACATAGATATAATACCGGAAATAAAATTTCCAATCTGAAGTCGTGATAATCTAAAATCAGAAAATGTTTTCCGCGTTAAAAAAGCGTTATTATTAGGTGTTCTTGAATCCAGTCGTAATCGTTTTGATAAACCTGAATTACGAAAACTTGAAAATTGACCATATTTGCCAGGCATAGACATTGAATGAGATACAAAACAAGCCGTAGTACAAGATGTATGCGTATGTTTATTTAAATTCCGATGGGCATATGCGTCACCATTATTTCTTAAACCTCGTTTATATGTGTTCTGAAATGATGAAGACATGATAATATATAAAAGTATCGGAAGAAAAAAGTTAAAATGATAAAAAACATATAAAACTAAGCATTAAACATATGTAAGTTTGAAAGGAAATAGATATAATGGATTTTTGCTGGATCTTATTCAGATATAGAATAAGAAAAACAAATACTAATATATATAAATATATAGAAGACTTGTTTTGTATATATTTATATATTATAAAAGTCTTAATATTTACATTTAAATGTGTTTTTTAAAGTTTTCTTTGTAATAAGAAATTATTATAAAAAATTTTGAAAATTTAATTAGTAATAATTCCGCAAGAACTAAAACTTAACTATGAATATATAAAAAAATTAGAAAATCAAGAAATAAATATGATTCTTTTTCTAAAGAATAGGTAATTTATATAGAAAAGATTATTAATGGTGGTCATGAAAAATATATTAATAAATATAGAGTTTTATTTAAAAAATAGAATATAAAAAGCAAAAGAATAACTATATAGATAAATCTTACCTATTTAAAAAAAAGCTATATTTTTGATTTAAATATTTTGATATGTTGAAAATTATAAATATGTAATATTCTAAATCTAAGCTTGTATATTTAGTGTAAAATTTTTAAAGATAACCTTTAAAAAAATATAAATCATAAAAAGATTCATATGTTTCAAAATAAATCTTTTTTTTAAAGAATATTTTTGATTTAATTTTTGAATGATAGATGATTATTTCATAATATTGTAAAAAATTGGTTAAAAAAATTCTGATAAAATATGCCCTAACCTATGCCCATGCAAAGTGTATATGATTAAGAAATAGATCATAGTATAAAAATTTAGCGCTTAAGTTGAGCTTTCAACACCATTTTTTTTATAGTTTGTAATGATAGTTGAATATTTATTACACCAATATGTGTTTCAAGTTCAGATGTCCATCCTTGTTCAGATATACCTAATCTTTTATAAAATTGTTGTTCATGTTTTGCATGAAATAAGATATCTTGAAGTTTGGTTAGACGATCTTGAAGATTTTGAAAACTACGAATACGTTTAGTTAAAATCATACAAAGTCTAGAATAGTCTTTTCTTTTTGATCTAATAAAGTTAAATATTAAAAAAAAAAAAAAAAACTACAATTTTATCAAGGATAATTTTTTTTTAACTTGTTCAGATTTATATTCAGATAAATACATTTGCAATTTTTTTAATAGTACTGAATTCTTTAAAACCACCGCTTCTTTAAGAATTTGTTCAGCCTAGATATCATATTAAAAAAGTAGATTAAATTAAAAACTTAAAATATTTACTTTATAAGCATATTTTAGTCCATCAATGTTTTTTTTTAAATTCGTACTAGTTTTCATAGTTGAAAAATAATCCTTAATAAGATGAATACATATTTCTTGAGAATCAACAGGAAGACGCTTTGCATAGAATAAAAGACGTTTGAATAAAGATAAAACCAATTGCTTATGTTCTGACAAATGAAAAAATGATTGAGATAACATTGAGTCAAAAAATTAGTATAAGAAGGAATGTTAGTAAAGAATCCTTTTTAAAGAAAAAATCTGATAGAATATGTTAAAAAAATCAGTTTTTAATAATGTTTTATTTCTTTCTTGAAAAAAATATATTCTTTAAAAAATGCTTCCTTCTGGTGGTTGAGGCAATTTCTTATTACTTGATGATGCCATTTCACTAAAAATGAAAAATTACATTTAAAAAATCTTAATATCTCAATTCCTTTACCGTCGGAGCGCGATTAAAATAGTTTCTAATGTATGGTCTCGTTTCCAGTTTGAAAGGCATGATAATTGTTCAGGCTCAACCTTTTAAAACAATTTTTTAAAAATAAAATCTACATATTCTCTTAAGCACTTACACGACCTGTCTGAGGATTCACACATGGAAGATTAATTTTAGATAAAAAATAAATAACCGGAGGCATGTCCGGGTATGTTTCATCACAATAAATCTTTAAACTATAAATTCGATTCTCATAAACACTCTTTTATAATAAGTTTAAATAAAAATACTCTCCCAAACTCTTACATGTGCCGGTCCCAAAATTGTTCCAATCCAATTTGATAAACTCATATCATCAATATCAACAAGACCATAAGAAAACGTGCCGTCACCAAATCCTTTTTCACCTTTTTCTAGCTCTTCCAATAAACGAAAATTTCTTGGTCTAAAATATTAATAAGTTAAAAAGATATAAACCCTTATAAATTTTAAAGAAAAAATAAAAGTAAAACCTACATTTGCATTTTTTTACACCTAATTCTTGGAACCCGTTGAAAAAAATACGAGAAAACAACGATGCGATGGATCGCATCCTTAACAAGTGAATTGACACATCTTGTGTCAGAAACTAAACGCAAGCATCCGGAACTTAAAGCGGTAAGTGTATTTTTTTAAAAAATTAAATAAAGTGTTATTTTTTAATAAAAACTTTAAACTAATTTTTAAGGCTGCAGAACAATCATTAAATGAAATTAAAAACTTTACAGATGAAGCAACGACAGTTAAAAGAATTCGTCAGAATCCAGCGTTTTTAATTCCTTTTTTACTTGGCTGTAATACACAAAGTGCAAAATGTTGTGCTATTGCTATTGGATCACTACAAAAATTGATTGCAGTGAGTGCAATACCAAATGTATGAGTGAGAAGAATATGAAAGAAGAAAAGAATTGATAAGGATTTTTATAGTTATCATTACCATCAGTATTGGAGGCATTTCGTGAAGCAACATTATTAGGGGTGGAAATTCAATTAAAGATTCTTCAAGTATTACCAATGTTTCTAACGAATTATACAGAAGATTTGTCAGGGAATTTGCTAGCAGAAGCGTTTAATATTTGTTTTATACTTCAGAATAATAAGTCAACGGTTGTTCAAAATACAGCGTCGGCTACACTAAGACAGCTTGTAATTCTTGTTTTTGATAGAACTGTTTGTGAAGGTTATAATATTATTTTCTTTTGGTGCACTTTTTCTTAATTTGAGAAGTTGATGTTAAACATTCTAAAAAAGAATCAGAAATTAATCAAGCGTTACTTGATGCACATCATTTAATGGAGGATCTTTGTCTTCTTATTAATGAAGACAGACCTAGGATGCTTAATGTTCAAAATTTATCAAAAACGTTTGGATTGGAATTGATTGAAAGCATTTTGACGAATCATCCTAAAGTCTTTCAAAAAGTAAAACAATCAATGTTGTTTTTTATTTGGTTGATAATGAAAATTTTAGCATGATAAGCAAATCAAATTACTCCGTAATCTAATGTTTTTGGTTCTTCGTCCTTTTTCAAATAAAAGCGATTTTCCTGTAACAGTAAGAAGTGCACGAATTATATATCTTCTTCTTCGCCAACATCTTAAAAATCTTATTGTAGAAGGCGAAATAGCATTCAATTTATTTTGCCATATTCTTATAGATCAAGATGATAATAATTGGCGTCGTATTTTAGTTATGGAAATATTTAGAGGTATTTGCACTGATAATGCGCTTATAAGTGCTATCTATGAATATTATGATGCAGATGTTTCTCGCAAAAATATTTTATATGAAATGATCTTTTCATTTAACAAATTAGCAGGAGAAAATCCTGGATTAATCGGTTTAGGAGCAAATATTCTCTTTAGCAATCAATTATCTAGTAGCGATTCTTATGATAACATGTATGAAATCTTAGGAGATGCGATTGATATGTTTGGCACTATATCAGGAACAATTATAGATCAATGTCCCCCTGGTCTTGATTCAAAAGCATCATCTGTCCGTATTTCTTGTATCGATCAACTTGATAAATCAGAAGTGCCTATACTTCCTCCTACTTATATTTATTATTTAGTATTTACTTGTTTAAATTCAGTAGTAGATGGTATTGCAAAAATAATTATACCTTTTTTTAAACGAAATTTATCTCGGAAATTAGGAGATTTCAAAGGTAGAAATAAATCAATTGTATTTTAAAAAAATAATTAAGATAATTAGAAAAATCTCAATCGATTTCTAACATTTTGTCTGAATCTTGTCTAGGGAACCAAGAAATATTTACTTGTTCAAAAATAATTGAAAATATGTGGCCTGCATTTTTAGCAGTAAGTTATTTTTTAAAAAAAAAAAGATTTACAATTTAAGGCATTTTCGACATTTTTATCTGCATCCATGTCAATTGATTTATTTCATAATCTTGTTCGATCTTATAGACATTTTGTTCAAGTTTCTGGATATCTGGGTTATAACATTTCTAGAAATGCATTTTTAACTACTATTTCCAAATTTTCACTTCCACCTGTTTTCATAATACCATTCAATGTTTTGCATTCAAATTTAACAGGTGATAGTCAAAATATTCCTCAATTGGATACAAATAATTGTACAAGTGGCACAACAAATGCTACTAATTTTCCTTTATTACATGATTCTGATAATACAATGATACTTACTCAGAAAAATTTGATTTGTCTTCAAGCAATACTTTTGTTATCAATTCATCTGGGTAATAATCTTGGTAATTCTTGGGCAATTGTTCTTGAGACATTACGAAAAGTTGAGTTAATTATACATGAGATGGCAAAAAAAAATCCTGTAAAATTTCCCCATAATATTTTAGGCGTTGATATTATTTATGATACTATTCAAAAAGAAGTTTGTGCATTACCAAAGAAAAATAACTTTATTGTTGATATTTCTTCGATACTTCTTCTTATAAATACAGTTTTTGAAAATACTAAAACATTTTCAGATAATAGTTTATTGGAAATGTTAAAAACTATTTGCGAACTTAATAGGTTTTCAGAAATTTTCGAAAATAAACTACCATCTGAAATAAAAGGCCTTGATATTAAAAAGAGTGTATCTACTACTAATTTTTATAATTACCAAGGTGGAGCTATTTTTCACAAATCTGACGAGCTAGCATTTACTTTTCATAAAATTAATTTAATATGCAAAATTAATATTGAACGATTATTTTTTGGAACATCAGAAGAAAATGGTTGGGATATAGTCATATCATACTTATATTCTTTTATTCATTCGCGGAAAGTGGATAATTTGATTAGAAAACAGGCTACTAAAATATTTCTTGATATTACCAAAACAGTAATTATATCTCATTCTTGGAAAAATCTTGAAAATAGTGACAAAGCTTTAAGAAAAATATTGTCTATCATAAATTTTCTTTCTATGAAAAATATCATGGGAGACATCAATGTTCAATTATATCCCAACGATCGTACTATCGAATTAGAAATAATAAGTATGGCACTTGATACTTTAAATTTACTTTTAAATTCATTGGGTCATTTAATTTCCGAAAGTTGGGATATTGTCTTTGAAATAATTAATTCAATATTTGAAAATGAATTACCATCTTTTGCTTCTTTTAAACAGGATCATTCAGATATCTTGCTTTTCAGAAAAAAGGAACTTAGAAGTTCATTAAAAATACCAAAAATTGTTAAAGATGCATTTTTTTCTTTACAATTAATATGTACAGATTTTTTATCAGAACTTTCCTCAAAACATTTTTTAACTTTAATAAATATTCTTACGAAATTTTGTCTTCAAAAAGACGATTTAAATATTTCTTTAGCAGCTATTGGGTTATTTTGGAATATATCTGATAATCTTAGATTAAAAAAGTCGTTTCAAAAATCAATTCAAACATTTGATAGTAGTAATGAACTGAATTTTTTATGTCCACTAGAAGACGATATTTCTGTTCAAGATTTATTATGGATAGTTTTATTATTTCGTTTAATAGAAGTAATATTGGATGACAGGTTTGAAGTGCGTAATGGCGCAATACAAACAATATTTAGAAATTTTGAAATTCACGGGGAAAATATAAAAAGTAATCTATGGAAATGTTGTTTTCGGGTAATTATATATCGTATTTTTTTTCTGTTTAAGAAAGACATTTTAAAAAATATTAACAATAATGAATGTTATGAATTTTTAAATAATACAAATAATAGATCTTTTGAAGATTCATTGGTTTTGGTAATATCGGGTTTAGTGATACTTTTTTCTCGTAATTTGAATTCTTTACTTTCTCTTGAAATATTTCTTGAGATTTGGGAAAAATTATTAGATTTTTTTACACATTCTATTGAATTGAATTCTAACGATGTTTTTATGAACTGTTGTAAAGCAATTGACAATATTTTGGATAGAATGGAATACGATAAATTAGGTTCAAATTATGATGATCTATATAAAAAAGTATGGTCTGTTTGGGAAATATTTTCTAATACAGTTTCAATAACGCCTAATAACTTGTTTAAAAATCAAAAATTATCTCAAGAATCACTTGATACATTTGTCAAATTTTCACGTTCTTTATATAAATTTATAGTTTCCAAAAACGAGATATCTGTGATCAATAAATTAATTACATCTATATTTGATGCTTTGATATATACACGAAGTCCCGTTTATTATCTTGATGTTGACTATATGACTCCTCTTCAATCTAGTATATTGGAAGTAATTGATCTTTTAAAAGATCATAATGAACAAACATGTGTTTTATCTTTGAAACTCCTTGCAAAAATTAGCACTCTAGCATTTAAGGATTTATCGGAAAGTACAGCTACTATCCAAAATTTGTCAAAAATAGATAAAATATTTCCTACATATATTGCTATTTCTAAAACATCTTTTGAAAGAATGGAGGAATATTTTTCTAAATATTCTGAAAATACATTAATATATAAAGAAAATGCATTTTTCGAAATGATTAAGGTAATTTTTTTTAAAAAAAAAATAGTATTAAGGTATACAGGCATTATCTGTCCCTATAAAACTTAAACATAAATGTCCTTTAACATCTCGTATCGGTAATGGAGAACTTTTTTGGAAATTTGCTACGTTAAAAATGCTTTCTATTTTGGAAAAATGCGATTCAGAAATGATTATTCCAGATTCTAATATAGAGTTATGGGAAGCAATTACTGATTGCTTACACGGAACACTTTTGTTTGATTAGTAAGCTTGATTTTCATTATAAATAATATTGAATTTTCTTAGTAGCGGCAATAATTCAATATTTTTTAAAGAATCAGATGAAGATTTTGACATTTCAACATATACAAAATTAACGGCTGTAATATTTCCTTTAATAACAAACAACATAGAAATATCACGAAATATAGCTGAAATCATTTCTAAGTCATCTTTTGTCTATAATTGTCCTGAACAGAGTTTGATATTTGATCATTTATCATCTATTACAAAAATTCCAAACTTAGAAATAAAAAACTATAAATTTCAAAAAATTGTGCCCTATAGAGAAAAATTGGGTTTTATATGTTTAAATGATTTATTTGAACTATGTTCTTTAAAATCGAAAAGTAATATTTTTTTAATTTTATATTTTTATTAAATAATTTTAGATCAATTTTCAAATAAAAAGTGTCTAGCAATGATAACAGGGACATATCTCTTAAAACGCTGTGCAATGGTTCTTCAACAATTTATATTAAATCAGTCGATGAGAGGATGCATACCAATATCTAGGTAAGTGAATTATTTAACTTCATAATATATTAATAAATAAAAAGGATTGAACATACTGAAATTATTTTTATACTCAATAATCTTGTAAACAGAGAATTTTATTCAGATCTTTTTGATTTTCCAGATATTTCGGGTAATTTTCATTTTATCTTTTTTTTTTAGATTCATTTATTTATAGATGATAATATTGATAAATTTTATTGTTCAGATAGTTTAATAGTACAGCTATTCCCTCTTTTTTGTGCAGTATTACCTCATTGTTATCAAGATGTAGAATTGTTGAAATTAATTTCTCTTTATTTTCAGAAAGTAGGGAATTTTATTCATATCTATGAAGCATCTGTAAAATACTAATTTCAATCTTGTTTTCCAAAACAAAATAGTCTAGATTTATTTGTTTTTAGATGTAAAATACTATAAACAATAAATACAAAAACAATTACATAGAAATGTAAAACTTTCTCACGAAACTTATTTTCAATTATTTCTGGAGTAACATTTTGATTAAAAACTGTTCTGTCTTTTCGTACATATGTCAAAAGTTTCCTGGACCCTATTAAAGATATCAATATATTATTTAATAACAAATGATAAATGACATTTTCCAAAACATTGTTTACTATTTGCAATCAATAAAAGATTAGGATGCTGTGGAACACTGGCTTCTGGTTTTTCTTCCATACTAGGCATCCAAAAAACAAGTCTTCCTTCCGTTAAAAGATGATCTGATGCAAATGTCATAAGTTTTGCAATCAATTCATCAAATGAATAAGGTTCTGTCGGCGGAATGTAATCCTTTTTTCTATAATATTCAATACCAAATAATATTAAACTTATTAATACAAATGAAAATAACAGCCTGATGCATCTTTTGGAGGAGATGTATTTTTAACATTTTTCCTTAGAGTTTTTGGACTTGCACGTAGACCATATCTTCATCCATAAGTAAATGTTTCAATCTTTTTTTACTACATACGGGGCTATTTAAGATTCATCAGAACTGATATATCTAATTAAAAAGATAAAAGCTTACGATCACAAATAATGATATCTAATAGAAGACTATCACGTATAGCAGGATGAAGAAAATCCATTGTAAAAATATCAAGGAATTTTGAAGTTAAGCCATATTGCTCAAGATTACTATGAATTGATCGACCATTTTGGCCACGCAAAAGTCGCCCATCAATATCTGTACCTAAAATAGTATCAGATATATATAAAAGAAGGTAATCATGGATAATATACCCATTATCATTGCTTCATAATAAGCACATGCAAGAAGAATACTACCGGTTCCAACAAATGGATCATAGACAAGTTTTCCTTTTTCTGCCTTTAAAACGTTTTAATATATATAATAAAAATATAAATAAAGTTACAAGTGCTTGATTTGCAATAATTAAAGAAAGCTCTGCATCCATAGATGTGTTCCCAATATATCGCCTTTTTTTTAGATTGAACCAATTAACAGCATGCCGACTACTTTTGGCTATCTTGAATCAATTAGTTTAAATTCAATAGATACATTTAATAATATTTTATATTCATTTTCTTTTTAACATACTTGTCGACCCATAAAAACATATTTTAATGAATCAACTGTCCATTCCTCTAATATTGCATAAATTTCTTCCGGATTATTCATAAAAACTGGCCCCTCTAAAGCCAAATAAGAAAAACTATTAATAAGTGCAATTTGATGTTCAATTGAATGAGATTTATTAAAGCTTTCCACAACAAATTTAAATGAAGCATGACGAAACGGCTCCTTTTTAATGTCAGTAAAGCCTTAAACGGTGACTCATTAAACTGCTAAAGCTGGACCAGATTGTCGAAGTATAAAATGAAGATCATTATATGACTTAGCACAGGCCCAGAGTGAATAAATAGCTCTTATATAAATTAAAAAAATAACCTTTATCCCTAAAAAAACAGACCTACAACAAATGGATCTGCGAATCAGTTTTTTGGCTTGTGTATCATTTTCCAAACGAACAATAAGATATGGAGTCTAGAAGATAGGTAAGGTTCTAGAAAGAATATCATTAAAAGATCTATATATTTATTTATTCATTTTATATTTATATTTAATATCAAATAATTTCTTTTTTCTGGATATACTTAAATGTTATGTACATTAACTTACATGTTTATGATGATTGGAGAAATCTGCTTTTATTCCTTCAAGAATAGCAAGAGATTCTAGTTCTTGAAAACGAAAATCTTCAAATGACTGTGCAAATAAAATCACATAATCCTTTAAACTCATGAAATAAGTAACTGATTTTAGCAACTATAAATAACAAAAGTCTTTAATTTAGAAAAAAATGTACATAAATTAAAAATATAGCTAAAATACAACTAAATTACACTAACATAACCTAACCCTGTATCTACGCCCTGATCTTTAAATACAGCTGTAGAATTAGGATTAAACATATTTTTTTCAAAAAATATAGATAAGATAAAAATAATCTTATCTGATAATCTCTTAAATATTACCTAAGAGAAATCGTAGACTTACATAGACATCTCTATATTGATTTAAAACAAAATTATTTTTTTCTCATACAGTAGGATGAATTATAATAAAAATAAGGGTTATTCTTATATAGAATAGGTATTAAAGCTGTTGAAAGAAAGGTTTTATGTATTTTCAGTTTTTTCAGTAAATAAAAAGTTATTTTTCTTGAATAGAGGTTTTGAGTTAAATAATTTATTTAAAAGAGGTAGAAATTATATTTCTGACTCTAGAGGGGTTTTATCTAATTTTCTAATATAATATTATGGTTAACTAAAGTATAAAATAGTGGTCTTTGGATGATCAATCAGTTTTATGTCGTCGTGTGTTAATTTTAGGAAAAAATTGGGAAAAAGTAGCAGAAGGTATTACTGGACATGATGCGAATAGTTGTAGAGACGAATGGGAAAGGATTGATGAGAAAAAAAATTCGGTTAATCTTTATCCTAAATATTCAAGTATGAAGTTTTGGACTCCTCCTCAAGTATCGAAATTGCAGGATTCTTTACAAGTATATAGACTTAATAAGGGGTTGAGTGGTTTTATATCAAGGAATGATTCTATATGGAGTGAAATATCATCTCGGATTGGTAAAACAGCAGCACAATGTTATTTAAAATGGAAACGTTCATTAAATCGAGAGATTATTAAAGGTCCATGGACTTCATCAGAGAAAGAAATTATTGAAGAAGCACATAAGAAATATGGAAGTCATTGGAAAAAAATATCAATGTTAGTTCCAGGTCGGACACCTGAGCAGATTGAAATTTATTTTCGGGAAAATAGAAGAAATCATTTCAAAAGCAATCTTCGATATTCCCCCTATATTCTTGATAATATAGATCATGCATTGTCTACAGGTCTATATTACATGGAAAATGGGAAAATATCATGGACAAAACTTTCAAAAGATCGTTTTCCTAATATTAAACCTATACAACTTAGAAAAGCATGGTTACGTAATAATACAATTGGTTTTAAAAGGAGATTATGGACACCAGAAGATATAGAAAGACTTGTAAAGGCTGTAGAATTTGTCCGTTCATCCAATCTTTCCTATCAGATTTGGAAAGCAGTAGCTGAGTTAGTTCCTGGACGTACTCCTGCATCTTGTAAAACAAAATATCGTTATCTCAAATTTCAAAGACCTGCTTCCAAAATTCATCATTGGACTACTGTTCAATATTTACGACTTATTAATAGTGCAGTTACAAGACAATTTCGATGGGTCGATGTAGCAATAGATATACGTCAGCCTGAAGCACTTTGCCGTACTAAATTTCATGATTTGCTTTTAGAAAAAGGAACTATATCAGGAAATCTTGCAAGAGAAGCATGGTTTGAAAGAAAGAAGACATAGTATAAACATTTTAAAAATATCTTAAGTATTTCAAAAAAATCTTTCAATATATACTTCAATGTCATTTCATATAAAATCTTCTAAAAAATAACACACAAACAACTTTCTATATTTTTCTCTCTATACATCAATATATCAGGTCTTTATATTTCACTTATTATATATTATAACTTTTATTAATTTATTATAGTTTATCTAACTTATACTGGTTGCCATGGTAATTAAATGTTTATTTTTTTCCTTGCAAGAATGTTGCATTACTTTCGATCGTCAAACCTTGCTGAATAAAAGGCATTGATTTGAGCATTTTAGAGGTAGAAAAGGAGCCTTAAAAGACCATCTTGAGCTTTTATACACGCGGTATTTGGGTGGAGTTTAATTATAAACACATAGGCACTTTTTTAAGCTATTTTTAAACAGATTGTATTGAGTATTTTAAGGAGTCAAAAGGTCTTCATTGGCCTTGTTGAAAGCAATTAAGACGGGAAAAGAGTATTTTGAGGGATTGGAAGAGTGTATATTAACAAATATGGTAGAATATTGCACTTGAAAAGGGTTTTTTTGACAATTACACGGTTAATCGCGACAAAACAATGAACGCAGCGGTAGAGAAGGATATTTTTATATAGAAAGATTGTTAATAAGCGGCAGAGGCGTGTAACGCGTCAAACAGCATCGTTCAGTATCAATGATGAAAACAAATTGCATGGGCAAATATCACGGGTGAAACAAGTATCAACACAAGCTTTGGATGGGTTAACAAAGCCATGGACAGCAGCAACGCGAAAACGCGCAGCTTTAGGCGATGTAAGCAATGTTCATAATAAGGAAAACCAGGCAGCAAAGACAAAAGCACAACCGTTAAGTACAAAAACACGTGTGGTGACTAAATCTGCAGTGCAAACTCATCAAACTAAAGAATCTGTTCATACAGTACCTACAGTAGATTTGCATGGCGAAGAAACCACACGGAAAAGGAGGACATCAAAGGTACTGACAGAGCAAAAATTGGTGGTCGAAGTGGAACAAACACAAGCAAGTAAAAAAGTGAGAACAGATGGCCTTTTAAATACATCAGCGCAAGAACATCCTCCATCACAGGATTGGGATGATTTGGATGCAGATGATGCTCATGATCCGTTGATGGTCTCGGAATATGTTGAAGAAATTATGAGTTATATGAGAGAATTAGAGGTGGAGACGAATTGTTCTTTAAAGAAGCGATTAATACTTGAAATTAGGTATTAACACTTCCTTTGCCGGATTACATGGATCGACAGAAAGAACTTCAGTGGAAAATGCGAGGAATCTTAGTAGATTGGTTAATAGAGGTTCATGCGAAGTTTCGTCTTCTTCCAGAAACATTATTTCTTTCTGTTAATATTATCGATCGGTTTTTATCTTTACGAGTATGTTCCCTTCCTAAGCTTCAACTGGTAGGAATTACTGCGCTTTTTATTGCGGCAAAATATGAAGAAGTTATGTGTCCATCTATACAAAATTTTATGTATATGGCAGACGGTGGATACACAAATGAGGAAATTCTAAAAGCAGAACAATATGTCTTACAGGTTCTTGGATATGATATGTCATATCCAAATCCCATTAATTTTCTGAGAAGAGTATCAAAGGCAGATAATTATGATATTCAGACACGTACAGTAGCAAAGTATCTTATGGAGATTAGTCTTCTTGATCACAGATTTTTGCCTTTTGTACCATCTAATATTGCAGCTTCAGGCATTTATTTGGCTAGAATTATGGTCACTGGTGGCAATTGGGTAAAAATCAATTTTTCTTTTTTTTTTTCATTAATATCTTAAACAGAATGCTAATTTAATACATTATTCGGGCTATAAAGAATCAGATCTTGTTCCATGTTCTAAAATGATGCTGGATTATCTTTCACGATCAGTTATAAAGCACGAAGCATTTTTTAAAAAATATGCCAGCAAAAAATTTATGAAAGCTAGTTTATTTGTTCGCGATTGGGTTAAAAAACATTATGATCTTGAAGCAAATGTGCGATTGAACACTATTTCTTTCGATTATGATAATCATGAACTAAGTGAAATACATCAGGAGTTTGACGAAGAAGAGGTATCCCTATAGTTAAATGTTTTACAGACATATCTATTTTTTTATACTAGTATATTCTTATAATGATTTGGATAAATAAAATATTTCTTGAGTTTCTGAAGGTGCGTGCAATTATTTACAATTTAGAGGGCTTAAAAGGATGTACTCCTTAAGAATAAAAAAAGCGATTAGACATTAGGCGATTTATCGTATCTTTCTTGAGATCTTTTCCTTGTAGATCAAGTACATTCTATAATCACTAATTCAATTAATAGATATTTTTAATATTGAAATTATATTTTTACATACATTTCTTTCTATATTGTCTTTCCATTTTCTCATTTCTCTTCATTTCTGTATTTTTTTGTCTTGATCATTCTGCCCTTTTATTTAGACCCTTCAATTTCTTCTTGTCTTCTTTGATGGCGAACTATACAAGGTATCAAATCTCAGAAAATCTCATTGTCAAAGGATTTTGAATAGCTTGAAACTACGAGGGAAGAAATTAGAATGGCTGATGAGAAAGCAAATAAAAATGAAGGGGGAACTCAAGAAGAATTGGGAAGAATTGGAGGGGTTTTAGAAGGTCCTTCAGAGATATTAGAAAAGACTTTATCTCCGGAACAGAAGGTATCATGGAAAATGAGTCCAATAAAAGAATCTCCGTGTAAAACAAGTAAATAAAGTTTTTTCATAAAAAAAGAAAAGAATGACATAAAAAGGGCCGTTTGGGGAAATTTTATCACTGTTTAAGACAGATAAGGACGAGGAGAAGGTATAATATACGTTTTTTTGCTTTTCAATGGTTTTTTATCACTGAAATTAACCGAATAATGGATTTAGCATAATGAAGGATTAGATCCAACTATTGATCTTTGGAAACGATATGGAACTTCGTCAACAGATAGTATAGATGGAAAAGTAGAAGATGTATCCTTAAAACCGCTTGATGAAAAGGTTTCTTCCTTTTTTGAACCTCAAAAAATACCTACGACTCGAAGAAAGAGAACAATAAGAAGTCTAGAGAGTAGTAATGAGCTATTTGCCTCTGAAACTAGTCATTCTATGGAGTATTTGGTTAATCAATTAAAAACCTTTCTTCCTGAGCCATGGAAGAGGTTACATACACAAAAAACAAGTGTATCTCTACCTTCAGAAGATATGCAGCTGCCTAAGCAGGCAATGGAAATGAAAATGCATACGGAAATTGAGAAAGACAATGAAGAATTTTTTATGGAAGAACAGATGTTGTTTCAAAAGGAAGAAGCATTTGATGAATTTTCAGAAACTTTATCTGATGAAATAGAAGAAATTTCTAAGTGTTTTGACAGAAATATAAAAGAAAATACAAAGGAAATGGAAAGAATTGTTGTATTTGATAATCCGTTGATTGAAAAGTCTGAAGAAATAGGCAGAAAACATGAAGAATTGAGTTTAGAGGCAAATCAAGTAAATATTGATTTTTTAAAGAATTATACAGAAAAAAATAATGAAAAATCATCTGAAAGAAATGAAGTGAACAAATTAAGTGAAAATTTTTCTTTGGAAGCAGATCCTGTACAAACATCTTCCTCAGATGATATATTGGACGATTCTTTTACAGATGATATGTTAGATGAAGAGATAGAGGCTGTTTTGTCTGCGCTAGATACATGCAAAGAGGTTGATATAGAGGAAGTTAAAGCAAAAAGTGTTGAATTGGATGTTCCAGAGGAACAATATATTTTTGAAAAGAATAAAAATGAAATTTTTGCTTCAAATGTTAAAAATGAGATGGTATCTGATTATTATTCTAAGAATATGTCTTTGAAAGAATATGATGCATGTAATGATGAGAAGAAGGTAAAGTAGCATTTGTTTGAGATGTTGATATTTTTTCTAATAATTTTTATAGAATCATTCATTCTTAAATTATAAGGTTTACAACATAAAAGAAGAACCATGGATTGATTCTAATGGATATAAAGGGTTACAAAAGGTTATATATTTTTTTTGCTTTTTTTTTATATTTTAATAAATTAGGTTGTTTTAAGTCAAGAAAAACAAACAATTTTATTAAGACAAGATTGGTTTTTTACGCCAATTGAAATAGGTGATTATTTATATCTTCATGGAGAATATGATGAGAATGGTATTTGTATTGTAGATAATTCTCATTTTCTTGTGATTTTAAATCCAGACTTTTTAGTATCATGTACATCTGTTGCTACTTCTTATTCATGCATCAGGAGAATAATCCTTCAGGAAAGGGTAAAAATTACAGATAGTATATCAAAAAGTCAAATTTATGGAAAAATATTGCATCGTCTTTTTCAATTGTGTCTTGAAAATGATAATTTTAGTTTATCTTTTTTAAAAGAAAAAACAAAACAATTAGTATTAGATAATCTGGAACATTTGGATATTGTAGGAGAAACTATAGAAAATGCAATGAAACATATTTCTGGGAAATTTTCTAATCTACAAAAATGGGCATCTAAATATTTTTTAAATACTCCAGAAGTATATTTTCTTTTATTTTTATTCTTATTTTATGAAGGATTTAGGAAAATTTATATATAAAATCTTTTAGGAGTAGAAGATCTGACACTTCTCATATATCTATTAACAAATTACTAAGAGCTGAAGAACATATTTTATCTCCAAAATATGGATTAAAAGGATATATTGATGTTACAGTTCAATTGGCTGTCAAATCAGACATTGATTTACAATATTCGATAGCACCTTTTGAATTAAAAACAGGAAATAATATATATGTAATGCAGCATCGGGCTCAAACAATTCTTTATACACTTTTATTATCTGAATATTATGGTAAATTAAGTAGTATGCATTTTATATTGTTAATATTTTAGGTAAAAATGTTGAATTTGGATTGCTTTTTTATTTGGAAAAAGGAGAAACCATTCAAGTTTTTCCTGTTCATGATGAAATTCGTGGACTTATTATTACCAGAAATAACATTGCAAAATATCTTAAGAATAATCAAGAATTGCCGTCTATGCTTAAAAACATGTTTGTTTGCAAAAAATGTCCTATGCGTAAACCTTGTTTTGTTTTTCATAAGGTAGATTAGGTATTATATATATATATATCCAATTTATATTAGGCTATCGAATTAGGAACAGCTGAAACAAGCGGTTTAGGGCAATACTTTGATGATGAAACAAATAGTATAACATCAAAAGATAGTTATTTTTTTCAATATTGGGATTTTATCTTATCAAAAGAAGAAAACGAGATATTTCGTTTTAGAAAGGAATTATGGACTATGACTAGTAAAGAGAGAGAGAAGCATGGAAGGTACATGAAAATGTTCTTTTTTCTACGAAATAACTTTCGAAGGTGTTTAAGTAATCTTAAAATTAAAAAAATTCATTCTATTTCTGAAGAAGAAATTTTAGGATATATTGATCATTATGTATATACGTTAGAGAAATGTTCTTCATCCAATAATGATGATTCTTTACTTAATTCAGAAATAAGTTATAATGATTTTATTATTGTTTCAGATGAAAATGGTCATTATGCTCTTGCATACGGAACTGTTATTAATATAGAACCAAAATTTATTACTATTTCACTAAATCAGCAATTGTATAGTCCAACAAGTATTTTAAGTGATCACGATGTTCAGTATACTCAAATACCTAAAAGCTCTATGCTCAAAGTTTTTAAAAATGATTTTAATAAACTAGATGATAAAAATATACTATATCGTATTGATAAAGATGAATTTAAAAGTGGAATATCATTGGCAAGAGATAACTTAACAAAATTGTTATATTTAGAACAAGAAAAACGCAGAAGAGAATTGATTATAAACTTATATCCTCCTAAATTTAATTCAATATTAACTGATTTTTTTAAAATACCCGAGTACGAAAAGTTAAATAATGATCAAAAAAAGGCAATTTTAAAAGTGATGACAGGTACAAAAGGTTTAAGTTTTTAACATTATTTTATTTAAAACTTTTTAGCTTTGGATTATACTTTAATTTTAGGTATGCCAGGAACAGGAAAAACCACAACTATAACATATTTAATTCAAATTTTAATTGCGAATAATAACACTATCTTGTTAGCTTCTTATACACATTCTGCTATTGATAATATTTTATTAAAATTAAATATTAAAAAAGAAAATGTTTTAAGATTGGGTTCAATTGAACGAGTATTAAATTTCATATATTATAGTGTTCCTTCTAATATAAAAAGATACATCCGGATCTCCGAAAAAAGATCATTACTGAGGAATATGTTGTTAATGATTCTGAATCATTCCAATTAAAGTATATTAGACCATCTATTGTCGCTACTACATGTCTTGGTATTACACAGTAAGTTATAGCATGATTTTTCCAAATATGATATAATTGTTAGTTCAATTTTTTCTAGAAGAACATTTGATTATTGTATTATTGATGAAGCATCTCAGATAGTCTTGCCTATATGTATTGGCCCTTTACGTTTTTCAAAAAAATTTGTTCTTGTTGGTGATCATTACCAATTGCCACCTTTGGTAATTATATTATAAATGATTATCTTTTTTATTAAATTTAATTAAGGTACGGAGCATTGATGTGGCAAATCAGGACATAGAAACGAGTCTTTTTAAACACCTTTTGGATACAAATCCATCTGCTATTGTAAATCTTGAATATCAATATAGAATGAATAAGGATATTATGCTTCTTTCTAATACATTAATATACGACGGAAAATTAAAATGTGGAGATGAAAAAATTGCATATAAATTACTTGATTGTGGTGATTTTCAGATGTTAGATGCATTACATTTAAAAGAAGGGAATGAATTTGCTTGTAACATTAATGAATGTTGGATTAAAAAAATATTAGAACCTAGGTAATACTCTTTATTTTTAAAAAAAGATAAAAAGTTAAATATAGTTAAGACTTTCAGTAGTATTCGCAAATACTGATTATGTTCCAGCACCTGAATCTAGAAAAGGTGATAGAATACAAAATGAAGTTGAAGTTCAGCTTTTAAAACAAGTAATGTTTAATAAAACATGAATTAAAATTAATTATTTTAAAGGTTATCATTTGTCTTTTGAATCAAGGAATATCAGAATCAGATATTGCTGTTTTGTCTGTATATAGGTCTCAAATTAAATTAATTCAACATCATTTTAGACATTTTGAAAAAATAGAAACCGATACTGCTGATAGATTTCAAGGTCGAGATAAAAATTGTATTATTATTTCATTTGTAAGATCAAATGATAAAAATGAGGTCCTCTCTTTACTTTTTCTTTCTAACTAATTATTTCAAAAGATAGGTGAACTTTTAAGGGATTGGAGAAGATTAAATGTAGCATTTACAAGAGCAAAACTTAAACTTATTTTTTTCGGTTCAAAATCTACCTTAGAAAAAACTGGGATCTTTAATCTTTTTTTTGATCTTCTAAAACAAAAACAATGGATTTATCATCTACCAAAAAATGCTCATCTTTTACATTTTTTAGATGACTTTATAAAACAAACAAATATTAAAAAGTTACCTAAAAAAAAAATAGATCATATTTCAAAGAACTGTTCTCTTCTAAAGACAATCATGCATGCTTTATAATTCTTTTATAAGTGTCTATCAAATCTCAATATTGGAGTCACGTGACTCTAGGGGACAGACTATTATATTATGAACGGACTTAGAGAACGAGAAACACGCGTTTGAATATTATAAAGATGGGATTAGATGAAGAGTTAGCAGAAGAGACAGCACAAGATATGAATGAGGAAGATATAATATGTGGTCCTACTCCGTTGTCTAAGCTCGAAGTAAGAATATTGAATGAAAGAATATGATATTAACTATGTTTAGGGCAATGGTATTTCAGCATCAGATATTAAGAAGATTATTGAAGCGGGATACAATACAGTTGAAGCAATTGCGTATACGTGAGTTTTTTTAGGATTTAAAATGAAGATATTTTAAGAATGAAAGGCCTAAACGAGCAATTTTGTTGATAAAAGGTATATCAGAGGCAAAAGCAGATAAATTGATTTCAGAGGGTATTATTTATTTTGTGGAGCAGGGGTTTCATGATGTATTTAATGGTTTTTAGCATCTAAATTGGTTCCTATGGGATTTACTACAGCGACAGAATTTCATCAAAGAAGATGTGAATTAATTTCAATAACAACAGGATCTAAGCAGTTAGATACTCTTCTTGCTGGGGGTATTGAAACAGGATCTATTACAGAGATATTTGGAGAGTTTCGGACGGGGAAAAGTCAAATATGTCATACATTGGCAGTAACATGTCAAGTGAGTAAGGATTTAAGGGAAAAAAATGATGTAATTTGTGATTATTAGCTTCCTATTGACATGGGAGGTGGCGAGGGAAAATGTTTATATATTGATACAGAGGGAACCTTTAGACCTACACGACTTTTAGCTGTTGCTGATCGATATGGTCTTAATGGTGAAGAAGTTTTAGACAATGTTGCTTATGCTAGGGCGTATAATGCAGATCACCAATTGCAGCTTCTTGGACAAGCAGCTAACATGATGGCTGAATCTAGGTTATATATGATTTTATTTAAAAGAAATGTTTAATTTTCCATAGGTTTTCACTTCTTATTGTAGATAGTGCTACATCTTTATATCGTACGGATTTTGCTGGTCGAGGAGAATTGTCTGCTCGTCAAATGCATCTTGCAAAATTTTTGAGAACACTTCAGCGTCTTGCAGATGAGGTAAAAATATTAAATCTTTGAATAAAACAATCTGATTTAAATTTGTTTTTAGTATGGTATTGCTGTCGTTATTACAAATCAAGTTGTTGCTCAAGTGGATGGCAATGCTTCAATGTTTAATCCTGATCCCAAAAAGCCAATAGGAGGGGTATGAAAGATTGTTTTTAAGTAAATTAGAGACTTAATTCTTTTATTAGAACATTATTGCACATTCATCAACAACTAGGTAATTCATATTTTGGACACCAAATTTAATTAATTTTTGAAGATTATCTTTACGAAAAGGAAGAGGAGAACAACGTATTTGTAAGATTTATGATTCTCCTTGTTTGGCCGAAGCAGACGCTGTATTTGCAATTACTAATGGAGGAGTTGATGATCCTGTTGATACTTAGATCTATTAGAGATAAATATTATTTTCACTTTTGAATATTTTGGCATGTGTACATTTAAAATTCTGATATATAATTTATAGAACAAATATACATAATTTCAAATCAATACTTTAAACTAATATGCAACTCTTTTAAACGATTAGAAATACAAATAAAACATAAATCAATAACAATTTTTATATTTTTAACTTTTTATTCGATCTAATGAAATTCTTAAAATCATTTATTGGATTATTTACAAAAACCCCATAAATACCTTTACTTCATACATTATTTCTCTTTGTCAGGTAAAAGTGTCATTGAAATAGTGCTTCTTATCTATTTTTCTGGCAACTTTATATTTTTTAATGTTATAGCAACGCAGCTTAGCAACACGTCAGGAACATCAACGTACCATTAAGTATGAAATCTGAGAATTGGCTTAAAGAGACAAGCTTATCGGTAGACCAGTTAATACAGAATCAATGCGTCTATCTAAATGTCTTAAGGATTGATGAAGATGAGGATGAGCAGTTAGATATGCCGGTAGATCCGGAAAGTTACTATTCGAAAGCTTTTTTAGCATCGCAAAGTTCATTATTTCTAAGAAAAAATGGCAGATATGTAAGGAAAATTCTATGGAGAGTTGTATATGGAAATATTCTTGAACTTATACCTGTTGAAATAAGCAATTTGGGAGTTTTTTCGGGAATAAATATATATATATCTTTTCCATCGGAAATTAAGCCATATTGTGTTGTCTTAATAGATAATAACGAGAAAGATGAATTTACAATTCATGTTTTGACAAAAGTAAACCTTTTTTATACTCTCCGTTTTACATCAGAACATTTTTTTCGACAAGAAATGTTTTCAAATAATATGATTAATTGGTGCCATGTATATCGATCATGCTATTTTGATATACGTGCACCTCATTTTTTTATATCTATTACTCCTGAAAAGGTTATTTTTTCTCTTAAAGATGGTGGTCTTTTGATGTTTGAAAAAAATGATCAAAGTATATATTATTATTATTTATTTCAAAATTTGCTGATAATTATCTATTTAGATGAATATTCAGAGATTCCCTTTAGTGATGGAAGCTATTTTTCATCTCTTAAAGGGATGTTTTTATGGGGAATATCTAAAAATGATCGTCTGTCTTCAAATTTGATTATTTCAATGGAGGTATCTATTACTTATTCGCTTCTTTTTACTATCAGTTTGGATGGAAAATTAAAAGTATGGTCTATAGATAATGGTATTCTTTTAAAGACATATAATGTTTGGAATGATCAAAAAATATTTGATCCACACCCAAGATGTTTGATTTCAATTTTAGAAAAACCTACATTTCCGGGATATAAATTTTACTTATTAACATTTTCATCTATAATAGAGACGGGGTTTGTTTTGTGGGGTGCAACTCATTATGAGATGTCATTTTCTGGTTTAGTTAATTTGAATTCATTTGTTCATTTATACATGCGTTTACGTCCTCCAACAAATAATTCTGTATGGGTAGTTTTAAAATTCCATCTTTCCAACAATTTTCTTAAAAATGAGACTGATTCAAAAGATTATAATATAAAATCAGGAATGATTATTTGGGTTTTATGGAAAAGCAATACAAGTTCTATTGTTCAATTTATAGCAATTGATCCATTTAATCCATCTTTTTCAAGCGATGAATGGAATACTTTAATTCCTATGTATAGATTTTTATCAAAAAAAATATCTCCTGCTGTTACTTTTGATACAAGTCCCTATGATGTATCTGAATATTGGTATCGGCAAATTTCAATACCAGGACAGTTTTCTTCTGTAACTATAAAGACTTCACTAGAAATATATAAATATAAGAATCATCTATATGATTACGCAAATAATAGTGGCATAGATGTAACCTTTAATTGTTTACAAGAAATGAAAGAAGTTATCTATAAAGAAATTAATACTATTGTTACTCTTCAACGTGATCCCTATAATGGGTTATTGCTTTTTGATAAGCATAGACAGGAACTTAATGCTGAATGGATTCGATTTCTACGGTTGTGTACTGAACTTGAAGAATTGGGTTCTGAACCCCTTGACTTTATTTGCGATTCAGAAACAAATCTTATTTATATTGTGAAAGCAAATGCTATTGGTGTGATAAACAATTGTACTTCTTCTGAAGTTATTTATTATCATTCTTTAAATAAGCGAAGAGATGATCCTAGGTTTCAAAAATGGTGCAGTTCAAAAGGTGATCCAATATATTCTTATATTGGAAATGATACAACACGTTTTGATATAGCACAGCTTCTTCTTATTAGTAATAAGTTTTTAGATGATTTTTCTGATATGCAAATCTTGTTTGTTAAACAAGTATTAGAAGAAGAGATTAGACAGAAACATTCGTTTTCTATTGGTGATAGAATTTGGATTCTCTCAGAAAGAATATTTTGCCAACATATAGAGACATCTAAAATAGATGATATTAATTTAATTTTTAATGATATTTCGGATCCTATATTTGCAATGACCATATTGCTTCGATGTTTAATTAATGATAAATGTTTTCAATTGGGTTTTTATATGAAGAATAAATCAGCATTAAGTCTAAATATAACAACTTCGTCGATTTATCAAGTAGTTTATATATATTATGACATTTTATTAAGAATGCTATTAGTATTGGTTTTTGTTGGATGTTATAATGATAATGTGCAAAAATTGACAGGCTTCTATCAATTGTTTGATAACTATCTTTCCGAATTCAGAGAATGTTGTTGTATTCGAGAATGTTGTTCTCATCTTTTAAATAAGACTAATGAAATGCTTGTATTAGATACAATAAAAAACAGGAATTATGATGCAAAGGTTCTTAATAAAAGAAATATTCAAAGACTTTTTGGACTTGAATCAACACTTCGACTTTTTTTGCGTGAATTTAGTTTATTTAAAGAATTAAAAAATAATGATATAACAGACCCAAATAATAATTCATCTTCTCTTATTTTAGGTGTATTTAAGGATGGTTATGAAATGTCTTTTTGTATTTCTGCATTATTATTTCAATTTAAATACTTATTAGAAGCTATGGAAGTAGTCTCTTGGATATCGTTTATACCTCTTGGTATTTATTTAAAAGCAAGAATATTTTTAAGCTGTGGGAAACTAGAAAAATCTTCTGTACTTTTTAGAAGAGCTTCTCTTGGTATATGTATGATTATTAGTTTGGTAGATATATTATATTTATTTATTTTAGGTTCATCTATGACTCAAATAAGTGATACTATGTTAAATATTTTAAAAGATTTTGGATTTTCATTCACTTTTAATGATTTATATCTATATTTTATACACGTAGCTGATACCTATTATCAAGAAGCGTTATTTTTTTATTCTGCTGAATTTTATGAAGAAGCTAGAAAAGTAGGTTTAGAAAAGGTATGTTTTCATATTTTCTGTATGTTATTTTATTTATAAAAAAAGTTGAATTCTACAGAAAAAGAAGATCTTTATTGTAAAATGTTTCAGACATATATGGCTGCAAAGATGTATGACAATGCATATTTAACTCTCTTACAATTTCAATCATATGACAAGTAGAATTTTATAATTCTAAAATAATTCATTAATTATTATAGGAAATGCGATTCATTATACAAATTGGTTGATGCAATGTGTGAAGAGAATCTTTCTAAAAAGCTTTGTGAATATTCTTTCCTCGGATTAAGTGATGAGCTTGATTCAATTTTGCATTTTAGAGCTCAAAATATGATAGATGTCAGAGCAAATCCATGTTATCATAAAATATTATACTCATGGAGAATAAAACAGGGTAACTTTAGAGGAGGTAATATCCTTACTTTTCACTTTTCTTTTATAAATCTTATTTTTTTAAGCTGCATCTATTATGTATCATCGTTTACAAAAATTAAGAAATGGTTCTTTAGTTAAATCTGCTGGAAATCAAGAACAACTAGACATTATTGAAGGATATCTTGCACTTCTTTCTGCACTTTCTTGTGTTGATATAAGCAATTCATGGATTCTTTATCCTGATTTTGATTCAACATATCATACTAATAAAAAAATAAAACAATCTTCTTCAAGTATGTATATCTTTTTATATCTTGCTTAATTATTTCTAATTTCAAAGAAAATGATGCAACAAAACAACGACAAGTCTTAGATATTGTTACAATTAGAAAAGAATATATTCAAGAATTAAAACGTATGCAAAATATGCTTAATAATGTCTAAAAATCAAAAGAAAAAAATTTACAATAATAATTTTAATTCTTTAATACATACAAAAACATGATACACTGAATCATTTTGATTTTATTAAATCTCAAATTTTTTTTTCTGTAAATATAAAAATATTATTAATACAGAAAAACAAACTAATATCTTATATAGATCTAGTCAATGACGACATCTTTCTAACTCAGTTGAAATTAAAAATAATTATCTTAAATAAATTTGAATATATTTGATTATCTCGAATCTCGATTATTTGTATATTTTTAAGAGCTGCACAAAAAATCTAATTAAATGGCTGATTTACCATCAAAATATCCTCAAAATACATTGTTATTAAACAGGAAAACGAGCTCTAGTGTTTCTTCAGGAGAGGATTTACATGCACCCCGTCAAGCTAAACTTCATAAGACTTTTATTGTTCATGGACGTCATCATACACGAGTACCTTCATATGGTAGAAATTTAAATAAAACATGCAGACATAGTGCTTCTGCAGTATCAGAGGTTCCTTCTTTATTAGTTAAATCGAAAAGCTCTGTTTCTTGTGATGATTTATTGAAGAAATCTGAATTATTAGTTAAGAAAGAAAATATTGAGAAAAATGCGGAAAACACAGAAAGGACCCCTAAAGAACAATTGCATATTGAAGACGAGAAGGAAAAACATATAGAGCCTTTGAAAGAGGCGGAACAAAGGGAAAATTTTGAAAGTTTAAGAGAAAATGTTTTCTCCTCAGTAAATATAACAATTTCTTCACTTGAGAAAAAAGATGATTTTAATGAAGAATATGTTGATAAATCTCAAGCAGAACATATTACAAAGCGTCTTGTATCAATGACTAATAATCAAGTTGCAGTTCCTTATTTAACATGTGAAACAGCAATGGCGAAAAATATACCAACTACTCAATTAACATCTACAAAAGGTTTTATTTCATTATATATTTTATGTTTGGAAGCTTATTTTTTTAGAATTTTCATGTATTTTACCATCATCAGATAACCTAGGTAAAACATCTACTAAGTCGTCAGTGGAACCGCCAACATCAAATGTACTAAAATATGCTGCTTCGGATCCCTTATTTAGAAATCCTATTAGTCGAACACAGCAAAAACTTTTGTTGCAGAGAGAATCAAGTTTATCATCTGTTAAATCTCAATCCAACAAAGATCATGATTACTGTGAGTTTATACAGCATCGAATTAATCGTATCAACAAAGAATATTCTAATATTTTACGTTTATCTGACCCTTTAAAACACGTTATTTTAAAATTATTTAATGATGGTTGTTTGGAAGAGGTTAAAAACATTCCAAGTTCATTAAATCATAAAACCGCAGAAGAGAAATTACCTAAAAATACGTCCAAATTTGTTGATTTAATAGGGAAACGTGAAAATGTTTTTAAGGAATCGGATAAGTCAAAGATTGAATATGATGATATGCTATCAATTCAAATTATTCTTGAAGAAATGTGGAAAAGTAATGAAAACATTTCATAACATAAAATTAACAGTGTTTTTCATATTAAAGATGGAATGATTGATTTTGGATATATATTTTAAAAGGGCGTTTACATTTAATATCATATAACATATAATTTAGCGGTTATTTCTATTAAAGATATTTATTTGAATATACAAAATGATTTTATAAGCATATATTGTCCTAAAAAGAAGGGAATTAAAATTGCGCATTGTTCAGTATTACTATTTATCAATTTATACTTTTTTTCATATATTTCTTAATTTCTAAATTCTGAAATGAATATTTGTTTCAAAAAGTTAAAAACAGAAAGTATGCTTTTTAATAATTATTGATAATGTAGCTATGCAAGACTTATTTTTCTTCATAATAAAAACATTTTTAAAGTTTAGCATACCGTCACGATTTATAGAAGTATATCATTCAGTTTCCTTAAAAATATTTAATATAGTTTATCAAAAAAAATTATAATATAACATCAATATACAAACATATATACAATATTTATTAATAATATGAAAATGTCTAAAGATTGTTAAAACGTATATATTTGAAGAGTTAATATTTAATGAACTTTTATCATAGTTACACTAATTCTCTCTTATCATTTGCGACAGGCGGTTTATAGCCGTATTTTTTACCTAAATCATATATTTCTTTAAGTTTTTCTTCAAAGATTCCTTCTTTTTTAAAATTTTCGTATTTTTTATAAAGTAATAAGGCAGTTCTGGCGTCTTCAATTGAATCGTGACTATCCTGTTGAATATAATCTTGCAATAAATACCATGCTAAAAAACGTAATGAAAGTTTTCTATTTTGTCTATATTATTTCTTTGATATTAAAAATATTCATACCTTTGACGACTCTCAAGATAAAAAAGATTTACGGTATCTATAACCTGATCCTTAGGTACATGTATATCTACAAATATTAGATATGAATCAAAGAAAAAAAGACGATACTAATTATTCTAAAATCTTTTTGTAATCCGTGTCCTACGAATTTGCAGCCAAGAGTTACAAGTAATCTTAATTTTTTATATGCAATCTATCTATTTTTTGTATATTTTTTATAAAAAATAAAAGAAAAAACCTTCAAAGGAACAAGAGTATATTTTGATATCATTGGATCTAGATCACCATGCTTAATCCCGGAAAATTCCGTAAGATAATCCACAATTGGCTCGTTTACAGCAATATAATCATCAATAAATGGTACATTTTCTAATTTCCCATTCCCTCGTACAGCAGATACTCTTGCTAAGGAAAGCTTAGAGGGTCTAACGATAAATCTAGTCCCATCACTGCGAACATCTATTTCTTCTTTCTGCATAGATACAAATTCTGCGTCTAATCCGATTACTGTATTATGGTCTATTTTCTCTGTTCCTTCAAGAATCTGATGACGTATTGTTTGTATATTTCGATTTCTATAACAATCAAATTTTTTTACGTATAATTAATACAACGTACAATGAAATGGAATAATCTCTGTATAAAATAGATATATCAAGTGAAGGAAGTTTCATCTTTATAAGACTTTCTGAATAATCTACTTTTTCATATATTAGTATAGCTGGTACTTTCCACGCTTTTGAAAAATTCAAAACTTGATCTTCAGAAACCGACATTACTAAAAAATCATTAAAGAGAAACCATGATGTTTTATATTTTAATTTTATATTTTCGTCCGTCACTTAATAAGTAAGCAGTATGTAAATAAATATGGGAAAAAATAAACCATGAATAAATGAAACAAGATGAGATTCGTTTTTAAAACATATTTCTACCACAAGTCCTTTTAATTCATAAATATAAAATTCATTGTTTGTCTTTTTATTAATATCTTTTCCTTGAAAACAAATAACTTTTCCTAAATGATGATTTAAAGCTATTTTTGTTGGAAGCCAGTTTTTAGAACTCCAATATTTCCAATGTTCTTGTGTATATGCCATTGCATTAATGTTTAAATAGCATGGAAAGCTACTAATCGTTCTTCGAGTTGTAAGAAATCGAAATTGATGACAGTTAGAACACCAAGCTTTATTTTGTTTTTCGCGATTTATACTTGCTGCTAATATTGAAGAAAAGGATGTTAATGAAAAGTTTTTTTCAGATGTTATCTTTTAATATTAATATTAAGAATTTTTAATAGTATTTTTAACCTTTGGATAAATAAAATCAATAGAAAAAATAATAGAATTTCTAATAGAATTTACTCCACAAGTGCAAAAAGAAATAATTTTTGAAAATATTCCATTGGTCTCAGCTAAAGGTGAGATATTATTAGTATTATGTTCATCGGATGAACATTTATCCAATGATTCTTCATTTAATTTTTCTAGTAAAAATCTATTTAAACCTTGTATAATAGGGGAAAAAGATATTTTTTTTTCCATAGATTCATCTATGATAAGACCCAATGACATAGCTAAACTGATCAATATAGTTGTTTAATGTATTAAAATAAAAAACTACCTTGTGAAGAAGTGCTTAGAACATGTAAAAAATTAGTAGCTTGACAATTTTGGCCATTCGCATCAAAAAGCATTTTAAAAAGGAAGCCCATTTCACAAAGAAGACAATCTTCTTTTATACAAGAAGAAATAGAATGTGCTATAGCTAGTTGACGAATAGAAGGTATAAAATAATACAATTGAACTAAAGAATTACAATATGAATTTTCAATATGAATTTCTAATCCAGAAAATGGCGTATTATTATAGTATCTTTAAAAGTTAATCATATTTATTTATAAGAAACATTCTTTTAATACCCAAAATCGAAATCTTCTACACCAAATTTTGAATATTTTATTTCCAATAATTTATAATATTTAGGTATAACGGAAGGTTCATTTAAGTCATCATTTTCATCCTCAAAATGTAGTGGCGCAGAATCTTTTTTGATATTACCGAGAGTTAATTCCTTTGCTTTTTCACTGTGAAATTTTGGAGCTATTAATCCTCTTGTCCCTGCATCTTTATTTCTAGCATAGTATCTGGTCTGATTTCTCTTCATATTTTCTGTATACATAGAATATCCAACAAATTCTAGAGTTTTCAAATTGGAAATTGTATCTGGATTCAATACACAAGGTATTTTCCCAACATCATAAATTAAATGAGCTGGCCAAGAAGAAAAAAGTTCTTCTCGATAATAAGGCATACCAATAACATTTAAGGGCCTGAAAAATTATTAAAAAAATACATTCAATCAATCACTCACGTATCATCATGTATTTGAATATCTGGAATATTAGTAGGAATATTTGGCCATTCTAAAGGAATAGAAAACTCCGAAAAATTTGGTGCAGGTTTTTGGCTCCATAATTGTAGAATTCCTTCAGCATCACATAATATAAGTGCATCTCCAGATTGAGAAACACAAACTGAAGTGAAATAAGTATTTGAACTTGCATGTCGTAATTGAACATTAACCGTATTGACTGTATCGACAATATGAAATAACCCGCTTTGACTTATTATAAAAGCCGTTGTTGACATTTTTGGATGCATTTTTATATATGCTGGCCCCGCTGGGAAAGCAACTGGAACCAAAGGACGTAATGTCCGAATATCAAAAACTTTAACAAGGGGATCTATTACATAATGCGCGTCCCTTTTTTGTTTATTAGCATAAGAAAAAGCACCATATTCACATTATACCTTCGAGAAAATCCACATGTTAATATTAAATTACCCTGAATATCAAGATCGGAGAAAGTGCCACTATGTGCTTGAATAGAATGTACCTCTTTGTAGTCTGATGGATCTAAAAGACTTAATCCACCTTTAGATGATCCACAACAAATATATCTTCCATGTCTCATCACTACTGTATCTTCTTTACAATGCTTTTGCCATGTCAGCTTTTCTGTAAAAAATATAGAAATATAGCTTCCAAATACCAGTTTATCAACAACTGATCCACGTTCTATATTGATAGTAAGCATTGATGATTGTAATCCACCCACTAATATATTTGATGATGTTCGAGAAATAAACGTCATACATTGAAGATCCATATTTAAATTGCTAAAAAATAAAACTATAAAATAGAATGCCAGTATTCTTACTCTAATGTCCATTTAAATAATCCTCGGCGGTTCATTAACCGGATCTTTTGGTTCGATAATGATATAACACCTCGTTCATTTGATAATATAGAACATATGGGAGCTTCATACGCTCTTACGCTAGTATAACGTTGCAGTCCTGGTCCATAATATGATGTCAAATACCCCTGATCTGCTGTTAAGCTTATTCATTCCATTTTTTTACACACTTTTTCATTTCCTATCCAAACGAGTTCATGATATTCGTCAAAACATGATGATGTAATAGGAATCAGATCCTGCCCATATTTGTGTAATGTTCCATAGGAAATCTATAGAAAATTAAGAGATTGTTTTTATAAAAAAATACTAACCTGTGTCCAGTCATTCATGAGTTACTCGAGATTTTGCTGCCGAATATCGTTTTCAAATAAACTATATATAAATTTATATAAAAAAATGAATTGATTTAGTCCTAAAAAGAATAAAACTGAGTTCTACTTGATTAACAGTAGTAGATTTTTGTTAGTATTTATATTATTAGAACTTTTTTTTGAATTTTTTTATTTTTTGTTAATGTTTTGGCAGTTTTTTTTTAATAAATTAATGATTTCTTCTAATTTTCTTATTTTTATCTTCTTTAGTTATGTTTCTGACTGCTTTTATGTATTTTTACTTATAAAAAACTAAAAATATATACTTTGATATTTTTCTTTTTTAAATAGAAATTATTCCTTTAAACATATATTTTTATGATAAAATAACCCTCTTAATTCTTGAAATATTCCCTAGATTATACTTTTTTCAAGCCTAATGTTGTTCTTAACCGTTCTAAACGTATATCTAATGAATCCTTTATATTTAAAGGTTTCGATTTCGATAAATGTAGCAACCAATTAGATAATATTTTCCATCCTGGATCCACAGATATTTGGCTTGTAGAATTGATCCATGGACAATAATTTCTATGTTCAAAAATAACATCGAATCCTTTTTTTTTTTCTAATTCAAAATTCCATGGTCCAATTCTTCTATGACATGCTGTACATACTAATAACAATATTCCATCCACTTCTAATCCACTCCATCCAAAAATTGATAGTATTTCTGTATTTTTTTTTACTAAGTCTTTTTTCATATCTTCCGGTACCTCCAATCTTTTTGGCAATTCTTTAAATGTATCCAATTTCTTTGTACGTTCATTAAATGCTTCTATTGCCATCTTTCCATCTGATAATGGCAATTTCATAATTGATTCTGTATTTTTAATATTTCATCTATACTTAAATATAATTACCATCACATGATTTCTTCCTCCAACTGCAATTTTCTGCATGTGCTGTTTCTATTTGCAACGCAATCGTTTCAGATTCATCTAATTGAGCTTCAACCTCCATTTTTAACTCAACTTGCTGTCGACATAGTTCACATTGTACTGTCGTTTGACCCGTACATGTCCAACCATGTTTTGCCCATGCAACTGCATTAAAAGGTGAATTAATACTATGATATGGAAATGACCAAAAGGTTGAAAGTCTTTTTGAGAACTGAGATCGACTCCAAGGTGCATATATAATCTTTTTATTTTCAATACTTTGAAGCATAAGAGATGACTTTGGATGATCCAAAGAACTAAGAAGCTCATTAAGTTTTCTTTTAGAATGCATTGCACTCTTTTTATCCAGCTAATCCCTCTTGTATGCGTTATATATGCGTTATATATGCGTATTATATGCGTCTAAATTGATCATTCAACAAATAACCTTTATAGCTTTTTTCTTTATTAAAAACAACTCTATCAAATTTATCACAACTAAAGCACTATTATAAAGGCATTAAATCAATCTTATTCTAAAATATAAGGCTTTCTTTGAGAAAAATACTTTAAAAATGTAATTATTTATTTAGTTTCTATTTATATGCTGTTTATTTTTATTAAATATTTATATTTTATTAAAAAGAAATATTCTCTAATATTGAAGAATATTATCGGGTATTTTATCAGTCGTTAATAATCCTTATATAAAACCTTATAAAAACGAAGATATTATTTATCGATTGGGTTTTATTGATGTTTAGACTTGAAGCAGAGAAAAAGATCGCAGTTGAGGCAGTTGAACGTGCATGTCGACTTGCAGATATTGTTTTTCAAGAAGGTCATTACACCAGCAATGTTGTTTTAAAGGAAGATTGTTCTCCAGTTACAGGTGGTGAATATCGAATTATGATGCCGGTTGATGTATAAGTAGTGGCGGACTTTGGTGTTCAAGCATTAATCAATGCTTTACTTAGAGATGTTTTTCCAGAAGATCTAGTTTATGCAGAAGAAACATCAGAACTTTTATATTTACATGAAGATCTGTTAGAAAAAGTATGGTCTATGGTGTCTAGGACACTTGAAGGAGAAGATAGAAATATTGGATATATTGAAGGACGAGAAAGATTATTGGAAGTTATAGAGCATGGAAGAAATGAAAGAAACGAAAGATCTTGTAATCGTAATTTTTTTGTATTTTTATTGGATGAATTGGTTTTAAATAGTTAGGTTGGTGGATAATAGACCCGATTGATGGTACAAAGGGATTTCTTCGAGGTGGTCAGTATGCAGTTTGCTTGGCATTGGTTGAGAATGGTCAACCATGTCTTGGTGTACTTGGATGTCCGAATTTGCGTAGAAATATTGAAGATAATGATGATCTTGGTGTTCTTTTTTATGCATGTAAAGGGGAAGGAGCATACCAAGTAAGTTATGCATAGTATTAATAGAATGTTGATAACATATAATACATAGGGAATATTGAATGGAAACGATAAATCTTTAATTCATATGAATAATATTGAAAATGTTGTTGATGCACGTGTTTGTCAAAGCCATGCACCGGGTCATAGTGCTCTTGAGACACATAAAAAAATTATTGATGTTTTAGGAATTACAAAACCGCCTATTGAATTAGATTCGCAAGTAAAATATGCTTTGTTGGCACGTGGGGAAAGTGATATTTATCTTCGTTTACCTGTTGATCCAAATTATCATGAAAAAGCTTGGGTATAGTAGATAAAGTAAAGTTTAATATTGATTAAAGCAAGGAATAGGATCATGCTGCAGGTGCTTTAATTGTTGAAGAAGCCGGAGGCATCGTCACAGATGTCTATGGAAAGGCATTGGATTTTAGTAAAGGTAAAAGGCTTTCAGAAAATCATGGTATTGTGGCTGCATCGAAATATTTGCATGCTAAGGTTCTGGAAGCGGTAATGTTTATATTAAAAAAGCAGTAATATGTCATATTTTCAATTGTACATAATTAACATTGTATTTCAACCAAAAGTTCAGATAAATATGTAGATAACACAGGATTTTGGGCTACTACATGAATAATGGAATTTTCAATATTAATAAAAAGATCTTGTCTGTGTTTAGATTTTGCTAAATTTCGTAAAATTAATGTTGCTGTTAATGCTACACCAATTGCTTCCCCTCGTTCGTCGACAGCAGTTGTTTTTGTATGTATAGAGATATTTTCCCATAAACTGGACGAAACAAATTGCGTTAATTTATCTGGTATATGTGTCCTAAGATGAGATAATACAATAAATCGATCTTTTTCTCCAGGTAAAGTAAACCGAGTACAATCAAACCATTTGCATACTAAAGGTGGTGCTGAAGAAGAAAGTAAACGAACTTCGGGTAAATGATGATCAATTATATGTTTGAATAGCTCTTGTGAATTTGGAAATTGAGATCCACAAATTCCAGAATCATTTGTTTCTACTACCCATTTACAGGAAACATAGCTTTCTCCTTTAATTGAAATTGCAATTTCGCGCGGACGAACTCCTCTAATAATAAAACTTTGTCCTTCAGGTGCATTTAATACCATTGCTTTAGCCTTTGGAAATGCGCGGCTAGCTATTTTAATTAAATCTGCTGCAGAAAGAAGAGGTCTTCCGGCTGCAATAAAAGGAGAAAATCTTGCTTGATAGGATTGCCATAAATGCATTTGTGTTATATCATCGCTTGAACTTTCTTGATAACAAACACGCATCCTATTAAAGTATAAGATGAAATAAGAAAAAAGGGTTAAACAAAATAACCATTTAACTGCCCTATCTGGTTCTCCGAATCCTAATAATTCTTGAACAATTTCTGCTGGTAACGGAGGAGGACCGGTAGGTATATATTGTTTAATATCTGCTGACAACGATACATGAATTTCTTTTTCTTCTGCCTGGAACATCATTAATCTTACTAATTGATCGATTAGATCATGAATATCTTCTAATTCCAATATACTTTGCGTATTAGCTTTATACGTTGTATATTGGTACATGAAATCTAAAGCAGAACCTAAAAGTTCCTCATCATCTAAACTTAATAATAATCTCACCCTATAAAGTATATAAGGTGAAATATTTTGAAGTAACCGATTATTTGTATCATGAAGCGCTAATCGTGCAAGCGCTCTTAAGGCTCCAATTAACATTGCTCTATCATCACATTGCAAAAGTTCACATAAACTTAAATAAAGATCATCGTTTTCATCATTAATAATTGTATAAAAGCTAACTGCCTCAATAATATCCATACAATAATGCTTTAATTCTATAAAAGAAAAATCATCCATCTGTTTAATTCCTAAAACTAATGTAGGATGTGTCATTTCCAATCGAGCCAAATAACTAGCATTATCAGAAAGCAATGCAAGGTTGCGAAGAATAAGTGCTGCTTCTAATATTTTATCTAATGCTTTTCTTGATTGATAATCCATAGACCAGTCATCGTTTTCCTCATCAAATTCCATTTCTTTCCTCGATACTTGTTTTAGAAATTCATAGAGTTTCTTGATCAATGTCTCTGCCAAATCTGGAATACGATCAAACCTAAGATTATTACCTTGTTCGTATGATAATCGAACTAAATGATGTAATGCCCAATCTAATTCTGATACCAAGCCTGATTTAAGCGCAAGTGCAATCCTGACCATAAATGGAGCACCTTGGATACCCGCTTTATAATAATAATATTAAACTAATCAAAAATTAAATTATTTATTTACCTCCAATTTTTGTTCCATTTTGAGATCCATAAGTACTATTTCTTAGATATTCTAATGCATGTGTATTTGCTGGTGTGATAACTGGTTGTGGCTGTAATTTATTATTTACATCTTCGGGAAATGTTGATGTAGCAAAATGTGTTGAAAAAGGTTGCTGTTGTGCTTGCATTTGTAATTGTTGTTGCGCTTGTTTCTGAAGTGCTGATCTTGCTTGTGTTAGTCGTTCATCTGGCTGATAAAACGTTCTTGGCGCTGGTGCCGCTCTTAAATCTTTTCATTCATTATTTCTCTTTTTATTTATAAACTAAAAAATTTTACTTCTTACTAATGGCATAGGTGATGATGAATCCAGCCGTATATCTTCTTTTGTTGTTACTTGATAATTTTCTGCTGTTCGTGTCATAATATCTCCCCCTTTTGCCGTTTGAAACTCAAGATGTTCTGGTGCAGGTGGCGTCTTTTTCCAATGTTTTTCCATTTCCCATGCACTAAATCACACTTAATCTATATCTTTATAGACAAATTCCATACGCTAAATTCTTATAATAAATAGATTTTAAAAGATACCCTGCATTAGACATAGGCGGAAGTTTATAATGGTTTGAAAGATTTTTCCACCATGATTTCTCCGATGATACCTTATCATATCCACCTAATTCAATCACTCGCTTATATAATTTAAGTAAATCAATTCGATGAGGTCCAATAATCGGTTCACGTACAAATGTCCCTGTACTTTAACAATATTATTATCCTTTAAATTATATTTATTCCTTTTTTTACCCTCGTTTTATATGATAAGCTTCAAGATCCTTAATGAATTCATTATATTCTTCATTACGTTCAATATCATCGTCATCTGTTATCTTAATTAACCCCTTTCCTCTCATTTTTAATCTTAAAAGTCTTATTATTTCTTCCTTATAAATTAATATACAGCTTTATAACTTAAGACCCTTATTGACAAATATATATTAGCTTTTTCATTAATTTATACCGGACCTAGAAGACATAATATATATACCTATAGAAATACACTTTAAACCCATATGACGAATTAACCTTCTTATTAAATCTTAAGAAATTAAGAAAAAAAAATAAAAAACATCGAGATTAAATAATAACAGAGATAATAACCTGATTTATTTTAAATATTCAAATATTTAAAATTTAAATAAATAAAATAGAGGAAAACTCTTAAAAAATTAAAAGATTAAGAAGATAAATAAAAATGATAAAAATAATAGTTTTTATTATAAAAGTTAAGAGTGTACTAAGATATTAGGAAGATATTAAGATATCAAGCAGATATCACTAATATTATTTCTTCTGTAATTTCAATTTATAATATATCTATGAATTTTATATAAGAATCTTTATATATTATGTTCATATCTCATTTACGTTTGTATTTTACGTAAGTTATATTATTTATAGAATGATTGAAATCGGACAAAACGTGGAATTTAAAGCGCATATAGTAAGCATATAAGGATACGACGCATATAAGACGCATATAAGACGCATATAAGAGATATACAAGACATATACTACGCATATATAAACAAATTGCAACTATTCTATATGAAACAAGAACCTTTTACAAGCCTTAGTTTTCCTTTAGAACGTTATTCTTATGCTACACAAAAAGATGAAGCATCTCAAAGACATTGTCTTTCTAATATTGAATGGTTTCATTATCCTCACCGGGACCTTGAGATTCAATTTGAGATGAATAATGTTAGTGGGCATGATGAAGTTACTATGAAGATTACTCGTGGAGCTATTCTTTTTGTATTTCTTGTAAAAGTGTTATTAAAAAAAGGGTAAATTTTTGTAGGAACAATTGAATATTACTCGTCTTTCTCGACTTAAGATCCCGTTATTTCAGTCGGAAAATGGGCCGCCCCAGTCAGGAATTATTGTTATTACACGGTTTTTATTATAAACTGGTGTTTGTAAATTATCCTGACTAATGTTTGTTTAGAGCGCCATGCATTGGTATTAAATGGTATAATGATGTATCCAGAGTAGGAATTGTTTATATTAAGATGTAAATTTTTATTTAATTATTAGAAAATCTCTCGGTTTCAGATGAAGTTTTCTACTGAGGATATTTTTCATTCAGTTCGAGGTATTCTTGAACAACATGTAGGTAAAATCAGGAATGCAATTGATTCATATTCATCAAATGAACGTGTATCGCTTAAAGTTCAAAAATACGATAAGTCATCAGATCATGTAAAACCATGGATTGAAGGAGAAATGGAAGAACCTCAAGCAAAAAAAATATATGGAGGACAAGGATCAATTGAGCCGTTTTTTCCTTTGAATTCGATAGGTTCAATGGAAAAAGAACCTATTTCAAGTTTAGCAGACCTTCGATTTCCAACACCCTCAAATACAAATAGATTTTTATACTTAAATCCATCTTATAATAAAAATCAGAATGAGTGGGTATCGAGTATAGATGAATTATCAAAAATGACCAAGGAAAATAACCATTATGATCCTAGTTTATCTACAGAATTAATTAAGAAAAAAAAACTCAAAAAATCTTCTAAAACAAAAAAAAATTTAAATGATTTGAAAAAAGAACCGTCTGCAGATAATAACAGCTTATTAATAAAAACAGATGTAGGTAAAAAGAAGACTTCGACTGTCAAGAAATTACCAACACCTCCACGTACTGCATCTTATGAATCTAGTTTATCTTTATCCCAGGAAAATACTGATACTTTAGAAGAAATGATTGTTTCTTATATTAATGATCATCATTTTTTACAGCTTGTAAGTTCTTCTGATTTGTTCTTTTTTTTTTTTCTTAAATATATAGATTAAAAAAGTAGATACAATATGGAAAAAATTGGGATTTACAATATAAAAATTGCACAGTATTCAGTTATTGTATCTTTCGCTTATGTATGTCATTCAAATAGATTTCCTCGGGGAAGCTGCCCCTTTCTAGGCCCTTCTCATCTATTTTTTAAGGCTGACCCGACCTTCAACAGTTCAACATTAAAAAACAAAAGAGAAGTCCCGAAGGACGAATTCAAAAATGATGCATCCGAGACAAGACGAATCCTGTTCGCAGCGGAGAACTTAACGCTGTGCAATGTTAGGTCCTTCCACAAGATACCAGCACTTCTTGAGCTGCCAATATCGATGCCAGGTAAGTATGAAGTAATATTACTTCACTGGACCAATATATAGGCTTTATTATTCAAACTCCGACCTCATCACTCTATAAGCAAGATATGAATTTCTTTATAAAAAAAAACAAAAAACTTTTTTTTTTCTTAAATCATATAGGAAATTTTTTCTTATTTTTTTTAGCAAGTAATTCTTATCTTTTTTATTAAAGCTAAATCAATACACTTTATAGATTTATATATTACGGTTTTTTTGTGTACCTTATTTTTGGGTAATGAAATAAGGGAAAAACCCTAAGTGGAGCATTTTTGACCTGGAAATTTCTTTGGAATACCCGTCGAATTCTTTTTTTTATATTAAAAAAATATATAGGTTTATTCTTCATTGGTGTTTTTTTTTTTTCAAGTTGTAATTATTGGGCATAAAAATAGGAAGGAAAAAGATTATAATGATTAAAATACAAATAATTTTACAAAAACCTTTTTTTTGGATAACTTTTTTATTATTATTTTCTTTACCAAGATATGGGTGGGCTCAGAAAGAAGAATCATATGGCACGGGTATGGAGAAAAAGAGAAATATTTCTCTTTAAATTATTGATTTATAATTTTTAATATTTTTAGTAATTGGTATTGATTTAGGAACAACTTACTCTTGTGTGGGGGTGATGCAATCAGGACGTGTAGAAATTTTGGCAAATGATCAAGGAAATCGAATTACGCCATCTTATGTTGCATTTACGAAGGAAGAACGGCTTGTTGGAGATGCTGCAAAGAATCAGGCTCCTGCGAATCCTTTAAATACGATTTTTGATGTTAAACGACTTATTGGACGCCGATTTGATGAAGCAGATGTTCAAGCTGATATTAAGAATTTTCCGTTTAAAGTGCATCATCATGATGGTAAGCCCCATGTGGAAGTTAATATTGCGGGTGAAAAAAAGACATTTACACCAGAAGAAATATCTGCCATGGTATTACGTAAAATGAAGGAAATTGCAGAATCTTATTTGGGACGTACTGTGACACATGCTGTGGTGACAGTTCCTGCTTATTTCAATGATGCTCAACGTCAAGCTACTAAAGTAATATTGATTGGTCAAGAGAAATGTGTTAATAGTATTTTTTAGGATGCGGGGACTATTGCGGGTCTTAATGTGTTGCGTATTGTCAATGAGCCTACAGCAGCTGCTATAGCTTATGGTCTGGATAAAAAGGAAGGAGAACGTCTTATTATTGTCTATGATTTGGGAGGTGGCACATTTGATGTATCTCTTTTATCTATTGAAGATGGCGTATTTGAAGTTATTGCAACGGCTGGAGATACTCATTTAGGTGGAGAGGATTTTGATCATCAAGTCATGGCATATTTCAAGACGTTATTTCATCAAAAACATGGGGTTAGGCTTGATGATGATCCAAAAGCTTTAGGAAAACTTAAGCGGGAAGTGGAGAAGGCCAAACGGACGTTATCATCACAAATGTCTACGAGAGTTGAGATTGAATCATTATATCAGGGTATTGACTTTTCAGAGACATTAACACGTGCAAAATTTGAAGAGATTAATATGCATTTGTTCAAAAAAACAATGAAGCCTGTTGAACAAGTTTTAAAGGATGGGAATGTAAAAAAATCGGATATTGATGATATTGTTTTGGTTGGAGGTTCAACACGTATTCCCAAGGTGCAACAGTTATTAGAAGATTATTTTGATGGGAAAAGAGTATCAAAAAGTATTAATCCCGATGAAGCAGTAGCATATGGGGCAACGGTGCAAGGTGGGATTTTATCTCATGAAGAAGGAGTAGAAGATATCGTATTGGTAGATGTAAATCCGTTAACATTAGGAATTGAAACAACGGGTGGAGTAATGACAAAGTTAATTGCACGTAATACAGTGATTCCAACACGTAAATCTCAAATTTTTTCTACAGCAACAGATAATCAGGCAGTTGTCTTAATTCAAGTGTTTGAAGGTGAGCGGCCGTTAACAAAAGATAACAACATGTTGGGTAAATTTGAATTAACTGGAATTCCTCCTGCGCCTCGTGGTGTACCTCAAATTGAAGTAACTTTCGAGATCGATGCTAATGGTGTCTTAAAAGTGTCTGCAACTGATAAGGGTGCAGGTAAATCGGAATCAATTACCATTAAAAATGATAAGGGTCGATTAACACAAGAGGAAATTGATCGTATGATTAAAGAAGCTGAGCAGTTTGCTGATGAAGATCGTGCACAGAAGGAGAAGATCGAAGCAAGAAATACTTTGGAATCATATGTTCATACATTGAGAAATCAATTAAATGATGCTGAAGGAATGGGTGGAAAATTAAAAGAAGAAGATAAGAAGACGATTTCAGATGCTATCGATGAAACATTGAAGTGGCTAGAGCAGAATTCTATGACTGCAACAACCGTTGATTTTGAAGAAAAAAGAAATGCGTTATCTAATATAGTAATGCCTATTACATCTAAATTATGTACGTATTATAGTTGATGTATGACTTGATATAAGCTAATATATGGATCTAGATGAATCAGCTAAAGAGGATAATGTACCTCCACATGACGAACTTTGAATGGTTTAAAAATTGGAAATATTTGACATTAGTTGTGTTTTTTGATGGATCAAATTATTTAAAAACATGTATATATACATATGAATAAATTAACTTCTAAATATTATAATTATTCATCTTCAATGATACCTGCTGCTACCGTTTCACCTTGTGATCGCGCAATAAACCGACCCAATTCTTTGCAATGTTTAAAAGATTCCATTGCTTCTGCTTGTTTGCAAAATTCGATTTCAACAATGGCTGCATCAAAACTACCAATAAATCTAACTCGATTAGAATTAATTGCTACTTTTTTTCTTATTACTTGGGATCTTTTTTCTTAACTTGACCCGTTGATTTGTCAATAATTGAAATAAGCTTTTTGATATTTCCATCTACATTTAATCGTCCTCTATAAATAATAAGCTTTTAATTAAAATCAATAATTGTTTTATTTGTATATGAATATATTTACAGGAGTTCCTATAATTAGTGGTCTAGATAAATCAAAAGTGATGATCTTTGCACGAAATTTTGATACAATTTGAACTGGATTTTCTAAATCACATATAATATCACCCGGCCTAAGAAATAATCATTTATATAGGTATATAAATCTGGGGATAAAACTTTAAATAAGACAAATCAATATTCAATAAATTAATCAAGACTTCGTCCCCTGAAAATGCAAGATCTTGGAGATTATCATGAATATAAATAGCTAATAAAGTTAGAAGATACTTGATAACAAACAAAATAATACACTCAATTATTCCATTTTTTCTTGAAGGCATAATAATTACTTCTTTTCCTACATTTATAATACCAGTTTCAATTCTTCCGACTACAGAAATTAAAGTGTTAGAAGACTTATAAACATCCATAATAGAAAGTCGAAGAAATGTATCAAGTTGCTGACGATTAATTGATATATTTTCTAATTATAGTTAAGCTTTTCAAGATAAAAATATTCGTAAAGTACCTAACGTATCTAAAAGTGTAAAATTGGAATACCATAACTTGAGTTGAGGGTTTAAAGGTATTGTATTTGTTAAATTTTCTCCTGTAAGTCCACTACAGGGTATAAATGAAATATTGGACTTTTGAAATCCTTTATAAATAAAAAATTGAAGCATTTGTGCCATAATATCTTCATATCTTTCTTGAGACCAATTAGTCTATAATAATATTAATAAAGAAAAGAATTAATGAAATATATACAGTTTCAAGTTTATTAATAGCAACGACTATTTTTTGAATGCCTAAACTACGTGCTAAAATAACATGTTCTCTAGTTTGTCCATGTGCAGTAAATCCCGATTCAAACGAACCATAAGAAGCATCTATAACCAATAGAGCTACATCAGCCTACAATTTAAATAAGACAATGTTATTAATTGTTATAAAATTACCTGAGAAGCTCCCGCTATCATATTAGGAATAAAATCTTTATGACCAGGTGTATCTAAAATAGTATATCGACGCAAAGAAGTCTCAAAGTAATTAATACCCAAATCCATAGTAACCCCGCTTTTGACTTTTAATATAAAATACATTACATAATAATGATATATACCGATCACGTTCCTCTGATGTTTGATCTAAAACCCATGCAAAATGAAAAGATGGCTTTCCTAATTTATTTGTTTCTCGTTTTAATTTTTCGATAGTTTCAGTATCAACAACTTTTAAATCATATAAAAGTCTTCCTATTAACGTACTTTTTCCTGCATCTACATGTCCTAAAAAATATTAAAATTTTATTAACAATAACTTTTAATACTAAATTTACCAATAATGACAATATTAACGTTAGGTTTATTTTTTATGTTAGCTGTTTTTAAATTAGATATTTTATTTTTTGATTCCTATATAATATATAACTAAATATCAAAAACTCATTACTAATACGCTTAATTTATAAAATTTATCATAATTTGTTTCATCTTTATCTCCCTGTTCTGAGGATATGTTTAAAGTGTTTAATATATGATGTAAATCATCTTTATTTGATATGATTTCTGAATAAATTGGCGATTTAACAATACTTGGAGTTTTTAATTTTTTTTCTTATATAATATTAAGCTAAATAATATAAATGTTTGCAAAATACCTTTTTTTTTTTGTGATTTCAATGAATTATTAAATGTTTCATTAAGTGAAATTTTAAGATCATCCTCTAATACTCCTGTAAATAAAGAAAACCGTTGGTTAGCAAACTTGTAAAAATAATCAGGCAGTTCTAATTTTTCTCCAAAAATAGTTAATGCAAATTTAGAAGGTTTTACTTCTATATTATATTCACAATTTTTTTTAAAAAAAACATTTAAAGAATCATCAATAACTTCTTCCTTTTGGTCTTCTTCTGAAGTAGTCTTCAAAAGATTTAAGTCCTTTTCAACATCAGGTTTTGCAAAATTTGTCTGTATATCTAATATTATCTTAGATGAATTATTATTGTTTTCTCTATTATTAGTCGCTTTAAATTTTTCTCTAGTTAAATGAGAAAGAAGCGAAACAGATTTTAATGATGATGATATAGGATTATTTGATGACAATTTATGTTTAGAACTTGCTAAAGCTATAAGTTTTGACTGTTTTGGTCCAGATACTTCTTTAGTTTCAGATGCATTTTCTTCCGAAGATACTTCAAGATTAAAATGACCTATTTGTTTGTAAAAATATAATAAAACTCCTCATAATTATTTTACTCTTTAAATCTTCCTTATTTAATGAACTATTATTAAAAGAAATAAAACCTTTAAAGATTTTAATAAGAAAATTGTTTTCACAAATTAATATATATTCATAAAAGAATATATCTATTGATAAAAAAATATTATACCTTTTTTTGATGGTGTTTTGTTTATATTTAACCCTTCTTTTAAATGTTTTTTCTCTAAATTTATATTAACCCTATATAAAAGGATTCCCTTCTCTACCTATAATTCTGGAACATGCTTTATCTATATCAAAACAACAATACTTTAGTGCTTCTTGGATATCTTTTTGCTTAACATGTAAAACATCTTTTAATCGTTCTCTGACTTTAGCTGATGTCCATGTTAATTTTTCTTGAGAAATATTAATCACAAAGGGTCTTTATTAACATCTTTACCGAGTTCTTCTTGTGAAAAATCTAAATCCTTAATAAAATTTATTTTATATTTTATAATTTACCTTCTAAGTTATCTGCTGAAAAGTCTAAAAATCTATTAAGAACTTTTAGAGTACTTTTAAAAAAGGATATAATACCATCTAGTTCCTGGCCAAAATAAGATCTCCAAGACATAATAGATTTTTAAAAATTTTAAAAAAAAAACTCGAAAACTTTAAATTTATTGAAAAATACAAGATTCTATCAAAAGAAAAATTTATATTGAAAAAAGTTAAACTTAGTTACCTGAAAAATATAGAAAATTATAAATCAATGAGAGATACTTGTGTTGATGGTTCAGTTTTATCTTGTAAAGGGTTTTTTTGATGCAAAGATGAGTGATTTGGGTTATGTTGATCATGAATAGGTGAACATGAATCCTTAATAAAAGTAGAAGAAGGTTTATTTGTGAAGGTGTCTTGTGAAAATGTGTTTGATGAATAATTTGGTATGGTGGAAGAAATAATTTCCTTTGAAGGTGAAATAGAAGTTGAAGAAGCATGTTGTGATGGTATATAAGATGAATAGAATGAAGTATTTTTCTGTTGCCGAAGTTCTTTATAATGTGAATAATATTCAGAAGGCATTGAAGAGGTTGGTGTTAATAAAGATGGATCATAAGTTTGGTTAAAAGGATGTAAAGAACTTTTTTCATGAATAGAAGAAACATGATGTCTTGAATAGGCAGTAGATAAGCGATCCTCCAATAATTTGTCATAATATTTCATGACCGTTGAAAGTTTAGAATGAATGTCAATTAATTTTTCTAAAAAAATTAAAATTTAGAAGAATTAAAAAGTTAGCCGACCGTATTTACTAATAGTATTGCCTAAAGAACGAATAAGTTTTGGTTTTAATTTTATAACTGAATCATGTAATTCTTGAACATAATGATCTCTTAAAATTGATCCTATAGGTGCCATTTGAAGTTTTTGAATTAACATGCAAAAAGTATTAATGTTTTCTATCTCTAATGCAGTAAGTTCATGCTCAAATTTAGGCTAGAATTATGTTAGTTATAATAAATAAATCGAGTAATGTAACTTGAAGATCTGGAACAATTGTTTTTACATTAGGTGTAAAACTGACTGATTTTGATTGCTCCGATTCTTTTAAGCTTAATGAAATCGCTTTTTTTAAGTCTTCATCATCTGAATATTGTCTTTTGTGATCTTTAGGAAAGTCTTGTTGAAATTTTGATTCTTGTAATTTACTTTCTTCTAAAGACAATTTTATAGCATATTTTAAATCACTATCATCATCTATATTTGTATTTTTAGGGTTTTCCATGTCCAAAACATTATTAGGCATAGAAATAGCAGGAGTTTGCGTTTTTTTAGAATAACAATTATCACAGACTCTAGCTGGTTCAATAATACCAATATATAAAAGAGGTCGTGATTTTGAAGAGCATGATTGACAAAAGGTTCCCCCGCAATTTCTACAATGATGTTTTCTGTTTTTAAATGTAAATCTAGTTCTACAAAGCATACAAATGCTAGAATCACTCCATTCTGGGGGCTATATATTTAAGTTAACTAAAGAAAGTACCTAAGCATTAATATACTGAAAATGAATCAATGAATGTCGAATTAAGAGGCTCTTTTGGCGGAAATTCGTATCCTTGTGACTGAAGATCCTCATATACTGTACAAACATAGCCAAGATGTTTCTTTTTTTCAAACAAAACTGCCCATACTTGAATAAGTTCTAATATCTTCTTCCTAACATCTGCTTTCGCTGTAACATCATGTTCTGTTGTCTTCTAATTACAAATTAAAATTATTTCTCTGTAGCAATAAAATATCACATTTGTCTTCAATAATGACACAAGATTATCCATAAACTCTCTAGATGATATTTCTAACAAGAAATGATCTCCTCCATTTTTTACACACAGGTCTATAAGCTATATTTATCCATCAGTCATTATAATGAAATATCCTTTTTTTTATACTTTTAATGTCAGAATTTGAACATTGGCGCTTTTGTGTGCCATCCTCCTCTTAAGACTCCTCATTGCATCTTTTGAAGGAACTGATTTACTCCTAATTTTATCACATATTTCAAGACATGAAGTAAGATCTTCTATCCCCGCTGGGATGTCTTCTGATGTCGCTTTTTCTGCGAAAAAAAAGTAAGTATATCAAATTTTTTACAATATTCTTCCTGTTTTATAAGAAATACTCACCAACTAACTCGTCGAATGCCCTAAATGTCCACCAACTTAGCATCTTGCTGGTTATCTGACGTTTGACTGTGCAGCGTAGTGGTTACTATAGTGATTATCGCCCTGGCAATAGTTGCTATGACAACACTATTATAACGACAAGGCTTTTAAGACGAGTAATTGACGTTTAAGATTTATCAGGTTTTTTCTCATTTTCTTTGATTAAACACGTCTAAATTAGATATAAATATGAGTGGATTTAATATATTTTGATATTTATATATGTTTTTATAAGAAATTCCAAAAAATGGGGACTGAAAATGAAGAACCTGGTCCAGGAGATACATTGGAAATATTGAAAAAAAAAGCGGCAATTTTTGAAAAAGGCGTTAATTATCCTATAAAATTATGGATTTCTACTGCTAGAAAGCTTTATGATCAGGTTTGAATGATTTTTTGGGAAAACAAGGTCTAATTGATGACAAAAGGCATTCAAGTATGAAAATGAATCTCGGCTTGAGATAGCTTATGTAAAGTACTTGAGAGCATCGTCTATTGTTATAGAAGGTGTTTTCGTTTTTTTTTAATGTTATTTTTTAAACATAATAGTTATTCCTAGCCATAAAGATTATGTTTTATTTAAAAGTCAGGGTGGGCCTATTTTAAAGCAATATCAGGAGCTTAGACAGGTATATTTTCGAGATAACTATCTAGGGTTTTTAATTATTTAGGAAACATCATTATCTTTCTTTAGATTTCAAAAAATCCATCAGATTTTGAAGTTGAGAGATATTGAAAAGATGTCATTAAATAAATCTAATACAGTGGTAAATACAAAAGAATCTTTCCTCCGTTCTTCTTCTAAATCTGTTTCTCCTGAATTGATTCAAAGAGATCTGAAGCCTGGTTTGAGTTATAGTTTTTCTTTAAATGAAAAAATAGATTTTCCAAAAAATGATCATATGGAAATATCTGATATTAGGCGTAGTCAAAGTATAGATCTATTGAATAGTCAATTTAGATTACCTACTCCTATTTCTTTTCCTTTTAAGGTGATACTCGAGTATATATTGTTTGTTTATATATAATAATTATAATAGTTTTCTCCTACTAATACTGATTTAAAATTATCTTTTTCAGAAACTAATATAGACAAGGATATGAATCCGTTTACATCTAGCAGTCTACTTACTGATTTAAATAAAAAACATGTACTTTCAGATCAAATAACTATATTTCCGAATTTTTCTTTTATTGATTCAGATACATTATATAAGTATATTATTTCTAAAGATAATAAATCTCGAATTTTATTTTTAGATATAAGGCCAAGAAGTGAATTTAATAAATTTAGGATTGCTTCAGAAAATATAGTTTGTATAGAACCTATTATTTTAACTTTGCAAGAAGAGTAAGATTTATGTGGTAGATGGATTGATAATTGATTTGTGCTAGTATATCAGGTGATCAATTGGAAGACTCATTGATAATATCGCCATTATCAGAACAGAAAACTTTTTCTAATAGACATAAATTTGATCTTATTGTTTATTATGATTGGGATAGTAAAAACGATAATTTAAGTGGAAACATTTCTCAAAATGAAAAGGCTCGCATATTCTATAATTTAAATAAAGCTATATACAATTATGGTGGATTTCAAAAACCATTAAAACATATACCTGTATTGCTTTCTGGAGGTCTTAAAGAATGGGTTAATTTTATTAAAAAAAATGATATTTTTTGCGATTTTATAGAAGGAACTAATACTCACAATATAAGAAATGGTTTTACGGAAAATATTTTGCCTTCAGATCATGAATCAAATTATTTATATTTAAAATCAAATATTAACATTCCTAATTCTTATGCACCATCTGATTATTCTTTATATAGTGTTGATATAGGACTTGAAAAGAAAAATCATAAGAATTCAATAGAAATGACGTAGAGAAAGCATTATTTTTTTATATATATTAATTTTTATATTAGAATGTCTATGGAGAAATTTCAATCATTGTTTAAAAATAACATGAATTTAACAGATAATAAGGATATTTCGTCAGGATCAAATAATGATTTACATTTAAAGATGAAGGAGAAATACGTAATAATTTCTTTAATTGTGATTTATGCTCATTAATATATATTTAGCCTTCACACCTTACCTTATCTCAACAATCATTAATAAAGTTTATGCCTTATTTTGAAACAAATGATATTCATAACTCTTTAAGAGATTACCATAATATAAATAAATATGAGTTTTTGTCTCAGAAAATGGATATTAATGATCTTAATAATTGTGAAAAAAAGGGAATCTCTTCTAATAATCCTTTTTATGATTTTATAGAACCTAAGAATACTAATAATGAATTTCCTCGACGTTCAACTTCCAGAGAATATAACTCTTTGGATAGCTATAAATTTAAACAGCCTTCGTTATCTGATATAAATTCTATTATTACAAAACCTCAAACTCTTACATCTCAAATTTATAATACAGAACAGTTTTGTGTTCGTGGAATTATAGGTGCTACAGGATTAACAAATTTGGGTAACACATGTTATATGAATGCTATTATACAGTGTTTAAATAGTACTATTCCTTTTGTGAGATATTATAGAGGTATATTGTTTATTTTCATTTTTATTTTTAAAATATTTCATAGATGGAAGTTATAAAAAACATATTAATTTCAATAATCCTTTGGGATATAAAGGAGAGCTTGTTCAAACATTTGCTCGGTTAATTACATATCTTTGGGATAACGAACATACATATGTATCTCCACTTTTTTTTAAGGTTAGAAGATTATTTTTACATTTTTTTTTAAATTTAAAAAGAATGTTGTTGGACGACTTAAAGAACAATTTCGTGATAATGACCAGCAAGATTCTCAGGAATTTTTGGCTTTTCTTTTAGATGGGCTTCATGAAGAATTAAATATTGCAGCCGGTCAATTAAGACCAAAAGAATTAACACCAGAAGAAGAATTAAAAATAGAAAATATGCCTGATAAAATTGCTTCAAATATTGAATGGCAAAAATATGTCCGTTTAAATAATAGCATTGTTGTTTCTCTTTTTCAAGGACAATTACAAAGTAGATTAAAATGTCTAACATGTGATTTTCAATCTACTACATATAATCCTTTTACATATCTTTCATTGCCAATACCCCTTACGCAGGCTAAAACTTCGACTTTATATGAATGTCTTCAATTTTTTGTGCAAAAAGTGAAACAAAAAAATATATACTTTTTTCTGATATTAACTAAAATAGGAATACCTTAAGGATAAAGAACAATGGTATTTTTTTCTAAATAAATAGCGGTTTTTATAAATTATTATAGGTATTGTTCTAAATGCAGAAAACCAAGAGATGCTACTAAAACTTTAACTATATCTAAAATTCCTCAGATACTTTTAATACATCTTAAACGGTTTCAAACATGCGGGCATTGGAAAGATAAAATCAACACCAAAATTGATTTTTTAATTAATAATTTTGATCTTACTGATTTTTTACTCGACAGTACACAATCTCTTTCTGATCCACTTAATCATGGACAATATCTTTATCATTTATATGCCGTTACAAATCATTATGGAAATTTAGATGGAGGTCATTGTAAGGATATCTTTTTATTTCTTTATTTTACTTATATAATAGATACTGCAATGGTAAAAAATAGTTTTACAAATTCTTGGAACTTATTTGATGATCGTCGTGTGGTTTTTTGTAGTGAACGGGACGTTGTTGTAAGTATTTATAATTTTGTATTTATAATCTATTTATCTATTATCTAGTCACCTGCTGCTTATATCTTATTTTACATAAGAAATAATGTTGTGTGATTTGCATTTTGATAATATCATTAAAAAGAAATTCATAATAATTTATAACATATTTTAATGAGATTGACACATTTTTATTGAAATTTGGGCTGTTGAATCTGTTTCTACTTATTCCGAGTGGTTAATAACCCTATCGACTTTTAACCGATATCATTGATAATCTTTATTTTTATCTCTTTATATTCTTCAAGCTTCAAAATGGCATCTGAACAGAGAAAGCTTTTAGAGGTTATTTTATATGAGTTTTATCTTTATTTATTTATTTATTTTAGCAACTTATGGGCTCAGATATGATGGGTTCTTCACATCAGCAAACTATGTCTTTTACGAGCCCAAAAGTTTGTAGAAGTTTTCTTTGCGGAGATTGTCCTCATGATATGTTTACGTATGTTTGTTTTATCTTATATTTTTTCATAAATTTTATTTAATTTCTATAGAAATACTGTATTTGTTTTTCTTTTTTTTTGAATTATATTTATATAATATTTTTTATAGAAAATGGATCTTGGACCTTGTTCTAAAATTCATTCGGATAAGCTAAAGGCAGATTATCAGAAAGCGCGCTTGAAGAAAGATTATGGATTTGAATATGATTATTTGAGGGATCTGAATAAATATATTGATGATTGTAACCGTCGTATTGATTCTGCGCAAAAAAGATTAGAAAAAACTCCTGAAGAATTAGCTAAAGCAAGCCAGCTGGTCTTTTTTTTGCTTTAAAAAATGTTTTTATTTAAATTTTTATAGGCTAGAGACATGGCAGAACTTGAAAAAATTATTGACACTGCATTAGAAGAAGTAGAGGTTTTAGGTGTTTAAAATTATATTTTTTTATTATTTTATTATTTAATTTAATATTAGGTGAACAGGGTGAAGTGATGCGTGCAGTAGAGGAATATCATAAGGTGGAGAAATATAAAATTGACCGATCAGAACGAGAAGTATGTTTTTATTTATAAAGAATTAGGGTTAAATGTTATAAAGAAAGAATTAAAATCAATATCTACCAATAGTGGATCATTAGGTCATCAAAAACTTCAAGTATGTGACGTTTGTGGGGCATATTTATCGCGATTAGATAATGATAGACGATTGGCTGACCATTTTGGAGGGAAAGTAAGTAGAGTTATTATTTAATACAAGAAATCTTGATAGATTAGCTTCATATGGGATATAGCAAAATGAGGAGTCTTGTAATTGAATTAAAAAAAGAGTTAGATTTAAAAAAAAATAATGGAAGTAATTATAATTCATTAGATGCGTTAGAAGAAAATGAGCAAAACTATAGTTCAAGGAGTACTAAAGGAAGGAGTCGGAATTATAAAAAAGGGAGTTTCGATGATAAATATCGTAGTTGAAAGGCTTTAATATTTAAAATTTCACAATTTAAAACATGAATTACAGTTAAAATATGTAAATAAGTTTTTAGGAGATATACCATAGCATTTATTGATTTAAAATAAATTAAGAAAATTGAGTGGCTATTTTTAATAACAGTTTTAATTTATAATTTTTTGTATTTAAAACAAAATTAATATTTAAATAAAAAAAATATTTTTATTTTTCTAACCTCTTATTATTGATTTGATAGTATTAAAATAGATAATTTTCTATATAAGTATCGTCGTCTTTATTGCATTCATATAACTTATTGTTTTTTATTCATATTTTTATAGCTGTTTAATTTTCTCTACTTCTTGATATAACCAAAAAAAAATTTTCCAAAAAATTTTATAAGGAGCTTTTTTAGAACTAATTTCTTCAATGTAACTCTATGATATAGATGTTTATAAAGTAATTTTGAAATATCTTTTATTTTTTTAGATATAGAAAATTTTTGAGATTAATATTTAAATTTCTTTATAAATCATATAAATTGCCTTGATATTTTCCTTTTATAGGATCAAACAAATAAGTGCATAGTCTTTTTTGTTTAAACTTGAGAAAAATATCAATAATATAATATGTTTTTCTATAAAACTTATTAAATCACTCTTTTATTGCAAATATATTAAAATCTTTTTTTTTATTTGAAAAAGATAATTACAAGTATAAAAATACATTATTTGTTTTTTAATTGGTTTCTTTTGTATATAAATTTTTTATTGTATTTGTTTCTTCATATTATTTATCCATGTCCTAAGTAAATCTCATGAAAAAGGCTATAAATATATTTCTGAATCTTTCAAAGAATCATTTATCTATTGATATTTCTGAAAAAATATTTTGATTTATTTATTAATTAGAAATATTAATGAAATCATAGAATTAGTAACAATTATTAAAAAATATATTTTATTTATACATGAAAACACTTTAATTTTCTTTTATTGTCAAGAAACATGTTTGAAACACATAAAAAACTATTCCAAAGATGTATATTAACAACTGTGTATGAATTGTATATCTTATTTCCATACATCCGTAGTAGAAATGATTGAATCGTCATAAAAAAGGATGCTTTTGTCATGGATACCATCTTTATGAAGTGTATCTTTTTGAGAATTAGTAGAATTTCGTTGTATTTCTTTAGGTTCATCAGTTGACCATGGAGAAGTATGAAAAGATAAAGTGTCAGAATCGGCAAAAAAATTAGACGGTTGAAAGGCATTAAATGTTAACGAGTCATTGTCCCATTGTTTAGAAAAAGGATCTTTATCGGGATTTGGAACTATTTTCGACACATCTGTTGTAAAACTTTTAAGACATAGGCTTTCTGTATCGAAAATTTTATTATTAGATGATATCCCTTTAGAATAGCTTTGTTTTCGATTTATTTTTGATGCATTGTCTTTTGTTGCAGTGATATCATGAGATGCAGAAACAGGAGAAAATTTTTGTGTATTTAATAAATAAGATACTGCGGGATTTGAAAATTGATGTGAAGATTCAGAAGTATGAGATATTTTTTGTTCTTCAGATATATTTAGTTCTTGAACGCTTTTGGAAATGTCTTTAAAACTATCTGATAATTTTGATTCATGCTTAGATGTCTGTTGATCTTCATGTAAACATGCATCTTTTACTGAAGATTTAGATAAAATATTCGGTTGAGACGTGGATGTTGTTGAATAAAGAGATAGAATTGATGTTTTAAGGACGGCTCTTGAGGATTTATCATGGATTTTCGATGAATGTGGTTCATGCGATTCTAAAATATTGGTATAATTCTTTAAATTCGATTTAAATAAGGGTTCTTTTGACTTAATAGAATTTTGTTGAGAAGGTGAATTTTGATGATGTAATGATACTTCTTTTTTTTCCGAAAAAGAAAATAAATTATTTAATATTTGATAGTCTTTTGTATATATTTGTTTTGTATTTTTGGGTACTATAGATGAAAATTGCTTTTTCTCTAAAGAATGATCTAAAACAAGATCATGAATCTAGATATAGTTATTAAGAATATTGTTTATCCCTTCAATTTACTATTTCATTATTGTTGCCTTCGTCTAATGTAGACGGATCTGGTATTGGACCATCCATAACCCATCTTTTCGTTTCATATTTAGTTCTTATATAATTATCAATCTTACTGAAGCAATATTAAAGACAAAAATAAACATAAAAATCATTTCTAACCTTTCTGATGGTATATGACCTGGAATCAACTTTGCTTCCCAATATCTAAAAATAATTAACATTCAACATTACATCCCATTAAATATCACTTATTGGCACGTGCATTTCCCCAACGAATCATATTTTCTAGTTGCTCATTTGTCCATGAATCCAGGTCAACTGATTTAACTATAAACATACTTTTAATCACAAAACATTATATAAAATAATAGAAAAAACGCATATAAATATCTCCATACCTCTGCTAATATGAGTACCCATACTTCTATGTATTCCCGAGCATCTTATTTATATTAATTAGCCTTAATTAATAATAAATTATAATTGTTATTTTTACTACCTGATACATAAAAAAATCCCTAAAGACCAACTTGCCCATCTTGGATGATCATTACGCTTACAATCTGAACAGTATCTAATAAAATATCAATATTATGTTCTTTATTTTCTATATATTCACTTATTTCCTGGTAGTTTTAGCAGCATTTTCAAAACTTCTGTATTGGATTCTGCCTTTTCCTTGCTTATTGATCTACTCATGAATATCACTTAATTATTAGTAGAGATCAAGATTAACAATGTCCGTGGTCCTTATTTGTTCAAAATCTTAAAGACTTGTATAGTTTTATTAACTTTCCGGTTAATCGGATAAGCCAGACGGTATAAAATCTTATTATATTTGTAAGAAAAAAAGTTAGCCCTTAATAAATAAATAATAATATGATATTAGCGCTTTAAAATCCTGTTTGTTAAGTTTATTTTTTGTATTAGAAATTTATAAAGATTGTTAGATTTGAAAAAAATAATGGTAGAAAATATTGAGATCAACACCTTAAGAAAGATAGAAGCATCAGAAGTTGCTAAACATGTTACTCGAGATGATATTTATATGGTTATTGATAAAATGGTGTATAATGTTAGTCCTTTTATAAACGAACATCCTGGTGGAGAAGAAGTATTACTTGATGTTGCAGGTATAACAGTTTTGAATGTATGGTTTGTTTTTAATAGTTTTTGTAGGTAAAGATGCTACAGACGCTTTTGAAGATGTTGGACATTCAGATGAAGCCAGAGATATATTGAAAAAACTTGTTGTTGGAAAATTAGAAGGAAAAGTATATAACTGAGTGTTTTGATAGAAAATGATATAAGAAGTTGACATTTCTAGATGGAAGAATCAGAGTTGAGAGTAAAACCAGATTTATCAGTTTCCAGAAATAATTTTAATTTGTATAGTAACCTTATATTTGAGCTTTTTTCTAATTATATCCGAATAGGAAGTTATGTATAATAACAGTTTCTGTATCAGTTTTCTCTTTTTTGATGTATATGTTTCTTTTTTAAATGTTTATGTAAATCATATTCCTTTTAGAAACTTAGACCCTAAAAAATTATATAATTTATAATATCATTCATTACGTTCATTACAAATATATACATGTGCTTAATGTACTAAATGTATAATTATTGCAAGGTTTTCATTTTCTATTTTTATGCAACGTCTCGAAAAACCAAATGGTTTTCATAAAAATGAAGCATCTAAATTAATATTAACAAATTTTTATATTCATATTTCCCAAAATCTACTTTTAAAGGACATTTTTGATATATTAGTAGACTATCATGAACAGATTTTTTACCATGAACCCTAAACCTTTATTAGTTTTATTGTTTTTAAAAATAAAATATATACCAATTAACATATACAAGTAATTTCCCTGAAGCATCTCGCTCAATTGTATCAACAGATTCAATTTCATCTTCCCATGATGAAAGATGCATTGGTGGTTTCCATGTTTCTGTTGATAAATTACTTGTAGATATTTCTTTAGATCTACTCGTCAACGCTCGATGCTTCATATCAAAATCATTATTTTCATTTTTACGCAATTGACTGGACTTTCTTTTACGTGCACTTGGCCTTTCTGATGGAATTAACCGCCCACCTATACTTTCCCAATATTGTTCAATTAAATCCTTACATCCTCTTCTTATTTTTAAAAAAAAAATTAATATATAGAATGATTTAAACATACTCGCACGATTTCTCCCCTTCCCATGTATTATCTTCAACTTTATCATAACCCTTCCATTTAATAAGGTATTCCCACCCTGTTCGTTTCTATCATAACCTTTTAGCCATTTTAAAAACATAAAAACCAAAAAAAATATTAAAAAAATCACTATCCAAAAACATCTAATTAATTATATTCTTTTAAAATCCTTTTCTATTTTTCTTTTTCTATTCAATTCTTTCTTTTATAATATTTTTCTTTTATTTATTCTCTTATATCTATTCATCCACCATTTAGAACTCGAAAAAAAACATACCATATTCAATCTATGATCCAATATCTTTTCTACCGCATAGATTTCGTCCTCATTTTCACTTTCTATCTCTGATTCTTCTTCTATCTTATTTTCTTCATCTGTTTTTTCGATATCTAGCTCATTTTTTAGCCTTTTTTCACCGGATTTTTTTCATTTGCCTTCTTTTTTATCTCTCTTATTCCTCATTTTGCTTTTTTTCGCGTTTATCTCTTCAAATACTGTGTTTTTTCTCTACAAAAATATACTCATTTTTTGGACGTCTCATAGCTTCATCTCTCGATCCTCGGTTTTAAAGTTTTAACCTCATAAAAAAATATAAATATTTCTTTTGCAAAAAATACCAGGAAATAAGGCTTTAAAGACCTTTTAAAGCAATGGGGGAGGTTGTTTTTGATATGAAGAATGCTTTTGTTGCTCGAGATGAGCAGGGAAATCCATTTATTATTCTTAAAGAGTATTTAATAGAATATTGATTTTATAGATTTAATAAAAATCCTTAGTCAGGGGAAAAAAAAGAGGTAAAGGTCGTTTTTTTGAATTTTTCATGTTTTTATGGTTTATTTTGTCCAAGATTGACTGGAAATGATGCAATAAAAGTATGTTTTTGAATATTTTTTATGTTTTTGTGTCAGAAGGATTAATCAATGTTATAGTCCCATATTTTGGCAGCAAAAACAGTAGCAAATATATTAAAGTCGTCACTCGGACCGAGAGGTAAGGGCGGTGATTGTTTAATTGTTAAGAATAAAGTGAATTGATTGGAATTTGAGGATTGGATAAGATTTTGATATCATCAGATGGTGATATTACGATTACTAATGATGGTGCTACTATTTTGAGTCAGATGGAAGTAGAACATCAAATTGCAAAGCTTATGGTTGAATTGTATGTTTTTTTTTTTAAAAAATATATTTTATGGGAAGGTTAACTTAGGTTTGGAAATAGATCAAAATCTCAAGATGAGGAAATTGGGGATGGTACAACGGGTGTTGTTGGTTAGAAATGCTTTGAAATATCTGCATGTTTTTTTCTAAATAAGGATTTAGTGCTTGCAGGAGCATTGTTAGAATATGCAGAAGAATTGATTAATAAAGGAATTCATCCGATCAAAATTGCTGATGGTTACGATCAGGCGTGTAAAATTGCGGTTGAGCATCTTGATTCAATTGCAGATGTGGTTGAATTTTCGAAAACAGATACAACTAATCTTTTTAGAGCCACGAAAACATCTCTTGGAAGTAAAATTGTATCTAAGGCTCATGATAAGTTTTCTGAGATTGCTGTTGATGCAATTCTTTCAGTAGCTGACTTAGATCGAAAGGATGTTAATTTCGAGCTTATAAAAATTGATGGAAAAGTAGGAGGTGCATTAGAAGATACGATGTTGGTAAAAGGTGTTGTTATTGATAAGGATATGTCACATCCACAAATGCCACGTTCTATATGTGATGCAAAGATAGCTATTCTTACATGTGCATTTGAACCACCTAAGCCAAAAACGAAACATAAACTTGATATTACAAATGTAGAAGAATTTAAAAAACTTCAAAACTATGAAAGAGAAAAATTTGAGGAAATGGTTAAGAAAATTAAAGATACTGGTGCGAATCTTGTTATTTGCCAGTGGGGTTTTGATGATGAAGCTAATCATCTTTTGCTTCAAAATAATCTGCCCGCTGTACGTTGGGTAGGAGGACCAGAAATTGAGGTTTATAGAATTCTTTATTTGGATATAGGGCAGTGTTTATAAATTTTAGTTAATTGCTGTTGCTACAAATGGGCGAATTGTTCCAAGATTTGAAGATTTGACCGCAGAAAAACTTGGTACGGCCGGTCTTGTACGAGAATTATCTTTCGGGACAACTCGAGATAAAATGTTAGTTATTGAAGGTTGCGTAAATACAAGAGCAGTTACTATTTTTATCCGAGGAAGCAATAAAATGGTTTCTTCATTATAGAAATTGTATGATTTTACTTATTGAAAATAGATTATTGATGAGGCTAAGCGTGCTATTCATGATGCTCTTTGTGTTGTACGTAATTTAGTGAAAGATAATCGAATAGTTTATGGGGGTGGTTCTGCTGAAATTTCTTGTTCTATTGCTGTTGCAAATGCTGCAGATAAAGTATATATTTGTTATTTTCTTTTCTAGGCATTAAGCTTTATAATTAGGCTCCCGGAATTGAACAATATGCTATGAGGGCCTTTGCAAATGCTCTAGATGTAATTCCAATGGCACTTGCGGAAAATTCTGGCCTTTCGCCAATTGAAACATTAACAAATATTAAATCAAAACAAATAAAGTATTCAAACCCTGCATTAGGAATTGATTGTATGCAAAAAAATAATGATGGTTCATTTTTTATTTTTAACAATTCTTTTTTTGATCAATAAAATAGATATGAAAGAACAATATATTATTGATTCCTTAATTAATAAACGTCAACAATTGTTATTGGCTACACAACTTTGTAGAATGGTACTCAAAGTAAGTTTTTCTCTTCTATATTAATTCTTTCTTATTTTTATAGGTGAATGATGGTATGTTCGACTTTTTCTTTGCAATTAAGAATTAATTATTTAAAATAGTAATTATTTCAGGCTCTGAAAATGATTCACACAACTAATTCTTCATTCCAACTTATCTAAACATTTATAATACATTATTAACTTTTTTTTCTTCATAAATAACTGTATTATATAATTGTTTAGGTATCACAAAACTTTTAAGACTATTAACGGTATATTTTGTGTTTGATTTATAGAATTAAAAATTAAAATAAAATATATGTATTAATTTTTAATAGTTTTTTAAATTAAATATCATAAAAATTTTTTTATATAAATTTAGGCTTATAAGGATATTATTTATTGTTTTTTTATTTATTTTAATTCTATCTTAACTTTATATTTTCTTTAAGCCTTTTTTTGAAAAAGTCCTTATAAATATAGGGTTTTTTTAAAAGTAAATTGAACTTTTATACAAAAAGATCATGAATTAACAAGGAAAATATTAGTAACTTAAGGATTGTTTTTTAAAATACTTGAAATATTGAGGAAAATAACATATTTTTAAGTTCAAGTTTATATATAAATCTTAAAAATGAGCTCTATCAAGGAAAATTTAGAAATACAAAAAGAATTGATGGAAACCGTCAATATTGATTATAATAAAGTGTCAATTCAATATAATCCATCAGTTGCTTCGCTTTATGAAGATGCACTTATTTATGAGTCATCTTCAGCAATTACATCTACGGGCGCATTGGCAGCTTTTTCAGGTGAAAAAACAGGGAGATCTCCAAAGGATAAACGCATTGTAGATCATCCTCAATCTAATGAAAAAGTTTGGGTATATTAGGAAGGGAATTGTTGTATATTTTTAATTTAATAGTTGAATAGTGGGGACCTGTCAATTCTAAGGCATTTAATATTTTACACCTAATGTTATATAATGGAAGATATTCTAATCAATAGTTTTAGATATCTCATACAGTATGGTTAATTAATCGTGAACGAGCAGTTGATTATTTGAATACATTAAAGCGAATTTATGTTTTTGACGGATATGCAGGAGCGGATAAAAGATACAGGATTAAAGTACGTGTAATTTGTGCACGTCCATATCATTGTCTTTTTATGAAAAACATGCTTATTGATCAGACTGAAGATGATGATTTTTATCAAAAACCGGATTTTGTTATATATAATGCAGGTTCATGTATAAATCATGGTTATTAAATACATAATAATGATAAATAATGAAGTCCCTGCTAACCGTTATACTGTTGGAATGACATCACGTACGTCAGTAGCCATTAATTTAGAAGATCGAGAGATGATTATTCTTGGAACGTAATATTAATGTATAAAAAAAGGTTTAGACTTAGATAATTTAGAGAATATGCAGGAGAGATGAAAAAAGGTATACTTACTGTCATGTTTTATCTTCAACCTGTCCTATATGATGTGTTGCCTCTTCATTCTTCTGCTAATGAAGGGAAAAATGGAGATGTTTCTGTTTTTTTTGGTTTATCTGGTACAGGAAAGACAACATTATCGGCAGATTCTTCCCGTTATCTTATTGGTGATGATGAACACTGCGTAAATTCCTTTTGATTCAATTAAATTGTTTTATAATATATTTTAGTGGTCAGATACTGGTATTTTTAATATTGAAGGAGGATGTTATGCAAAATGTGTTGATTTATCTCAAGAAAAAGAACCTGAAATCTTTAATGCTATTCGTTTCGGCTCTGTTTTAGAGAATGTTGTTTTTGACCCTAGAACTCGAGTTGTTGATTATACTAATATTTCTATTACTGAAAATACACGTTGTGCTTATCCTATTGAGTACATTCCAAATGCAAAAATTCCAGGTATATCTAGTGGTCATCCAAAAAATATTATTTTATTGACATGTGATGCTCATGCTATTTTACCACCTGTTTCTAAACTTACAAATGATCAAATTATATATAATTTTATCAGTGGCTATACTAGTAAAATTTCTGGGACTGAGGATGGAATAATTGAGCCTCAGCCAGCATTTTCAGCATGTTTTGGTGAGCCATTTCTTGTTCTTCATCCTATGGAATATGCAATTATGTTGTCTGAAAGAGTTAAAAAACATAATGCAGATGCTTGGCTTATTAATACTGGTTGGGTTGGTCAATCTTTTTCAAAAGGTGGCGAACGATGTCCTCTTAAATATACCAGAATCATTTTGAATGCAATTCATTCCGGAGAATTGGCAAAAGCTGAATATCAAAATTTCCCTGTCTTCAATTTACAGATCCCTAAACATATTGAGGGAATTCCTCCAGAAATTCTTAATCCCTTTGAAAGTTGGAGAGGTACTAAGGGTAAGTCTTTTGTTTTTTTTTAGATATTTATTTATATTATATTTAGAAGAGTTTTATGAAAATCTTTATAAATTAGCTGAGCTTTTTATTAAGAATTTTGAAAAATACAAAGACATGGCTACGCAAAATGTTTTAGATGCTGGGCCAGTTATTTAATTTTTTAGATTATATAATGTCTATTTTTATAAATGATATTTTAATAACTTTTTTTGAATTTTTGGATAATATTGTAGAAATATTTTCAAAAAATAAGTTTCTATGATCATTTTTTAAATATTAGAAAATGATTATAGGTTTTCTGAGATATTATGTTTCTGTCTCTATATCTTCTAATAGTTTATTTTCTTTTAAAAGTGTATCAATTTCATCTGGTGTCCAAATATGATGATAGATCTTTCCCTGCTTATTAGTTCCTATTGTCGCAAATTCAACTAGTAATATTTAAAACAAGTTATATGGAAAAAGAGAAATAACACTTACCTTTTTCATTTGACAATGTTGTACTATCTACTGTTTTTGATAATACTTTAATTGCCAATGAACATGCCTCCTTTAAACTTGTTTCTTTATAATCTTGCTTGAGTAAACTCTGCGCTGATGCACTATTTGCTCCAATACATGTTGCTTTCCAGCCTCCATAGTTCCCTGAAGGATTTGATTGATATAATTGAAAACCACGAATTGGATCATATCCAGCCCACAAAAATGAAACTCCGAAAGGTCGTAATCCTTATTCTATATTAATTTTTTTGCTTTTTATTTTTTATTCTACCTCCATATTGTGTATATCCTTGTTTGACATTACATAGACTTTTTACAATTTCTTCACACGGCATGTTATTTCCATATGTAAGCAAGTATTGTTGTGCAATTCTTTGTGTATAATTAATAAGAATATTTGCATCTGCTGTAATCCCTGCCACTGCACATATCATGTGACTACTTCCTTTAATTTCTTTAAATCAAACAAAAATGATCCTTTACTCATCAATAATATATATCTTCTCTGTTGATATGTTTTTTTCTAATAATTTATTGATTATTTTTTTTTCTGCTGCTAAAACAATCCCATCCACTGACATCACTCCCAATGCCGTTCCCGCATGAGATATCGCTTCCAATGCATATTCAACCTGGAAAAGACGCCCTTTACCACTAATTATACCACTTTTCTCTTCAATTTTATATATTCTATACCTTCTGGACTAAAAATAGTCGTTCTTGAGTCATACCTACCCGTTTTTAATCCCGAAAACTGGAAAATACTTGTAGAATACTCACCTCCTTGACATTTTCAGCAGATATGATCAATTTCTTGATCTTTTCTCCCTAAAATTTCCTTTTTATTTTAATATAAATATTACTTTTTTTTCTGTCGTTCATCTCTGAAATCTGTCGCTGTTTCCTTGGTAACAGTTTCCTTAGCAACTCTATCCATATTGGTTGCCATAACGACCTGCGTTTTGGATTTGAACCTCACAAAAAATATAGATATTTTTATCTGCTTTTTTTGAGTCAAAAAGTCCATTAAAGTACCTTCAAGTACATAATTCATATATGTCTGAATCTTCTGGGTTGTATGACAAAAAAGTTGGATCTTTTGAGCCGCTTCCACCTGGCTGGACGGAACATTTAGGTAGATTTTTTTCTTGATGATCATCTACTAATTGATTGCTAAGCACCGTCTGGGCATCTATATTATTATCATAAAGCTACTCGTGTATCTACATATAAACGTCCTTGCTTGGATTCTTTACCGGAAAAATTAGATAATACTTCATCATCTGGAGCATCTATGGTTTTAGAAAAATCGGAAGATAAATCGAGTTTATTGAAGAAAGATGCTAGTTTTCCTATAGATAAGGAGTCTTCTCTCCGTTTAAAAGCAGATCGTCCGAAATACAAGTGAGATTATGATGGTATATTATAAGCATTATTGATATTTTTGAGGTTTCCAATTGTTAATGCATTTCCTTGGGTTAGAGTAATCACAAAGCGTCGTTGTCAATTTGTGCATAATCCAGAGACAGGAGTTTCTCTTTGGGTTCCTCCAGCAGATGTTTTTGAAGCAATGGTTCATGAAAATAAGAATGGGAAACTTATGAATGAGGTTTTGGATAGATTTGGAGAATCTTCGAGTAATTCGGACGACTCTTTATATAGTTCTGATACCGATGACTCTTCCAATGCTTGTTCTAATAATGAAAATCATGCATCTGCTGATGATTCTTGCAATGATCCTTTTACAGCATTGGATCATACAGAATATACAGAAAATGATATTGCTTGGCAACTTGAAGCTATAGAAAATAATAGTATGATAAACATTGATCCAGAAACAGAAATTTCCGAAGAAGAAAAGGCTCTACAGTTTAAAGTACTTAGATGCTTTGGTTTATTGACCTAGTTTAATTATATATTAGATAATGTTACAAGAGTTAGACGTTAATCCATATCATCCTTGGGATCAGGAGGTTTCAAAGATTGTAATGGATCCACGTTATTTTTGTATGTTTTGTGATGATGTTTGAATTTTTTTGACTTTTTATATAGTAATTAATACTATGAAAGGAAGAAAAGATTTGTTTGAAGAATTTTGTAAGGAACGAATTGCACAACAAAAGAAAGAAATAGAATCTAGACCAAAAAGAGATGTAAGAAAATTATAGTGTGTTATATTTGTATGATGCTTATAATATTTAAGCCTAAAATCTCATTTATAACATTACTTCAAATTCCACAGACATCTAAGATGTATTGGCATGAATTTCGAAGGAAATTTAAGAAAGAACAAGAATACAAAGACTTTGGGATGAATGATAAAGAAAGAGAAAAGCTTTTTAGAGCATATCAAGAGCGTAAGTATAATTGTTAAGAATATTATTTATTCAGCTGTAATAGAAATGAAATATGATAGTAAAAAGAAAGAACAAGACTTCTACGCACTGCTAAAAGAAACATCAACTGTGACAAAAAATACTACACTTCTTTCATTACCTGATGAGGTATTATGCGATTTGAGATATGCTGTAATTCCCTCTGAAAAATTAGAAGAATATATTGATAAATATACTAAAACCCTTTAATTTTAATCTAGCTAGATAAGTGTTTAAAAAATTATTCAAGAATTTGAAATATTTGTCATTTATTCTATAAATTTATCGCGGTTTAATGCCTGTATGTATAGCAACAATCCCAAAGGAAAGATTGTGATATCCATTACCTATCAACTTAAACCCTGCGCTTTCCATCATCTTGGAAAATGTTTTTTGATCAGGATGTTTTACAATTGATTCGGCAAGATATTGATAACTATCTCTATTTCCTACTACAACTTCACCCATAATTGGAATAATATTGAATAAATAATAATTATATAGTGATTCTAAAGGCTTTAAAGATATCCTTGAAAATTCCAAACAGCTAAAAACTCCTCCAGGTTTTAATACACGATATGCCTCTTTCAGAACATCCATAATTCTTGTACAATTTCTAATACCAAATGCAATTGTATAGATATTTATAGATGATGATGCAATATCCGTCAAATTTTCTGCATTTTGTATGAAAAAGTCTATCCTTTTGGCTAAAAAATGTCAATTATTTTTTTTTAAAAAAAAACATATACAATATCTGTAACGACTATTTTCAAGCCTTTTTTTCCCGATCTCTATCATATCAGGATTTATATCTACACATTTTACCCTTGTTTGTGTATCAAAATGAACATCGGTAGCATAATCTAACAAACGAAATGCAATATCTCCTGTCCCCCCCGCAACATCTAAAAGATGCATTGGTTCTTCATTTAATGAGCCTGGATCTAGCCTCTGAACGAATTCATCCTTCCAAAGTCTATGAATACCTAAAGACATGATATCATTCATTAAATCATATGAAGATGCAATAGAAGTAAAAACATTATGAACTAATAATAATGTTGGCTAATTCATAAATGAGTTTTCAACAAACCAAGGTTTTCTTTCTGAGATTCTGGGACCTTTTTAAAACCAAAATGAGTACCATTTTCTAAAATTTGATCTTTCAAAATACGAGGTGAAAAATGATACTGTGATTTGATAATAAATGACGGTTTATATACCAACAGCCTTCTTAATGAAAGCATTGTCTTGTATTTTGTCTGTCTAATTTAAATATATTTGATATGAAACAAAAAATATGTCTTTCATTCAAGTCGAAAAGCAAAGACCCTAACCCTACAGAAGTATATTATGTATTTGAAATGTTATCTTTATCATATTGTTTAAGCCTATACATTATTAATCATGCCCTTCTTTATTTAAAGAACATATAAAATGCCTTTCAAAAATACAAAGTTTTCTATAAAAACGTTTCCATCTTGCTAATATAATATTTCTCATTTTCTGAGAAATTTTTTCATATTCTTCTTCTTTCATAATCTTAAAAGCTAAAGAAATCGCTTCTTCAAATTCCTGTGCAATAATAATACCTTTAATAATAGGAAGAGATAATCTTTTTTCGAATTTGAATCCAACCTAGAAAAATTAGTTGCGTAATTATTTGTAAAAAAACATACAACAGCATCTGCATAGTCAATACCTAATATTTTTGCTGTTAAAGATATGCCGGGAACTATTTTTTTTAATTTTTTAAAAAATTGTATATTTTGCTTACATGGCAAATATATAGCTCCTTGAGGAATCATTGATGGTACAAAAATATCAAGATTACCATATGCATTTCTTGGAACTTTGCCATTGAGGACAGGTGGAGGAATATACAATTCAGTTTGTGATTCTGAATAAAGGCCCACTGTTGCATATTTTATATTACCATTCAATTCATCTGAAGTTGAATTTTTTCTATACTCTGGAACAATTTTCAATGGTTGCTCTCCAAACTTTTCAAATAAAAGATTGTCTTAAGTCTTAACAAAGATTTACCTTAATTTTTCTTCCACGCTGATACCATTTAGTAGCCGATAAAACAGTAACTATATCTTTACGATAAAATATTGGCTCTTTGACCCGATTCCCATTCTTTTTTACTGTTATGAATGAGCAAGGTTTCTTTGAAAAAATAACTTGATTTTGTTTAAGATGCCTTTCTATAATAAATCTAGTCGGATTAATAAATGTTAAATAATATTATTTATATACAATGGATGGTTCTTAAGATCCTTAATATTTTGAGGTATTTTTTCGAAAGTTTCACGCTGTAAAAATTCTTCATCTTCAATTATGTCATAAGGTTGCTTTTTATAATTAATTTGATTCATAATATTAAATTAAAAAAACTTACTGTAACATGGCCTGATTTATAGAAATTTAAAACCTTTTCCCACCATTCTTCATCGCCAACAACTGATTCTAAACGCTGCTTTCTAACTTTGCTATTAAAATGTTTTGTATACCGACGAGTTACATCTTTTACATATCCATCTACAAAAATGAATTAGCAAGTATTGTCATTTATAAAAATATTATAATACCTTCATCAAACGATATAATATAGCCTAATGAATTTTTAGATTTGGAAACAAGTGATTCGAATTTGCTTGGTTTTCCTATTAAATATGAAACCATTGGATCAACAAATATCCATTTTTGTGTAAATGGATTAAGTACTTCTGCCCAATAAAAAGGATGTAATGATTCTTTTATATCACTTATATTATCTATATAAATTTAATATCAAATCATAAGATAAAGTAATAACTAACTACCATCTGATACATTTGAACAATTAGTGATAAAATTATCAAGACGAGGACGCTTAAACGGACGAATTGACTTTATAGATTTCGCATTTTTAGGAAAAGTGGAACAATTAGAATGTTTATTTGCCACTTCATGCATATAATTGTCTTTAGTAATAGATGTATTGTTTTTATTAAAAGTGTCCAAAGTTGAATCATTCAAAGAGTTTGATTTATCAAATCCATATGATAGGGGTTGAAGAAGTACAGTAAGCCTCGTTTTTACATTATTACTGCGTAAAAATGCCACGAATAACTGAGCACCAAGATCGCGAGATCCTTGTAATTCTTCTGCTGCTTTCAAAAAATCCTCAAAACGAAATATATTGTCGTATAACTTCTTAATTTGAGGCTATAACTATAAAAAAAATTATGGAAATTAGAGTCTAAGATATACCTTGTTAATTTGTTCTGGACTTTTCCATAAAGATTTTGATAATCCATATTTATTCTTTTTAAATTTCTTTTTCCAAATATTGACAATTGCTCTAAGAGCTATCATAAACATTTTAGATTTTCTGTATTGAGAAATCTTGACATTTGGATGAAATAATTCTCGAATTTCATACGGTAAAATTGTTTTAAGTTTAGCCTATATCATTTAGATATAATATCATAAATATCATGTTAAAACGTGTAATCTTTTGTCTCTGCAAAAATAATTTCTTAAAGATGCATGTGAAATCAAACAAAGTAAATGCAATTTATGAATCTCAAGACGTAATTTTCTGTCTTTTCCTTTAATTCCATGTCTATAAATATAAATATCATTTTTTCATCGTCCTAATATAAAACAACCTTTTTTTAGATATATTTTCTTCTATTTTGTATTCAAATGTAGTTTCATCTTTCTGTTTTTCTGTATTTTTATTTTCATTTTCTTCTGAATCTATAATCATAAATATTCATTTATTTTCCAAAATTTCATCAATTTTCGAAATACCAAAACCAAAATTCTCCCATTCTATTTCATCCTCATCCATATCGTCTGTTAATTCTCCCTCATATTTCTTTCTTTCTTTTCTTGAAGATGAACTACTTGTTTCCAAAAAAAAAGTTTCATTTGACCATTCTTTTTCCGAAAAAAAAACTTCTTTCATAGTCTACTTCTCTTTAGAAGATATTCTCTTCTATTTTTTTACATCTTCCCTGTTTTTTCCTCTAAAAATATCTTTTTTCTTATATTTTCTTTTTTATCTTCTAAAATCATCAAAAATTGTCAGTTTTTTTCCGTTCAAATTTTACATAGTTCCTTCAGTTCATCCTAAACAGAATCTAATGTAATTTTCCTTTTTTTCTTTCTCTATTTTACCCAATTTTTTTTTTTTTTCTGATTTATAATTTTTAAAGTTGCCACGTCTCGATAATTACTTTAATAAAGCCTGCACGTTTCTGCCCTCTGCGTAGACGACCTCAAAAAATGATGAAAAAAATAGTCTTCTGTTGGCTCTTTTATTTAGAAATTTTCCGTATTTTAGGAGCTTTTTGTTATTCTGAAGAGGATTTCTCTTTGAATCTTGAAAATAGGGATATTTTGCTCGAAATTGGGGATGAAAACCGATCATTTATGCCGATGCTAGAAACGTTGAGTTTATTGGCAAGAAAGCCCTCTTGTTTCCGGTCAGCCGCCTCGTCTCTGATTTCTTTATGCAAAGAATTAGATTCTGACCTTCACGAGGCAGAAAAATCAGCGTTTGCAGTTAAATTGACGCTTTGTGAGTTAGGAACAGCACACGCAGAAGTACCGGCAGCATGCCACCAAGAAAGTCTTGAAAAATGTGTTAAGGAGCTTGAGACACGTCCTCAGTGGTGGACGAGGTTTGTGGATTGGAATTTTATTCTTAATTCTAAAGAAAAATAAGTTATTCTGGATATTTTAGAGATGTTACGCGCATGTAGGTTTTTTGATGAAAAAAATACAAGAATATGGGTTTTATCTTTGTTTTAGGTGTTATGTTGCTCGAACGGAGGTGGAGAAAGGTATTTTTTATATATTTTTTTGAAATGTTAATGTCGAAGATCAATTGCTTGCTTTACATCGAAACCTGACATATGCTCAAATGACTATGCTTCGTAATTTGAGGAGAGAAATGGATGATATTGATCTGAGGATGTATGATAAGTATAAGTTCGAACATATGTGGCAAGATTTTCAAGAAGATATGGAGCGCAATATGTTGATAATGCGAAATGAAATTAAAGAAATGGAAAAAAAAATGAATTTTTTATTATCGATGTTTACGGACTCAATTAATGTATCTATTGAAGATGTTAACAAGAAATTGTATAGAGTTACTACAGATTTGGATAAAGTTGTCGAAAAAGTTGAAGAAGTATTTATTTTTTTTGGATATTTAAACTTTAATTGATGATGATAGGCGGGTTCTCACTTGGAGAAGGAAATAAAAGATATTGGTTTATCTTCCCGTGAAATGTGGAGTACAGCAGGGGAAACTGTTTTAGATAGTTTCGAATCGATAAAAAAGGTTAGTTATTTAAAAAAAATCGAATGACATATATATATAAATAGATGAATAATGATCTATCAAATATTCAGCGCAATAATCTAGACTCGATTGTTAATCTTTTGAATAAAATATTTATATCTTTGGTAATATAATCTCATTTTAAAGATATATTGATCATTTTATTTAGGATTTCTCTTTTGGATCTATTGAAGGTCTTTCTCGACAAATATTATCTACATCTACGGTATTGCGAGTTTATTATTTGATATATTTTAAAAATAACAGGTTGCTGAAACTTTTTCAAAAACATTGAAAAATTTAACACATTTATACAATGATTTGTTTTCATCTATGTCTTCTATTGAGGTTTTTATTTTTTTTTTGGAATAATATCTAATTTTATATAAGGCTTTGCAATCAAAAATTGGGAATGGGTCTCTCTCAACCATTAGGTCTATGTCTGCTTTGGTAAATGAAACAATGGATAGTTTATTAGATCAAATACAACAACTTAAAGATACCACAAAAAATGCTCAAAACCATATATATTCTTGGATATTTTCGAAAATACCTTATGCGCTTATGTGTTTCTTTATTTTTTTTTCCCCGATGTATAAATCTATAGGGATATCTTTAGTTTGTATGTTATTTTTAAATTAAGACACTGTTTTTAATATGTATAAGTTTTATATTATTTTTGGAGAAAGTTAATTACATCTATCGAACATTGGAATATTTTGAATTTATCATATTGGCCATATACAATTTTGAATATTTATAGAAATATTATTTGTTTTTTAGTTTTTTTTGCTTCTGCTTCTTTTTTTGTATATTTTCTTAAAAAATATAGGTATGTTTATTTGTATTTTGTATGTATTTAACTTATTTCTAGGAAATTTACCCAATATTCAATACCCTCTTTTTATAAAGTTTATCAGGAATTATTTAAAATTAATCAAAATCCAAGTTGGCAACGTCTTTCTGCAGCTAAAAAAACAAATAGAATTTCACGTATTTTTTAATTTGTTATATTGATATTTAGTGGAAGTCATGGAATTTGTATGAGATTTAAAATTATTATTAGAAAATCTCTGATTATTTTATCAAAAAAAACTAAATAAAATTATTTAAATATCTGGATCTGGAATTTATATAAATGCTTGTTTAATATGTATTTGTAGATAAATATATACATAAATAATATTGTCTTGTGTATTGCATAATTTTCTTTCATTTATTAAGAAATTGTCCTTTGTCTTTCAAATATTTTGTATTATAAATTGTTTGATGCATTTTACTCCGAATATAGGAAAAAATTAAGTTGATTTATTTATTCGATTTTTATAGCAAAAAATATATTGGTTGCATCTGCAGATATTGTTAATATTATTTTTTAAGGATGCAAGATTCAGCATTAGAAACAGAATTATCTTCAACTTTTCCACCGCCACCAAGACATTATAAATTATTTACTAAAGAGAATCTGGATGCTTTTAAAGAAAAAAAATATGATTTCATTCGTGATTTGGATAATTTAGGTGTTTATGATGCAACAAATACTTGTAGCCCTAAGTTAGAGAGGTTTTTTACGCCTCCGAAAGCACCTACCAAAGGATTTTATCGGTGTTTCCATGAGCAGTGGAAAGTATATAAAAAAGTGTGTTTTTCAATATGCTGAAATATTGAAAGATCCCAGATGAATTACCGTCACTTTCTGATTTCGGCATTCAAGAACTTTTTGATTCAAGTAATGGTCCACTTTGTGCACAAAAACGTGTAAATGAACTAAAAAAAATGTTAAAAAGTCTTTTACTTAATTTTCTTGAGTTGGTTGGGATCATGTCAATTGCACCTGAACAGGTAGATAGATGTTTTGATAGTTTTATCTAAATCGGGATCAGTTTGTTGAAAAAGTAGAACATATTCGAATTATATTGTTAAACATGCATCATCTTATTAATGAATATAGACCTCATCAGGCGCGTTTTTAATAAATAGAATCTGTTTATTTTTTAATATTGATGATTAGGCTCGGCATACATTGTGTCGCCTTGTCGAAAAACAAGTTCAAGAAGAAAAAGAACAATTGCTTGCCTGCGAAGATGTTTGTAACGATATAAAGGATACGATTCATGCGTATAAGAGTATTCTTGAATTTAATCCTGATCAACAGTTGTCTGTTGAAGTTGATGAAATAAAAATGGAGAAAGAAACACAAGATTCTCATATTTGGACCATAATTACAAGTAAAATAATTTTAAACGGCTAGATCCGCTTCTCTGTCAGTTAATTGATTCCTAAAAGGCTCAAGTGCTTCTTCAACTTGAGTATTTAGAAATTCTTCAGTTTGTTCAGGTGCACGACCAATAAACGTGCTTGGATCTAATAAAGTGTCTAACTCGGCCCAAATGGGTTCGAAATATACATCTCTTTGTATTCTTTCAATCAAATCGTTATCTTTTCCTTCTTCTTTTACCATACGTGATGCTTCTTTTGAAAGAATTCTAATTTTTTCATGACACATTTGACGATCACCACCTTTGCGTACCATTGCCATAATAATGTTCTCTGTTGCCATGAATGGAAGTTCTTTTGCAATTATCTTGGAAATAACGTTTGGATATACTATTAAACCTGATGTTATATTCATTAACAGCTCTAATATTGCATCTGCGACAAGAAATGCTTCAGGAATACATATTCTTCTATTTGCGCTATAAAAATTGTAGCTCATTACAGAAATAACATAATATATATTTACCTGTCATCTAATGTTCTTTCAAACCATTGTACTGAATGGGTCATTGTTGTGTTCAAGTATAATACATTTAAATGTCTTGCAAGTGCACAAATCCTTTCTGATCGCATTGGATTTCGTTTGTATGCCATAGCACTTGACCCTATCTGTCCTATATCAAATGGTTCTTCTATTTGTTTTTCGTTTGCTAATAATCGAAGATCTGTTGCCATTTTATGTGCAGATGCTCCAAACGATGCTAACGGTCCTAAGATGTCAATATCTACTTTTCTAGGATATGTTTGCCCTGTTATCACATATGTACGATTAAATCCTGATAATTCTGCTACACGTGTTTCAACTTGTTTTACCTGTTATTTAATAAGTATTTTTTTAACTTTTTGATTCACTACTTTATCATGATCTTGATCAAATAATGCAAGAAACGATGCCTGTGTTCCCGTTGTTCCTTTAATCCCTCGGAAACACAAATCTTCTCTTGCTCTTTTTAAATTTCTCAAATCCCAAACATAATCCTATGTTTTTATTAAAAAAATGTTTTTTAATTAAAAATACAACCTGAAGCCATAATGCTCCTCGTTTTCCAACCGTCGTCAATTGTGCCGGTTGATAATGTGTATATCCAAGTATAGGCAATCCTTTATATGATTTACAAAACTTTGAGAGTCGATGTATCACATTTGCTAGCTTGTTTAATAGAATATCCAATCCATCCCGCATAATAATCAGGTCTGCATTGTCCATAACATAACACGACGTAGCACCTAAATGTAAAATACTACTTGCTTCTGGTGCTACTTTAGTATATGTATAAATATGTGCCATTACTTCATGTCTTTATGTGTCAATTGAGTTTTTCAACTATAAAAACATACTTGCAGCGCTGTTCTTCATTACGAGCAATTTCAAATTCTTCTTCTGTGATCTCTGCATGTTTCTTAAGAGCTTTAAGAGCACTAGTACTGATTTGTTTAAGTCCTGCTTCGTGTTGAGCTGTTGCAAGATCAATCCAGAGTTTTCTCCAAAGATTAATGCGATTCCTCTGTGAAAACAATGAAAGCATGGCTGGTGATGAATAACGCTCGTGAAATGGTGTTACATAAGTGTCAAAAGAGGTACCGGATGGTGCAATTGTGTGAGTCATTCAATTTAAAGGTGTAAATATATAGAAAAAAGAATACCGGTATGATCAATCAATAAGATAAGGCATGTATGCGTGAGTTATTCGAGTTATATGCGCTGATTTATTGAGTTGTATGCCTAATATACATAGATCATCGTAAATCTTATGATCAATGTTGAGCAAAAAATATAATAATTAATAAATATTCTTTTATACACTTTTTAAGGCATTTTATTTGATTTTACATTAATAAGTACGTATTTACTTAAATATATAGAAAATATACGCAATATATCTAAGCTATATATCTTATATATGTATTTTCTATATATTTTATTTAAATATTAATAAATTTATATTATATCTGAATTCTAATAATATATCTATTAAATAGCCTTTGTATATGCATATATAATCTTTATTATATGCATTATTTTATCTTTTCTTTTATATAAATATCTATTAAAATATAAGCGTTTTCTTCCTTGATTTATCGAATTGTATGCACTTTATAATTGATATTTACTTTTTATGGAAGTTTGTTTCTTAATTCTGAACTACATTACCCTTTTCTATCACTTTTTACCTAATAAGTCTATTTAACCCCTGTTACTTCTTTTTGAATAGCAAAAATGTATAAATACAGGAGGTTTGCTTCCAAAAGTTCACACAAACTATGTAACCGATTGTATCCAAAATACAGGTGAATATTGTCTATTGTTGAATATTATATGCTAAATGTTTAGTTTACCAGTGGATAAGCAAAATGAACTAGATATATTGGAGGCAATTTCTGAGGATATAGTTAAGCTGCATAAACGTCTTGATATTTGTGGACGTCTTAATCATATATCTATTTGTTTTGATCCAGTTTATTATGGGGATAATGTTTTTTTATATGGATTAGATTTGGCAGGAAATACAAATACTTGGTATATTTCTTAAGATTATATTAATTAGGTTTAATAATAGGATCAGTATTTTTTATAAAGCTTGCGAAATTTGTCGGATACTGGAGAAGGCTATTCGTTTACATATTGATGTTTATAAAAGGGTTAATGAGGAAATAAATGTAATTAGTGGATTAGAAAAACTTTCTTGTCTTGAAACATGTGTTTTTCGCTCTTTGTGTGTATTTGACGACCTAATTTCTTTGAATTACGTTGAAAAGGGTATGTTTCTTATAGCGTTGTTTAAGGTTTTGGATTCTGAGATTCTTGAGTATTTTCCTTTTTTTTAATGTTATTTTTTATATATTATTTTCTAGATGGTTTTGTTTTGGAGGTCATAAAAAAGAAATGAATGCTTTATTGGTCTTTTTGAATGATTTATTTAGGGATAATTCTTCTGTTTGGTAATGATAAAAATGAGAAGTGGATTATAATTAAAGAATTTTTTAGTGATATTTTGTTTAACAATGATATGGGGAAAGAGATGATGATTTTATTTTTTTCTTTTTCTGAAAAAATGTATATGGATGAAATATCAAATAATTTTGAATTGTTGTATGTTTTATGGAATTTAGATATCGTTTTTAGCTTATTAAATTTAGACAATCTTTATTTTTTTCATTTATACAAAATGATAAAGTACATGAATTATTTGTCTTGATGAATAAGTAGATATGGGTTATTTTAACGTGTTTGATTGAGTTAGACCTAGATCTGGTTTTCAAATTAGTGATTCTCAATTGGTTTTTTTGAAATTTTTGAATACATTTCTTTCTAATTATACTAATCAAAAAATCATAATATCTGAAAAAATGTGTGAATTCATAGAATCTATGTTAAATTTATTCTGTTTATCGATGGTTGAAATAGTAAAAACGCAAGTATTTGATAGCAATCAAATATTCATAAAAAGTCAAAAAATACTAAAAGCAACTGAAATATTGATTTCTTGTGCTTTTCATGTGTCAAAGAATTCCAAGGAAAAGCAATTACTTTTGAAAAATGATTTATTAAAAAGCTTAATAAGTTAGTGCTTAGCTATTAAATTATTTTGTTCTTATTTAATTTAGATCTTCTACAATCTATAGATGATTATAGTATGACGCAAAATAAAACAAGTAAAATTTTAAGCAATAATTCTAATAAAGTTTCATTTCCATATTTTAAAAGAGATATTATACAATTATTATCTACATTATGTTTTAGAAACAAGAAAGTTCAGGATGATATACGAGAGTTACATGGTTTGGGTTTGATATTATCTCAATGTAGAATTGATGATGAAAATCCATGTATTATCTAATTTACTGTTTTTCTTTGGTTGACATTATAGAAGATTTAAGAGAGTATGCAATATTTTGCTTGAGAAATGTGCTTGAAGATAATGAGAAAAACAAAGAGCTTTTAAGGAATATGAAACCTATTGGATTACAAAATTCTGAAATTACTGATAAATTGGGTCTGACATTGGAAATAATGAATAAAACACGTATTTCAATATAATAGAATATACATTTAAAAGGATATATATAGGTATATTAAATGTAAAAGATAGTTTTAATATGTTTTCTGATGTATTACGTATATATTTATTAATTTTTTTCCTTATATTTATTGCAAATTTTTTCAATATCTACGATTTCTTTTACTGCATCTTTACTTAGTATGATTGGGTTTTCTTTGCCTACTTGTATACTGTCTTCAATTCTAACCCCAAGTCCTCTAAAATGTTTTGGAAATTTGGGTAGATCTGGTATATATAAGCCAGGTTCTATTGTAATCTTGGAAAGTTAGATGATATTCTTTAAAATTATATAGAAAATAACTGTTTGATTGTTTTTTAAAAGCCTTTTTCCAGGTAATTTAGAGCAATCATGTACTTCTAGTCCTAAACTAATTGATAATAGTTATATGTATATAATTTATTATATACCTATATGATGGCCTATATAATGAGGATACAATATATCATATAGATCCTTGTATTAATCAGTAATGCAAAAATATATTAAAGTAGTGTACTGAATGTGAAATATTAAAACCTAATTGTTTCAATTCTATTTTTAATAATTCAGCACTATGTTGGTGTATCATATCTAAAGATAAGGCATGTCTTTCTGAACATAATTGAATACAGGCTTTTTGTACATTTAACACTGCTTGATAAAGATCTTTTTGTTGTGGTGAAAAAAATCCGTTAACTGGCCATGTTCGAGTGATATCTGTTACATAATTTCCATATTCCTATAGAATTATTTAAAATTATTCTTAATGCTCAATATTACTTACACCACCTGCATCTACAAGGACAAGATCACCATTACTTCGTTGTATTAGTTTGACTGGTTTGTTTTATGGCTTAATTTTACCGCAATTGCATGTTATTCATTGTATAATGAATAATTAATGCATTCTAAACGGTATTAACATATTTAATATATATCTTTCATTATTTTACTTTGCCACCTGCAATTACAGGAACATAGGCTTCATCACAATCCCTTTTTTTAAGTTCATAAGATAATTTAGCCCATAATAATCCCTCTGTTTCTGGCGATACTTGCATGGTAGCGTTTAAAGCAGCAGCAGAACGAGACGCTGCTTGTTCCATAAGACTTAATTCAGCCTCGCTTTTGATTTCTCGTAATTGATGAATCCATGGAGTTATTGGTAAAATTGGATATGATAAAAGACGTTTACAAAGTTTGTCTAATATATCGGATGCATTTGATTTAGGCTTAATTGACGAAATATTTATGTTAAATGGAATTTCTGCGTAAATCTGTGTTGTGCGGTGAATAGATTTGCTTAAAATATTCTCTGCTTCTTGAAGATCATATACCTAAATAATATAAACTATTTTTTTAGTCTAAAAAGATAACTCTGACTTACTTCATCAATGAAGAAAATATCCTTCGCTACTTCAATACCAGTACGTGGGCCCTCCCAACGCTCTTCTTCTGGATTTTTATTACGTAAAAAAAGATATGATTTAAATCCATTAAAACTATGATCTCTTTCTACAATAGATAAGTCGAAAATGAATATTCTTAATATAATACCCATTGCGAATATAGAATAAGGCTCATTTACGCCTTTTAATTTGAATAAAATTTCAAAAATTGCTTGATATACCTGTTAAATAGAAAAAATTAGGATATTGGTGAAAAACATAGCTATAATTATTAGAAAACATTAATATTGTATTAAACTGCTAGATTTTCGATTTTTCTTACAAAGTGGATGTAGTTTTATACATTATTTGTGCACCTATCAATACAACAAGACTATGAGCAGGTAAAGTAGAAGCAAGTTGAGAGCGGCGAGTGGCATATTCAGCTGCAGTAATACCAGGTGTTACTGAAAGAATCAGTTTAAACTGATATATGTAAATTAGATTTTGACCAACATTCAGTTGGCTTGATAAGATGCGGATGAGTTGTATAAATGGCCTGTCCGTACAAAGAAAATTGTTTGTTTATAGAGAAGCATCTATTTGCATAGAAAATAAAGTGTAAAACATGTCGGGTCCTGTAACTAATAATATTCACTATCATACTTGAGATAATCTTGATAACGATAATACCATATATTCGAATTCTGTTGAGAAGCTAATATATAGGTTTTAGTAGGCAATATATAGAAAACATAATTATAGATAGATTCAATGTATAAATGATATTTTATGACTTGATAAGTTATAAGAGAGCTTATGTTCGATGTCGAATGAAAAGAACTTTAAAGAATCGGTTAGTATGAAGTTTCAAAGGAAATAGACGATGACGTAGGGTTTGTTGAGGCTGTCTTGTTGATATTTGATTGGTATTTTGCTGTGGAAGAGAAACAGATGCTTCATAAGTAGGAAGAGATTGACTAATGGGTGTAGCAGTGATAGAAGCAGGGTGATTTGCAGTATAATAAGATGGAACTTGAGAGAAATCATTGAAAAAAATGTCTTCTCCTTGTTGATGTGTTTGTTGAATACCAGTATCAGTAATTGCATTAAAAGAATGACCATTGGTCCCTACAGAAAATGGTCTGGAAAAATTATGATAGATTTCAGATTCTTGTAACGATGTTTGATTAGTTGATTCAGTAGGTAGAATTATATATGGTGTATTGGAAGGTATGAAATACTGACTTGAATGATTATTAGCCTGATTATGATCATTTTCTTGATCCTGAATGGCATTTTGCAATTCTTCAACATATTGCTGTCCTTCCAAATCATTAGATAAAGATCTTGTAGGGTTTACATCATGAGAATATGTTGAATTAGTTGAATTGTCTATAATATGTGATGGTGCTATTGTTTCATGGGCAAAAGATTGGTTTGTATGAATAGAAGAAACGCCATCCCAAATACGGTCATAAACATGGCTATTATAGCTTGGAAGCTGAAGCTCCATAGCAGAAGGATAAGCATAATGCTCATTACTAACAAACATGGCGGGAGGAATGAGAAGAACAATAGGTAAAGAAGCACGAAGCTAAAAAAATAAGTGGTTGCTTTTCAAATGTTAAAATAATACCTCAGAAATATGACCATCTGGATTAATAAGAGTAATTACAATTTTTAATCTATAAAAATGTAAGATAATATAGAAAGATAAAAAATGACCTACTTATGTCTCACTTTAATATGTTTAACATCGCAATTTTGAATACAAGACGATAATGAACTTGGTATATTTACAGTTTTTTGCAACTTCCATTCGTTTTCATTTTCCGGTAAGTTTTTAATCTTAGAAGCTGAAATTTGACGAGCAATTTCATATTTAGACGGTATGCCATGATATCCGGATGTAATTTTTAAAGTAATATATTCTCTTAAAGAACAAGAAATTTTTGAGATTTTAAGATTCTTTATCAAAGGAACAAATCGCATATTAATAGGGATCATAGTGCCCAGTTCATAGGTTTTCGTAGGAATATTAATATTATATTCAATTTTGTTTATCCATGTATCTTCAACATACTAATGTTAATCAGATAAAGATACTTATCTTATTTGTTTTTTAATATACCATTGTATGAATAAAATTCAAAGAAAAAGGTGGCATAGTACGTATGATACGAACATGCTTCAGCTCATTAGTTTCTAAAAAATGTATAATTTATATAAAATACTTTTCTATGAATGATATTCGAAAGAAACCTGGGCCTTTTTATCGTAACTTTCATCTTGTAAATAAGAAATGCCATTGATTCTCCTTGTTCATAAGGCTCGATAGACTCTGGAATATCTATTCATATAAATAATCCTATACTACATAATAAAAATATATATACCTCCTGGAATATGGATTTCAAACGGAAATTCATAGTTTCCTGTTCATATAAATTGAAAATATTTAGTTTATATTAAAAAATACCCTTTCCGATTGTTTTTGTTCCATGAAATGGAAGAAATGATATTTTTTTCTCAAAAACAAGAGACATTTGCTTCTGATTACGTTCTACTGGCATCCTTGCTGATGACATAACTACTTCTGTCCATCTAATCTTCCTAAATATTGAAAAACCTTATAATCAAAAATAATACTTGACTTTATTCACTCCATAAAAACGAAACATGATAGATTCAACAGAGATAGAGTCATTTAACGAGAATACAACACTTCCATTTACTGTAACCCCTTCTGCTTCTGTATCGTTCCCACGTAAAATAATAATATTAGGAAGAGGTGTTTGAAGTCTTATTTATTAATAAATATCCATAAAAAAATATCTTTTCATAAATAATAATCACCTTATATCAAATAAAGATATTACATGAGGCAATCTTCCTGAAATATTCATCTTTTAATAATTTTTAAATTCAAAAAGCTTGTAATATCTATATTTCTTGTTAGTTTTTTTTGAAAAAAAGACATATCTATATTCTTTTTCAAATATACCTTATCTTTTTGTTTATTATTATTTATTTCTCTATGAATTTATGGCTTTTTCTCCTGAATATACATTTTTTTTACGCTTTTTAACCCTTAGATGCCAGATAAAAATTTAAACGTCATCAAGTTATTATATAATGATAATAAATATATATGATTGTTAGTTTTATAGAGAAAATGTATGATATAAAAGTGAAAAGAAGTATATGTAGCATCCTATGAGTCCATTGTAATAATTAATTTATATTTGTCCATTTATGTGGAGAAAAAAATAATAGATTTTGTATATAAGTTTGCCTTGAAGATAGATAGAAAGATTGTTTTTTGTTTTGTTGTTTTTTTTGACCAGAAATGATATATTTTCGTGTTTAATAATTAAGTTTGAGAGCTGTAATAGAAAAATAAGTAAAAAAATGAAAATACTGAGGAATGAGAAAGCGTTTTAAGATAAATAATGTATGTGTAGAAGGAGAATTAAATGGTAAGTATTATGGTCTATCCCATATTTGAATAAAATCTAAGAAAAAATAAATAAAGATAAATCTAGAAATGAAAAGTTGTTAAAATAACTTTTTTTCCCTGAAATAGCTATAAAATTTTGGCAAAATATTAGCCCAGTTAATGATTGATCGCTTAGTATTTTAGACTAGATGAGTTAGTTGTAAATGTTTTAGTAATATTATAGCAACCATGATAGGAGAAAGAATAGATACAGATGCTTGTGACATTGGTGCATGGTCAAAAGGTTCAGAAGATATGTGTAAAGACTTTTTTTGTGTTTCAGTGTCTTGAGGTGTTTTGATAGATTTGTAGTTGTTTTTGAGAGGAAAATAACCATTGGTTTGATTAAACTATATATGTTTTAAAAAAATAAGGAAATAAAATACATACATCCTTGGATTTATTGAAAGTATCTGCGTTAAATTCCCATAATAATAGTCGACCGTCTTCTCCAACACTGCCAAATCTGTAATGGTTTTTATTACATCTCCACGGATCAAATGCGACACCAGTTACCCAGGATTGATGACCTTGACAACGATAAACAATTCTTCTATCTAAAAACGACCATATAGTAACCAAATCATCTTCTCCCCCTGTCTATACAAGCCTTAAGTAATAATTCTTAAATTATAAACTTACCAATATATATTGTCCATCTGGAGACCAACATACACAAATAAGTCCACCATACCAACTATGATAAGTATCAATATGTCTAATATTTATAAATATCAAGAATTTAAATAAAATGCAGTACTTTTCATTCTTATAATCTATTAGTTTTAATGTACCATTAGAAAATGCTACTGCAACATGACAAGAGACTGGAGAAAATGAAAGAGCTGAAGAATATTAGCTATAAATATAGAATATTATTGTAATAATACATGTTGGCGAATGTTTATATAATTGCCAATAAGAAATTGGATTATATCTTTGATTTTCTGTATCAGATAATGATTTGAGTACTTTAAATTCATATGAATCTGACTTTTCTATAAAACTTTCATTTTGCACAAAAAAACATTTCTCTTTTTCTTTATTATATATAATTAATGAGCCATCATTATGAGCAGCCATAAAAAGATCTTCAGTGCCAGGTATCCATTTTATACAATTGATAGGTGATGAATTAATAACACCCTGTTGATTTATTAATTAATTTTATTGAATCTTCTAGAATTACTTGTTTATTTAAGTGTGTATATTTTGTACTAATTGGATCAAACCAAATAATATCTGATGTTGAAAAGCCAAAAACAGTGTCAATCTGATTGATACTTCGTGTATATTGATTCGCATCATGGCATGTAATATATGCTTTAGAAAAAATAATTTTTGAAATAAATTCTTCCTGATAATCTTAGATATAGATTTCTTTTATTTTCATATATACCTTAACCTCTGAAAATATTCCAATCCAATTGAAAACTTTTTCTACATTCGAGAAAATATAAATAATATCTGATGTTTTAGAAGCTAAACATTTTGTCATGTCATCATGTAAAATAATTCTTGAAATAAACGATGAGCTTGCTTTTAATATGCTGTTTTTGGGTTTAAGTTTCTTTACAGGAACATTTGTATTTTTTAGATGGAGTGGATAGTGAGATTTCATAGTATTATTCTCTTTTGATGTTTCTGGAACGTTTCCTGCAAAAGATATTCGATTAGAAAATAAATTTGTTGGAAAAGGGCCGTATTCATTCATATTCTTCGATTCTAGCGATATATCTTTTATTAGATCTGTCCCATTTGGTGATACTGATGACATAGAATCATTTGTTTGATCTAATGATAATTCATCTTTAATTGATAAATTTTTGTCTTCAAATAACGGCTTCATTTGAGACGGGTATTTGTCCTGTCTGATATCTACTATACTAATTTCCATTTTATTTGTTATAGGTTTTATATCAATTGATAAAGGATCTGTATTAACATTTTCTAAAGAATATGGAATAGAATTTAGAAAAAACTGCTTTCTGAGATCGTATACACCTTCCTCTAATGAAAACTGATGTTCTTGTCCCGATAATGACTCTGCAGTGTCCATTGTTGTATATTTAAAAAAAGAAATGTTTAAATCTCAACAATAGCTTTAATTTTAAGGGATTTTTTTTAAAAAAAAGATAATAGAATATGCTCTTTATTTATAAACAATATTTAGCATCTTATATCCTGAAATTTTTTCCTTTTTCCATAATTATAAAGCTATTTAGATATATTTAATTTTAATTGAATTTTAATGGTATTAAGTCAAAAAAATCCGGGAAAAAGCCTATAACGCAGTTTTACTTTCTATTTCTTGTTATTTTATCTGTTTATTTGTCAAAAAAATGCTTTTTTTTCTTATTTTTTTTTCTTACTAAATTATTTACTCAGCTTTTGTTTCTCGAGATTGTCTTAGATCTAACCTCATTTTTTTTAAAAAAAAAAAATGTATTTTTAGAAACAATTGTTGGATATTTTTCCTATATTTTTGTAGAATTGGATTCTAGTCCTAATTAAAGCCTGGTATCCAAAAAAGAACGGGAAAAAACTGATTATTTTGGGGGAATTAGCAGAAAATCTTTTAGATCATGACAGATATTAGAATTGTTGTTGTAGGCGATGACCATGTAGGAAAATCGAGTTTAATTACGTCTCTTGTAAAGGTTGTTAAGGAAAATGTTCTTTTTTTCCTCTTTTCTTACGTCTTATAGGAGACATTTGTCTCCAATATTCAAAAGATAAGACTATATATATGATGGAAGTTAATCTGATTTTAAATAGGTTATTCCGCCTATTAGTGTCCCCGATATATATAGTAATACCAATACAATTATTGTTGATACATCTTCGGATCCAGTAGACCGTCCAGTGCTTATAAAAGAATTACGTAAAGCAAATGTGATTTGTTTAGTTTATGCAGATAGTTATAGTGAAGAACGTATCTCTTTATTTTGGCTTCCATTTTTTAGATCTCTTGGTGTTAATGTGATATTTATTTTTCATATAATTTTGAGTTAATATGTTTAGTTACCAGTTGTACTTTGTGCTAATAAATGTGATAATTTGGAGAAAGATGGATCCCAAGTCATTGAAGAAGAGATGCTTCCTATTATGAAGGAGTTTAAGGTAATTTTTGTTTAATTTTTTGTTTAAAATGGGTTTGCTTATATGATAGGAAGTTGAAAGTTGTATTAGGTTGGTAAATGATTTTTTATTTATAGGATTATAAGTGTAGCAGATCAAGTGGAAAAACTCATAAGAATGTAAACGAGGTTTTTTAGATATTTTCTTTTGTTTTTGTTTAATTATAAGGTGTTTTATTTATGTCAACGAGCGGTCACTCATCCTATAGCTCCTCTTTTTAATGTAAAAGAACAAGTATAGATGGATTGTTTTTGTTTTATTTTTTATGTTTTTATTAGGACTTGAAACCTGCAGCTATTGTTGCTTTGAAGAGGATATTTTGTAAGTTATTGTATATATAATAGTGATTGTTTATATTGAAATCCAGTTTTGTCTGATAAAGATCATGACGGCATATTGAATGATACAGAGTTGGATTCTTTGCAAAGAAGATGCTTTGAAAAGTCAATGACACAGTCAGATTTTGATGATATTAAGTTTTCTGTTTCAAAATTGTCATCTGAAGCAATAAGGAATAATGGTTTAACAGAAACTGGATTTTTGATGCTGAATAAGCTTTTTTCTATAAAAGGAAGACATGAGACTACCTGGCAAATTTTAAGATCTTTTAAATATACTGATAGTTTAAGTTTGAAAGATGATTTTCTTAATCCTAAGTATATGAATTCTTATTATCATCATTGATTAATAAAAAAAGAGTTGAAGTTAGGTCTGATCAAAGTGTAGAGCTTAGTCCTTTAGGATATCGTTTTTTGGTTGATTATTTTTCATTAATGGACAAAGATAATGATGGTGCTTTAAATTCCGATGAATTAAATGCTTTATTTGTGTCTACTCCTGGGCTTCCAAAGTTATGGCTTCTTTCATCGTTTCCAGATTCTACTGTTAGAAATGAGATGGGATATGTTACCTATAATGGATGGCTTGCTCAGTGGAGTATGACGACACTTTTAGATTATCCAACAACCCTTGCATATTTTGCATATTTAGGTTTTGAATCGCCAGGAAAAGAAGGAACAATAGATGCATTGCATTTAACAAAACCTCGAAAAAGAGGGAAAAAGTCTGTCAAAGTAGATAGAAATGTTTTTTTGTGTTATGTTGTTGGGAAAAGAAAGTCAGGAAAAAGCTGTTTACTAGACTCTTTTATAAATACTCCTTATAATCCGAAATATATTCCTACAAAAGGCCATAGAATAGTTGTGAATAGTGTTGAAATTCAAAGTATTCAACGATATCTTGTGGTAAGAAAGATGAATTATCTAAATAAAAGCTAAAATATATAAGCTTGAGGAATTAACAGATAATGAAAGCAGTGTTTTGAGTAATCCAAAAAAAATAGATTCTTGTGATGTATTATGTTTAACTTATGATTCATCAGATCCTGAGAGTTTTGGCTATTTGTTAAAATTACATGTTTGATTCTTATCTATTATCAATATTGGTTAATTTTAAAAGGAAAAATATCCAGAAATAAATTCGATTCCATGTGTTTATGCTGCTACAAAGGCTGATCTTGATCGTCAACAGCAGGTTTAGTATTCTGATTATTGGTTTTTATTTTTAAATGATAATAGAGGTGTGATATTCAGCCAGATCAGTATACTCAAGCTCAATGCCTTCGATCTCCAATCCATGTTAGCATACCATGGATGTCAACATCCGATTTATTTGTACAGGTAATAATAAAATAAATCTAAGAAAATGGATTAATCAATATAGTTAGTTGAAGCTGCGCAAGCTCCATATTCTGCTACACCTAGGTTTGTATAAATAAAAAGTAATCCTATAACTAAAAAACTAGGAAAAAAACTGAGAGTGAGACTTCAAATATAGCTTTTTTATTAGCGACTACTGTGTTTGGAACTCTTGTTCTTTCTATTGGAGTACATTTGTTTTTTAGAAAACCCTGATATTTAAATTATATAAGAATTTTGTAATTAGTTGCTGATATATATGTATAATTAGCATAAATAAACTATTGATATCTAAAAAAGATATTATCAAATTACAAAAAAAATAAACCGAATAAAATAAACACTAAATGTCTTTAGATCAGATACCATAATACTCAAATAACAAAAGATATTCTATTTTAAGTTTTGATTTTCTTGTATTTTCAATGTATAATTATTTGTTTAAATATAGTGCATATTGTGCATATTTTCATTACAGAAATATCTGCATTTAATATATTCGCACATAATATATCCATACTTAATTTTGCTTGGCTATAATAAAGGTTGTTGTTTTCAAGTTAAGATAATTGTATGTATGTTATTAAATTTTTTATCATAATCATATGAGAAATGGTATATTATAACCATTGTATTAGAACACAATTGGGTTTAAAGAACCAATAAAATAAAGAGTATACATTCTATAGTCTAAATTCAGACTGTTATATTTTAAATACTTCTATTTAAATTAGAATTCAGCAATTAAAAAAAACAAAAGTTACGTTATATTTATTTTTTTTATATATTTCTTTATTAGAAATCTTATAGTCTTTTTAGTATGATTTTGTATAGCCTTATGAATAAAATTATACTTAGAAATTTACTATGAATAGTTATGTTTATATAGTTTATTTTTAGATTTTAATATGATTTGATCCTTATTAGAGATATATAATTATACATAAAATTACTTAAAAGAACTTGTTGATAAAGAGGTAAGAGAGGATCTGAAAGCCTAAAATGAACAAAAAGATAAATGAATTGTTCGAATTGCATAGGTAATTGAGTAAAATCAAATGATCCAATTTGAATAGGTTTTGAAGTATAATTACTTATACATTTCTTGCCTTTTACGTATTTTGTAAGAAAATATTTTGAAGCTTCAGAAATAGGCTTTTTACTTAATAGTTTTTTCCTATAGTTAGAAATTAAGGAAAATGTGTTTGTATCATCTTTTTTTCTACTAGAGCATTTTTCTAAACAATTATATCTACATTTTGATTCCTTATTCTGAATAATATTGAAATATCTAGAGCAAATATTATTGAACCCAGTTATATCTGGATCATGATTGTTTATGTTTTCAGTTTTATTGTTTTTTTTTGACCTTTGGTTTTTTAAACTAAGATATTTCTTATTGTCCTCAACAGTAAAAAATTCCTTTATTTTTTGATAAAGTTAAGCTGATAATATTCCCTGTCTTGATAATTGAAAAGACTAGTAACACATATATTAGCATCAACTATTTGAACATTTTTAGCAGGCTATAAGAAATAAGTAATAATTACTTATTTTTATAATAATTTTTATTTGGATGAGATGATATAATATTAGCTTTGATGCCACAATGAATTAAAATCATCATAATATCCAATCTTGTGTACGATATAACGTAAATATTTTATTATTTTCATTACGTAAAGGTTTATGTGAAATTCTTATAGAATTCAAATATTCCTCATTTTCCTTTGAAAATGCATTCAAAAATTGAAGCTTGTTTATCTGGAGTTCTAATGATGACATTAGAGTATCTTGCAGATGCTTTTTAAACGTCATAATTGAGGAACCAGACTCTCTATTTTGATATAACTTCTTTTTAACATTAGTAAACTTTCTAGGCATCTGTTTTCAAGGACGAATTGATAAAGATCTGCCATCTTTAAATTTATATGGTGTTTGGATTTGTTAAATAGGCCCTTTGAAAGAATCAAAAAAAATTATGAACATAAGTTTCAAATTTTTTAATGTTAGAAGAATATGGTATATTTTTTTAATTCGAATATTTCTTTCATCATTTTCTAAAGAATTTTCATACCCATAATTTTGAATATTAGGTTCTTTAAAAAAATAGAGATTTTCTATGATGCTGTATTTAAGAAAATTTATTAGTACAATCAGTATTTTCATGACTAGGATATATTTTTTTGTGAAAAGCTCTATATTTCGCAATTTATGTTCTGTTAATTCTTGTTTTTTTTCGATATATCATAATGCAATCGAGAATTCTTAATATAGTTAAACACAAAATGCTCTTAAAAACATACATCCAATACAATTCTTCCAATGTGTTGTTTTTTTTTCATTAAATTTTGATGCAAGAAAAAATATAAGTAGACTGTAATTATGTGTTAGGAGACATTTTTATAAGTATATTATCTAAACTTTCTATATCAGAGTTTTTAAATAAGTAATCTTTATGAACCCTGAATATTTTTTCTCATTATAGGCATGCAATAAGATAGTTTTGTATGATTCTTCTATAAGAAATAATGTTGAAATATCATCGGAATTAGCATGAGTATTCATATTCTTTAAAGACATTCAAGATATAATCACCTAAAACACTTAGTTCCCAAACTCTGTCTGTATAGTTAATATTATAAAGTCCTCAATACTGAACATTCTTTGTAAAAATATGGTTAACTATATTAGGAAATTTAATGTTAGCTTAATAGCTATTAAACATTAAAATATCCCTAGAAAACATTCTTAGCCGAAGTCTTGTCTTCCAATTATATTCATAATTCTTTATTCCATCAAAAAGTTTATTCCTCTGGCTTTTATAAAAAAAATGATATTTATAGGATATGACTCAAAATCATAATAAAACTTCTTAAAGCCCCAGAAAAAATGATATCTAAAAAATATATAACTTCAATATATATTGTCTTATTTTCCTTTATTTCTCATTTTTTTTGCTCTTTTTTCTTTTTCTGTTTTTCTGTCAAAAATGCTCCATTTTTAACCGTTCAAAAACAAATAAACTAAAAAAACACTTAAAAATGTCATTGGTTTTCATATTTTGTCGTTTTTATTATGTATTTCCTCTGTCTTTATCCCTTTTTATATTTAATATTTGTTTAAAAAATCTTGGTAGTTGTCAAGTCCAAATCTTGACGATCAGATTTATATACCCTTTATATATAGATTTTCTAAAGAAAAAAAATACACAAATCTCTATTTTTTATATAAAATTCCTTTCAAGAATAATTGTTTTACTACTAATTTTTCTTTTGTTTTTGATAAATGTTTTTTTATTTTCTTCAATTTCAAAAAAAACATCAAAATTTGTGTTTTTGATATTTAGTGCCTCTAAAATCAAGATATCCCTTAAAGAACAATTAATCCTATATTTAACACTGTAAATTGTTCAATTCAAAATAAGTTTAGATCTTTGTTTTATTTATATTCTTATAATTCTTCCTAAATCATAAGAAAAGGCTTGATATTTCGTTTTTAACTAAAAAATTGCAATTCTTTTTAAAATTTAAAATTAACACTTAAAATATTATTCAAATTATCTCTTAAAATCTTTTTATAGACTTGTATCTTTAATAACTTGATTAATTTTAATTCAATTTTTTCTTTTATTTAAAAAATATAAAATTAAATACAAAATATAAAACCATAGAATTTCCTGTAAATGATCTTAAAGAAATATTGAATATTCTTAAAATTTTATATTTTGGGGATTTTCTGAGCAATTTTTATGAGATCGACGTCCAAAAAATTTAAGATTAACAAGTACTCGTTAGAAACACTTAAAGTGAACAATTTTATTAGAAACCTGCATTCTATGATAAAAAAGGTTTGTTAAGTTCTATAATAGGATTTTGATCTTTTTTTTTGCGTGAAAAAAGGACTAATTTTTACTTAGTATGGTGTATATTAATGATATTAAATATGCCTGGTCAGTAGCTGTAGAAAAAGACAGAAAAAGAAAGAGTTAATAGTATATTTAGCTCTAGTTGTATTAGAGGGCATCGGTCGTCTTTGTGCGATCATGAAAATCGGCAACTTTTTGAGATTAAACGTAAGGGAAGACCAGTATCACAATGTGTACAGATGCCATCAGAACGTACAAAAAAGACGTCTAGAACAAGATGTGTATGTAATCAGGGATTAGAGAAATCTTTTGTTTCATTAGACGTTCAGAAAATGTCACTTAAAACTCCCAAAAAAAGTTATATTTTTTAAGCTAAAAATACATAATTAATAAAAATTAGACAAAAAAAAGGTATTGCCAATGATAAAGAATGAGAAGGAATTTTGTGGTATTGAAAAAGATGAAGAAGTTAGGGATTCTGTTCAAATTTATTCATTTCCTACGGATTTCAATACATTAAATAATTCTTTACAATGGATTCATCTGTCTGATAAGTCACAAACATCAAATAATATGGATATAAAAGTACAGGATACAAGATTGGAATCGAATGGTTTATATGATTTTGATTCGGTATTTTGTCCTCAGAGTTTAGGTTCTAAATCGGAATCTACTGAAATGATATATAATTGTCCTCAGTATCTTGGTAACTGTCTCTATCCTTTGGCTATTGAAAAAACTGATTCCAATTTTGTTTCTATTCCAGATCAAATGAGTTTTTATCAGACATGTGGTAAATCTGCATATAGTCATTTTGATAGTCTACCCATTTATCCGTATATGGCATCAGGTGTAAGTATAGATTCTCAGGTCTTTGCATCTGAATTTCTTGGTTCTGATCAGTATTCGAAAATGCAAAATAATGATGACACTAAAATTCTTGAACTACATACAGATCCTCAAATAATGATATCAAATGATTTCCAGAATTTTAATTCTGGGATTTTAGATGTATCTTATCCATATTTATTATCTGAAGTTAGGTTTGATTATTTATCTGATTCTACATGTAAATGTTCAAATTGTCATATTAATGCTGATAATATTCCTCAAGATGTGTCACAAACTATGCCAATGGATGAAAAATTATTATCAGGTTTATATACTAGCCCTGAAGGGAAGTTTTTGAATATAATGTCTGATTTAAATATATGTATTAATAAGGGTTTTTTAAAAAATATATTCTAATATATTATTAGATACTAATGATTTTTAAAAAATGAACACTATTTATAGACTTCAATATATGCGAAATTTTGCTAATGATATCTAATTCTCTATTGTAAAAGGAGGAAGTTAAATACGTAAAATGATGATTTCTTCTATCTTTAAATTTTTTATTGTATTGTAAGATATGATTAAATGATCAATATTATTATTTTAGGGACACTATCATATTTATAAGCAATAAAAATCGCATATATGTGTTTTGTAAAAAACTTAAAATATCTTATTGATATTAATGTGAACTTTTGAATATAGATATGTATATACGTTAATATTATTTATAATAAAATTTCAATGGGGATTAGGCTGGAATTTAATTTGAATAGCATATTAGTCGTGTAAAATTGTTTTGTAATTTGCATCATATTAGAAATAGTTTGTCGTTAAATTTTTATAAGCTATATTTCTTTACAATGTTAATTGTTCGGATTTATTTATAATATATCGAGCGTTTTAATTCTGAAATCTAGCCTAGGGAAAGAGGACTTCTTGGAGAATTCCGACTATCAAGCAATAAATCTTTTCTAATTCTACGATTTTCCTGGGATTTTATACTATCTTTTTCAAGTTTTATTGATGATGGAGAGCTATGTGGCGTTTCTCCATATTCCAAAGCTCCTGTCCGTTCTCTTGTTCGAGAATTATGGTTATCATCTCTCAAAAATAAGGATATTCTTTCATCAGTAACAGAAAGTAAAGATGTTTGTTCAGATGTTTGCAACGCTGTCAATCTAATGATATATTCAAGAAGAGATAAAGTGGCTAAATTGGTGCTGGAATTTTTTTGTAGCTCTAAAATTTCATTTGTACTTTCAACATTAATGTCTAATGCTTTCAATGCTGCAGAAAATTCATCTATTTGTTCTTCTGATTTCAAAGTTTTATTTTTATCATTAATAGTTTCCTTAGATGCTTTTTGATTATCAGAAGATGACATATTTTTTAAATATTTCTCATCATTATTACAACTCTCTCCATTATTTACGTTTTCATAGATATTATCATACTCATCATTTTCACTTGAACTTTCACTAATATCACTTACATTACTGCCTGTATCATCTTGACTTTTATCTTCATCATCTACGTCATCATTCCAAATTTCAAATGCAATCCATTCAATATTTTCAGGGTCATTAATTTTATCATAAAATGATTCTTCATCAACATTTCCTTGATTTCCATCATCTTCCGTGTTATCGTCCCTAATTGATTCTAATAGTTTTCTTGGAGGTGAGAGCGCATGGTTGAGTTTTAGAACAAGAACTGGTGTTTTTGCTTCCTCGATATTAAGAAGTCTTCCAGAAGCATTAAAAAAAAGTCTCGAAATCAGATGAATGGGTATATTTCTTTTAGAACCATATATATGTCCGTCTTTGTTTTTTTTTACTCTTTTTTTTTCTATTTCTTCATGATATCTTCCATCATTTAAATCCTCAATCACTTGTAATTCATATGCATATTCATTTGCTCTTTTACGCGCTAAATCGCTTTTTGATTCCGAATAATCATTTAAATCCACCCGAATAATAGATACTAGACATTTAGCATGCTCTTCCTTCCATGTAATATCACTTGTTGAAATCATATGTGCAACCCTAGCACTTCCTGAAAAAATAGTATAAAGTTTCAATATAAAAACCGGTCCAACTTGCTGGAATTTAGGATATGGGGTTTTACAAAACAATGAATCTGCTGAAATCAAAAATGATGACGCTTGCAATAATCGAGATGGTGAAACTGTATTTGGTAGTGAAGATGAAATGTTTGCACCTGATGTAGTTAATGCAAGAGATATAAGAGGAACAGCCTAAACTACATTAACACGCATAATTTTACTTTAAACCTACATCTTCAATTCTTGAAAGAAGATTCTTCATATCTGTCATAATAACTCCCATATTATTTTTATTAATATGTTTCGATATTTCTTGCTCATCTGCTGCATCACTTACACGCTTCGCAAATGCATTTATATCTCTACGAAGTGAATTCGTTAGATGAACCGTACTCCCAAGACTTGTATTTCCTCGTGCTGAACTATTATTTTAATTATATAATGTCTTCTTTATCAAAAAAAAATACATAATCTCAATCAAATCAATTGCTGGAGTAACAATCTTTCGTATAATTAACATGGATCTTCTAATATTCTATATCTACCCGTATCTTTTGTTCAAGCTGTTTTTTTAAAGAATCTAACATTTGACGTTGAGCCTGAGAAGGCATGTCTTTAATGTACCGAGAAACCTGACGCAGAGCAATACCTCCCGCAATACTTACTCCGCTACGTATTGCGAATGTTGCTGCTGCAATAGAGACTCTATTAATATTAATTAAAATCCTATATTTTTTTTATTAAACTTTGCTAAAAAATCATCCATTTTTGAGGTTTTTTCGACCGGAAAAAAAGGGAAATACTTCAAAATATCAGTTTAATTTGTTTTATATATTTATTTATATGTTTTTCTCTATTCTAACCCTTTGTTTTTATTTTTTTTTCCAAGCTTATTTATTATGACGTTGGATAATCGATCTATGTAATTCCTCGTCCGACTTCAAAATTTTCTTCTTTGCTTGGTTGGTTCCAATTATTAATAAAAAGACCCTTAAGTCTTGTTAAAATACGTTTGAATCTCTCCAGTTAAATGTATTTTACTTATGTTTTTAGAGCTTTTTTTCCGGACTTTTTTTTGACGAAAAATAGGGCATTTTATAGGAATAATATTATACACTTGAAAGACTTTAAATATGAGTTCTGAGGCTAAAAACGTAGACGTTGATGATACGTGGGAGGAGAGGATAGATCAGGAAGAAATTTTGGAGAAAATTGGGAAATTACGGATGTCTGCAGAAGCAGAAGAGTTTCGGCCTAGAAATTTATATTATGAGCCACAGGGTTTATAAAGTAGGAGAATTATAAGTTTTTTATGTTTTTTTAGATTTTTCTGCGAATTATGATATTAATAATGTTCCATATGGTTATTTTAATATGAGTTATGACCAAAATTATGATAGGCGAAAATATCATCCATATAACAATGATTATTCGGCAAGGGATAGGGATATTCGTCTATGTGAGAAAGTATTAGGTATAAATTGTTTTTTTTTCCTGTATTTTTTTTTGAAATTTGAAGCTCCGCCAGAAGTCAAAGTTTCGACATTAGGTGGACAACGTACTACTTCAAAGGTAATAAAGATTGGTGAATGTTCTAAAACACCTTTTTCGGAGGAATCAGTTGTTGGGAGAAATGGTAATAAGATAAATAAAGTGGATAAAGGGTTTTGTTCAGTGGATATGGAAAATTTATCATTAGGAGCTTCAAAACAAGAAAAAAATCATGTTTCAGTGGGAGGGGATGAAGAACGTAGAGATTATGATATTGTCAGTCAATTTCAGGAGGAGATAGATGAGGAGGTTTTGCAAGATATGTATGGAAAAGAACATCTAAATGTTGTTTTTATTGGTCATGTTGATGCAGGAAAATCTACTCTTGGGTAATTATTTAATTGTATTTGTTTATTGGTTTAAGGGATTTAGAGGAAATATTCTTTATATAACAGAAATGGTAGACAAAAGAACAATGGAGAAATATGAAAAAGATGCAAAGGAAGCAGGTCGAGAAAGCTGGTATGGAGATAAAAATTGTTATATCTATATTTTTAATGAAAAAGGTATTTATCGTGGGCATTGGATTCTACAAAAGAAGAACGATCTAAGGGAAAGACAGTTGAATTGGGCAGAGCGTATTTTGAAACAGAAAAACGTCGTTATACAAGTAATATCTCAGTAATCGTTTAGTATGTATTAATAATTTAAGTTCTTGATGCTCCTGGTCATAAATCTTATGTACCAAATATGATAGAAGGTACTGCTCAGGCAGATGTTGCTGTGCTTGTTATTTCTGCGCGAAAGGGTGAATATGAAACAGGATTTGAAAAAGGTGGACAAACAAGGGAACATGCTATGCTTTCAAAAACACAAGGTGTTTCGAAACTTGTTGTGGTGATTAATAAAATGGATGACCCTACTGTAGAATGGTCAAAAGAAAGGTTAAACGATTATTGGTTAATATTTTTCTAAAATATTTTAAGATATGATGAATGTACAAATGGGATTTCAATGTTTTTGAGAAAGGAAGTGGGATATAATCCTAAGACAGGTATTTTGTGTTTATTTGGGTTTAATGGGTTTAAGGTATCTAGATTTTGTATTTATGCCAATATCTGCATTTACGGGTGTAAATATTAAAGAGCGTATTGATAAAAAAATATGTCCGTGGTATAATGGGCCATCTCTTCTTGAATATTTAGATGAAATGGATACATTTGAACGGAAAGTGAACGCTCCATTAATAATTCCTATTCATGCGAAATATAAGGTCTTTATATTATATAAATATTTATCACATCTTAGTTTTTATTAGGATATGGGTTTGGTTATTGAAGGAAAAGTTGAAAGCGGTTATGTTAAAAAAGGATCTAATGTTATTCTTATGCCAAACAAGGTATGTGTCATTGTGTCAAGACATTTTTTGATAACACTTTAGACTGTGGTTGAAGTTATAGCGTTATATGATGAATTAGAAGAAATACGAATAGGTCGATGTGGTGAACAAGTGAAACTTCGAATTAGAGGAGTAGAAGAAGAAGATGTTATGACAGGCCATATTTTATCGTCGTTAAACAGCCCTGTGAGTACGGCTAAAATATTTGAGGCTCAGATAGCTATTTTGGAAGTGAAAAATTTACTTACTGCTGGTTATTCTTGTATTATCCATATTCATTCAGCAGTTCAAGAAGTAACTTTTTTGGTAAATATGACTTTTTATGATATTATAAACTAAGACATTTATAGAAATTGCTTTATAAGCTTGATAAGCTTACCAATCGGCGAAGTAAAAAGCCTCCTGCATTTGCAATAAAAGGCATGAAAATCGTGGCTTTGTTGGAAGCGGCTTCTCCTCTATGTCTTGAAACATTTGATAAATATAGACAACTTGGTCGATTTATTCTTCGTAATGAGGGTCTTACTGTGGCAATTGGAAAAGTAACAAAACTTATCTCCGAAGAGTAAAAATGCATTAATGTAAATATGGTATTTCATTAAAAATATTTCCTATTATTTTATATTTTGATGTAATTTATTTTGCATTTTATAGACATTAATGATACTTATTTTACTCGGTATATTCTTTCCTTACTGGATTTAATATTTGTTTTTTAATTCCTTTCCAGATTCTTTAACTTATTTGACTTTTGCATCTTTTGTCTATCTTTTTTATGCAAGTTTTGGTCATTGATAAGTTATTATTTTTAATTGTTATTTGTTTGATTAAATTATGTTATTTACATTATAATCTTAAAGATGATGTTAAATATTTGTTTAAAAATATAAATATTTACATTGCTATTGATACATATATATTATTTTATTATATATTTTAATATAAAAATTTTTAATAGACTTAGAGTTATAAGATTGAGATAATATAATATTTTTATAGTAGTTTAAACTTACAATATTTCATTGAAACAAATATATAAATAAGATTATTTATGTTTTTTAAAAATGAATATAATTGTTTTAAAAAAATCCATATTATAATAGATATTAAGAATGCAATACTAGATCAAAAAATGTCTTATATATCTTAAATATTAAAAATCATCTCAAGAATCCTTAAAAGATTTATATTTTCATATAATATTACTAAAATCCTTGTTTATTAACTATTTAAAAATGAAATATTGTTTTTATTTAAAAATTTAAATAATATTGTTCCTAATTAATTAATTATAGGTGATTGAGGCTTTAATAGAAGATTTTATTTATTAAATTAAAGAATATGTTTTATTAAAAATTAGTATAATATTCTTATTTTTTTTAAGATGTGTTCTTTTATATAAAAATAAGAGATTTATTAAATCAAAAGAACATACTATAGATATTTTATGTTATTCAGAAATGTATAAATTTATGTTTTTTTTTTCCTTAACCTTGCCGATATGTTGTATACAAAAATGTGAAAAAATACAAAAGAAAACTAAATTTTAAAAGCAACTTTGGTCTTTTTATTGTATAATAAACAAAAAATACCTTGGTTTTTTATTGCATTATTTTTTATCTAAAATACCTTAAATATTTAACAACGGTTTTTACGCATAAGTATTCAGCATATAGAATTATTAGTGATGAAAAAATATTTTAAGAATGAAATATCATAAAAACTGCCTATTTAAAAACGAATCTAATCCCTCTATTTCTCAGAGAAAAACGTCTAATAATGATACATTATCTTTTCTACAAATGATTTTTCCTCAACAAGATACAGACGTTTTGAAACATATTCAGGAAGAATATGGAAATAGTCTAGAAAAAGTGATAAACGAAAATTTAGACATTATGGATGATGACAAGAATTATGATTCTTTAAATGATTCGTTTTCCAAAGATTCGCTTGAAATTCCAAAGACAAAGCGTAAAAAAAGTAAAAAGATAAAGAATATTCCATTAGATGAATGGTATAAACGTAATGAAGCTCAGGAATCGACAGTAGATTTTAGAATGAAACCAAGTCTAAAATGGAATGATATTATTCCGAATATTGAATGGCTCGCTGACATTTTTAATATTCCTAAAAAACAAGCTGCATCAATTTATCATCAATCATCGGTTTCTCTGTCGAAATCTGTGTATAATTTATTATCAAGTGATTATATGATACAAAGAATAAACGAATCGCTTGTCATGTTACAACATGATTATAAAAGCAATCTGAAACAATTAAAAAAGCAATTTCCGTCTCTAGAAGAACATATGTATAGCAGAATATTGCTTTCGGTAGAAAATGATCTTCCAAAAGCAATAAGTGTAGTAAAAACAATTCAACAAAGTCCTATATATATAAAGGATCAAAATCAAACTCATCATTTTAACACATCCTCTTCGGAACGTCATAATCACATCAATGATGACTATAAGTCGAAACTTGATAATTCTTCTGATGATATGATACATACCGATTACAATCTTGAAGAGTGCAAAGCCAATTTGTCAACATTTATTTTTAATAGAAATCATGCATTTAAAGAAGCTGCAAAAGCCTATCGAAAAGCAAAAACACAGGGACTCTATAGAGATATCGTTACATATTATTCCAAAAAGGTATAGCACTGATTTTTCCTTTATAAAATTGATTTTTAGGCCCAAGAATATAACTCTAAAGTTAAATTATGGAATATGAGAGCCAAAATGTGTATGATACAGAATAGGTAATATTATTTTTAAAATATATTCATCCTAAATTTTTTAAGTCTTCCTAGTTATTTGATTGATCTTCATGGATTAACTATTGCAGAAGCTATTCCTTTAGTTAAAAAAGCTGTTGCACAATGGTGGAGCCACGAACAAAAACTTCAAACTGATATACCTACACCATTAGAAATTATAACTGGTGCCGGTCTTCATAGTAAAAATAAACTGCCTAAAATTAAGCCATCCATACTCCAACTTTTAAATAAAGAAGGATGGTTAATAGAAGAAAAACCCGGAAAAATTATAGTACAAAGTTTTCAGACAAATGAATTTCATACAACGCCGAAACAACTCATTTCTCATCCTTAACTCACGAAATATATCTAAAAAACAATAGATTTAAAAATATAATTTTATTTCTTTAATTCAATCTGAACATTATTCCATTTCTTAACATTCTTCATCTTCACTATCTCCTTTTGGAACCACTTCTTTCATTCTACTCATCCTGCATGATCCATTTTTCCATCCTTCATACCATTCTTCAATCTCTCGTATTTCTCCTTCTTTACATTTTCGATATAATGTTATAATCTTCTTTGCAACTTCTTCCACCGATCCATCCTCAACTATAACATTAAATTCATCCTCCATCACCTGTAAAAGAACTCCTTCTACTTCTTCTACTGAAATTAAGGGCATATTTTCGATCAAATCACAAATAACACCGCATAACCAATCACGTTTTTCTCCACTATTCGGTCCACCCCAACACGAAATAACTGCTGTAGAGAGAATCTCCCAATTATAAAGACATAATGAAGCCCCTAACTCAAAATATTTTTTCCACTCTTCTAATGATGTTTTAACCCTTGTTTCTGACTCCAGAACGTTTGTTTTAATATTAATAATTTTAAATATTTTTAAAATATCTCTTCAACAACCCTTAATGATAGATTTAACCTTAACCAACTCCCCAGTCAAATTTCTTTTTAAATCTTTTTTTTTTAAAACCGTATATCAAGCTTTATTCTTTTCTCTCGGGACACGTTCATTTTGAGTGTGTCCCCTCCTAATTCTCCAGTCACGTGACACGTCTGAATTTACATCTGAATCACTGTCAGACTTTATAATTGACGTGTCTGATTCATATTCTGACGCATTTTGCTCTAAAAAAACCTCTTTTTTTAAAGAATTCTCCTCTTCTGACTGTATATTCAACTGTTTCGGCTGGTTTTTAATCTCTTCTCTTCGTTTTATTAAGTTTACTACGCGTTCATCATAAACCATCTGCTCAAAAGTCTCATCAAAAAGTCGTTCTCGAGCCCAATAAGATGGAGATGGAGGCGGTGACGTATCATTAGACTCATTATCTGCCTGTATTTCTGTAGAATCAAAGAAATCTGCTGGAAGAACTGCCTCCGATCGTGGACGTTTATTAGGAGGTTGATTATCAGGCAATGAACGTCGATACATAGAGACTTGAAAATTCGAGATTTCTATTGGTTTTATAAGGCTTTATATAAAAATAAATAAAGCTGACATATTAAAATGAAAATATTAATTTAATAATTAAATAAAGATTATGTCATTTTTATTGTTATATAAATATGTTAAGTTGAATTTTGATAAATTAAACATATATTCTTCTATAACATATGTTTATTAATTTAGAACATTAATTAATTAGAATTGAAATATATAAGAAATAATGGTTGTTGAGGTTTGTATGTGTTTAAACAGAATTAATCTATATGTTTGGTATTACTTTTTTAATAAAGTTGAAATCCATATTTTTTTTGTTTATATACAGATTTTGGTTAGATAGATATTAAAAAAATATAGAAAAATAAATTTGAAAATATTGCTTGTTAATTCTTATCCTAAAAGAATTTTGACCGGTATCCGTTCACAGTCCGATAAACGTTTTTTATATTTTTGATTTTTATATATAAGTTAACAATGACGGATAATCAGACATTTATTAATCCCAGTGTTCTTCAGAAAGTCCAGCTATCTTCTGGAATAGAATATGAATGGATGCAAACATTAGGAGAAGTTGAGATCCATATACCAGTACCTTTAGGAACTCGAGGAAGAGATATTAGTGTTTTGCTTGAAAAAAAATCATTAAAAGTTAGCCTTAAACAGCAAGAACCATTAATTCAAGGGGATTTTCCCAAAGAAATAAAATTAGAAGAAAGTACCTGGACGCTTGGTAGATCGAAATAATAATTAGATGTATAATATTAAAAGATTTGTAGAAAATCAAAGAGCGATTATTATACATCTTGAGAAGATAAATAAAATGGAATGGTGGTCGTCAGTGATTCAAGGACACCCTTCTATTGATACATCTAAAATCCAGCCAGAAAATTCGAAACTGGGTGATTTAGATGCAGAAACCCGATCAATGGTAGAAAAAATGATGGTAAGATTTCGTTAAATGAGTAAAAACAATACATGGATGACCCACTCATATAAGTCATCCATGCATTTATCTAACCATTTTTGAAATTATAGTTTGATCAGCGACAAAAGGAACTCGGAAAACCCACAAGTGATGAGCTGAAAAAACAAGAAATTTTGAAAAAATTTCAAGAGCAACATCCAGAATTAGATTTTTCTAAAGTAACCTGAAGAAAAATAACTGAATAATATACTAAATTCTAATTAGGCAAGAATTAATTGAGTTGCCTGAAATAAAAGAGTATCGTCATTAATAAGTATTAAATTTATGTTATTTTTAGTGAATAGTTAGCTATCAACATTAAATAATAACACATGTATTAATGACATTTTTTTTGAAATGTTAAAATCTGTATATATTATTGAAAGTGTATTTGAACAAAATAACTCAAAAATGTATATTTCCTTTTTTTATGAACAATATGAATAGCAGGAGTTTCAATGTTCCTTTTGCTTGAAGGAAAGATTTATATATTATTTTCCATGTTCTGAGGGAAGATTGTCATTGGAAAATGGATTCGTCCTTGGTTTCTGAGCAAAAGGGAGAGTAGACGCATTTTGTCGAACAGTTCGTGCTTTGGGATCTAAAAATGGTGTTGTTACATTGTCATAACTTTTCGAAAATGGATTCGTAGGAGGTGGAAATTGAGTTGATGTTATAGTAGGAGGAAATTGATTTGTTAGAAGAGTTCTTTGATGCTCAAACTCAGTATTCATAGACAGCGGAGGTCGATGAAAGGGATTTGTATGATTAATACTAGAATTGTTTGTTTCTAAAACTGGCGACGGAACGATTTGATTAAAATGATGTGTTTGATTAAATGGATGAGCATTTGATTGCATATGATATATACCATATGCAGAACCGGAGAAATTAGCTTGCATAGGATAAATAGAATTATAGTCCTGTTTTTGATTTATAGGAAAAGAAGCTTGAAACGAATTAGGGTTCTGCATAATTGGTTGAGTGGATTGATAAGGTGCATTATTAGGGTGAAAAGCTGAAGAATACTGATTATATAACCCATAAGACACTTGTACTTGTGGCTGCATTTGCGAAGGCACATTTTGAGGAAATGAAACTATTGATTGTTCTTCCGGAGCAGAATTAACGACTGTTTGTATTGGTTGTATTGGTTGCGTTGGTTGAATTCCCGAAAAATTCGAAGGTTCATAAGCTATGTTCTTCATAGGAGCACTCGGAAACATAAAAGCTTGTTCATTCTCAATACTTGAAAAAAAGTCGATTAGATTAATATTGTTTGAATTTTGCTTTTGAGTATTTCCCGATAAAGATTGAGTATCTAGGCATTAATAAGTATTAATAAGTGTAATTAAAGCAATAAACCTGTGGTCTTTTTCTTTGAAGAGGTTTTAGCTGATGGAACAGTTAAATTTGCTTTTTTTTTACTGGAATCAAGAGCATTTTTATTTTCAATATATTGAAGTCTATTTTTCTCAAAGTTCTTGTCATCCAAATACTCTTGTAATGCACGGGAAAGGCCTACCGGCGCCTACAGTATTCATAAATTATCGTTTTCATAATAATCTATACTATACATGTTTAATATTTGGAACTTCTATACATGTCAAAGTTTCCATCCTACATGCAAACGACAAATAATCTGAAACATTTGCTGTCTGTTTAACAAACTTTTTGTATATTTCAAGAGCCTTTTCCGCATCATATCTTGACATTTCAAAATAGTGTTCTAATTTACATAAAAAACTTCCTAAAAAACATAAATCATACCAAGAACATTGATTACCCCTTCATTAATTACTTGAAACAGAGACAAAAGATCTCCGATTAGTAATCTAAATGCTACAATAGTTATGTTATTTGTTAGCCCATCTTCCAAAAACTAAAAAATATTTAAATATTGATAAATATATGAAAAAAAAACTAACTTTGCAACAAAGTAATGTATCAATCTGTCGTTGAACAATTTCTACTTCTCGAAGAAGTCCTTTTGCTACTGTTAATCTACGCAATCTTCCTTCTATTGTTTTACTGCTTTTTGCATAAACATAATCTACTTGTACATCTTTAAAACTCTGTATCTTTTCTTGAAGATAAAGACCATAATTTTGAATGTTTCTACTTTGTTGAGATATTGCTAGTTCTCCTAGAAATAAAAGACCACCAGAATCATATGAGAAAAAACTTGTATCCCCAAATAGCTCCTTTATAGAAAAATATCTCATATTATTAGATAAATATTGTAGTGTTATATCCCTAGATCCATCACGAATCATAATATGAATAACAATAAGACTTTTAAAGACAATCTTAATAAATATAAACTTAAAAAATAACAATAATGGATATCATACTGTCCATGAAGGCTCACGAAGACGTGAAAAAAGTGCGCTAAATACTTCAAATAATGCAATATCTCCCGAATATGTGGCTCCCAAAATACGTTCCAAATATTTTTGTTTTGGTGCTGCTAACTGCAAAAAAAAACAATTAGTACGTATATATTTTATTACAAAATATGTTTTTCACAAACTTTAATCTTTGTTGCACCTATATATCTTCAATATTTGATTAAGCTTATCTTTTCAAAAAAATGACTCACCGTTAACGGCTTTTTGATATGACAGTGCTTTATAGGGCATCAAATGGTTTGTATTAACCTTCCGAAGCTCTCTATAGTAATTGTTTCTCTAGTTTCTTTATATTTTTCCTTTTTTTCTTATTTCAATGCGTCTGTGTATATCAGCGCAGTTATAAGCGTTAAAACGTGTTGCATACAAAATGGAAAAAATGCTAAAAAAAACGTCCATTTGATCAATAAACCGATAGCATTGGCTTTAAAATGGGCTTCTTAATAATTAATGCGTTTTATCTGCCACAGAAATTACGCATCTTAGCTAATACTTGATCTAGATGCACCTGAACTGTGGACTACAAAATAAAGGGTATATTTGAATATAATAGGACACGTAAAGTGCATTTACACGCATTTATTAATGCATATATTAATAAAAAATAACTTTTTTATTAGATTTTCCTGGTCGAATATAAATCTCAGAGGTCTTAGCGTCAAATTATGTAACAAGGTAGGTTTAGATTGACGCTTTCACCATATATTATGGAGTCCCGTAGGCAAAAAAATGTTAATTTTAATGCTTGGAACATTTTTCTGTATAAGCTTTATTTCATCATTGATTCATTTGACCGTGGAAGGATTATTTTTTCGAGACTACAAGTTTCGGGTAAAAAATAGAGGGAAGCGGTGTTTTGATAATATTGATAGGTATATATGCGCACTCTAAAAGGTTCCTGGCGTAGAAATAGGGGGAATAAGGTTTAGAATGGATTTTTTTGGTGCATATAGTCGTTAAAAATGTGCAATGGATAAGTAAAAGATTAGAGGCAAATATCTTTCTTGGCCTGAATAAATATCAACAATTTAATACATGTTATTTAATGTAATAAAGTGCTAGATTTAAGGTGGAAAATCTATTAATTATAATATGTTATTTGAGTGATTTATAAGGGGAGAAGAAGGTCTGAGTAGAAACAAATTATTTGGTTATTATTTACTTTGGAATTTGTTTTATTCTTTTTTTTTATATTTAAAAAAATGTATATTTTCTGGAAATTTGGAAGAATTAGTGGAAAACGATTGATTCACGATGAACGAAGGATTATTTCATTTAAAACAATTGATAGGGCTGATGAAGGAGCTATAGTATATTTATTTGGGTGGTTTTTACCATATAAACGTAAATTAAGCCGTTGGATACAGTTTTACGGGTTGCGAGATATATTCGGGAAGACAATACAATTGGTTTTACGAGATGCAAGAGAGGAACTTATAGAAAAAGTTGAAAAAGTGTCAGCAGAAAGTGTAGTTGAAGTGAAAGGAACAATTCAATTGCGACCAAAGAAAGATCAGATGATAGGAGAAATATTGGAAGTAGATATGAAGGGAATTCGTGTGATTAATAGGGCGAAAGCATTGCCATTTCTACCGATGTTTGTATCATCAGTAAACTCAAGTATACGAGCAAAATATCGGTATTTAGAACTTCGTAATCCTATGAATCAAAAAGCTCTTTGGTTACGAGCAAAAGTAGCAAAAGATATTCGGGATTTTTTTCATCGACGGCAGTTTCTTGAGGTGGAGACTCCTCTTTTATTTAAATCGACAGCAGAAGGTGCTAGGGAATTTATTGTGCCGACACGACAGAATGGGTATGGGTATGCTCTTCCGCAATCACCACAACAATATAAGCAAATATTAATGTCTAGTGGAATAGGCCGGTATTATCAGCTTGCAAAATGTTTTAGGAATGAAGATTTAAGAGCTGATCGTCAGCCAGAATTTACACAGTTGGATTTGGAAATGTCGTTTATAAGTCAAAAAGATATATGTTCTATTATAGAAACGTTATTAAGACAATTGTGGAAAAAATATCTTGGAATAGAGATTATGGTTCCGTTCAGAAGAATGTCTTATGAAACAGCGATGTCGAAATATGGTTCAGATAAACCAGATTTAAGATATGGGCTTGAGATTCGGAATATAACTTCTTTTTTGGCACCTGTTGCTTCAAAATATCCTATTGTAGATGCAATTATTATTAAAAATGGTTTAGCTATATCAAAAAATAGATTTCAAATAATTAGTAAAGAAATATCAACATATCATCAACCAATTATTGTTTATATTCATTCATTAGATAGATTAGAAACATGGATATCAAAAACGCCGTTTTCTCTATCATCTATAAATAACATGAAACAATTAAATAACTATTTAGGACTTGAAGTCAACGACGTTATTTTTTTATCTCAACGCCCTATAAAACACTCAGGTAATCTAACGCAATTAGGGCATGGTCGACAGCTGTTATATTATGAATGTGTAAAACATAAGTTGATGCCTTCTTTTTCGGAAAAACAATTTGAATTTGTTTGGATTAATGAATTCCCCCTTTTTTCTTATGAAAAGGATGATTCGAAACAAGGTGAAGCCCGTGTATTTAAATCTACGCACCATCCGTTTACTAGTCCTTTGGAAGATGATATTTATTTACTTAAAAAAAGTCCTGAATCTGTACGAGCAGATCATTACGATATTGTTGTTAATGGAATAGAACTTGGAGGAGGTAGTATTAGAATTCATGATATAGCTTTACAAAAGTATATATTAGAAAATGTTCTTAAGGTAAACTATTTGTCTGTATTTTTTTTATAATTATACGTTTAGTTGTCTCAAAATGAAATTAATGAGTTTTCCCATCTTTTTGAAATTTTGTCAAGTGGTTGTCCTCCTCATGGAGGTATTGCTCTTGGTAATACATACATTCTATATATTTTTTCTGATTATTTTTAGGATTCGATCGTTTGGTTGCTATCTTACATGGAACAAATGTCATTAGAGATGTTATTGCATTTCCTAAAACATCTTCAGGCGTAGATCCTGTCGTAAAAAGTCCAGGGAAGATATCTGATAGTGTTTTAAAATATTATAACCTTTTATAATTGTCAATTTATCTGTTTTAAGTATATTTTTTATTTTTCAAAAAACATTATCAAATAACTAATATAGGTAAATTTATTATTTTTCAGAGGAAAATTCGTTTTTTATCTTAAACTTAACATGATTTGTTACACTGTTTAGACATATTTTATTATCAATTGATATTTATTTTCAATTTCATATTTCGAATCATTTATAATCGACATATTTCTTTTCAAAATTTTTTTCATCACTAAAATCTATCATTAATGACAGCACTAATAACCCTAGAATGCATTTGTTCTGTGTTCTGGGTTTATTTTCATTTTTTAATATTTTCATAAATTTTCAAAGATCTATCCGACTTTTTACTTTAATATTTCTTTATTTTTGAATTTTTTGAATCAAACACTTTTCTATCACTATTTCTTATAAATAATCTTTGAACTTCGAATTTCTTTTCATTTTTGTACATTTTTTCTTTTTCTTTTCGATAAAGGTATCTTGGAATCCTCGGTATACAAATGTTTTTAATTTTTAGCTGGTAATTTCTTAATATTCATTTAATAAAATAATTAATATAATAGCAAGTTTTAGAGAATTTTTTACTATGGATTCTTTTGAATTTTTATATTTTTGCTTTTTTTAGTTTTTTTTGAATATTTAAAATAAATCAAGTTAAAAATGGAAGAAATAAGCAATTGTTTAAATAATTTGGCATCTCTTGCACTTTCAACGACAGGAGAAATTCCTCCGCCATTGGTAGGGTGTTCTTTTACTCTTATTGGAACAAAACTTTATGTATTCGGAGGGCGTTTAGTTTCTAATTGGAATTTAACAAATGATTTATATGTCTTGGATTTAGAATCGTATATTTGGACAAAGATTCATAATCTTTCGCCACATCTTCCCGAGCCTAGATATTTTCATTCGGCGGATATATATTTGAATTCTATTTATGTTTTTGGAGGAATTGGTTTATCTAAAAATCCTGATAATCCTTATTGTCTCTTGGATGATATTGTTGTTTTTGATCTTCAATTTGGAAAATGGAAGAAAATAATGGTACCGCCATCATCATATTTTCCAAAACCTCGATATGCACATTTATCTGTTATTAATATGAATTATTTAATGATTATTGGAGGACAAGATTTGGAAAATAATTATATTGAAGAAGCTAATTGTTTCGATTTAAATATGCATATATGGTCATCTTCTTTTGTTTTTAATAAACATTGTGGTCTCTATCGTTCGGTCGCTTCTTGTAAAATGGAAACTTTTCCTGAATGTGCATTAAATCTTAGCGAGAAGAATACATTGATATCTGAAATTGCTTCATCGTACCAGAGTTCGCCTTTTCAGAGTAAACGGAAATCATTAAGTATTTCAGAATCATCAAGAAGATTATCTGCCCATAGCGAAATATCAAATTTACTTTATCATTCACAAGCCAAAAAATCATTTGATGGCACACAGAAGTCTGATGGTGAGTTAATTTCAACTCATGTTCAGTATGTTTCGAACAATCCTATTTTTATTTATTCTAATTATAATTTCAAAAATCTGAAAAATGAGCTTTATATGATTACTTCCTTGGAAGATGACCAATATAATATAGTAGACATTTCTGATAAGTTTTCAGGTGAACTAAAACCCTCTGGTTTACGGTTTCCATCAGGAGGTATTCTTGGCGATCATCTTGTTATTTTTGGGACTTATTTAACAAATACTACACATTCTTATAGTATTTGGTGTATTGATCTAAATAGTTTGACCTGGTCAAGGATTGATCCAGGCCCATTATTAGACGAAGGTTCTTGGAATAAAGGAATTATAGATTATGACAAAAATTGTTTACTTATTTTTGGAAATAAGGAACAAGATTTAGTCGAGGATTATAATCATCGAAGAATTAATTTCGATCATATTATTTTAGTTGAACTTGAAGCTTTTGGAGTTTACAGAGTAACTATTCCGAAAATGTCTCTCGCCGCTCAAGAATTGGGATTAATGATGCTGGAAGATCCTTCTTTTTCTGATATGGAAATGTTGACACAAGATAATGTTATTTTGCCCTGTTCTACAAAAGTTTTATCCACAAGATGGCCTCGGTTTCATAGTTTTTTCAAAGCAAGTCTTAAAAAGGATACCACTGAATTTTCAACTTATGATTTTTTAACTAAAAACCAAAGAAATACTTTGACTTTACATAATAATTTGACTCAATTGAGCAGTAGTGGGCCTTCATCTGCAAGATTTTATAATCGTTCTCGTACTCTTTATATTCCTCATCCATCATCTGTTGTTCAACAATTTCTTCGATTTTTATATACTTATTCCCTAGAACCAAATATTCTGGATGATATTTCTGCTCTTTTTGCTTTGCTTTCGCTTTCTAAAAGTTTTGGTCCCGACTTAGAAGTAAAAGATTTAAGTCTTTATATTTTTTATGCTCTTCAAAAATGTTTAACCTCTCAAAATGCTTCTTCTATTTATGAAATGGCTGTTTTATATGGACATAGAGGTTTACAGATTCGTTCATTGAAATTAATTTCTTCTCTAAAAAAAGATGATAATTAAATTATCTTTCATAATTATTTTAATTTTAAAAATATATATATATTATATATTTTTTAATATTTTTCTTAACAAGAAAAATATATAAATTACATATAATTCCTCGATTTTCATAGTTTTTAATATTATTTTTTTGTACTTAAAATTTCATTGACATCTTAGTTTTTCCTTATCTTTCTGTCGTTACCTTGAATCTCCTCTTAACAGCCTCAATTTTTTAAGTGCTTATTTTCACGGATATTAAGGCAGAATTTTAAGGGTATTTTGAAGGTTTTAAGTAATTAATATTTGGAATATTTATTATATACTTATATAAATAGATAAATTGTTTTTTCTCCCGTTTTTTTTCCAGCTTTTTTCATATTTTTATGGTTAATATGGTGAGCTTCTCTCATAAACAAAGAAGATGGATTGTTTTCTCGTATTTGGTGATTAAATTGATTATATTTTTATAATTTATGTTAAATAATTGAGCTTTTTGTTTTTATAGCTATTCCTGTATGGTGGAAATTGACAGAAATCTATAGAGCAAAGCTACCACTTGTGCAGATGGATTACTGGTCAAAAGGCCATGTAATTGATTGTATTAATGATGGATTTTATTATTTTTAATATTTTTATTAGATGTGCAATATTCAATTTGATATTCCTATTGTTATTGAAGTTTCTCAAGAATTTAATGATCTAAAAGGGTTAATTAAGAAAATAAGGCAAATAATTGTTTCTAAACAACAAGAAAATATAATAAAGTTACATATAAAAGGTTGGGATTGGGTTTTTATATTTTTTTATATTGAAAAATTTTATAGAAAAATATTTAAATAAAGATGAATCATATTATACAGTTAAACTTCGTGAAAATAATGAGATTTCGTCGGTTTCTCGGCATATTTATTATAATAGAACACTTTATATTGATTACAATTTAAAAATTACATCAGAATTACCAAAAATTATTTCAGAAGTTTTGTTAGATATATTTTCAGTACAAGAAAAATATATGAAATTTCATTTGGAAAAAATCAAAGATCAAAATAGTTCATCAAAACTGGAAGATATGGATATAAAAGTGGTAAAATATTCATCAAGTTTTGATATCGTTTTCAGTCTTATTAATGGTGGTGAAAAAAATGTAATATTGTTCTGGGATATTGAAAAAGCAATAAATTGTACAGTACGTCTTTTGTTTTATTTTTTTCTAATATGAAAAGTATACTTTGGGCCATTATTGAAACAGCTTTCGATATTTTCTAAATTTTATGTAGAATCTCAGGTTCAATTTTGTGCTGAATTAACATTTAGTCCACAAAAATCAAAACGAAATGATGTTTTTGAAATCCCAGCTGATCGATTTTCTGAGTTTGTCAATTCTATTGAATGGAATTTAGGTAAATTAAAACATATTCCTTAATTTAGATATAATTTTATAGCTACGACACTTTCATCGCATAAAATAATCAATTTTTTAGTTTATGTTCCTCGATATGATACTCAGCCTCTTTTTTTTAAAGATTTTGATGACCATCTAATTTCTAATAATTCTTTTTTAGTTCCACAATGGGGAAGCATTGTGATTTATAATCAAGAACCCACCAATGTTAATCCATATTTAAACATGACAAGTCTTCTGCCAATTTTTTATATATTTGTTTCGAATTTTCTATCTCTTCTTGGTGTACCTTCTTTACCTTCATATATTCATCAAGAGCCTTTGCCAATTCTAAATACCTGGAGACTTGATGGTCTTTATAGACAGCGCATTGTTGAAAACATGGTTTTTGCTTCTACGACACTAGGTAGCCTTTCTAGATTAGTTCGACAAATTTCAAACATGGCTGTTCCTGATCAAGTTCAGCAAGATGTATTCAAGACAATAGATCATTTAAGAAAAGTAATATTTTACATGTATCTGCAAAATTTAATTCATTTTTATAGGCATGCCAGAATTTGAATGATTTTAATTCTTTTTCTGCTCTAAAAGATGCCAGTGCTGCAACTAGTTTGGTTGAAAAAGCATTTTTTGACCCATCTATGGTTAGTATGCTTTATTTTCCAGATGAACATAAATATGGTGTATATCTTCCTTTATTTGGGCCGTTGTTTTTTCCATTGATTACTGCTTTGGTTCAAGAAATTAAAGCTTTCTTTTATTATTGGCGAAAAAAGAGTAAAAAAAAGGAATCTGACTCGGCGATACAAGATAATTATCCTGCAACGCAAGATAATCTTTCTGAAATACAAGATAACCTTCCTGCAATACAAGATAAACAACCGGTACAAATATCTAATCATTCTATTCGATACAGGTTAAGTGCACGTTTTTTAAACCTTTTTCCTCTTTAATTTAGGTGTTTCTTCTCCCTCTTTTCCAACGCCTACCACTAATTCTGTTTCTATAAACATATTAATCATTTCTTCACTATAAGCAAAACCCTCTTTGGCCCATTGAGTAATGGTGCTATTTTCACCATTATACATAATAGCATTAGCAAAAAGTAAAAGGACTTCTCGGTGAAACTGTTTAGATGTAGTAATTTTTCCATCGCGAATTTTATTTCTAATTGACTTCATATCTGTTGGAAAATGAATTAAACTTGAATATCCGGGTGCATCTTTGTCCGAAACTGGTCCCATAAAGACTGTTCCATGCTTATGTTGAGATAGACTCATCCATAATGGCAAAATCATGCTTTGAAAGCGTTTTAATGATGTCAATTCTGATGCTGACGGCTTAGGTGAATTTTCACTTATATTTTCTGTTTGAAAAATATCTATTTCCTTCTTGACAAGGTTCCGTGTATTTTTCTTGACATTTTGCTTTTTTATATTCTCAATTTTTTCTTGGCATTCTGATCCTTGATCTGGTATTGTTTCAACTGATACAACGTTATCTCCTATTTCTGGTACTGCATTCTCCGTATTTAAAGAACTTGCTATATCATCATGACGTCCTTTCCTTTCAACAACTACTGATGCTGAAGATATATCTGTTGAATTTTCAACATTATTTTCGCTTTTTATTGTTTGTTCTGATATATTTAAGCTTGTTGGCCAACGACCACAACGAATTTCTTCAATTTCTTCTGTAATCTTCTTATAAGCTTCTTCTTCTCTTTGAATTTCTTTTTTTAATTCTATTATACGTTTCTCATACAAAATTTTGCAAAGTTTGGATGCATTTGATATTAGCGAGTCTTTTGAAGCATTTGTTTCACTTCAAATTCCTTATTAGAATGCTATATCTTAACAAAATCTATTATACTCTTCTTTCAATTCGTTTTCTTTAAGTAATAACTCATAATGTGCCTTGATATCCTGTGTTTTTTCACTCAATAAAAGTAAAACTCAAAAATAATGCCTACTTCAGTAGAGGAAATAGGTTGATGATATAAGGGATGTTGTGAAAGATGTGTTTGAATAATAGAAAAGTCTGTACCATGTTTTAAAACAAGTTGTGCCAGGAGAAGAGATGATGTGCCATTCCATATGTCATTCATGACAGAAATACAAGCTTACGCTGCAATCAAACTCTATATGGAGTGTATACGCATACAATACTTTATGTATGCTTTGTACCTGCTATATACCCTTTTATACCTTGTATATGCTTTCTATTTGCTCTGGCCAGATCCGCTCAACGGAAATATCTGCTGGATCTGAGTCAAATAGGTTTATAAAATCTTAGACTTTAGACATATGTCTGCTTTAATAATTAAAGATCTACATACATCTTGGGTTTTCTAGTTAAAAATGCTTAAATCTCTTCAAATTTATCGTTTTAAGTCTGGTATTATATTGCATTTTTATTTATTTATTTATTATTTCTATTTATATTTCTACTTCTATTTCTATTTATTTCTATTTATTTCTACTTATTTCTATTAATTTTATTAGAAATTTTATTAAATTCTTAATCTCGAGTCAATATTTATTTTAATTGGTTTTTATGATTTTTTATTTTCTTAAGAAATCTTAAGTTATTTTTAAAAGATTTCAAGGGGTTCTAAAAAAATCCATGTTTATTGACCCTTTAAAAGATCGGATATTTTAAGGGTTGTAAAAAAGACATGGATTAAAATGAATTTAGGGTTGAATCAAGTTAAGAAAGTTTCTAAAGAGGTTAGGATCTCTAAATTATTGCTGAGTATCCTAGGGCTATTTAGAAATATTAAGATTTTATTTTGAAACCAGACGGATAAGTTTAAATAAATGGGAGGAGTTATAATAATGAGTGAAAGAAAGATATATATATATTAAAAGGAGGGTATTTTAGGGGCATCTTTTTATGGAAGGCATCCCGTTTATTACTTATATATAAAAAACGTATGATGATTTAAAATACAGAAAGACTCCTTTTTGTTATGATAATTTATGGGTAAGAAATAAATGGTTATGAAAAGGTGAAAAGAAAGGATTAAATGGGAGAATATATATTAGAAGAATGAAGTTGTTGGATAAAATCGGAAATAAGATCAGGAAATATAATAATCTTGTATGCAAAAGTGGTATTTAGAATAAAGGATTGAACGAAGTGAAATTATTGAGTTAGTTATTTATATATAATATAAATACAGATATTAGGATGAAACCAGATACATCGCCTCTGCTAGAACCGGGTTCGGGTACAGCATCATCAAATTCGTCACCTCCTTCACCTAAACTATTGGATACATTTCTTGCAGATGCACCTAATACACCTATTACGCCGTTTACTAATCGGGATTCTGGCAACAATACGGATAATACATCACCTCTTGATTTTTATAGTCAAGATGATAAAGATGTATGTGTTATTACACCTGAGGAAGCGTCATCACCATTTATATTTGCACAAAAAGATCAAGAGTTATCAAATAATGAAAAATGTGTACCAAAAGTATCTACAGTATATTTTGAAAAAGCAAATTCAGAGTATTCAGATGGTGAAGCAAGTTTTTCTATTCCTGATATTTCATCATTATCATGTAAAGATTTGAATGAAGAAGGTATAAAAAAGGGTGTTCAATATGAAGGGGGTGTGTTAGTTAAGCCTGAAGAAAATAAAACATCATGCCTTTTATCAAAGGAGACGATGTTTTCTCATGAAACTATATATCCTGCTAAAAAAGTAGGGGAATCATCAGAAAATCGAGGACGTCCAGCAGCATGTTTGTTTGTTGCTAGGTTTGAAAGATTAATAGAGTATAATTTGTTAATATTTTGATAGTTTATCATCATCTCGTACAGATGAAGAATTATGTGCATCTGTTACAAACCATTTTCGCAAGGTAAATATTATTTAAGGGTAAGAATAAAAAACAATTAATTGGAGTTTTTAAGTGGGGTAATTTGCTTAATGTAAAAGTATTAAAGGATTGGATGCAACGACCGTATTCTTTTGTACAGTTTGAAGTAAGGATTGGTAGTTTTTTGAATTTATACTGATGTAGAAAAAAGAATTTCGAGGATGCAAAAAGAGCTTTGCGTGAAGCTCATAATACAGTTATTGATGGGCGGCATATCCGTGTAGAAAAGGCGCGTGTTAATCGTACGCTTTATATTTCTCGAATTGGACAGTCATTAGAAGAACAGGTTTAATATTTTATTGTTAATATATTTTTTTAATTGATTTAAGGATGTGAAAAACTTGCTTGAGCCATATGGTGAAATCGAGGATATCGTAATTCCTTCTAGTTCTAATCAAATGCTCCGTAATGATATGGGAAAATGTTGTTTTGCTCGTTTTGCTTTTAGGGATGATGCGATTCAGGCGTTTAGTGTAATATTTTTTATTGCAATACTTAAATTAATACGTATATTAGAATCTTCGTCGTAATGGGAATTGGATTGTTGAATGGGCGCAGAACCTTGATCAAAATACTTCACAAATACCAATGATTCCTATTGATAAAACTTCTGTTTTTGTAGGACAGTTAAATCCTTCCTTGGTGACTAGGGAATCTCTTTTAAATAGGTTTAAAAAATACGGGGAAATTGTTGATTGTAGCCTTGTTAATAAACCTAATTCTAATCGAACTGCTTTTGCTTTTTTGCAATTTGAATCAGCTGTAAGTGTATTGATAAATACTGAAAAGATGTTGATTTTTTAAGACTAGTGCATCTGCTGCTGTTGAAAATGAGGTATTAATTTTGTTTTATGGGCGGGTTTTAACTTAGCTCTATTATAGAATAACAGTAATTTCCTTGATAGAGTAATTAGAGTACAGTTTCGCGAGTTGTATGATAAAACTGATTTGTCCACATATGATTCAAGATCGTTGCTGCCTTCTATTAATCCTCAATCTCAATTTGCTTGTAAATTTCCCCTTTCAGTTCCATTTATTCCGAGATTGCGTTCTAGGTCAAATGATTCTTTGTCTCTAACAAATAGAGGTTCTATTTATGGGCAAGATAATTCTGGTGTACATGGTTATTACCCAGAAGTGACTAATCAGGCATTTTCTATGGTAATTGGTTTTATTTATTCTTTATTTTTTTCTAATGGTTAAGCGATCACATGAGGCATTTATGGCAGCTTATAGAGCTGCATTAGCTGCGACTACGTCTTTGAACCAACCTTCTGCAATTAATACTCAGAATGGATATTCCGGAAACATTCAAGTGCCATATCCAGGCACTCCTGTCGGATTAACGAATTATATTAATTCAAATTCTTCTACTTCAGGATATGCTAACCAGCATACAATGATGAATATTCATCAAAATTCTAATATTATACCTTCACCGTTTTATTATTTTGCTGGAGGAATGAGTGTTCCTCCTCAAAATATAACGTCAAATTCTTTAAATCAGGATAGTTTATCTCCTCAACAGGAACGTGTTAAAGGAAACAATGTTTCTCCTCCCTTTTTATCACATTGGGGTGCATTTGTTCCTACATTTATCCATGGGCCAGGAACATCTATGCAAGCATCTGTATCGTTGCCAGGGCATTCTTTTTCGCATCAGGACTCGATGAATAGATTTTATCATTTTCCTGAGGGTATTTCTAATGGTTCTATGCATCCCGCATGGGATCCGTCCTTTGGTTATTATCGTCTTGATAATCAGTGCTCTCCAGAGATGCTTGCGTTTCCTGTACAAGTGCCGACTGTTCAAGACAATTTGAGTTCTAGTTTTCCTGTGTATGGAGAAGTTTCAGGACATAATACGGATCAAAATGTTCATCCACCTTATTCACATAATCAGGCTACTGTTAATGGAGGGATTACAACTTAATATACGGTCTTTATTCATATTTTAGGTGTTTGAATATTATTGACCGTTTGGTTATGATGTCTAAATTATGATTTATTTTATATTTATATAATCATTGTTATGGAAAATATCATAGGGGTTTAGGGTACTATATTGATAATGCTTTTACATGGTTATATAACAGATAAGCAATTGGTTAGTAAAAAAACGTATGTATTTTTAGTGATAAATAAAATCGTTTATATTTAGTTTCTAAAACTTATATGTTTCAATATCTATCCAGAAATGTGCTATATAGAGTTCAAATATAAGGATATAGTATATAAACTATCTTTCGACATGATGAAACTTTGTATTTGTCGAATATGAAAGTTAACCAAAAAAAATTAGACAATATGCATAGTCTATGCCGTCTCAGACTGATAAATAGGTTAGAAGACCAAGCACTGATGATTTCGTATAAATAGATATTGATCATGAGGTTGATCTGTATCATCATTGACATTGTTTTGCCATGCCTAAATAACTATAGAAATCATTAAGTTTATCTTAAATGGTGTATGAAAGTATAGAAAAGTTTCGCTCTTCAACGAGTAGTCCTTTAAAAACGTCCCTTGTGTATAATTTTGAATAGTTTTTTAATCGGTCTTGATATGCATAAAGCTGAAGTAAAAAATAAAATTGATATTTTTATTTAATAAATTTAAAAAAGCCTTCTGTTTGAAATTTGTTTATTGTAATTTTAAGAATCTCTTATAAATATTTACGTTTACCTTTTAAATGCAAATGAAAAAAAGGTAAAGTGAAAATTTACGGTACGATGACTTAAGCATTTAGAACATTGATAATGGATTTGGCTTGTTTTCCATTCTTGACCTATAAAGATAAGAAGCAAAAAAATGGATAGGATAAAACGACCTTTATCGTATAAGATATTGTTTTATTAGACAATTCGTCAAAGCATCTCATAAAAATGCTAGATCTTCCAGATTGCTGATAATCCGACTTAGAAACGACTCCATTCAAAATGGTTGATGATTTGTTTGGTTGATTAGTTTTTTTGGCAACCAAAACATTTTTCTTAGAATCAGAATCCAATGTTGTAATCCAAAGAATGCCAGAGCCGAGATACTTCCATTGTTCTGGACTTGTTTGGATAAATACTTTTGCTTTACTTTTACTTAATATCAAGCCGGCTTTTTTATTAGAACTTTTCGAAGAATCTGTAGGTTTAGGTGTCGTATTTAATGGACGATTACTAGAATTACACTCATAATTTGTAGACTCGTGATTTCTAAAAATTTGTAATACCCAAGGATTATCACGATTAATGATTCTATATGAAACAATATAGAAAAGATCTGCATTGCTATCACTTTTAAATTTTGACAAAATATATGAAATTCGATCTTGTATAAAGCATGCTTCAAAACATTAATTAATTCGAATATAAAGACTAAAACCTTACCTATGCTTATTTCTTGCTTGGACTGTCTTACTATCGTAGAATATTTTTGTAATTCTCCACAAACAATAATTTCTTGAGAAGATAAATTACAAATTTCTAACGTGAACATATCCGTTGTACATGTATATTTGATTATAAGGAACACTTTTTCTTCAATATCAAAAACGTTTTTCCAAAATGTAGAATTCCAAAAGAATACGGTTGCCTTTTCACAAAATAGTATTTCACTATTTTCAGATGAAAGTGATGGAGGTAGCTTATTAATTAATTTACTGTTTCTATATAGGATTTCAGTATGATCCGAATTATTTTTATTCGATGAAGTTTCAGATGTTTTTGTAGCATTAGGATCTGAATATGAGAATCCTAAGACGGAATCATTAAATATCATAGAAGTCAATGATATTCTTCCCAAATCTGGCATAGGAAGTTGTGGTGCTGTTGAAATTTGAGATGTATTTAAATTAATGTCTGAGGATGTTTGTTCTTCTGTGGATGAAGTTGTATCTGACTCAGTCTTGGTCTTTCCTGAGCTTCGAGTTGATTTTGAAGAAATAGAAACATCAGAATCAGTGGCTGATTGAGTTATATAGTCTTTATAAGATGATGATAACTGCTTAAACTCATTTTCTTTTGAATCCACGTTTGAATTAGAAGATTTGGATGATGAAATCGAATTATTTTCATTAATAAGATAAGATGTTGATGTTGCCTCCGAAATAGAATCCGGCCCCAATTCTGTAGAATATGTACTGTGTTCAGAAGATTCCTGTTCATCAGTCTTTTTATTATCAATATCTGGCGATTTTGGAACATCTATAAAAGATTCATTTTCTTCTGGTAATGTTTCGAGTCTAATTTTTGATGTTCTTGAAAATATATATGAATTTGAATAATTGTTTGGTCGGCTATTTTTATCAGGAAAAGAAAATATACCATTTGATGTACGATCTGGAGGCTGAGGAAATAAATGAGTATTCAAACCCGACTGATCAAAGGTAGGTCTAGATATTATTTTTTGCATATATTCTGCTGACTTAGAAATAGTTGATTCAGATTTGTTTTGATGAGCTACAAGAACATTATAAGTATTGAGATGTGGCTGACTTGCAGGTATTGATTGATAATTTCTTTCTTTTGTATTGGTACTTTTTAATTCCACATTTTCAATGACATGATTATTCTTCTCTGATGTTATAGATAATTGATTTTTAGTATGAGATTTATCTTGATTTTGAGATTTTAATGATCGCGATGGTAAAAGAATTTTCTTAAATGGTGTCAAATCAGATGATAAACGATGATTCATTTCATCAAAAATAGTAGGAAAATTTCCTGTATCTTTTGGAATAACAGGATTACCTACTGGTGACAACTTAAATGTTGAATAATTGATGCTTTGAACTGCGCGACTAGATGAAAGTAAATTGATCCATAGTTTCTTGAGTTTCTTGCTAGCAGCAGTCAAATATATTTGCTCACGTTCATAAATAGAAAGTATAAAAGTTTGTTCATCATCCGTTTCGATAACTTTAAATATCCTAGTTAAAAAAGGCTGAAACATAAGAAATTTATATTTAGGAACTTCTATGTCCAGAAATAATATAACATCGGTCAAAAGAATAAGTTCAATGTATTTTTGAATAATTTCACCAGTAATACTGTGAATCATCTTAAGAAAGAAATTAGATCGAGCAATTATAGAGCGAACAAATGGAAGTTGAGGAGGCTGAAGATCCAAAATATATTTCTTAAATTATAAGATAATATTAAAAAAATGAAATAAATGATACCTTTGGTTCAAGAGTAAACAAATCCCTCATTTTACTAACATCTAATTCCTTTTCAACCTGACGAACACTACAGGTTAAATTATGTAGCATATCCATATTATTAGGAGCAGAAGGTGTCTGCCCTATTCCCTCTCGGATCATTTTAATATGTCCACGTGCTTTGGAAAGTAATAAGTGAAAACATTGATGTGCATATGAAAATTGTTCACTTAATTCATCATCTGCATCTGCTAAAGCACGAAGAAATTTCCGAAAAATCCGCGTATATATTTTAACTCTATGTAAAGGACTACTTAAAAGCCATTGACATTTTTTAGTACTCGTAGATTGTAGAATTCCACAATTGCTCAATGCAATAGTTAGCCATTTATGATTATCTGGACTTAAAAACTGATCATCTAGTTTTAACGTATATACCGATATATATAATTCGAAAGATTCTAATATCGTATCTGTCTTCAACATGTTAATTTTCTGCATTTAAATATTTAAGAGCCTCTTACAAACATTGGAATAGTATTCATCAATGTTTTATGAAGCAAATGTTGCGGAATATACATTTCAAACGTCTATCCCATATGTAAGTCTTTTTCTATCATAAATAATAAAAATATACATTGATAATAGAGCTACTAGCCGTAATAAAAATACTGATACAACGAGAAATAGTTTCCAATGATGATACATTTAACTGTGACATAAGCGCTCCCCGTAAAAGCAATTCCTGAAAAATAGAAAGCTCTATTATATATGTCTTCTCCGTCATCCACCAATGATTTAAAATTTCTGATAATTTAATTGATGAATTTGCAAATGATAGATTTTCTGATGGTACACTTGATATAGATGCCGAATTCGAACGTTGTATCGTAAGTGGAGGAGAAGGCGGTGTATATGCCGGAGGCTGCATCGATATTTTTTGTGAGGGAACATAACTAGGCAATGGATCGAAAATATTCTAAATATTATTATATCATAAATAATGATTATCGTATAAAATAAAAATATACCGATAAAGGCTCTGCTTCAAGTCCTGTTTGGATTGCACTTTCAACAACCCGTATTACTTCATCAATTGACTGTGGTGTACATAATGCAATTTCTCTTGACTACATATTACGTTAAAATCTTGTTTTTTCCCTTATATATGCGTATTACATCTGTATTTGGTGTATGTAATGTATTTTTCATCATAAAGTTCGAGGCATCGCGTTATTAATAACGCGTTTATCTTTAATATCTTGTTATATGCGTGTTATATCTGTGTTGTATGCGTTATATATGCGTTGTATATGCGTTGTATATGCGTTATGTATGCATCACAAATCTTGCACTATTTTTTTGTCTTTAAATCCAACCGATTTTTTGAATATTTGTTTTTGATTTTAACATTTGTTAAACGCATTAAATCTTTCCTTTCTAAGCCTGTTTTTTCCTCTTTTTTATACTTTTTCTCACCTGGCATTCATACGCTAATCCTCTTTTTTACGTAAAAATATAATTTCGCGTTTCGCTGGTACACAAACGCGCGTTTCAGTAAGCAGGGGTAATCCGGTCTCAAATCCGTTGAGTGGGAGAAATGAGTAGGTCTGAGGGGGTCGTGAGTGATGTAGGGTTTGTATAGTATAGGGTTAGGGTTGTGTATAGGCCTTGTTTGATCAGGGTTAAGGGGCTTGGAATGAGTTGAAGCTAACGTCTTAAAAGATTTAATAAATTGATAATAAGAAAAAGAAGTAAAAAGTTCTTAAATATGAAGAGTTACTTATTTTTTTCATAGGAGAGAGTATTAAGATATCATATTTGCTTTTTGTTTGGAGGAAAAGGTGTCAATATTGACTGATATTGAATTATAAAGTATTTAGAGATAATTTTAAAGAAATACAGATTATTAGAAGGAAAAGCAGTATATTTTGTAAAATTTGTTAGGAATTCTTATAGGGAGGTATATAAGGGTTTTTTTTCGCTTTTTTTTCTTTGAGAAAAGGGTTATTTTTGAACGAATAAGATATATAATATTGACGTAAATAAAGTTTCTTTCATTGAAGATATTTTGATAAAAAGAAAAACAAACTATTGTCTTCTCAATTTTCTTCTGTTTAGTGGAAGGGCTATTTTTAGTTTCTGCTTTTTTTTGGTATTTTTTGATTTATAATTTTGAAAGAAACGTGTTTGGGTCTTTGTCTATTTTTTTTCCTGGAGTTTCATGACTTGTTTGAAAGAATCATTGCCTTCAATATTTTGTTTTAAGGAGGGAGATATCCTTGGAAAGTATATATTTTTCTAATCTTTTTAAGTATGCTTATTTTATAGTTCTTATACTGTAATTAGAACTCTTAATCGCGGTTCTTATGGTATTGTTTTGTTAGCTCATGATTGTCAAAATTTTCAGGTTGCGGTTAAGGTTCTTGTTCAGTCTTCTCCTGAATATAAAACAGAATTTGAAATATTGTCAACTTTACCTCCTTCAAAACATATTATTTCATATAAGACTTCTTTTTCTGAAAATGGATACTTTTTTATTGTTCTTGAATATTATCCACTTGGAGATTTGTATGAGTCTATTATATCTAATAGATTACCGAAGGATACGGAAGCTATTCGTTCATTTATGCTTCAACTCATAGATGGTGTTTCTTTTCTTCATAAAAATGGTGTATATCATCGCGATCTTAAGCCTGAAAATATTTTGCTTTTTTATGATATAGAAAATAATTCTATATCAGTTAAGATTGGTGATTTTGGTTTAGCAACTACGCAGAAGGTTGTTAACGATGTTGGTACTGGAAGTAATCGATACATGGCTCCGGAACAGTATGAAATTCCTGTTTTCCATTCTTTTGGAGTATATCATTATGATGCCTCTAAAGTAGACATATGGGCTCTTGGGATTTGTCTTTTAAATATTGTTTTTTCAAAAAACCCTTTTAAGATACCTTCTGTTAGTGATTTGATTTTTTCGGATTATATACGAGACCCTATTTCTCTTTTTGATGTTTTTCCGAATATGAGTGAAGATACGTTCAAGGTTCTTCAATGTTCTTTGGTGTGTTCTCCAGAAAAACGTTCTTTAGATGAAATGAGATCCGCTATTGAAAATTTGCTTGAATGGACAGTTGATTCGCAATATATTGAGGAGAACTCTGTTGAAAAAAAATTACCAATATTTAATTATGAAAAGATTTCTACTACTGAGGCTAGAAAGTCTTTGCGTTCACCAAGTATTGTGTCATTTCCATATCATACTCCTTTTTCATGGACAAGGGTTCTTCAATCTGCTGATACATCTGAAAATAAGAATATTAATGATACTGAAAATAGTATGTTTTCAGATGTTCCTGTATTTCTGGTTCATAAAGCTGAGGAAGATGGCGTGGAAAAAGAAAAAAGGGATTCTGCTGGTTCTTTGGATTCCGGATTGGGCACAAGTATTGAATCATATTTACATATTAATCAGACAGGAATTATGGATGATAAAAAGATACCTAAAAGTGCTCTTGATAACACTGCTAATATTATATTTCCAACAAGTGTTAAAGGATCAAAGAGCCATCTTTTATTTGGTAAAAGTTGGGCTGATGATGATGATAGTTCCGATGATGGATCCGCTATTTCTTTGTATGATCTTCCTCAGAAGCCGAATTATAATGCCTATGAATATGTTGAAAATGTAACTGAGACGTCGAATAAAAAAGGCGATGATCTTTGTTTATGGACGCTTACATTGTAAGATAATATTTTATATTTTTAAGTAATATGTTTATTTCCTTGCTTTACGATTTTTGGGTGTATCTAATTAAAAACTATAAATATTATATGGAATAGATATTATGTGGAACAAATTTTATGAAATATTATTTATATTATTTTTATTTTTTATATTTTTTAATTTTCTTTGCCTCTTGATTGTTCAGAATAGTTTGAATCATTATCTCAATAAGGTCTGTATTTGATAATAGATATGTTTATTGATATTTTAAAATAAGTGAATTTATTATCTACTTATAAGCTTTCAAAAGCATTTCTAATAAGTTCTTCATGCTCTTGTTTGTGCTGAATTTTATTTCCCGTAGCTACAGAGGCTGATGGTAATCTTCCTACATATTTTATTTTTTTATTTTTATGAACTTGAGTTTCACGAAGAACTGTTTTAAGACGAGGCTGTATATATTGCCATGCACCTGCATTTAAGGGTTCCTAAAACATTAGAATTGTTTATTTACATTTTAAATAATATGTACCTCTTGGCACCAAATCAATTCTTTAAGATTTGGATAACTATCCAAACATTCTTTTAAACCTTGAAAATGAAATGGATGAATCTGCTCACATCTTACAATAGCAGTATCATTAATTTTGCGTTCTTGACGTTCTTTATAAAGAGAAACATATATTTGACCCGTACATAAAATTAATTTATTACATAGTTCACGAGGTTTAAGAAACCCGTTTTCATGACCAGGATCATCCAAAATACGTTGAAAATGTGAATTTTGAGAGAATTCTGATAGATTTGAGCATGCCAATGGATGTCGTAAAAGAGATTTGCTAAAAAACATTATAAGAGGTTTGCGAAATTCACGATGTATTTGTCGGCGAAGAAGATGAAAAAGATTTGCAGGTGTAGTTGGATAGGCTATTTGAATATTACATTCCTGGTGTTGTCGTTGAAGTCTTTCTTTTGATGGAAATACACGATAATCATCATTGACCAATTGAAGATAACGCTCTATTCTACCTGAAGAATGTTCTGGTCCTTGTCCATCATATCCATGTGGAAGAGACAATATAATTCCACTTCGTTGACGCCATTTTACTTCTGCTGAAGCTATGAATTGGTCAATAATGCACTGTGCATTATTTGCAAAATCTCCAAACTGTGCTTCCCATACAACTAAAGAGTTAGGAGATATAAGTGAATATCCATATTCAAAGCCTAAAACACCAAATTCACTTAAAGAAGAATTACTTATTACAAATTTTGCTTGTTTTGGATCAATAAAGTTTAATGGTATATATGTGTCTTCATTTTCTTGATCATGAAGAACTGCATGTCGTTGCGAAAAAGTACCTCGTTCAACATCTTGACCACTTAGACGAACATGACATCCTTCCATTAAGAGAGTAGCAAATGCTAAAGCTTCGCCTGTTGCCCAATCAATATTTTTTTCTTCTTCAATAGATAGTGCACGATTTCTTATAATACGTTTTAGATTGGGATGGATATTGAAATCTTTTGGATATAAAAAGATTTTTCTTCCTAAATTTTTAAGAGTTTCTTTGTCTACAGAAGTTGGAAGATGAGGAAAATTCTTTACTGTAAGGTCCCGAGGAGATGCAAATCCTATTGTTATTTTAGAATAAGTTTTCCTAATAGTTTAAATTAATACCATTCCATGCACTTGTTAACCATTCACGAGATGTTGGTTTGTAATTCTTTGCTTTTTTGAAACTACTTTCAAGAATATCCCAAACACTATACCATATAAGTAAAAATATAAAAAAGATATATTTTGGACCATTTTTTGTGTTCATTAATATCTTTTTCACTAAAGGATCCTTCTTTTATAAGCTGTTTTGCATATTTTTCTAACGTCGACGTTTGTTCTATAATTTTTCGATACATCAAAGGCTGTGTAAAACTTGGCTGATCTGTTTCATTATGCCCATGTCTTCGATAGCACACAATGTCTATTACTACATCTTTCTTAAAAGTAGCACGCCATTCACTAGCTATCTTGCATATAAATACTAACGCTTCAACATCGTCTCCGTTAACATGGAAAATTGGAGCATCAATACTTTTAGCGATATCTGAACAATATGGAGTAGATCTTGCAAATCTTGGGTCCGTAGTGAATCCTATTTGATTGTTAATAATCAAATGAATTGTTCCTCCTGTTGAATATTTAGGAAGTGAATGAAATCCCATCGTTTCATAAACAACTCCTTGGGCAGCAAATGCTGCATCTCCGTGTAATAATATAGACATAGATTTGGAATGTTCTTGCTCATCATTTGCATAAAATTGAATCGCACGAGTCTGTCCAAGAACAACAGGATCTTTTGCTTCTAAATGGGATGGGTTTGCAACCAGAGAAAGATAAACGCGTTTTCCAGATGGTGTTGGACGTTCATAATTCATTCCGAGATGATATTTTACATCTCCTGAGCCTTCGCTGTCTGGATCTAAAGAACCTAAAAACTCTGAAAATATAGATTCATTGGGCTTTTTAACAACATTGGATAAAACGTTCAGTCTTCCACGATGTGCCATTCCAATAACAATAGACTCAATACCGAGATCAACGGAATGATCGATTAAAGCTTTCATTCCTGGAATAAGAGACTCGCATCCTTCAAGTCCAAATCGTTTATCGTTTGGATATTTTGTTGCAAGAAATTTTTCAAAGGAATCACTCCAAATTAATCGATCAAGAATACGCTGTTTTTCCTCATTATTATATTGATAAGGAATAGGAATTTCAAGTCGTTCCCGAAGCCAATTACATTGATATCTATCTGGAATATGAACATATTCAACACCATATGATCCACCTGTATATATTAATTTAAGTTTATAAAAAGATAATGTTTACTATATAATCGTTTAAGATTCTCTACTATAGAAAAAAGAGTCATTTTAGACTCTTCTTTTGTAGAAAAAGCCGGCAAAATTCCCGGGCCGAGATTAAATTCTGTATTAAGATCTTTTTCCGTGAATCCATAATATTCTAAAGTTAATTCTTTTGGGATTTCTTTTATTAGATCATCTTTCGCTTTAATACCAAGAGGATCAATATCCGCACATAAATGACCTCGGACCTGGTATGCTCGAACTAGCAATTGTACTTTCAAATGCTGAATAATACTAGCACTATCATCCATTCCTGTAGGAAGCGTCGGAATCTCTCCAATTGACGCTGGAATGATTGTTGTTGGTGGCTGAAACGCGTAAATAGGCTTAATATTCTTATTACTCATATTTTTAAAATATATTTGCCACGAAACATGAACATCTTCTGGATTTTTTTTCCATACTTCATACATTGCATCAATATAGTTTGCTGATGTTCCATGAAGAAACGAATCACTCCATTCCTAAAATGTTTTTTAATATCTATCATTTTATCATCTTACTAACTTACTGGAGCTTTTTTTAGAAATGCTATTGAATGTATTCTTTTAATAGACCGTCCTGCGGTATTTATACACTTCCAGGTGTCCTTTTTTTTCGTGAAAAAAGGGTTTTTAGTAATATTGAGTATCTTTTTTTGAAAAAAATAAATATTTCTCCCCATTATATGGCTTATTTTGCCTTTTTTGCCTTTTTTTTTTTCTACTGATCCTATATGTCGTTTAGTGTATAGTTGCCTAGGCAATCTAAAAGGTTATTAGGGTTAAAGATGAATAAAAAATATCTCAATTTTTTACAAGAAAAAATATAGAATAGGCTTTATTTTTATTTTATAATTCTTTTTAGTCATAAAAAGTATCCAGTTTATGTATTTTAAACGAATAGCTGGTGACTGTTTTTTATACTATTTTTTTTGACGAGTATCGAGTGGATAACGTTTAAAAAAATTGACAAGAAAAATGGTCAGATATGGTGAGTTTTTTAGAGAGTTTTGAGTGTTTTAATTGTTTGTTTTATGGATTTCAATGGGTTTTTTATATATTGTTTTTTATTTTTGCTTTTTTTTCCGATAAAAAATGAGTACTAACAAGTAGTTAGCTTCAGAGCCAAGTAATCCAGCTAAATCAGCTAAAGCTCGTGGAGAACATGTATATTTTATATTATTTTATTGTCTTTAATTATGAATTGATTGTTTTTAGCTTCCTGTACATTTTAAAAATACACGAGAAGTTGCACAAGCAATTAAAGGTCTTAGTTTAACAAGGGCATTTCAATATTTAGAAAATGTTAAAGAACATAAGGAAGCAGTTCCTTTTAGGAGATTTCACCGTGGTCTTGGACGTACTGCTCAAGGAAAACCTTTTAGAGTTACTTTAGGTATTAATTTGGATTATATATATGTATATTGATTAGTTTCAAGCCCGATGGCCAGAAAAATCGGTTAGATTTATAGTTGATTTGCTTAATAATGCAAAGAGTAATGCGGATTTTAAAGGACTTGATATAGAAAATTTATATATTACACATATTCAAGTAAATAGAGCACCAAGACAACGTCAGCGGACATATCGTGCTCACGGTCGAATTAATCCTTATATGAATAGTCCCTGTCATATTGAAATTATTGTTTCTGAAGAAACCGAGACAATAAAAAAAGCAGACGATTCTAAAGCTATTCAGCGCAATAGATAAAAGAGTTTTTATAAAAATGAAAGATAGTTTAAAAAATGCTATATAGTTGTTTAGGAATATGTATATAGTTTCTAAACTGCTTATGTTGAGGAATAGATATGATCTTAAGTAAATGAGATAAAGTGATGTATATTTATTTTAATTACAGTTGTATATATTAAGGATTATTCAAATATGTATAAAAAAGAAATATATAATAAATAAATACTGAATAATTCATTCTTTATATTTATTTTATTCTAAATTATATCATAGGATAATTTTAGATTTCGACTTTATTTTTGATACTTGTTTCAATAAATTTAAATATTTTTTTAACCATTCTTTTTTTTTTATTAATAATTGTCTTCAACCCTAATCTCTTTTGATAAATCCCATTTCAAAATATTTCTCCTCACTTTTTTCTAAATCTTCAATATTATTATATTTTTTATATAACTTTTTAATTGCTTGATTCCATCTTTTAATATTTATAGCCTTTTATTTTACAATATTTCATCAACAATAACCTCTGAAAATACATTTTATTTCCTATAAAAGTTCTTTTCTTTCTGTTACTGAATCTTTCTCTCTTTCAATCATCTTAAGACTTTATTATCAAATTTCTTTTATATTTTTAATCCAATATCTTATTAAATTAGACTTTTTTTATCTTTCTATATTAACATTTCTTTATTTTTAATATTTTTTTAAATTTTTCTTAACATTTTTTAAACTTTTTAACCAAAGTTTAAATTAAAATTAATCGTTTATTAAATTTTTACATAATTTCTGAACTTTTTGATAATCTTTTTTAAGAGAGTTAAAAAATAAGACAAAAATCACATAAAATGCTAATAATTTTTGGTTATTTTTGATTATTTTTGATTATTTTTAATGCAATTTGTTCAACATAATATTAGATCTTTATTTTTTGACAAAATAGAGTTTCGTGAGTCAGGAAATGAGGAAAAAAGGTTAAACGTTACAGTTATTGAAACAGATGGTCAATATTTTAGAGCTAAATATTAATCTATTGATATATATTTTTAGGAATTAATCTATATATTGGGACATCAAATGGATATGTTTATCATTTTGTTTTGGAAAATAGGAAAAGTGTATGTTTTTTAGGTTAAATTGTCATAGTATAAGACTTATCTAGTTGTCATTGTTTCCGGAATTTATTTTTGCTTCTAAACATAATTTATTGGAGAAAAAGTTAGTGAAATTAATTCTCGTTTTGTCTCAGATTACTTGTGTGGTTATATTGTGTGGTTTTTGTGATCTTGAAACTTATTACTTTTCTTAATTTTAATAGGAAATGTTCTTTTTTTCTGTAATTATCCGGAGCTTTCTCCTGTGTTTGGTCTGGAACCTATTAAGGGTGTTGTAGATATTTGTCAGGATTTGGATAAGTATGGAGAAACAGAATTAGATGGAAGTGTTATCTTAACAGTTTTGATGAAAAGAAAAATAAAACGAATTAAGGTTAAAGATACGATTTCTGTTGTTTTAGTTCGTATTTTTATGGTCTTGTAAAATATTTAATTAAAGTTTAGGATATTGATTATTCTTCCGTAGTTTCTATATGTCAGAGAGGATTTATTTGTTGTGTTGCTACTATTTCGTCTTACGAACTTATTAATTTTGAAAATAATAGAAGGATACCTCTTTTTCCTATAATTCAAGGGAATGATCCTCTACATCATAATTTTTTGCGAATATCTACGCCATTTTTAAGACCTATAATTATAAGTATTTCTAAGTCAGAGTTTGTTGTAACAAGTTTATTTGATGGAAAAAATTCTGTTGGATTATTTGTTGATATAAATGGTAATATTGTGCGAGGAACTATTATGTTTTCCGAATATCCAATTTCTTTAGCTTCTGAATTTCCTTTTTTGATGGCTTTAATGGATAATTCGTTTGTTGAAATACATAATATTATTGATCAGACACTTGTTCAGGTTGTTCAATCTCCATTATTAGGATCTATTACAAATATTTTCCGTACATTTGGTCACTATTGTATATTTTCTGAATCTCTAATGAAGAAGATTGTTATGGTAAAAGCTATGTCTTCTAAAGATCCAGAAACTCGAGATGATGATATCAAAAATAATAAATTCTTAGAAGAAATGAATATTGCCACTAGGTTATCTAGTATTCCTTCAAAAGTTTTTTTAACTGGAGAGAATGGAATAAGTTGTTTAGTATTTGATTCTATTTTAGTCCATGTTGATGAGCTCTTGAATCTAAAAGAAATAGATAATGCTCTTCTTTTTATAAAAAAATTTACTAAAATAATAACTCCAGAAAATATTCATAGTGAAAGAATTGTGAGTTTTTCTATTTTATTTGATTCTTTTAACTGGGTTGTCTAGTATCATGAAATTTCATATATTCGTCAGAAGTCTGGATTTGTTTATCTGGAAAAAATATTATTTGATGATGCTATTATTCAATTTGAGGAATCGGATATTGATCCTAGACTTGTCATTTCTCTTTTTCCTGTGTTCGACGTGAAATTAGATGGAGTTATGACATATAAGGGAGTTGATGAAATTATTTGTAGATTAGTGGATATTGATAATATAAGTATTAGAATTTATGTGATTATTGCATTATTAATGAACTTAGTTTCTTCTGAAATTTCTGGAAAATTTGATTCATATGTGCAATTATCTGATGAAGAAATTGAAACTACTCAGAATTATAGAAAAATTTTGTATCAGAATGCATTAAATACATTAAAGAAATATCTTCTTAAATATAGGCAAAGAAAGGGATTGGGAAGTATAGGTACTGGCTATAAAAATAAACAAATATTTCAAGTAGTTGATCTAGCCCTTTTGAAATTGCTTGTATACTTAAGTCCTGAAGAAGATTCAAATGTTTTATATAAATTAGTTGATTCGGGAGTTGAATGTTTTGATGATGCTGTAATAATTTTTGAGGAAAATGAGAAATATTTCCTTTTAAGTAAATTATATCAAAATATGAAAATGCAAAATAAGGTTTTGGAGATTTGGAAAAATATATTGGATGGAAACCTGTCTGATCACGAATTTCTAGATGGTGAAAAAAAAATGAAAGATTATTTATTTGAGGTGGATGATGATAATTTACGTATTGATTACGCTATATGGTTATTAGAAAGAATGCAACATATTGGAATTGAGGTATTTTTATTTTTATATGTTTTAATAGCTATTGAAATTTTAGTTTTTTATTAATATTAGCTCTAAAAAGCCATTCAAGTTTTCTATAGATGAAATGGTTAATATATTCCGTTCTCGGAGTAAGATATGTCTTAAGATTTATTTAGAATATCTTGTTTCGAATTTTAGTGTTTGTGTGGATTTTATTTATTGACCTTTTTGTTTCTAATCAATTTAGAATTTGTCTTTTTTAAATGAACTTTTGTTATTATATCTTGATGAAATTATTAATTACTTGCAAATTCCTTTGATTAGAGATGCTACAAAAAAATCTATTAAAGATTATAGTGAATTAAATGACGACAAGTTGCCTTATTTTGAATATTTATCTACTTGTATGATAGAAAATGATGAAAGATATCAAAAATTCGTTTCCAATAGGATTAAGTTGATTGAATATTTACAATCAGTTTCTGATTATGATTTTGAACTTGTTTTAAAACATTTGTATTCTCAAAAAGATCTACTTTTAATCGAATTAGTGATTTTATATGGAAGAGTAAATTTAATTATATATATATATCTACCTAATTTTTTATTAGTTTTCTAGGCATGAAGAAGCACTCACAATTTTAGTTCAAATTTTAAAGGATTATAAAACTTCTGAAATTTATTGCTACCATCGAGGTTTATTTGTTAAATCATATTATGATAATAAAGATTCTAATGAATTTCTATCACAACGAAAAAAACTTTTCAAAATGTTACTAGATCAATATTTAAAACTTCCTGATTATGATCAAAGACTTTCTAGAATATCTTTTCTTCTTAGACATTGGAATATTTACTTGGATGCTATTTATGTTTTAAACACTATTTCAAATGATTGGTCTATTGAAAAAATTTCTGATTTTTTAATTACTATTTTACAAAAAAACATTCAAGAAAAACATCATTCATTTCTTATAAAATCTCTTCATCGTGGTTTTTCTACATTATATGATTATTCTAAATTTATCTCATTTACTAACAAATTTTAATAGCTATTAATTATTTTTTTAACATTTATTTTAATATAAATTTTATTAATTTATCGATTTTTAAACTTAATTTTTTTAAAGATAGATTAAATAGATATTATGCAAGTATGAGGATTTTAGATAAGAAATAGTGTTTATAATCTGTCTATAATTTCCTAATAAAAGTTAAGTATTTCTATGATAAGATAAGATATAAGATTAGATGTCAGTAAATGCTTTAGATCTTTCAAAAAAAGGTTTTTACAGTTATTCTTGTATATTTGGATTTTAAATATGGTTTAGTTGGTGCGGAAGAGTGTTTAAGGACATTTCGTCTATTGAAAGGTGTGGATAAGAATATATAGATTAGGAAGAAATTTGATATATGATTAGCATTTCGTTCAGGAGATATACATGCAGTAGATAAATGTTTTGATAATTATGAAAAGGATTTGCCAGAAGAGTGTACAAGGACTCCGACTAGTTCTATTAAAGCATTTGATCTTTTTAGTCCTCTTATTCTTGCAGTTCAATGTGCATCGGCATCGATTGTTGAACATATTTTACATAAAAATATTTTTGATGTGAATCACAAAGATGATTATGGAAATACAGTAAACTGAATAATTTTTTTGAATTATTCTTATTGAAAAAGGCTCTTCATCTTGCTGTTTATATGTGTCGTTTTGATGTAATTAAAATGCTTTTGTTGAACGCTAATATTAATGATACAATCCTCAACAATAATAGAAAACAGGCATATGAGTTATCTACGAGCTCTGAAATACATCATTATATGATTGGTAAATATTATTTTTGTGGATTTTATAGTATATCTTAATTATTAAGGTGAAAGGGCTCGTTTTATTGAAAAAACAGAAGAAAAATTTTCTCAACTTATATTTTTTAAAAAATATGATGAGATTAAAAAGATGCTAGAAATACCTCGTGTTTCTGCCTTACTTGATCTGAATAAAGTTGATAAAAATGGTTCTACATTTTTGCATGAAGCTGTTAAGGGAAATGATATGCAAATTTTACAAATTCTTCTTGATCATGGAGCGGTAATTATGTTTTTTTAGATAGATATAAATTTATTAGAAAATAAGGATCCTTTAAAAGTAGATAAAAATGGAAGAACACCTAGCGATATTGCAAAAGATGACTTAATTAAACGGAAATTATTAGTTTCTTCATCTGATGGTGTTGTTGTTACATTTCCTGGTGAACCTATATTTATGTCAGGTTATATGGATAAATGGACAAATTATAAATCTGGTTATAAGAAACGTTGGTTTGTTTTAAGAAATGGTGTTCTTTCATATTATAAAAACCAAGGAAAGTTCTTATTTTCTTTAATATAATGTCTTATATTTACAGATGATGCCGATACTGAATGCAGAGGTTCAATAAATATGCGAACAGCTAGAATAAATTATGGTTCTGGAGATAAAAGGGCTTTTGAAATTTTATGTTGTGATTCTGTTAAATATAGTGTAAAAGTAACAAATCCATCTGAGGCTCGAAAATGGGTTTGGGCTCTTACTAATTCCATTCAATGGGCAAAAGATGAAAATGTAACTATTATTGATGATACTTCTAAATTTTCACCCAAAGAACGAGAAAAAGTTCCTTTAAAAGAATCCGGGCTTTATCTTCCTTTTCAATATTTATCTTGTAATGATTTGGATGATGATGAATCATCCGAAACTTGTGATCCTGGGGAATCTTGTAAAGACAATTTTTTGATAACTATGAATTCTTTTAGAATTCAATTAGATATTCTTTCGCAGATATTTGATGATGTCTTATCTAATTTTGATTCCATTTCAGAAAAAGGCTTGAATTCAAAAATGGAAAGTTTTGTAGAAGCTTTTTATCAATCTATTGATTCTTTGCGTGGAGCATTAGGGAATTTAGATCAGATATTTTTAGATGGTGAGAAATATTGGAAAAGAATGATAAATAAGGAGAAACGGATGAGAATATTGTGGGAGGTTTGTTATGTATATTAGTTATGTTATTGCTAAATAATAATAGGAAAATATGCATAAACTTGCTAGTGAACAAGAAGAAATAGAAAAAAATCTTCAAAATGCTGAAAATGAAAGAAGACGTGCTAAAAAGGCTTTACGTCAAGCGAAACGTAAATTAAATTTTACTCCTAAAATCATAAGATCTAGCTCCGATGGAGTTAAAAGTGAAAATGACTTTGAAACACATGATTCTTTCTTGGATTTAAGAAGTAACCGATCATTGCAGAATACCGATATAGAAAATAATTCTTTAGATGATAATGATAGCTCTTCAAGTCCAGACGAATTTTTTGATGTTACTAATTCTATAGAAACTAAAATAGATAAGATCCTGACATTTGATTCTACTGGTGAAAAAATATCTCAAAAAAAGAGCATTAAGGAAATGCAAATTGAACTTTCATATCATGGCTATGAAGATCCACTTCGTTTGAAGTTAGATTTAATAGATGATAGACCAAAGCTTAGTTTATGGGGAATGTGTTTGTAATTTTTGTTAATTTTTTAACATTCTTTTAGGTATTTTGAAAAGCATGATTGGAAAGGATATTACTAAAATAACCTTGCCTGTTAGTTTTAATGAAGCAACTAGCCTTCTTCAAAGGGTTGCAGAAGATATGGAATACATAGATTTAATAGATATTTCTGTGACATTACCTGAATCATATGATAGGATGCTATATGTAGCTGCTTTTGCTATTAGCGAAGTATTTTTGTTTATTCATATTCTGATTTTTTATTTATTTATTTTAGTATTCTAGTACTATTAACCGAATAGCTAAGCCTTTTAATCCATTACTTGGTGAAACATTTGAGTATTGTAGACCAGATAAAGGTTATCGTTTTATTGTTGAGCAAGTCAGTCATCATCCTCCAATTAGTGCTGCTCATGCGGAATCTCTTAATTGGGAATATTGGGTTTTTTCTTTTATTATACTTAATAATATAATTTAATCTACTAGGGAGAGTCTCGTGTTAGCTCAAAGTTTTATGGCAGAAGTTTTGATATTAATCCTTTAGGAACATGGTTTTTAAGATTACATAATGATTCTGGTTTAGACGAATTATATACCTGGAAAAAAGTTACAACTTCTGTTATTGGAATTATTACAGGTTGTCCAACTGTTGATAAGTAAGCTTTTTTTTTCATTGTTCGTCGTAATTTTTTTTAGTTTTGGTGAAATGTTAATAAAAAATCATTCCATTGGAGATGTATGTACTATCGATTTTAAAAAGAGGGGATGGAGAGGAGATGGCGCTTATGAGATAAAAGGAATCATTACTGATAGTAAAGGAATATCAAGATGGAGTATTGGAGGGCATTGGAATGACAAATTATATGCTAAAAGAATGAATGGTATCTCCGTAGCTACTGATACTGCTATACTATTATGGCAAAATCATGAAAGACCCCCCGCTCCTTTCAATCTTACTCCTTTTGCTATCACATTAAATGCTTTACCAGAAAAATTGAAGCCATGGTTGCCTCCTACCGATACTCGATTAAGACCTGATCAAAGAGCTATGGAAAATGGTGAGTATGAATTTGCTGCAAAAGAAAAAGAAAGACTTGAAAATAAACAAAGAGCTGCTAGAAAAGAACGGGAATTGAAAGGTGAAATTTATGTCCCAAGATGGTTTGAAAAATCAATTAATAAAATTACTGGTGATGAACAGTGGTTATTTAATGGTGAATATTGGAAACTTAGGGAAATTTTGGGTTCAAATAATCAAAAATCTGATGCACATTCCTGGGGAGTTATGGATATTTTTTAATTCATATATATTTTTATTTATTTTTTTTCGCTCATTATTAATATTCTTCTTATCAATTTTCTTTTATTTGGGCATATTACATACTCTTACTTAAACATTTTACATTAACTATAAAAAATATATATATAATTATGTATAGATTGACTTTTTTTTAATTTTTTAAATTTCCTTAAACTCTTTTTATCGGACATTTTTCGACAACCTTTAAAAATATAAGAAATGAAGCTTACTTTTAAAAATTTAAACCAACAAAAGTTTGTTATTGAAGATGTTGACCCGATGAATACTGTATATTTGTTTTTTTTTAAGATTTTTTAAAGAATATATTAATGTTATTATTAGATATTACAAGTTAAAGAAAAGATCCAAGAAGTGCAAGGTCATGATTCAAAGTGTCAAAAACTTGTTTATTCTGGTGGGCTTTATTAGGTTATTATATGTTAAATTGATGGGAATAATTGATAGGAAAAATATTAGCGGATGATAAAACAGTTGAGAGTTATAATATTAAAGAAAAGGATTTTATTGTTTGTATGGTTCAGAAGGTGGTTTATAAAGGCTATATGATTATATATGTCTAATTAGGTTTGAAGCCTAAGCAGGTAGCAAGTTCTAGTGTTGCTACGGAATCAAATGTTTCTACAGAGAGCATACAAGATTCAGAAAGTGGTAAGATAAAAACTATGACATCAAGTTCAGAGGCTCCGACATTATCTTCTGGAGTTTTTAGTGACCCTAATTCTCTTGGTATAGGGTTAATATGAATATAATATTTGATGATTTGATTATTTTTAGTTATTGGGCAGTTACGTGATACAGCTGTAGAAAATATGGTGGAAATGGGATATGGACGTACAGAAGTAGAGAATGCTATGCGTGCAGCATTCAATAATCCTGATAGAGCAGTGGAGTATCTTTTGACAGTATTTAAATGATTAATTTTGTTTAAATGAATAACATATATTTGTAATAGGGTATTCCTGAACATTTATCTCAAGAGTTATCTCAGCATGTATCTCTTCCTCAACCTGTATCTCCTTCTCAACAAACACTCCAGACTCAACAAGTGCCTCAACCTACATCTGTGCCTACATCTAATCGATCTCAAAATTTATTTGAATTAGCTGCTCAAGTTTCTCAACAAGGAAGAGAACGTTTAAATTCTGGTTCTGGTAATTCTTTGGGAGGTTCTGGTAGTACAGAAAGTTTGGCATTTCTAAGAAACAATCCTCAATTTCAGATGTTACGACGGCTTATTCAAACTCAACCACATATGCTTGAATCAGTATTACAACAGTTAGCTCAAGGAAATTTACAATTAGCTACGGTAACTTTAATTTTATCTTTATGCTTATGATTTTTTTACTTTTTAAAGCTTATAAATCAAAATTCTGAGGCATTTTTACAGTTGCTTTCTGAAGAAATAGAGGGAGAGGATACTACATTGACGCCTAATATGATTCAACTAACAGAAGAGGAACGGCAAGCTATTGAAAGAGTAAGATATTTCTTAAAAAAAAATTTTTAAATATATATACTCATTTTCAATAGCTTGAAGCTTTAGGATTTTCTCGAGGAACTGTTGTTCAGGCTTATTTTGCTTGTGATAAAAATGAAGAGGTATTTTTCTTTTTTTTTTTTCCTTTATTTTTATTTGAAAAGATGACTGCAAATTATTTGTTTGAGCATGGTCATGAATCTGATGAAGAAATTTCTTGAATCTTGTACATATATTATAAAAATACTTGTATCTAAATTTTCAATTAGGCTACTTTATCATTATTATTAATATTCTTTTATAATCAAAAAAAAACTTTATTTTCTATATCTTTATTTCTTTAATATAACTAGTTTTATTAATTTCTATAATAATTATATATTTATAGAAAATCCTTGGTAAGACTTAGATAAGATTTTTGAAAAGTAATAGGTTTTTTATCTAATTTCTGGCCGACAACAAAAAAATAGAGAATAGAAAAATGGGTGAAATAGTTAAAGATTTGCATCAAATAACTTATTTTTTTAGCTTTACGTGCTCAGTTTGAGAGTTCTAGCGAGTTCGTTTTTTTCTAGACTAAAAAGATGATTAATAGTGCCTTAGAATTGGTGTTTTTGGGAAATTGACAAATAGTTATGCCTTGACAGCAATTGGAAGTTCAGAGAACTTTCATAGGTAGAATGTTTTATATTTTCTTTTTTAATAATGGTTTTTAGTATTATAGAGAGTGAGCTTGGAGATATTAGTGAGTTTTTGTGAGGGTTTAGGTGGTTTTAAGGGTTTTTAGTACCTGTATGTCATTCTAGTATTTCAGGGGCCCGTATTATTGGTAGGATGACTGCTGGAAATTGTAGAGGTCTTCTGGTTCCATCTACAACAACTGTAATATTTTCTTTTTGAGAAATTGGTGTTTACGATGGATGTTATAGGATCAAGAGCTTATGCATCTTCGAAATTCTTTACCAGACTCTGTTAAAATTCAGAGTATCAATGAACGTTTATCTGCTCTCGGAAATGTTATTGCATGCAATGATTATGTAGCTTTAGTACATCCTGATATTGAGAGAGAAACAGAAGAAATTATTGCAGATGTACTTGGAGTGGAAGTTTTTCGACAAACTATTGCGGGAAATGTTCTTGTTGGAACTTATTGTGCGTTAAGTAATCAGGGGGCTTTGGTAGATTTTTTAAATATTGGAATATTTAGTGTCTTATATTTTTAGGTACATCCTAAAACTACTATTGCTGAGCAGGATGAACTTTCGTCTCTTCTTCAGGTTCCATTAATAGCAGGAAGTGTAAATAGAGGTTCTGATCTTGTTGGCGCTGGTGTTGTAAGATTACATTTATAATTTAATTGATTGTAATTATATTTTAGATTGTTAATGATTGGATTGCATTTGCTGGATTTGATACGACAGCAATAGAATTGTCAGCTATTGAAAGTATATTTAAACTACATGTAAGATCTTTATAGTATTCTATATGATGTTTATCTATGAAAGGATGCACAAACAGCTACGGCAATTACGGGCATAAGAAATGCAACGATCGAAACATATTCATAGTAAATATAATAAAGTTTTTGTATTATTCTGCGTTGTATTATTTTATGGTTATTATTATTTAGATTTAAGATATATTTAAAACTGGATAGGGCTAGTTTTTTAATACATGTTTGAAAGGTATCATGGTCATGAATATATAGTTTAATAATAATAAATAATATATTCCATAACTTTTTAACTATATCTTATATATTTTCCCACAACTATACAATGATCTCTCTTTGGGTATATTAATGGTTTGAACACATAAAATACAATGTAATACCTCATATGGTTCAAGTGTAAGCTGTTCTTGGGGTTTGATTCTTTCTTCTTGCAGCTTCTTGACTTCACGTGCAAAGACTGTTGCTGCTTCAACTGTTGAATCAATACAATTAGCTTTGATTGAAATAACAATTCCCCCAGAACTATAACTGTTCAGTTAAATTCTTAATTAATATATAACTTACTTTTTTAAAAAGGTATGTGCATTCAGTGCAATAATTCGTGCCTGATCTGGCTGGGCAACATCGGCAAATACTACTTCCTTGTAAGCATTCCACATATCATGTATGTACATTATAGGCATATCTCTACCTGTATCAACCATACCAACGAGCATTCGGTATTTTTGAGGATGACGAGCATCTTCAATAATAGGAATGACGTTAGTTCGTTTTTGTGCCATGTGAAGCAAATCCCTTCCACTACGATGTGAAAATTCTACCGCATAAACCAATCCCTCTGGTCCAACAACATCTGCCACATGGCTTACTGAAGTTCCACTGGCTGCTCCAAGATATAATACTTTTGATCCCGGACGAATATAAATTTCGTCAAGTCCACCCAAAATACCTGCTGCAAGTTTTGATCTAAATGGATTCCATACTCGATATTCTGTTTTTTTTCCATCTGCTTCAACCGATATCCTTTTTTCACCATATCTATATTTTTTTTATTAAATATCCTTTATATTATTTAAATATTACACTGATTCACCCGGTACCAAATTTTTTGTTACCAAAAAATCTTCTTTTCCTCGTGCAACAAAAACGCCTGGATGACGATGTGGCTCAATTATTACTTTTGTTGCTCTTGGACGATTAAAACGTTTATTACGTATCGGAGCTCCACGAGATTTCATTCCACGAGAATCACCCCGTCTTTGTTTTTGGCTTTTGTCATAACGTCCTTTCTGTCCTTTCTGACCATGTCCAGCTTTTGGTCCCATTAAATAATATTAATTATTTTTAATAAATATAGAAATTCCTTTCTTTTTAAAAAATTCTTTAATAATTCTTAATAATACTTCAATATCTATTAGAAATATTAGAAATATCCATAATAAAATAGATAAACTTCTTAAATATAGTTAATTTTGAAATTCATTGAGTTATACGAATCTTTAAGCTTTCAAATATACTGGTTGCTAAGTAACTCGGTTAGGGTTTTGACCTTATTGGTTCTTAGGGTAGGGTTGTGGTTGATTGTTTCGTTGTTAGTGTCATGAGATTAGGGTATGGATAGATTTCTATGCTTAGTGTATAGGGTTAGAGTTCTATTATAAACATAAGTCATGTGATCATGAATGTGTCCTTAATGACACTCGGACAGTTTAGTTCAAGATGAAAGAATGAATTGAAAACTATTGGAAATATTATGAAACAAGGAATACCTATATTGATATGTTGCGTAAGCTAATAAAAGATAAAAGAAATAAGTAAATCTAATTGTATGGTATAATATAGATAGTTCATTTAACTCTTGGAGGATATTTTTTGTTAATAGCAGTTCGTGGAGGTCCACCACAAGTGATTGTATTTGCAGCAACAGCAGCATTTTTGTATTTACAACTGATGATTGGGGATGCAGTATTATTGCCAGAACGTGGCTTTAATATGTGTATAGTTGCACTTGGAACCCTTTCTATATTTATAGGAATTATTTTCTGGGGATGGCTGTTTTTTTCTGGTAATGGTATAGCAGCAGTAAATGCAGCATGTGTATTTTTTCCTGAGAAAAGATGTAAACCACGCTGGTCGAAGGAGTTTGCAGGATTTATGGGTTTAACTTTGTGGACCATTAGTGCAATTTCTCAAGTTTTTTTGTATTTTTATTTTATATATAATCGTTCTCCCAAACGGTCTAAAAAATTGCAAAAATCAAAATCACATAATGTTTTAGATTTTAGTTCTATGTCTTATGCGAGTCATGGTACTCCAAGTTTGACATGTATGTCAATATCGTCTACAGATAATGATAAAATGATATATCCAATGACTGCTATATCTCCTATTTATGAAAGAAAAATTTCTGATAAGGCATGGATGCTTAAATTCTATGAAAGATCTTTAAAAGATCAGTCAAATATTACAAAGAATTCTCAATTTTGTAAAGATTTGAAAACACAGAAAAATCATGGCTTTTCATCTTCTCGAAAACTTCGCTCTATTCGTCGCCGGAAAAATTTTGGTCATCGTCATTTTCCTTTATATACAACATGGCATGCTCCTTTTTGTCAGACTAGATATCCTTATTTTTCTAAAAAAACCCCTTCGTTTCTGAATATGAAGATTCCTTTAATGAATTTACATTCATCAAAAAATAGAGAAACAATTGTTGAAGGACCTGATTGGAATACCTGGGACTTTTCCAATTTTGATATGTCTATGTACTCGAATTCTTTTTCACAAGAAGCTATTAGTCTGAATGATAATATTTATAACAATGAGTCTTTGTCTGCACTCGATACACTTCATGAAAGTTTCGATACTCAAATGACACAAAGTAGTTGTTTTAGGAGATTTTTCGAGAAGAACTTAAACAATATGAGTCTCAACAATTCTACAAGATAATCTATATGGTAATGTAATTTATAAATAATTTGTATATTAGTTTCAATAACTTGGATGATGTTTGTATCATTAATTTGTAAGAATAATTTTTAATAACCACATGATTATTATTCATTTTATATATATTTTTTATCTATATTCATGATATATAAGCTTTGTTTAAATAATATTTTGCTTTTTAGGAGTGTTTCCTTTAAACTTCGAAAAATTAAACTTGTATTTTTATTTATTTTGCCTCAGATTTTCTTAGAGGAAACTATTTGATTTGCGATAACTTTTTGTGCCTTAATATATTTCTTTTCTTATAGGTTTTAGGAAGTTTTTTATGCGGAAAAAAAGGAAATTGGAGACGAATGATACAAATATCAACGTATTTATTTTCTATACATATTGGAATTTTAGGGGAGAGCTGAAGATATAGTTAGGTTAATTTGGATAAGGAGAATGATGAAACTTTGATTGTTTGCAAATTTGAATATTTTGTGGGTTCATTGCAAGATTTAGTTGAATATGCATTGGTTTTGAAGAAGGGTCATTTCATAGGAGAAAAAGCAGAAAAAATACATGAAATAGCTCTTCGATTGGCTGATATGGTAAAGAAAGATCCTTTTTTTTTAGAGATGGTGTCATTGGTTCAAAATTCTTTAAAAATAGAATTTGTAAAAGAGTCAGAGATACCTTCGTTACCTGAAATAAAGGATCCATTATTATTAAAGCAGGTTTTTACACATAGATCATATGCATACTCTACTCAGTCTTATAATGTTTCTGAAAGAGATATTTTAAAACTGCATAATGAAAGGCTTGAGTTCTTAGGTGATTCATATTTAAATCATGCAGTTACAAGATTACTTTTCAATGCATTTCCAGATGCTCGTGAAGGAGAGTTATCTGTGATGCGTTCGGAACTTGTAGGAAATACTAAGGCTGAAAAAATTAGTAGACTTTATGGATTTGATAAAAGGTTACTTTTGAGTGAATCTGCAGAAAGCGATAATGTTAGATCTTTAAAAAAAATTGTAGCTGATATATTTGAAAGTTATATTGGTGGTTTAGTATTGGATTCATCTAATGGGGAGAAAATTGCTTTTCGCTGGATTTCTCAGTTGATGGCACCAGATATTTCTTTGTTTCAAAAAAAGCAAAAGAATTCTGTAGAGCTAGATAAAATGGCAAAACAGACTTTATATAATCGGATTGGAAGAGAATATCATACGGATGGGCAAACGCGAAAAAAGATTGAATATATATGGATCGGTGGAGAAGGTGGAAATAAGGATGGATATGAATATAGTTGTAGAATTGATGGTCAAGAGGTCGGTCGTGGATGGGGTCCTAATCAAAAGATTGCTGGTATTCGCAGTGCTATGGATGCTTTAGTAACACTTTTTTTTATTTAAATAGGATTTTTAATATATATAGGCAAAACTTCCTTCAGAAAACATATGATTATTTCTTTTAGGATTTTTTTTAATACTTTTTAAAATATTTTAGTCTTTCATCTTCAAATTATTTAATAGACATGATTAAGAAAAATAGTGAAAAATGACAGGGTTATGTCCCCTCAATTATTCTTATATTCATTATATAATTTATATATCTAACGATCTAAATAAAATCAATAAAGATTATTGGTATTTTTGATGTTTTCTATGTTAATAATGTATATAATAGGGATATTTTTTAATTTTTATTCTAACCAACAGTATAAATTATATTATATTATGAAATAATATATAAGATATATTTACTATTTGATTTTATTTATAAGTTTATTTTATTAAATAATGATTGCTTGGATTCTATTTTTAGTTTTAATTTTTATCTTTTTATATAAGAAAAAATATTAAAATCTTTGTTTTTTTCTACCTTTTTTCTATTTTTTTTATATTTTTTTTACATTTTTTTTACATTTTTTTTAGATAATACTATGGGTGCAATGACGTAGACATTATTTTATACATTCTATTTAGAGGAAAAAAAGAAAATTTGTTATATTAGTTTTTTATTGAAATAATAGCTTTTGCACTTTTCTTATTATAATTTATATTTGTCTCAATAATTTATGTAGATTTAATGTCAGATTCTTCAGAGCTTAGTAGTCCTCCTTCATCATTACATTCAGTGATATTAAAGGAATCCGATAACGATTTATCGCCTGTTAAAAGCGAAAGTGTCTCTATGGCTTCTTCTACGAGTTCTCCTGACGAATCTGATATAAATGAATCATTTATATCATCTTTAGATATAGCGTATATTGTAGCTTTTAGAAATCGGTTTTCACAATTATTTGAAGGAATTCCAGATTTAGGGCCGCAAGATATTGAACGGTAAGATAAGTTGTATGTTATGAATTACTTAGAAAGTATAGTGGTATTTTCGGAGAACCTGAAGCATTGGATAAAATTGTTGAATTATTATGTAGACTTGTAACTTTATGTTTAAATAGAAAAAGAGCAGTAGAGTGGGTTGTTTTTTTACAAAATTACCATTATTGATATACATAGATCAAAACATTTTTCTCGTGCTTTAAGTGAAAGTGTGGATGTTCATATTAAACATCTTGATCCTTCTTGGTGTGGATATAATCCTCTTCATAAAGAAAAGGGGTTTTATTCTCTTTGTGCTTCAGATAAGGTGAATTGAGGTAAGCTTTGTATATTTTTACTAAGTATGGCTTTTTATATAGCTTAAATTGCTTTGTTGTTTGGTGGATTGGTGTCTGATGTCTTCAGAAGTTGTTCGTTCTTTTATTGATGAGAATTATAAAAATCGTGCTTCTGATGATAAGAAAAACGCTCTTTTAGTTCATCCATTGGGAAAGGATGGTAAAAATAGAAAACTGTGGCTTATTGAAGGAAATGGTATTTATTTCTTATCATTTTTTGATTTTAATCAAATCTTAGATACACCATTTCGTGTTTACCGTGAATCAAAATCTCGATCAGGATTTGTCAAATGGAAGTCTATTGCAGGAACGGCTGATGAGCTTCGTCAATATGCATTAAGTTTATCTAATGATTCTTCTTTAAATGCTATTGCTTTAGTCCCAAAAATATTGGAGCAAGTATGTCCTCGTGTAGAAAAAGCACAGATTGTATTTATGAGTTCTTCTGAATGCTTTAACTAATTTAATGTTATAGAGAAGAGATAAATTAGAGGCAAATCGTGCTCGTTTAGCTGTATGTATTTGGAATTTGATTATGTAATTTATTAATCTTTTATTTTTCATTTAGTCTTTAAACATAGAATCAACTTTATTAGGAATGCGAACACGTGGAAAACGAATAAAATATACATTTTCTGATAATGATGATAGTGATAATGACATTCGGACCTCTTCTTTTAAACATAAAGACTGTTTTGATTCTAATAAGTCTATTCAATATACTGCGAGTGGACGGATGATAAAAAGGCCTAAACGAGGGGATTGTGGAATTTATGAAGAGATTGATATGGCTGAAAGTAGTAATTTTAGAAAAATTGAAAATATAGAATTATCTAAAAATTCATTTCAAGATGATAATTATGTTGAATTTGAAAGTGGATATCATACTACTTCGACCAGTTCAGAATCTGAATCTGGAACATTTTCTTTAAAAGTGCTTTTGAAATATAATCCTAAGAAATTGGTTACTGGATTAAGTGATTTTTCTGAAACTTTTATTGAACATGATCATTTATTAAATAAAAATCCTTTGAACTAAATTATATATTATAATGTAATAGCTAATTATCTAAGAAGATTGGATTTTTTTAGATATCTTAAAGGATCTGATATAAACTCGATGTTATTACTGGTAATTACCAATATGTAAATATTACTTTATGGGTAAGTATTCTTAAACGAAATGTATGGTTTGTTTATTGTATATCCTAGTTTTTGATAGAGCATATATTAATTTTGTTCTATAAAAATTATATGATTTATATGGAATGCATTTCTGGGAATATGAAATGTTTATGGTATTAAATTTTTGAAAAAAAAAATATGGAATCTCTGGTTTTTAAAAAATATCAAAATTGGTTTAGGAAAATGCTATTTTAATCCTATTTTTTTAATTTAGAATTTAGGTTTTTATTTTATTTTGTTAAATATAGAATTTTTATTTGGATGTCGAGTCTAGAAATAATATTTTTGATGAGATTATTTGCATGCAATGGTTTTTATTGAATATTAAATGTTATATAGGCTATTTTTAGACTTTTTTCATTGCATTATTATTTATGTAATTGTTGTAGTTAAATAGTAATTTTTGAAAATATAATGTTTTTTAAATAAGGTTATAAGATTATATATTTTATTTTTTTTGATACATTATATTTAGATAATTTATTAATGGATATTTAAAGGTTCAAAATCCAAGTGATTTTATATAAAATATTTTATAATATAAATTACGAATTGGTGTTTTTTAAGATTGTAAAGAAAATATTATTTTGCTGCTTTTTTAAAAAAACTCAACATTATCATTTGAGTTTAATTTTTTAGAAAGAGTTAAAAAAATAAAATTAGTTTAAAATTTTTTGGTAAAGTTGAATATATTATTAAGATCTTTTTGTAAGAACACAATTTAATTAGAATTTTAGAAATGTCTTTTTTAAATATAGAAAAATGAATTATTGAAATATTTGAACTTTTATGTTTCAAAATATTTAAAATTAATATTGGAAAAGAAATATTAGAAAAAAATATAAAAGTCTTTATTTTTAAAAAAATTTCTAATAATTAATTATTAAAGCAAGGAAATAGTATTTATATAAATATGTTTTTGCTGATTAGTAAAGCCTAATGTATAAATTTATATATTTTATAATTAAGAAAAATGTATATTTTGGCATTACTGGTAGATTAAAATTTTTAAAATATGAATAAAAATGTCATATATAACATTACATTTTTATTTCATTATTTATGTTAGAGTTAGAAAAATGATGGCTAGGAATGACTGTAAAGTGCTAATAGTTGTGATATTTTGTGTGATTTATATAATTAGATGATTTTTTTATGGATAAAAATATATAATAGTTAAAAATATAGTCATATTCTTATGTATTTGAGTTATATTTTTCTTAAAAATTATGGTTTTTTTATGTAAATTTTTGTTTTGCAAATTATTATACATAATTGAAAGGTTTGATAGTTTGATATTAGATTTTTTAATATTTTAAAAAGTTTAGAAAATATTTTGTATTTTTTAAAAAATGTTTTAGTTTATAGATTTTATATTTCTAATTGAAATTAGGTGATTTTTTGATTGTTTTATTGATTTATTGATTTATTTTTGTAAATCATTATTATTATTTAAATATGTCTTTGAAATTGTTTTAAATAAAAATAGAATTATAATTGTTCTATTTTAAAAAAGTTTTGAGCTCCTGATTATAATGATTTCTTTGATTTCATAAGAATATGTTAGTAGTTCCTATAAATCTTGGTTTAAAAGGATGAAAAAGAGTTTGTAGTGATGTCTCTTGAGTAATGTATTTAAAAATAGTAATTTTAACGATATAAAAATTATTTATATAATTAGTTTTCTGCTAAAACATTGTATATTTAAATATGGAATGTTTTATTTGAGATGTTTATTAAATATTTTATTTTTAATGATTTATATTTTGTAATCTTGTTGTATTTTTGGTCTATATTAAATTTTTTTAGTTAAAATTAATCTTTTAATTTATGAATTTTTGATTTTATAAAAAAAAAACTTTTTATAAAGGAAATGATGTTTAAATCTTTAAAAATATGTTTTTAATAATTTTTAGAAATTACATTTTTGATTAAAATATTTAATTTTTTAATTTTGTAAAAGGTAATATTATTTTTTAATAGATCTTAAATGCATAAGTGTACTTCTGTTAATATTTTAAAAATAGAAGAAATAGTTATTTATGTTTATATTTTAAAATTAATATTAATATTTATTATTGAGCAGAAATGTGTTTTTTCTGTAGATGATCCTGATTATAAATATAAACTTTTAATGTTGAGTAAATTCACTTTTAATATTTTTAATCTATTACAAAATATAGTAATATTAAATGATGAAACTTTAGAGAATAGCTAAAATGTTATTAAAAACTATAAATATAATGTTTTTATTAGAAAAAATATTAAATAATAAATATCTTTATTATTTTTGATTATATAAGTCTTTTTTTTGAGTCGGTTATTGTATATTAAATATTATATTGATTTTGTGTTAAAATACTTTAAAAAAAATAATTTTTTTTGAAATTTTAATGAATTGAATATATTTAATAGTATAATGAACTACTTAAGAATAACTTATTTTGATAGCTTTTTCTGTTATATAAATAATTCGCTGTTTATGACTTCTATTCAGGGTTGTTTTCATTTTAGTACAGATTTAATATATTTAAAAGTCTTATTAAAAAATATATAATCAGAATAAAAATATAAATTGAGAAAATTGATCATTTAAATGCTATATGAAATACATAATATCCAATATAGTCTTTAGAAGAATGGTATTCTGTTAACTTAATATAACATATGTACTTTTAAATAGAACTCTGCCAGTATATATGAATTATAAGACAAAATCGAATATTATTATATATGAAATTCCTATTTCTAGAACGTCCCATAGCTATCCAACATATAAATTAACAATGCCTGGTGCACCTGATAGTCCCTCTGTTCCATATAAGTGCCGCATTTCTACTGCCATTTGCACATCCTCATCTGAATTAATTGTAATATGATCTCCATCTTCATCCTGATATCTTATTCGTAATGGTTGTCTAAGATTTTTTGTAGCATAATTTCCACAAAGATGAATTTTACGTTCTACTCTTTCCATTAATTGAGCATACCCAATAGTTGGTGCAACAATAATAACGAAAATATCATCCAAATAATTAACCTTAATTTTTACCTGATTTTCATTTTTGTTTCCTTCTAAACGAGTCTGAGGAATAGTAGAAGGAGAAATATTACCAGTTGTTGTATTTGGAGATTCAGTTGTTGGTCGTGATAATGATGTATTTGGAGAAATAGATGATGTACTATCATTGTGTTCAATCTTATGGTTTGATATTATATGTGATGATGAAACCGACGATAAAAGGCTAGTATTAGGAGGTATTTGATTCTCCGGAAATGCATTAATTACAGGATTACTAATAGAGCGCGTATTATTTTTAGACATTATATCCGGTATTGATGTTGGATGTGCTGGAATACGATAATTGTGTAATGAACAGGGGATATTATTGTTCTTGTGGGATGTTTGAGAAACAGATGGTATAGTATATCTAAGTTGATCAAGATCATGATTAGAAGTATTTTGTGTATTAAATCCTGTAAATGAATAAGAATCGGTAATAGACGAGCCTAGACTTTCTCTTGTGGGATTAGATGATAATTCTGTTGTTATTGATATATGGGAATCTGGAATCATATAATTATTTTCAAATGGTTTGCAATCTATATTTTCCAAGACCCCCTTAGGATTTGTTGAATAGGATTGATAGCATATTTGCGATACTTTTGAAGTTTGAGGCGGGTTTCGAGAAGAGAATATTTGAGTCCCGTAGTAATTATTTCCGAAACTAGCAATGCTATCATTTGTGGCAGATCTTGATCTTACACTGATTGAAGACAGATTCTTACTGATAGTTGATGTTCCGATATCATTACTATTATCAATAATATCCCGTACATCTTTATAAGAACTTTCGTTATCACTATCATCTGTTGCATAATTTTTTGACTTCGTATTGAAGCTCTTCATTGTATTAAATTGATTATCAATTTTATTAGATTTATAATTCATAGTATTATGGTTGATTTGAGTATCATCTTTAGATTTTGATTCTTCTATAAGTTTTTTGAGCACATTATGCCATTGTTTTAAATTTTCTTCATTACGGCATTTAAGTATAAAAAACTCTTTTTCGTGATCATTATGCCAATGAACATGTAAAGTATATTGCCCTTATCTCTTTAGTAATATAAAGAATAACTTCAATATATACCATTTTTGGAAATAGAATCAATATTTAATACACTATTAATGAAAATTCTTCCCTTCAATTGTAAATTCCCGCGTTTCTTGTGCGATTTTTTTGAAATAGACATGACTTTTGCTTGTTTTTTCGATGCAGGAATTTCTTTACAACAAAGCAAAATTCTTTCAAAAAGATATACATGATACTCTCTTTCCACATCTCCTTTAATTACTATAAATACATCTTCAAGTAAAAGTGCACCAAAATTTGATACATTGTGCCCTTTCCAATCTTCTATTTTTCTTTCAAGTTCCATAACAACAACTTCATTTTCTTGTCGACGACGTGTTTCATTCACACGATCCGTTACTCGCTTAATTGCATACATTCCTTGTTTTAGTTCTTCATAATGAGGATCCGATGGATCTGTATATTTTAATAATTCCTAGTTTTTTTTAGAATAATAATAATGATATAAATTTAAATACTTTAAGTAAAAGTGGATATTTGCAAATTCTTTGAATAGGTTTAATTAATAATGATGGTAATTCATATGTAGGCTCTACGATATGTGCAAGTTTATTTAGCTTTGATGTTTCCTCGATAGCAAGATCAGAAGCATATGTATAATTTGAACAAAATGGTTCATATATACTAAATGATTCTTCCTATTTTAAAATTGAATTTAAATGAAATATTTCCTATACATAAACTTACCATCTGTATAAATAATGCTCCAAATCTTTGATGTTCAGGATGAAGAGCAGAGTTAGCTTCTATTCCAATAAGGAATCTACGTTGAAAATCGACAAGCATATTAAGATTAGCAAATAAAAGATGAATTGTATCTGCAGATACAATTTCGTTTGATTGGAGTGCATGCATATAATTCTAAAATTAGAAAACCTTGTGCAATTATTTCATCTTACTTGTAAAGTCTCCATATCTTGAACGTATTTTCTCTCTGTATCTAAAAGTTCTGCTACCACTTTTGCTCGATTATCTTTCGGTTTTTTTATATCTTGATCATTATATATTATTTTTTTTCTTTTAAGAAGAAGGTTTTTCTCTTCCAACTTGTCTAATATAAGAGATACTGTCTTTGTAACCTAGTTTATTATAAATATTTTTTTATAAAACACAAAAAAATTTAACTTTAACAAATCCGTTTGTATCATCCTGATATAACTGAGAAATAGAAAATAAATCATCATCTTTATATCCAAGTTCATTGCGACAAGCTAGAAGAAAATGATATACACTTGCTTTACATGCATTCATGCTTGTTAAGTAAGAATCCGGATTAACAGTCAAAGGTTTTGCAGGCCTAAGTGCATTAAAAAGTGCGCAAAGACTAGCACCTTGTCGGAAACATTGCCAAAGCAAAGAAACAGGATCATTTACTATTCCTGCTGGGGAAAGATCATTTTGAGACTTGGCATTATCTAAATAAATTTCAAAATTTGGAACATTAAGCAAGCGTCCATGTATTTCTCTGCATATTTGGTAAATAGATGATGATGCAATAGCAGGCTTATTAGTTATAGAATTCGCAGGTAATGGTACAAATTTTGATGATAAATTTCGATTATTTATAGTTTCTACAGAACTTACAGATCCAGAAGAATGTAAGCCATTATATTTTGAAAAATTATTGGATGCATTTGCGGATATATTTGATTTTGTTGGGCGAGATTGAGTCATTGATACTATTATAGTATGTTGTTAATAAAAGTTCAATCCAGATTTAAAAAAATAACATAGGACCCTTTTTCTAATCTTATTTGTGTATAACAGTCTTGTTTTTTTATAAAATAAAAAGAAATTGATTTTTTACGCGAAAATAAAGTTTGATATAAGATTGTCTAATTTTTGTTTAAATTTATAAAAATAGTGTTTTTAGCTTGAAAATTAAAAATCTCTGCGATATATTTGCTTCTTATAATAATTTCAAGTAAATTATTTTTGAAGCTTCTAGTTATTTTTGATCTTAGTGTATTTAAATTTATGTTGCTTTTTTTATTTATAATTATCGTGTTTTTGTAAATAGGTTTTTTAATCCGTTTAAATGAAAAACTAAAATATTTATCTTAAAAATGTTAACTACTTATAATATGTATATTAATGAGACAAACAAGAATAGCATATTCAGAAGAATAGCTTTACAGTATATATATAATAGAAATTGCTACGAGTTATTTGAAAAGTATACGTACTGTACTAGAAAAATAACAAAGTATTAAGGTCATATTTATTTATGAATATACTCTGTTCTTTAGTATTTGAATATATCATAAATATTATATATGATTGTTTTGTATCATATCTTTTTTTAGTTGACGAAGAGCATTTTCAATTTTACGTCGTTCTTCTAACTCTGCCTAAAGTATATTTTAAATTGTTATAAGTATTATGTTTTATTATAATATTTACCTTCATTTTCTTTGAATGTTCTTCTCTTATTTCTTGTACCATTTTTCGGAATTCTTTTCGAAGTAATGCAATGTTCATTGCTTCGTTATGTTCTGTGTTTGATTTTTCAGGCGAAAGATTTTCTTTTCCAAGCCATTGTATTTTTTTATCAGATAATTGACCTTCAAGTTCTTCACACTTCTCTTTTAAGGTATCGATAGTGTTTTCAAGATGGGTTCTTTCTGATTCAAAGTCTAACATATTTCGTGTAATTTGTTCAAAATCATTCAACATTCCATTAAGTTCCGATTGAAGAAGTTGGCAGCGCTTTTCTAGGTTAATTTCTTTCTCTGACATCATTTTGTTTTTTTCCGTTATTTCTAATAATTTATTTTCTTGTGTTGATTTTGATGATTCAGATATTTTTGTTTCTTGATTTATAGAATTATTTTCTGTGGTTTTTTAGTTTCTTTTTAATTTATTATATGCTTATTACCATTTTCAAATTGTTGTGTAATCACAGTTTTTTCCATTTCTTGTTGCTTTGAATTGTATATAGTATCAATTTCTGTTTTTAATATAGTTATTTCAGTTGATAATTTAACAATATCATTTTCGAGATTCCTTATTGTTTCGTTTGCTTTATTTTCACATGCTAGCTGTTCATCCTTGTATTGAGACTGAAGAGATTGTATTTTTTCTTCAAGTATTGCATTAATGTTTCGTAATTTAGAGATTTCATCCTGTAATAATTCTAAGGTTGATTCTTTTTGTTTAATTTTTTTTTGGAAATCCGATAAAGAATCTGAATGTGATTTTAAAAGGTTGGAGTAATTGTTATTAAGTTCTTGAAATTTAATTTCGTTATCTTTAAGTTGTTTAGCATAATCTTCTATTATATTTTCTAAATTTTTTTGATCATCCTGCCATTTCCTGTAATCGTCTTCTTTGTCATTCTTAGTAATCTCTATTTCTTTGTTCAATGAATCTATTATTTGCTGATATTCAGATATTTTTTCATTTGCATCATATAGTTCGGATGATATAGATGATTCACGTACAACGAATTCTCCAATAGTTTTTTTAGCTTTTGAAAGATCTATGTCCAAATCATTAATTTTATTTTCATATTCTAGTTTTAATGAATTTATAGCTGTTATATTATTTTCTTCTTGGACCTTTTCTTTTTCAAGTAAATTTTTATACATTTTTTTGCTTTTAGATAATTCCGAAGTAAGTAACTCTACTCGAGATATCAAACTATCTATCGAAAATTGTCCATGTTCTATTGAATAGCTTTTTATTGGACAATCTTCAATATCAGTTTTATCCCATATGTATTTATAATTTTTTTGAAACTCTGCTATTTGAAGCAATGATGCCTCTTTAAGCTCTAAATATTGTTGGTGTACATTACATATAGTATCTTCTAATTCTGACAAAATTTCTAAAACATCTATCGAATTATAATTAAGATGTAATTGATTTTCTGTATATTGATTATTGATATGTTTTCCTCCAGCTAAAAAAGATTTCAATTGGTTATTTGATATTGTAAGACGTTTTTGGATTTCAACTAAAGTATATGATATGTTATCGTTTATTTTATTTTTTCTGGACTCTGTGTTCTCTGAAAGTTCTGTATTATTTACAGATCTATAAAAATGGAGTTCCCCAAAATCATATAAATCTATAGGTTTTTTTTCTTGAAGAAGATTAGAAACATATCCACTCATTGTATGCTTTTCCAAAGCATATCTTAATACTCCAGCTGTATGTTTTAATAATCGAATAGAAATTTCATGTTCATTTTTTTGAAGACGCCATAGTTCTTCTGCTGCTTCTTCGATTTTGCTATTTGAAATAAGCAGTTGATCTTCAACTTGACGCGATATTCGTTTTCCTCTGTTAGAATGAAGACGCGATAAAGATTGTGCTGCTTCTCGAAGTTTTGATTCCAAAGCCAATGTCCTTCGTACTGTTTCTATTCTATTAAGTAATACATGCTTTTCCTTATTTTTTTTAGATTCGTTTATTGAAAAAAATATGCCTTACTTTTTTTAATTTTTCCACATCCTCTAATGATAGTATTTCATATTCTTTTGAATCAAACACGGCATTGGAACTAAGATATTGCATCCCTATCTCATCCTGTTCATTAACAAGAGGTAATATTTGCGAGTCTGTATAATTGCTTAATCTATTTTTTTCTTGATTATCATAAAATTCTGTGGTATCAAGTAGAGATTTTGCTGGAGGTACAACATTCCCGTATTTGGTTTTTAATTCTTTGTCATATGAAACTGTATTCATATGAATCACTATAATTATTACAATTTTAATATCTATTATTTATTTTTTTAAAACTGTTTTATCATTTCCTGATAAAGTTTCGATAATCGAGTGGGAACTAAAAATAAATAGTTTAAAAATAATAAATGAAAACATAATTATATAAACGTGTCTAAATTATTATAGAAATATATGAATAACAAATAATCGATTATGAAGTATAACGAGATATTTTCAAATTATAGGCTTATTGTTTCTATTATATTCCTGTACAGCAATACCAATCTTAGTAAATATAAATTTTTGACTAGTGGTAGAATTTATAGGAATAAAAGGGCCATTAGTTCCGTCTATTTCATTTAGGCTAGTTGTTTGCAATAATGACAATCTTACCTCTTAGAATTAGAACTATTCCTGATTTTTTAAGTGATATAGTCTGTATATTACTAAGTAGAATTTCCCATTCAACATTAAGTTTTCGAGACTTTATCATCATTATTCTTGTATATGTAACCATTAATATTGTGTCTTCAAGAATATTCAAGTGTGCTAAGTATTCTTCATCAAAATATTGACCATTATTAATTTGTTTTAGTAAAAATAATCCAAAAGCTAAATATATTAGATTTACTAAATATAACATATTTATTATTCCTTCTCTTTGAGAATATGGCTTTATTACACCATCTTTTCCTATAAATCTAGTTAAACGAACTTTGTCTATTCCTTCTGTATCGAAAACTGTTGTAGTATTGCGAATTCCTATAAAAATAAATAATTTATATAGAAATGATAAATTAGCTTACCTTCTGTAACGTTACTTGCTAAATCAAAGATTCCAACAACAGGTTTAGTAGCAAGTCTATGTATATTAAAATAATAAGGAAAAATAAAAATATATACCCAATTATGCCTTTTCCTATACCTTTAAAAAACCCAGCAGCGCCATCTTTTTCTGCTCCTTCTATAGGTTTTCTTGCAAGGCCTTCTACTCCACTTGCTATGCTGGAAACAAAAGAATTTGCTCCAGCCGTGACACCATATAAAGCATGTTTTGGTCTATTTCGTCCTTGAATTATCCTTCTACGATTTTGGAATTTCTTGTCCATTGTTGCTACTGAAAGGCCTTTTTATTTTAATATTTTGAATTTAATGATAATATTTTTTACCCTTTGAAATGCTTCCTGTAAACTTTGATACACTGTCTGCAACACCAAAAACTGTTTTTTTTACAAAACTTGCTGTCCCTTTAACTAGTCCAAACCCAAGTTCTTGTGCACTCTCATTCATTACAAAACCGTGATATGGTTCATAAAATATGTCTATAACTCCAGAGCTTACAGTATTAAACAAACCAACAGGATTACCAAGGAAATCTGCAGAACCAAGAATTTTATGAATTTGATGAAAAAATTCCTGGCCATAATGACTTTGCATGTGCTGTATTAATAATGGTAGTGACATTAAAACATTTTCCATTAATAAGGAGTTTAAACGAATAGGCGCGTCGTTTATATTTCCAATTGCCATTGTTAAAACATTTAAGAAAAATAAAAATGGATTTTTTGAAGATGTTCTAATATTTGTTATTTTAAAATTATAATTTTATGCTGGAAAATGTTACTTGTCTTCTACGTTTACTCTTTCAGTTCTAACAAAAGAAAGGTTTAATTGAGCTGGCTGAATATGCAATACTTCAAAATATATTTCTGTTCCTGAAGCACTTTTTTGAGGTTCTGGAATTTCAAGATTTTCGTCACAAAGTATTTCTTTTTCTTGATCTATATCAGATTGTCCAATATGTTTAGCAAAGTCCAATAAGGCAAAAAGGAAATCCTCATCTATTTCTAATGTCATTTCTTGAATAAGTATAGTTGCATATTTTATATATATAACTCCATAGGCTACAAAAGTTAGATGTTTAAAAAGAAAGATTATATTTACAATCATCTTTTATTTTAACTAGTGAGGAATGAAATGATGGATGTGTATCCATTTCTTTGCCCGTCTTTTGAATTACGCTCGGATACAATATTATTGGATAAATACCTCCGTATAATTGATTATCAATCTAAAAATAGTTTATTTAAAAAAGGGACAAATGTGTTGTTTTACCTGAATCCATTTTATAATAATATCAAAGTTTTGAGATATAGGAGAATCACTATATTTTAAATTTAAATCTCGAAGTGTGATATAACATAATTCAAAGTGGCGATTACTTATTATAGAAATACCAATTCCCTCTAACCGGATCTCTGTTTTATACGTGATATTATCGCTAGGACTAATTATTTGAAATTTCTTTTTGTGGCTAGTATTATCTGTTAATATTGAACTGTTTTGTGAAATATTTGTTCTAAGCTTATGAATATTTCCGTCTTGAGAATTTTTCAGTACTAATGTTTGTGAAGGCCCATTTGCTATAACACTAATATCAATAGTTTTATATGATCCTTTATTTATCTTTGAAAAATGAAAAAAAAAGAAATAGTATAAATGAATTACTTACGGGAATTTTCATAGGAATAAGGTTTCCTATCTCTGATAATTGTATTATTCTTTCTTTACCATTTGCTGAAAATACTAATTCTTTATTTTTTGAAGCAGGATAATCCCAAGAATAAGGCATTACACTTTTTCCAGGAATAAGATATGTTTTAACCTTATGTGAAGACTTAGTTTTCTTATCATTATTGAGGGAAAGATAAGGGTTCTATTTTCGATAAAATTATACAAAATGTAAAAAAGGGTATAAATACTGGTTGATAGAAAGTGAAAGTAATGTCACTTTCATTGCGAATGGAATATGGCCAGTTATTTTTTTCTAGAAGCAAATGAATAAATACTGTTGCCTCTTCTAACATTATTTCAATCCTAATGAGTTGCTGAGATTTCTTATATTTAGATAATTTTATGTGAACTCTTCCTAAATTTTGAATATTAAATGGAGAAGACCTATTTTTTTCAGAAAATAAATAGATGAACATTTAAAATACCATTCATCATTTGTTCCTGAAAAACGCAAAATTAGTTGTTTTTCGGATGTTTGTTCCATAAAATATAATGGCATTTTTTGTAAAGAATATAAAGTCATTATGTTTGATGATTTGGGTTCTCTTACATTGATATCTTCGTCAAGACCACTTTTAATGATAAATCTTGGTGTAAGATTAACAATTTTTGTTAATTTATACTTTTAATTCATATTAATAAATAATAATTTATTGAATATATGTTACCTCTCCTTCTCCTTCTTTAACAACGATACCAATATGGATTTCTTTTTGTTCAGTAGAACTCAAAATAATTTCTGATGCACTTCCAATGGCTTCAAAACTCTGAGGTCTACTCCAGTTTGAATTCCCAACTTTAATCAATGCTCTATTTTTTCTATCATGATTTCCATATGAGAACATATATGGGACTGCTTTCTGAGGGGGGCCTATGATTTATTAACATCTAATGTTATTTTTAATCCGATTATCTATACCAATAGAAAATTGCCCTGCTGCAATTTTTGCTTGCTGCAAAAATAATTTTGATTTTATTTGAACATCAAGTCCAGTTTTGTTAAGAATTAGATAAGGACAATAAATTGTAACACGAAATACTTTTCCACTATCGGGGATTTCACTATTGTTTTAAATATATTGCAAAAAAAAGAATGTACTTACTAATAATATAAACAAAGATGAAGTTTTAAATTATCTTTATCTTCTACAATTATTTTGGTTTCCCTCCTAATTTTGTCAGGATTGGGAGTATTAATGACAAAAAATGAACTAGGTTTATAGACTATAGATAAGCTAAAAATAGAGGTTTATTTATATAGATACCTGTGTTTTGAATATGGATTCCCATAAGAAGTATGTGAGATAAATCTGCTGTATGTATAGGGCTAGATTCTTTTTTTTTTAAAAAGTTTTGCCACGTAGATTTTGTATTTTTATCAAAAATTTTATAATTTAAGTCGTATGGAAGAAGATTTTGAATAATAATCGGAGGACTTATTTTAATAGTCATATATGGATATACCCTTTTATTGTTAATAAATTATAGATGCAATTATTTTAGACTGACTTTACTAAAGGATTTGATTTATCATAACGAGCATAGATTCGAAAATTAAACAAATTGTCTTTTTTCTCAAAAGATTCACACGAAATTGTAGATGATGGTGATTCCAATAATCCTCTCCATGTTATTGCTTGTGAAGACCATGAGTATTTTAAATGAGCTATTAAATTAGATTTAATTTTATTTAATAAAAACTTACATTCTGGTCGAATTTTAAATGCATGATAGTATGCAGATTCTATTGGGATAGGATAATCGTTACCTGGTTCTATTTACATCAGTTTAAGTAAACTTCATTTGTATTAAAAACCAATTTTATATGTTTCTAAATGTTGACCTTGGTTATCAATGGTTATTATCTCGATAGGTATTTGTGTTTGGTTTTCTAAAGAGAGAGTTGATTTTAAAGTTATATGTTTTATGTTGTCAGAACCAAGAATAGTTTTAATCACAAGTCTATGAAGAATATCTGTTTTTGGTTCAAGAGAATATAATTCTTCGCCTTCATAATTAATAGAAATATTTTCTATTGGATTCCATTTTGTATTTTCTAGATCAATTCCAATGAAATGTTTTTGACATTCATCTAAAATGTCCTATATATATTAGATTTAACTTTCTTAAATCATAATAATATACATTTTTCATTTGTCTCCAGTTTTCAAACTTCCATGGAATGGTGTCTCCGTTTTTTAATTTATATATATTTTTTTTAGAATTTTCATCTTTAGAAGAATTTGACCATAAGTTTATAGAATAACCTGTTCTGTTTTGTATCCTATAAGGAGTTTCAAAGATTTGATATTTGGATAGAATATTTTCTTGTGTTTGAGTTAGAAAATGTAACATTTCTGTTATTGTCATAATAACGTTTGGTGTTACAATTATTTCTAGTCTTTTGCTTGATGATAAAATAACAGAAAATCTTTCTGGTAATATAGTTTTTGTGACCTATTTCCTCATTAATAAAGATACTAAGAGAACAGATAATACGTGTATTTCAAATTGCCAAGGCTCGACAAAAGGTTCCCAATGAGAGTTTGAAAAATTGTATGTATTTATAAATAAATTTAAATTAGTACTGATGCATAACTTATTAAAAATTAGATAAGTTGATAAATACAATTATTACAATACTTCCGTTGACCAATTGTTGGCATATAGTATAAATTTATTTACTGACATATCAATAGTAGGTAAATCATGACGGCATCCGATTAATATGAGTCTTAGGCCTTGTACGTTAACTTTTAATTCTTCTTTAGTTATAATAATAGATTCCTCAATAATATTAGTGCTATTTTCTGAATTAAAAAAGTCTCTATCTATTAGTTTCTCTGATTTTGTAACAGAAAATGCTTTTTTGCTAGAATTACATTCTTTTATTGTGTAATTTTTAATTTTGTTATATTTAACATCTGTTTCTGTAATTTTATTTGACCCTGAATGTTCAAATACTTTAGTTACAATATTTAATATTAGCATAATATCTCTAAGAGATAATCTAAAAATCAGAGGATCTACTTCGATAGCTATATTTGTTAGATTTTGTGTTTCATTCAGAAATTTGGAATCCATAATAAAAGCTATTGTAAAATCATCCAATATTCTTATTTTTTCTTCAAAGTTATCCATTCTGCAAAGAAACATGCCTATTTGATTAATAGATAAGGTTATAGAAGTTTGTTGTGATATTAAAATTTGTGTTGTAGTCAATATTATAGCCTCTGAAGAATACTGTTCTAAATTTTCAAGTAAAATTATATTTGCATCTACAATATTTATTCTATAGAATATATTAAAAGATGTTTTTTTTGTTTTTGCTGATATTTTTTGATTCTCTTTTGATGATTTTCTTATACTTTGCGCTTCTTTTCCTTTAGATTCAGAAATATTGTTTAAATTTTTATCAATGAAACTATTATCAATGTTTTGTTTGATAGACGAATTTGTCTCTAATCCTATCATAACGAAATCTTTTAATTCAAAAATATGATCTAAAGCAAAAACAAATTTAGGACTATCAACAGTAAGTATTGCAATAATATTTGCATCTGTTTTTTCGGATATAATAAGACTGGCCATAAACTGATATCCATCATGTTTTATAGCAGATATCGCTTCTCTGAACCTATTAGATTTGTCGAGTTTAGTATTTTCAACAATAAATGATTTTATTTGTAGTTCTGATTCTAAAGAAGAATCAGAGAATATCCGTGCCTTAATAATTGTTGTATTTAAAGAAAACTTTGCTAGAGAAAAATTGGAATGGCTTTCTATAGGTAATAAATTGTTTGAAAATATTTCTAAACCTATTACTCGGATATTGAATTTAAAATCTAATTTAGTCCATGGTTTTTCAAAATGCTGATTTCTTTTATTTTCATTTTTTTTAGAAAAATTTAATTCGGTAATTTTGGATTGTGATGTTTTTTGATTATTTTTAATCTTTATTTGTGTATCCAAATTGCTCAAATTCTGATCATTGTACGAAAATACTTGAGCAATTTCTTGACTTAATTTAATTAAAGAACAATATTGCCTATCTGTTAGTTTGAAATTTAAGTCTGTCATAGAGCCGATTATTCTTGTATTTGGTTTCTTAGAATCAAGTTCTTGTTCAATATATTCTATAATGAAACCTATATCAATTCCATCAAGCATTTCCAATTCTTCTATTTTATTATATTCGTATTCAAACTTTGAATACAAACTAATGTCTCTAATTCCTGCTGAAATTTTATTTAAAGAAATAGCATTTGAATCTTCTTCTAGTTTTTCAAATGTATTTGATGCATATATTTTACCAAGATTAGCAATAATGGTATTCTTTTTTTCATTTTTTAATTTTCCTGATTCAGGGAAAATCATGATAGGAGTTCTAATCAAAATATCAAAATGTATTTTGTTTACTGATTCCTGAATCTGTGAAGCTTGATTTATAGCTGCATTTCGTGCCGAATCATAAAGTGTTTTCATTTGTGCAAATTTTGTTATGAATTCTAATATTTTTTTGAAAGGCTCTTTAAGAAAAAAAACTTTGATAGATCCAGAGCTTAAGTAAATTAAAGTATCATAACCAGGATATGTTGTTTTGTTCGAAGAGTCATATAATTCATAACGAAAATTTGCTAGTTCTTCTCCTTCAATACTGATAAGTTCTTTGATACCTGATTCTAGTTCTGAATTAGTATAAAAATCATTGGACAATGACAAATTTCCAAGTTTTGCATCGAGACGTACAATTTTTTGTGTTAGAAAAATACTAATGTCTGCTTTATTTAATGTAAGAGTTGATAAACGTACCCCGTCATCATTAAGAACAAAAACTATTCCTATGAGCTCAACTTTTACATATATTTTATTGGATAAATTTCTATGATCTTGGTTATTTTTGATTATTGTGTTTTTTTCAACAGAATTCTTTTGCGTATCCTCATCATTTGAAGTAACAAAAGTAGTAATAATAAAATTAAAGAGTGTAAGAATAGTCTTTCTTGTTATTACAAATGTAATAGTGGATAAAGATATATTTATATTTTGTTCGATATCATTATAGATTGAAGTAAATTCTGATGATTGGGTTTTCACTTTAGTATATTTTATATGAACAAGATCAGTAGTTTCGTTATTCTCTTTTATTATATTATCCGATGATATTAAATTTCTAAATTCAATAGGAGAGTTGGTTTCTATTTTATCTTCAATAATAAATCTTCTTAAAATTATTTGAGCAGTCATATCATAAAATGTTTCCGAAAAAAGTAAAGAGAAATGTTCTAAAACAATATCTATAAGCAAATCGTCTGGGCTATTTTTTTCGACATTCACTTTGTATAATGATATTTGTAGTTTATTTACCATAAAATTTAATTCAAAATTCTTTTGTTGAAAAATAGAAAAGTCCTATATATAATGATAAGTATATATATATATATATATAAAGGAAAAGAAAAACCTGGCTACATATAGCATCTTGATATTGTTCTGTTTCTTTATCGTCAGAAGAGTCTGAATCATCAATAATTAGATCCTTTTGATGAGAAAAATTAAAAGATATTGATCTATTACTATTATACTTAAATGAATTAGAAAGTATATTCTGAAATTCTTTTTCCTTTATTCTATTATTATTTTCTTCAAAGGATGGAATTGCTGCATTAATAATTTCTGTTAAAACTTTATATTTTCTATCTGATATAGATGCATGTAAAAGAGGAAGATGCCCTGAAATTTTAAATTTTGTTAGATTTGAAGCTTTAGGTAATATAGAAATCTCTAATAGGAAAAACATGTCTGTTTTATCAATAATTTTGAAATTTTTGGTGCTATTTTTTTTTCTAAGTTCTTCCAAAGCATCAGTAACAGATAGTCCAATTAGTAACTCGGTATGTTCAATACATTTATTATAAATATTGATTACTTACTTGAATAGATTCAAATTTAAGAGAAAATTTATCATACATTAAGGACTTTAGATTTGAATAATCCTCTTGGCTATACACTTTATTGTGTTTTGATTGTATTTCTCTAATTTTTTCTTTTTCTACTAAGTTACTTTCAAGACTAATATGACCTGCATCCAATATTATACAATTACTGCTGATTTCTGTATAACTATTAAAGTTAAATACAAATAAATGTTTTTATATGTTTCTTAAACCTTTGTGGAATGATAATTAAAGGAGCTTGAAGATCAAGTTTAGCTGAAATAGTTTTGTGTTCTTCTAATGCAAATTCTAAACCTGCTCTTGTCTGATTTCTAATTCCTTCAACTGTAGCACTTGCTGCTTCCATTAAAACTTCTATACTTACCATTTGACTTTTAGGTGGTTTAAAAAAATTAGAAACGCTAGTTAGACAACGAGGATTATATATAACTTCCATAGATTTTAGTCTTGCTGTCACCGATGTATCTGAGTCACTATCAAGAGGGTTTTTTTCGAATTTGAAGTAGAAAAATGGCAATGAGCTATCAAAAAATGGCTGTTTTTTTTCTAGATTAGGATTTTCTTGTATAAAAACTCGATTAGGTAACTCATTTATTTTGTCTTCATTAATATTAACTTTAACTATCTCAGGGTATATGCTATTTTCAGTAGTTCCATCATAAACATTTAATCCTCCAAGGTCAAATTCAAATGCAAATGAAGTAGGACGTTGGATAATATTTGAATTAAAATCGTTAAAAAATATTGATATTATGTTTTTTTGTTTTATAATTGTTTTTTCTGTAAGTGTGAAACTTCCTGTTTTAAGGCTTAGAGATAATTTTAAGTTGACAAACTCAATAGAATTATTTAACTTTTCAGCAATTTCCTTCTTTTCATCCCATTCAATTGCATCATAAAGCTCTTTTCGTTGTTCATCTGTCATAATTAAATCATCCTTACTTTGATCGTTTGCATTTTGTGAGCCACTCCATATCCATGATAGCCAACCTTGTGATTGTTGAGAATTACTTTTAAGTGATAATATTTTTTCTTTTCTTAGTTTATTTTTTGTTAAAGATCTATAAAAACGAATGTCTTCATATGAAAGTAAATATTCTAGCTGTTGAAGTTCTTCGTTTTCTATTACATCAATTTTCTCAAGTAATTTTTTTTTAAAAAGATCAAGATATTTTAGGCGTTGATCTCTCCTTTTTTTGAAATAACTCCATGACCATTTGAAGTTTTTTTCGTGTATTTCATGTAAAATTGAATTTGCAGCAAATTGTAGCCAAAGTTTTGGATTATTTTTAATAGATTTAGAGGCATCACCTGTTGGACGAAAGCGATGGTATTTTTGCTGACGAATAAAAAAGTGGAAAAGATCAACCATCATGAGAGCGCTTATATATTGATGATTGTTAAAAACAATGCTTAATTCTTCAAAAATAAGCTGTATGTCAGTTCTAGAGAACCCTTCCACATTATTTTTATTTAAAGTAATATGACCTATCCCACTAACAGGTTTTAATATTAATTGATGATTTGGAGTATGACAGTTTTTAACAATAAGATCTTTAAAACATTTTAATAATTCATTAGATGATTTTTCAGAAAAAGAGTAAGAATCTATATTCCAATATATAGTTAAAAAATCAAGAGTAACTAATTTATGTATAAAATCTACGTTGTTTTGTATAAAAATGGGCTCCCATTTATCATTTGTAGATATAGCAGAAAATTCTGAAAGTGTAATTCCCAAAGAAAAAGGATGCTATATTTTTAAGATTATATGAAGAAAATGACCATAGGTATACCTCTGGATCGCTTAACTTATCTTCATAACGAATATGGATATTTCTAATTGTAATTTGAAGATTATCAATAATCTAGCTGTTTAGCACAATAGGTAAACCATTTATATATTACCTTTGTAATAAGACTATTTATAAATGATTGGTCTTTTTGAGTATTGTTACGTGATATACGCTGGTCAAGAAGTTCCGCTCTATAAATAAAAATAATCAGAAACAGAAATTGGTATTTAAAGGCACGATTATACCTTTCTAGTTTTTCTCTTTTAAGATCTTGCGCTTTTTTATTTTCTTTTTCTTGGTTGTACTATTGTAGATGTTAATAATTGATTAAATAACAGATAAATATTTTACTTCTTGGTTATCTTTAGGAAATGCGAGTAAAAATACGTTTTCAATAATAACTTTTACAGGCTTGTTTTTCAAATTGGACCATGGAATTTGTAAAACTAATTCTCCAAGAAAACCTTCAAAAATACTTATGGGAAGTTTAAATATATCAAGTGCCTATAGCTCAAATTACTATAAAATATTATTCAAATAGCTTTAAAAACTTCTTTTTTGAGTTTTAAGTTTCTAAGTTTAACATCTCCTTTCCATATACCAATATTTAGTTGTTTAGGCTATAATTATTAGAAACTATTATAGTTAAAAAATATGTTACGTCAAAATTTTCTACATATGATCCAAGAAATCTTTTTAAAATTCCTTTAATAATAAATTAATAATATTTGATATTGTGTTTTATAATTTAATATACCTGCTACAAGAGATTCAAGCATTCTTGATATTTTTTCATAATTTTGCTTATAAATGGTTTAACATCTCATTAGCTCGATGTTTTTAGAAAAGGTATTCCTATTTAGAATTATTAAATAATTTTACTGAATATGATAAAAATATTTATATAATTTTTTAAATTGTTATTTAAATAGTAAATTTTATACAATTTAATTGTTTTTATTGTTTTTATTTAATGTTTTTAAAATATTTTACAGTATAAAATAATAGAATTATTGAAAAAAAAGTATATATTTATATTTCTTAGATTCATATATTATATTCAATTATTTAATAATTTGATTTCTTTATAGATTATGTTTTTTAAATATTTAAATTTATAAAAAATAATATAAAATTATAAATTATTTACTTATTAATTATTATTTTATAGTTAATAAAATAATATATTTTATTTATATAAGTGTAAATTTATTAATACTAATGTTGAATTTCTGAAATTTGTGGATATTTATAAAAATTATGTTTATAATGTTAAATTTATTTATATATTATTTAAAAATAATAGAATTAAAGTCATAAAAATTAGTGCTTACTAAAATATATCTAGTATGTGTTTGTTTTTAGTCTAAATTACTTAACAAGATAAAGTATTTAAGAGTAAAAGTATATTAATTTGATGTATTTGTAAAATATATTTTTGTGTAATTGTAAAATAATCTTTAAAAGATAAAAAAATAAGTATGTTTTAATAATTTTTTGGATTATTGTATTAAAGAATTACAAAGTTCTTTTGTATATATAGTAAATTTAATAAATAATTATATAAATAATCTAAAATATTAATAGATTATCGATTCTGTAGTTTTTGATAATATATTAAAAATTATATCGTATTATTAAAATTTAAGTTTAGTAATAAGTTATTTGGATTTGTATTAGTAGGATTATTCAACAATATAATTATAAATTAATATATGTTTTGTTAAATTTTTTGGAAATATTGTTTTGATTTAACGTTATTGAAAATCTATTTCTTAAACTTTAATATTTAAATAATGGATAATTAAAATGCAGATGAATGCTAACAGATTTATTAACATATTAACTATTAAAAGCATGTTTATTGCAAAACCTTATAGTAATTACAATAGATATATGATAATTTATTTGTTTATAAATAATAACATTTATAATTTTATTTAGATTAATTCTTATTCTATATAATTTTTTTTAGTATCGAAAATAAAAATTTAAAGTTTGATAATAATTCTTGATATTATTTATATAATTTGATTATATATGATTAAATCCCAGTAGATCAGTCAGTAGTCTTTTGTTTTTTAATAGCATTATTAATGCTTTTTTGACCTGAAAATATAAATCACAATAAAATATTAATATAACTAATTTCTTACCCATTATACCACCTCCCCATATACGCCTAGATTCATCGTATTTATCATTATAATTAACCTATACTAACTAAATTTTTACTCAAAAAAAAAACAAATAATTTACTCTAATAGCTGAAATTAAAGTAGCTAGTGTATTTTTATCTTCGGACCTAACCTCGGTAAAAGCAAGCACCGCTGACATTTTTCTATGAACAACAGTTCCAAGACGTGCTTTGTTCTTTATAATCTATTTTAGATGAATAATCAATAAAATAATTAAATAAATTATACGCAGTATGGAACGCCCATTTTTCTGCAAAGCGATGGCAAATACACTACCAATTCAATAGGATCAACATCATTAGCAATTATTACAAGTGATGCTTTCTTATTTTCTATAAGAGATACTATATGATTTAATCCACTTCTAATTAAAAAATTAGAAATATTTAGATAAATAGAAATAGCTTACTTGACATAAAAAGGCTTTTTTTCTAAATCTTTTGCTATAATGCCTTTAAAATTGTTTTCTGCTTTACTGAGAAGTCTTTGTTTTTTTTCAATTTTAGTCTCAGGCCTATACTTATTAAGAAGTTTAAAAAGTTCAAGTGCAACATTTTTGTCCAAAGTAAAATTAAATTGATAAATCGCCGGAGGAACTTTTAAACGCATGCTTAGAATTCTTCTTTGTCTTTGAATTTGTACATAACGAGGCCATTTAACAAAACGTGTCAGATCGCGTTTAGGTTGGATATCCTGACCTAATAATAAATAAGAAATGGAAGCATTCTCCAAAAAACTAGGCCTGATTCTCACCAATACTAAAGTTTTTAGGTTTTTTTTCGAAAAGAGGATTCTTAGATTCAGATTTCGTAGTTGAACTTTCTGTTGGAAATGTCTCTACTATTTTTTTTCCTGCATTTGCTTTAGAAGGCTAAAATAATGAAAGTTAGTTATCATCTAATTAAAAATACACTTTGCTGTATCTTAAAATTATTTTCTTTTATTAGTATTTTGTTTAAGATATTTGGCATATATAATTCTACAATATTATCTTAAAAAAATAAAGATACATTGCATTTCTCTGGGAAAGAGATCTTGTAAATTCATAAAATTAACTTACCATTTTTTTATTATTTTTTTTTAATTATTATATAATTCAATAAAGCTTTTCGAATTATAGATAATATGACTGTTTTTATTTTAAACCCTGATTTTTGGATGATTACATTTTTATAATCTATAAAAAAATATATTAGAATATTTTTTTATTTTATAATTATGTACAAATGTGTTATTTTTAAAATTTGTATAGTTTGATAATGATAAGTTTATTTAAAAATAATTTATCTTATTTCTAATTTTTGATTTATTGAAAATCAATAATGAAAAAGATTAGTGTAAAATCTATTTTATTTCATATTAGGTTAGCATTTTATTAAGTAAAATGATCGCCCATATTAAATATTTTTGTATAATGTTTAATGAATTTAAATATTGAAGTTTGACAGGAAAATAATAATATTTTGTCCGTTTTTTTATTTTATTACGTTTTTTATTTTAATAAGTTTAACTATTGAAAGCTAGATGAGTTTTAACTCAAAAATGTTTTCAGAATATATAGGTGCCATTGACCAGGTATTTTTCTTTTTGCTATAGGTCGAAGATGTTTCATATTGTTTTAAACTAATAGGGAACTACAAGCACTCGGTTTTTGATATTTGATAGAACTGGTTCTATTGTATCTCTTCATCAGCATGAATTTAAGCAGATTTACCCTCATCCTGGTTGGATTGAGCATGATCCTATGGAAATTTTAGAATCTGTTGAAATTTGTATTAGAAAAACAATAGAAGATTTTGTTAAAAAAAATAAGAGTGTTCGACAAATTAAAGGTCTTGGTATTACAAATCAGAGAGAAACAATGTATGTTATAGAAATATTTCTTAGCCACCCAAATTAAAAGCTAGCAAGAGTTGTTTGGGACAAAGACACCGGAAAACCTCTTTATAATGCAATTGTATGGTCGGATACTCGTACTATTGAAGTTGTACGTGAATTAAAACAAAAAGAAGATGCTTCTGAGGTTCATAAAATATGTGGTCTTCCTATTTCTACATATTTTTCTGCTGTTAAACTTCGTTGGCTACTTGATAATGTTAGAAGTGTTCGAGAAGTTTACGATAGTGGCAGGCTTGCTTTTGGTTGATTGTTTTTTAAACTTAATTAATTCTAATTGATTATTAGGGACTATTGATTCCTGGCTGATTTATAATCTTACTGGTAATATAGATGGTGGCATTCATATCACTGATGCTACGAATGCTTCTCGTACGATGTTATTGAATATAAGAACTTTAGAATATGATGAATCACTTATTAATTTCTTCGGTCTTGAAAAACTCCACCTTCCGAAGATTAAATCTTCTTCAGAGATTTATGGTGAAATTTCTAGTGGTCCACTTTGTGGAACTCCACTTTCAGGATGTTTAGGTGATCAATCCGCAGCTTTGGTGGGACATTTAGCATTTACTCCTGGATCTGCTAAAAATACTTATGGAACTGGGTATTTTTTATTATTATTATTATTTTTGTTAATAGTTTTTAGTTGTTTTTTGCTTTATAATACTGGTGAAACACCAGTTATTTCAAAAGAAGGTCTTTTAACAACTGTTGGGTATTTTTTTAAAGGACAAAAGCCTGTTTATGCTTTGGAAGGTGCATGTTTTTAGTGGCATAATTTTACATTTTTTGATATTTTATAATAGGTTCAATTGCTGTAGCAGGTGCTGCTATAAAATGGTTTCGCGATCAAATGGGAGTTATTACTGAAGCATCTCAAATTGATGAAATGGCTGCATCTGTAGAGGGTAGTGTTTTTTTTTATTGATTGCTTATTTTTACTTTGAAGTAGATACTGCGGGCATTGTTTTCGTTACTGCTTTTTCTGGTCTTTTTGCTCCATATTGGCGTGATGATGCTCGTGGTACTATATGTGAGTATTTTGTTTCCTTTTTAAAAAAAATATTGTCTTGATATTTTTTTCTAAAGTAGGAATCACAAATTATACTACTAAAGAACATATTGCTCGTTCAATATTGGAAGCTATTTGTTTTCAGACTAAAGCAATTTTGGATGTGATGAATAGGGATTCTGGAAGCCCTTTAAAGTGTCTTAATGTTGATGGTGGAATAACTAATTCTGATATATGTATGCAAGTATGTTAGAAGTTTGTATCTTTGTTGTTTTATTCATTTTTTAGATCCAGTCTGATATTGTTGGTATCGATGTAAATAGACCTCAAATGCGCGAAGTTACTGCACTAGGATCTGCTATTGCTGCTGGTCTTGCTGTTGGAGTTTGGAAAAATGTAGAAGAATTGCAAAGTGTTAGTGCAGGAAAGACATTTGTTTTTTCTCCAAAAATTAGTGAAGATAAACGAAATCGTATGTTTTGTTTATGGGAAAAGGCTGTTCAGAAATCATTAGATTGGGAAACTGGAAAGTCTGAATAATGTTTGTAGATATTGAAAAGGTATATAATTATTCTTAATTTTATATTAGGTTTAATTTTTTTTATTTTTAATTTGTAACAACAGTGATTTTATTATTTCTAAATATATTATTTGAAAATTGTAAATTATTTTTTCTAAATTTTATTATGTTTAAATAATAGGCGCTTTAATTGGTACATATTTGGGATTTAAAAATCGGTTCAATGTGTAATTTGAAATACCTATATTTGGAAGTATGTTTAAAAAATATAAATAACCTACAATAATGTGATTGAGTATTGGCAATGTCTAATTACTTTATAGCATATTTAAAAACTATTTTTTTTATAAATGACTAATAAAAATGTTGTTTATATATAATTGTATTTAACATGATATTATTGAATAGAATTTATGATAATGCTTTATGTCTGTCTTACTATGTTATATGTTTTACATAATTGAAAGTTGCACTATTTTGTGAATATGTTTATATATTTATAAATTTTAAGAGTAAAAAATAAAAATTTTGATAATTTAGTTTTTTCGGATACGAAACTTGTATAAAAAAATGATTTTGTTTTTTAATATTTAATATTAGTATTTTAAAAATAAATATATAATTTATACGTTAAGAATATGATAAATGTTTTGAGAAAAAAATATCTAATATTTAAAAATAAATTATTGGAAAAAGTGTAGATACTCAATTGTGTATTAAATAGTGATTATTACTGCTTTTTTTATAATTTTAACGTAACTTTTTTCATGTGTTCTTATTTAAATTATGTATCAATGTATTCTAAATTACATTTATTAATTATATAAATGTTTGTTTATTAAAAAAAAATATATGATTAAACGATTTTTTTTTTTCGAATGTGTAAAGTTTTGCAATGATTTAATGTAAAAATATTTTAATGTTATTAAGAATATACAATATATAGAAAGTTGATATGAATACTGATCATTTAATGATATATAAAATTGTTAATATAACATTATAATATAACATTATAATATTTTTTTTTAAATTCATCTTATTGGAAAATATCTTAGGACTTGTTTTTATTTTGATAATATTTAATTGTCTATACATGGTGTTTTTTCTCGGTTAAGTTATTGGAGTATATAATAATTATAACGTTATAAACTAACTTATTAATATTATAATAAAAATGACTAATACTGATTAATTCTATATTATATATAATAATTTATATATGTTTTTTTGTTTATATTTTTTTAAAAAACATTTCTATAGAATTTTGAATAATCAAGATGCTAATTGCTTTCATATATCTTTTTTGTAATTCAACTTGTTTGGCTAAACTGTGTTCATTATTTTTTTGAAATTTAGTACGATAAATTAGATTTAAATGATATATTGAAAATTAATTTATGATTAATAATAATTGAATTTTAATTTACATTATTTTTATGTTTAAAAATATATTGATATGATTTATATTTAAGATATATGTATTATTTTTTTTATTTCTTTAGTTGAATACTAAAATGTTTCGGTTTTTTGTTAAGATTTTTGAATTTTAAAACTGAAATTTCTACTCATATTGATTGATTATTCTCTATGATTATTGATTTATGAGTAGTTTAGTGTAAAATATATCTACTAATTATATAGTCAAATACCTTTGCAAAATCAATTATAAGCGTCTTTTATACCTTTTCGTTAAATGGAATTAGAATATCCTTGGATTGCGCTATATACAAATTTAATTATGTTGATAGTTGTATATGAATATGAATTATATAATTAGTGTTTTTGCCAAATATTTATAAAAAGTGTTGTAGAATTACATATATGAGCAATAATATTATATTGAGATGTAAATATTAAATATAGTAACTAAAATTGATTAAAAAAAATGGATTGAATTATGTGGTATAAAAATTATATTTTTTTTGTAAAATTTTAATTCTTTAGGTTATCATGATAGATTTTATATCGGAGAAGATCTAATGTTGCTTTAGCATCTTCTTTACTATCATGTCCATCTATAACATTTGTTTGTATTTCTCGTTTAAGATACTTTTTTGCAAGATATTTTAATGAGCATTTGTGTTGTAATCCTTTTTTATGCTGAAATAATAATGCTGTATCTATTATACGTTTATGAATAAGTCTTATAGCTATTAAATCATTTTCTAGACCATGTCCTATTAATATAGTTGAATTGCATAATTTCAATTCTATAAAAATGATATTATGTAATTCAGATAATGTTATTTTTGCATTGTTTAACGATTTAATGCCACTCCAACGAGTATTTAAGTCTAAAACTTCGTTTTTTGGCTTAATTAGTTTATCAAGTAGCAGATTTTCGTTAATATCATAAATAGTAACTCTAGCTAATTCCATTCCTCCTGTAGTATAAATCATTTCACAGTCAAGAACTGCTGCAGTCAAAAACGATGATTGTATAGGTGCTTGAGATTCAACAAATTGTATTTGTGCTGATAGTTTTGATGGTGATGTAATTTTGAAGACATGATGAGGTGATGTTATGCATCCTTTTGAATCTGTATTATTCTCATAACAACATGAATATATTTTATTTTGTTCTTATATGTTAAATAATATAATTATTGTTATAGGAATATTACCATAGCTAGTTTTGATTAATTTTCCCCAATGGTAATTGCATTTTGTATAATTTTTTTCGATTGAAAATGGCATGTTACACCTATCGCAATGAAAAAAAATATCAGTTGTCTGTGTTTTAGGTATAGGTATCTCTAAAATATATCCTGCTGATTGAAGTTGGGCATCATTTAATAGATATTTTTCAAGATCTGATAGTGATATATTCATATGTTTAAAATTTAGAAACATATTATCTGGTATTTCTTTTGTTTTTTTGATATCTGTCTTTTTCAAAGAAATTATAAAATTTTTGCATGAATTGATATAAATGGATTTATTTTGATAAGTTGAATTTAGAATTTCAAGTTCCTTTTCTAATGATGTATTTTGTGCTAAAATTTTATTTTCATTAACATCTGAATATATTCTTAGAAATTCCTGTTCTATAAGTTTAAAGAAATGGACACGAGTTTCATGAGGTATATGAAGTGTAGGTATAAATTTTGGACCTATATTATCTATTTCTAATTTATTTTGTGAAATGTTATTTTTGACATTTTCTTCTAGATTATTTAATTGATCGGTATATATGAAATTATCATTAATTTCTCTTTTTTTATGATGTAGTGTTTTATTATAAAAATTGTTATTATGTGAATTTGTTATGTTTATGTTTATACTATTGTCTACTAAAATTATTATTTTATTAGTTAATATTTTTAGATACTTTGTAATAATGCATTAGAAGTAGTAGATCCATGTGATAGTTTTTGTTTTTTTGCGTTTTGATATTGGGGTTCAAAATAAGAGTGACCAAAAGGACATAATAATATATCGCATTTATTTTTTTTTCGAATATGTGGACATATAATATCTTGTAGAAAAATATTATTTGAAAACATTTAAGTTTAATATAGGTATAAAATCTAAAAATTATATAATTTTTTTGTATATTTCAGCTTAAAGAATCGACAGAAATGTATAAATTAAATATTTTTGATTGGTTGATTTTATCCTAATATAAAAGATATTTAGATAATATGTAATAATTATATATATAATTTAATCGAAAAAAAAATGTTTTAGATTTTTAGATATTTTTAAAAATATTAATGAACTAATGTTAATATTTTAATAAAAATATAAAAATTAAAGTTTAATTTATGAATTATTTATTTAAAACTTATATGAATATTAAATATATATAATATAATGACTTTATAAAAATTATAATTTATAAATAAATTATTTTTTAATTAAAAATCTATATATAATGATATTTTTATCTTAAATATATTTTTTAAAGTGATATAAATTATCTATATATTATCTAAGTTTTCATGATATTTTTGGAAATTTTATTTTAATTTTGTAATTAATTTATACTACATTTAAATATATATTATAAATAATATTTTTTTTAATACACTATCTCAAATTAGTTATATTTAATAATTATATAATAATGTTAAAAATATTATATTAAAATTTTATTATCTTAAAATGTTAGATATTCAAAAAAACTAACCAATATTTTTTTATATCTATCAGTAACATTTTTATATGATTAAACCTATAAATTTAATCATATATAATTTTTATTAGTAAATTATATTCATGTTTATATTTATATTTAATATATCATTTTAATTCACATTTTTATTAAAAAAATATTTTTTTTACTATTTTTGCCAATTTAATTTCATTTATTATATTAGTCATATTTAGTAATTATATTTATAAAAATGTTAAAAATATTATATTAAAATTTTATTTATTTTAAAATGTTAGATATTCAAAAAAAGCAACATAATATTTAAAAATATATGCTTCATAATTTCAAATTATTATAATTAATATATAATTTTATATCTCGAAATTTGTATATGATAACTAATTTTATTTTTATTCAAAAATAATAGAAAAATTTTATCATAATTTATAACATTTAATAATTACAAAAAATATATTTAATTCAAACATATTTATATAAAGCTAAAATAATATATAATAAAAACATAAAAACTTCACTTTATTCAAAACCAATAAAATTATGTATATTTTTAATTAGATTTCAAAATTATTAAAATACAGAAAAAAATATAATACACCTTAACATCTAACGTTTTCTTATAACAAAGATTTCAAACACTAGTAATTCGCTATTATCAAAAAAATAAGTAAAAGACCTAATAAAATAATAAAAATAATATATTTATCAGTAATAAAACCAAAATAAAAATAGAAATGTTAAAATCTTAAGTTTATAGAAATAAGATATACATAGAAAAATTCATGATCAAATGCCATAAGTAATAATATTAATAAAAATATCGACAAAAGTAGAAAAAAAATACAGATTACCTATGCATAACTGATCAATTATATCATTATTTCTAGCGCCCAAGAATATAAAATGTATCAAACATAAACTATTCATGCTTAGCAATATATTCAAGCTATAAATAAAATTAAACTTATAAGCAATATATATAATTATAATACTATATTTAAAACCCAGTTTTGACAATCATTCAGTAATTAAGAACAACATTTAATAATATCAGGGCAAATATATGAAAAAAATATACCATAACCAAATTACCATTATTTGCTTTAAATTTCAAATAAACTAATTACCAAACACAGTATTTTCTTAACCATATTATAATTGCTATTGTTCGTTAATAAATTGTTATTCTTTAATATAAACAAATATTTGTCATAGATATATTTTCCTATTTGCATTAATTTCTATAAAATTTTTGCTTAATATATGTATGTAATATATATATTGCATGCGTATTAAAACCTCTTAAATCATTGAAAATGAACAATAGAACAGTTCCATCCTTATTTCTCAAGATACTCAGCAATATAACCTAACATTTCTACCAAGAATAAATCATTCAAGTAAATCATTTAATCCAAGTATTTCTAATCATTAAGCCCCCTTTAAACATATAAACATACACATCTATTATTTTAAATAACACCACTGATTACTAATAAAATATAGAAAAAATCACCAAAAAACATTAATCACCAATATCACAAGCCATAATTACCTAATAAACATAAATATCAATATAATATACTTTTTCTCTTTTTATTACTTAATGTCCCACTCTAATACCAATATCAAAATCAAGTTAAATAAACATTATATGTAAAAAGCAACTATAATATCATATAATGCTCAAAAAAAACCATTACAACAAATTGAAAATACACCACAATATTTTTTTTTCAAAAAAAATATAAATTTAACACAAAACATTTAGTCCAAAACCATTGTTATTCGAAGTTATACCAAGATTCTTAGCATCATCACTCCAAATCCGACCATTCCAAGGAACAGATTTCCCAGAGCCCATATATTTTTTGAGAAAAATACCATTATACATATCATTCTTCAAAACTTTTCCACTAGAGAAAGAATATTGTAATGGCTTCACAACAGTAGATGTATCTTGAACTTGTTGATTTAACGGATCAACAGATAATGATACACTAGATGACTTTGTCCCAATAGGCGCCAAGATATTTTTAACTTTATTTGTAGATACTAAAGATAAAACTTCATTATTTTCCATGATATTTTTTTTCCTATAAAAAAATGGCAAACTTTTCTTAACAGAATCACCAATACCAATAACATTATTTCCAGCCCGACTTTCGACAGCAGCATTTAAATTTGTAGAATACTCCTGAAAACATGTAAAAGGATATATATGTGATGACGATTCTCGAGGCAAAAATAACGTAGATATTGAAGAATTCTTCAAACCTAGCTCTTCATATATATAATCAGGCAAAACCCTTGGGGTCTCTGAAAATTTCGAATACATCATATCATCATTTGCAGCAGGAATGCCATCCTTTATTAAGGGAGTTTTAATTCTCTCACGAGAAAATGGTAATTGTTCAGAACCTACTACTATTATCATAAAATAAAGACAAATCTAAATTATACCAGATCGTTCTAAAGCAGTATAAATGCTACACTCACTATAAGATTTGTTTTTCCGTCGAGACAATGGAAATTGTTCAGTATGACTGGCTGTTCTTTGGTTATAATAATGCTGATTTGCATGATAAGACAAGGGATTTGCGGCAGGTTGAGAATGCATATGTTCTAATTCATAAATACCTGTTTGCCGACCAATCAAAGGATATGAAGAACGATAATCTAAACAATTTAGACACAAAAAATTGATATTAAATCTACCATGTTCAGAATAAGATCGTGCAGCGAATTGTAAAGAATTTTTCCAAAAAAATAATTTTCCACATTTAACTAAATTTTCTATCGCTTTATCGACATCTAGAAAAATAAGATAGACAAAAAAAAAAAGAAGTATTACCATCAAATTGAGAACTAAAAGGAATATCATCACTAAAAGAATTCGGGATCACTTACAAGCATTAATAATTAATAAAATCATAAATGCATAAATGATACTTTTCAAATCATAATATGATCTAGGATGACCTAACAAAGTTTCAACACAAGACATAACTCCAAAAATCTGTTGAAGGTATTCTTAGAAACCATACTATTAATTGATAAATATCCTTACTATATATTTTTTTCTAAAGTCTCCTTTTTCTCTTGTCACTATTAAACTCAAATTTAACTAAAATCTTTTGATACAATCAATACTATCAAAATCTATCTATAATATATACGAGTATCTAAAAATTACGGACTTAAGAAAAGAAAAATAAAAGAATTCCCGAGAAAATTATTATAAAAAAAAAGCCTAAAATTTTACAATCGCTGTTCTACGAAAATATATACAGTATTACCCTAAAAAATATTAAAATTATCAAAATATTTTATAAACAAAAAAGAATCACTAAAAAACAAACTATTTTTCAGGAAAAAAATAGTTTGTTTTTTACTTTATAATTTATTAACTTTATTTTTTTTTGTCAAAATATATACTTTTAAAAATATATAAAAATACAAAATGTTATAAAAAGAATATGTATAACACTATTTATATAAAGTATATATTCATATTATTATTATTATTAAACCATCAAAAAAATATAAAATCATTATATATAGGTATATTTTTATATAACAATTAAATACCAGTTATATTACATGATATTACTATTAATTATTATTAATGAAAAATAACATTAAATTAAAAATATTTTATATAACTCCACATGTAAAATAAAAAAAAACATAGCAAAATATATACTTAACACATCTCTATATTTTACATAAATTACAATATTAATGTCATTCAATATATACAATTCAATAAATATTTAAATATTTCAATATATCATTTTATATTTCATTTTTATAAAATTTGTTTTAATATTAAACATCATAAATTATTCAAATGCTAATGAAAAATCAATTTAGATTATTTATAATTTTATTTAAAAATAAGATATTTATTATGCGTTGAATATTCCTAAATATTTTCTTAAATTATTTATAAAGATTCAATAGATATATGTTTATGATTTTTGTAATGATTGAAATTATTTATGGTTTAAGAACATTATAACTTTTTATCTAAATATATTATTTATCATAACTTATTAAATATTTATTTAAACAATTTCAAACCTAAAAATCAATAAAATAAAATTTTAATCGAATATAATAAAAGATCTTTAATATTTTTTTTAGCCTTATTTTTGTTCACTAAATAATATTTTATAGAAATGATCCGACATTATTTATTTAGCCCTAATATCATAAAACGTATTACGACGGAACATTTGTAAAAGCATTAAACATATTTTTATCCGAGTTACATTATTATTATAAAAAAAAATTAAATAAAAAAAAAGTAAATGCATAAAAACATATTATTACGATTTAAATAATATAATATTATACACTAAAAGAGATTTAAGCAAGTTAGAGCTAAAAATTAAAAAATAAACAAAAAGTAAAAACAAATATATTTTTTAAAGATAAACTAAAGAATTTTTGATTATTCAATTGTAAGAGTAACATTATTTACTAACAAATCATTGTCATTTGTTAAAGGGCTTCATATTTCAGAAAAAAGGGAGGAAAATAATTAAAAAGCATTAGAAAATAAAAGAATAACACATCTTATTTTAGAAACTTCAAAAATATAATATTAAAATGGAAACTACAAAAGAATGCCTCAAGTTTAATGCAGAGTGTATAGAAAAAGACTATTCTAAACATCTAGAATTATCACAATCTGTATCTCAATTAAACAACAAAATTTATTCTAGTTCTATATCTCATTCATTACCATCAATATCTGAACAATCAAATAAGAAAGAGCTCCAGAATATATCTTCATTGAGGGATTTTTTGCCTTGTTCTTCAGTATCGGAATCTCTAACTACTATACCTTCAAAAATGCCCCTAATTACATATCCTCAATGTCCGTATGAAACAGCACTTGTGAACTCAAGGCGACGAATTCCATATTCTTCTTGTATAGAGAGACCAATAGACATATTCGAATGGAAGACTAGATCAAGCCTTTCAACAAAAAATGAAGATCTAATATCTAGTGATATACTACAACTTTATGAAGTAAACTTTTTTTCATTGTTCCTTAGTGTCCACTAATCTCTAAAAAGACTCTTTTACCATCTTCAGAAAATAATAGTCGCTGGACAAAGTTCCTGAAAAAATTAACTACTATTCTTCAAAAAGAATGGCCCGACAAAAAAATAACAGTACAGGCATTCGGCTCTACTGTAAATCAGCTTTGTACTAGTGAGTCTGATGGCAAGCATTTTTTTTTCATAATTGATTACATTTTCTTATTTTTATTAGTGGATGTTTGTATAACAACAATAGAAAAAGAACATGCAAATACATGCAAATTGGCGAAAGTGCTTGCTAATTGTATGTATTTTTTTTACTATTATTAATTATATTTATCTTATTAGATGGCATGGAAAGAGTTGTATGCGTACCTCATGCTAAAGTACCGATTGTAAAAATTTGGGATCCTAAACTGTAAGTTTACACGTATGTATTATTTAATTATATTTTAAACATATTAGTTCTGTTGCCTGTGATATGAATATCAATAACACCTTAGCTCTTGAAAATACTCGAATGATTAAAATATATGTTGAAATAGATCCTCGTGTAAGGCCATTAGCCATGATTATTAAATATTGGGCCAAAAAAAGAATTCTAAATGATGCTGGTATGAAGTTCTTGCGAATCTAATTTTTATTTATATAAACAGCTGGTGGAGGAACATTATCTTCATACACTTGGATATGTATGATAATTAATTTTTTACAAATGAGAAAGCCTCCTATTTTGCCATCTCTTCATCAGCTTCCTCATGAGCAAAATGAAAGTAGTCTGATTGAGGGAATAGATGTTAGTTTTTTTGATGATATAGATGCACTCAAAGGCTTTGGTGAAAAAAATACGGAAAGTTTAGGAGGTTTATTATTTGCATTTTTTCGAAGATATGCGTATGAATTCGATTATGATCATTGCGTTATATCTGTTAGGCATGGTCATTATCTTTCGAAGTCAGCAAAAGGATGGCATTTAACTCAAAATAATCGTTTATGTGTAGAAGAACCTTTCAACACGAAAAGAAATCTTGGAAATACGGCGGATGATACAACAGTGAAAGGTCTTCAAATTGAATTCCGTAGAGCATTTCATCTTATAGCAAATCATTGTGATCTTAAAGAAGTTTGTGCTGATTATATTTTTACTAATGAGGAAAACATTTATAAAATTAATCCATGTTCTCATCCCTTATATTATCAGATTTCGAAATCTAGTTATTCAAGTAATGCACTACATCCGAAAAACGACACATATTATTATAAAAATAATTATAATATTCAAAGATTTCAGTATCAACAATGCTCGAATTATATGAATTATTTCTCATTGAATACTTATGGTCTTGAATTTCTATATTTTTCTAATCCTCCTGATAAATCTATATATTATGATTCAAAAAGCCACACATTTTTCTACTATATTTCAGGTATTGGTCCTGATGGACTAATGAAGTATTATCCTGTAGTCAAAGAAAATCATTTACTTTCTTCTCAAGATATATTTCATTCACCTTTCCCTCTTTGGAAAAGAGATCAAAACATTTGCAATTTAGAAGGTCATTATATCCAAAAAACAAAAACATCTTTAAATTGTTCACCATATTCTATTTATCACGAAAAAGAGAGTACTGATAGCGAAAGTTTTTCTAATTTTTCATTTATACCGCAATTTATTCCTTTAGCAAAAGATGATGTTTCTTGTGAATTAGCCATTGCTGAAGAAAAAGAACTTAATGAATTTCATAAAGAATTTATATCAAACTCAGAAAAATCTTGTAATATCCCGTGCAAATATTTGTCTGAAGATCAAGTATCTGAGTTTACACCAGAAGCAGTTTCATTAGATAATTACAGAAACTCTAAAACTATTGATTCATATAGCAACTTTTATTTCGTTCCTGAAGAAATGCAATTACAATCAAACAATTTTTCTAGTTTTTATGAATCTAAAATAAATACATCAACTATTTTATCAAATAATGGTTAATATCTGAAATGATGAACTTTTATTTATATACATGCATTGTTATTAGATAACTGAAAATTTTTAAGATATAACAAGCCTAATGTTAAAAAGGTAAATTTAAATAATCAATACATAACTATGCCTTTAAGTTCGAATACATAGAAAAAATCGTTAAATCATTACTCCATCGGCATACTAATTTCTTACATTTTTTGTAAGCAATATTGAAGTCAGATAGAGTTTCAGAGACAAACATATATATAACTTTCCGATAAGATTCTAATATTTATTTATATATAATTGGGAAATATACTTATTTTTATCAACACTTTAAAATTATATAAACAAAAAAACAATGCAACATAATTTTTAACTACCATATTTTATAATTTATGCATCTTAATAAGTCTACGAATCTCAAATATTATATGTTTTTAATAGCATTTTGAACAATAGATGTTTTAAAATGCAGTTATATTCAACATCTAATTATTTTATTCTAATATCGATTTTTTATTATTCATAAATTGATGACATTTGCTTTTTTAGTCTTAAATTGATATTATTAATTCTTTCATCCCATTCCAAAAAGCAGTCGTTAACAGCATTTATACCTATTTCATACCAAAGTTCCAAGATTTTTGCTATTCTTTTTGATAAATGATTCAATTGAATTTCAAAAGATTTAATAGTCATTAACAATATATGAAACTGTGGAATTTTAGAAGCAGCTTGAGAATATATATTTGAATCTGGTATAGATAATTCTTTTATAGAAAGCATTTGAGACAAAACATTATTATATAAATGTAAATTTAAAAAAATTAATCGAATTTTTTCATTTCGAATTGTATTACATGATTTAAACAAAGAATAAACCTTTTCTTCCAAAAGAAAAGAGTAGCTATTAACTATAAAAGTGTGAATGCTAGATAAATCGAAATATATACATACGAAAATTCATCATTTTTTTTAAAACTTCCGATTCTTTTACTAAATTATTAACTTTTGTTTCAATGAAATCTACAAAACAAGGTATATTTAATGAAATAAATTCATCTGAGGCTATATTATTCGAACCATAAACAATGTTTTCTATTCTAGATAATCTTATTTCTATTATTTCTTTTTCAGTCATAATACATTAAACATCTAAATCGATTCAATAATTTTAATTTACAAAAATTTAAATTTTTATTTTAAAGATCAACAAAGACAATATATATGTATATTATTAAGAATCATTATTTTATAATTATTATGTATAAATATCAAAAATAACTTTTAATATATCATTTATTAAATATCTTTCAATTTTTTTAATATTAAGTAAACATGCAAATATATATTTTAACTCATTCTAGAAAAAAATATAAAAAATGTGTAAATAAATAATCAATAGAAAATACCTTTATTTGAAATATAAACATGAATATCTTATATTTCTATATATATTGAAAACAATTAGATATTAGATTTTTTTTGAGAAAACTTTATATAACTTTAAAAATAAGTTTATAAAATATTTTTTTTTCAATCAGTCAAATTCATAACATAAACAGAATTTTGGCTGTTATAACTCAAAAAGATTAATAATTGTGAAAAAATAGTATTACTATGAATATACATTACATAAATAAAACTAAATGAAATATTTTATCAACATATATAATGTTTTTTCTTAAAGTTGTACATATATATATTTCTCAAAAATAACTTTTAAATATTTTCATTCTTAAAGATAGATAGTTTTTATTTAACATTTTATTTAATAACTCTACTAGATATTAATCTAAGAAAAATCAATAAATTAAAAATAATAAATCTTTTAAGTTAAAATATTTTTTCTAACACTTTAAAAAATGTTTAAAAATATGAAACATTTATAATTCCGTATAAAATTATTACAATCATCTATGGAAATACATTAAAGCTATATCTAAAAACAAATTTAATCTTTTATATAAAATTAAAAATTAAATAAAATAATTTTATGTTAAAATTCACAAAAAAAGTTCAATTTATATAAAAAATCTTAAATAATCATATGTTATAAAATTTTAACATATAAAATACACCAAATTTTCATAAATAACTAATAAATAGTATCATATAAGAATTATTAAAAAATTTTATACAATTACTAAATTATAAAAACTTAAAATATTATAATTTTTTTAGGTATAAATTAATAATAATATTTATAAAGATATGTTTTTTAAATAAACATAACTATTATAATCATGTAAGACTCATTAATGCATACATAATATATAAAAATCTAAAAAATTTCGTATAATATAAAAAGTATCAATTTTTTCAAACAAATATATTAATTTATCATAAATATTTATTTTAACTATAAAAAAAAATCTAAATCAATTATGATGACATTTAATTTTAAACATACAGTATAATAGTATAGCTGAAATTTAATATAGATTTTCTAAAAGCGTTAATATTTATTTTCTCAATAACTATTTCTACATGTGATTCTAAAAATTTAAATATTTTTATAGCAATATATATTAATACAATTCATATTTTTCATTAAATATACATATAAATACATATATACATACAAATATATATATTGAAAACTTGAGCTTTAAAAATTTATTGTTTAAATCTTAAAACAATAAATACCATTTAAACGAATAAATTTCATCGAATCATTAATTTTAATATAAATTTATTTCTAATTAAAAGTAAACATTTATGGTTTAAAATAATTAAACCAAAAATTAATATAAAGCATAGACAAACTGTAGGAACAAACTATGGGAATATCTAGTATAGTTCCAAATGGGGTTATCACTGGTGATAATGTACTTAAACTTTTTAAATATGCAAAAGTATTTAAATTACAAAAAGCAAAAATATTAAGACTAACAAGAAATTTCACAGGACAATGAGTTTGCTATTCCGGCAGTTGTAAGCTCAAATTATATTTTCTGAAAACTTAAGTTAACAAATTTAAAGAATTGCACATCATCATCAACCATTATTGCTGTTTTAGAAGCAGCAAAAAGTACAAACTCGCCTATTATCATTCAAATATCACAAGGAGGTGCTGCTTATTTTGTAAGGAATATATAAATTATAAAACATTTTAATATTCTAGGCGGGAAAAAGTCTTAACAACGATAAACAACAAGCATCCATTGCCGGTGCTATTTCTGCTGCTTATTTTGTAAGATCTATTGCTCCTTTTTACGATATTCCAGTAATTTTGCATACTGATCATTGTTCCAAAAAACTTCTACCATGGCTAGATGGCATGCTCGATGCAGATGAAAAATATTTCAAAATTTATAAAGAACCTCTCTTCAGGTACATCCTAAGTGTTCTTAAATAGATATGTATTAATATATATATACTTATTAGTTCGCATATGATCGATTTATCTGAAGAATCTAAAGAATCTAATATTGAACTTACAAAACGATACCTTCAACGTATAGCACCAATGAAACAATGGCTTGAAATGGAAATTGTGAATTTTTCTTATTTTTCTATAATTCTATACTGATTATTTATTAAGGGTATTACAGGGGGTGAAGAAGATGGAATTAATAATGAAGAAGTTAGCAATAATAAGTAATATTACTAATAATATTTTTTTATATTTTTAAATACAACAGACTATACACACGACCTGAAGATGTTTTTGATGTTTATTCTGCTCTATCAGCCATTTCACCTTATTTTTCTATTGCAGCAGCCTTTGGTAATGTTCATGGTGTATATGCTCCAGGAGGTTATTATTTTTCAATATATGTATATTTTTTAATAAAAAAAAATAGGAGTATTTCTTCGTCCAGAACTTTTAAAAGCACATCAAGATTATGCCAAACAAAAACTTAGATGTAACGAGAAACCTCTATTTTTTGTATTTCACGGAGGATCAGGGTCATCACTTGAAGAATATCACGCTGCTATTAAAAACGGTGTGGTTAAAGTATAATATTATCTATATCTAAAATATTACTAATTTCTAATGTAGATAAATATTGATACGGATACCCAATTCGGTTATTTAGAAGGCGTTCGTGACTATATCTTATCTAAAAAAGAATATTTAATGTCTCAAGTTGGAAATCCAGAAGGATTAAATAAAGTAATATAATTTATATTGAAAAGTATTTTAATTAGATTATAGCCAAATAAAAAGTTTTTTGATCCTCGTATATGGCTTCGCGAAGGGGAGAAATCTATGTGCAATAAAGTTCGAGCCCTTCTTAACGATTTTAAAACAATAAATACACTATAAACTTTTAAATTTTAACAAAATTTAAAAAAAATGTAAATTTACTAACATTTTTTAATATGTATAATTTCAAAATACAAAATATTTTATTATAATTCTAGAAAGAAAACAGCATTATTGTATGTTTCTTATATGATTTATTATTTAAATTTTATATTTTAACAAAAAGATTTTATCTATTCTAAAACACTAGAAAAATTAAAATATAACAAAAAATTCTTAAAATATTATTTAAACATGGGCTATTCCTCTTATAAAGGGAAATGGTATTTTGATAAGGAAGATTTCAAATATACACCATCTGTAAATGACGGCTGGAGTTTAGAAAAAGAACAAATAGATAGAGGTAAAGGCGTTAATTTCATTATACAAGTAGGCGCTAGATTAAAATTGTAAACATATTTTTTTTGAAAAGAAACAAAATCTAATTAACTAGACCTCAACTTACACTTTCTACAGCAGCAGTTTTTCTTCATCGTTTTTATATGCGTTTTTCATTAGCTAAATATCACTATTATGTTAACATAAACTTTTTTTATGTAAAATTAACAAAAATAGGAAATTGCAGCAACATGTATTCTTTTAGCTACAAAAGTAGAAGAATCATGTAGGAAATTAAGGAATATAATTATCGCATGTGCAAAAGTTGGACAAAAAAATCCAGATCTTGTAATTGATGAACAATCTAAAGAATATTGGAGATGGAGAGATGTGATTATATACAATGAAGAAATACTATTGGAAGCTTTATGTTTCGATTTAACAATTGATCATCCTTATAAAGATCTTTTAAAATATATAAAACATTTTGGTAGCAAACAAGATACAGCGAAATCTGCATGGGCTTTTATAAATGATAGGTAAATCAAAGTTCTATCGAAAAGCTTAACATGAATCTCATATAATTTTAGCATTAGAACTGCTATTCCAATAATTTATAAACCCCATATTATTGCAGCAGCTGCATTTTATTTTGGAACTAAACATACATCAACAGTAATTAATTCGATAGGGAATAGATCATGGTGGGAAGTTATAGATGTGGATATTAACGAAATAAAAGGTAAAAAAGACAATTTTATGAAATATACTAAACTTTATAAAGAAGTATGTAAAATAATGACTAATCTATATGAATCCATACCAATGCGAGGATTATATCCAGCTTTACAATCAGATACTACAAAAGTACCATTACAAAATGACTTTCCTAAAACTTCTGATCAAACAAAAGAATTATTTCATGATCAAAGTAAAGGAGTTAAACGAAAAAATGAAGATTCTTTTATTTTAAATACATCTAAAGATCAAAATAAAGTTGTATTTAAAAAAAAATTAGATGAATTAAAAAATAATGATCATCAGAATATTAAAAAACAAAAACAGTAATCTTGAAAAAAATCCTAATTTAGACGATGACTAAAAATTATATTATTTCAATGTTTTCCTAAAAAGAATGATCAAATCTTAGAATATACATTTTTTTAAGACAATTTAATATATAGAAATTAATCTAATTAATGCAATATAAAAATTATAAATACAATTTATTTATTTAAACAAATCAAAATTAAAAATGCTATTCAAAGTATTAATAAAATCCGAATAATACATTTTTTTTGAAAAAAGATAATAATATTTATAATTTTATTTATTTTTATTTGTTAAAATTATTCCAAATTACTAACAGAACAAAATTTATAATACATTCATATATTGATTTTCACTAACAAATAGATTTCAAAATACTTTAAACTTTAAAAGTCTATAGAAATATATTTTTAAAACTTCTTTTTTTTATTTAACTATAAAAATTCTTTATTTAATTCTACTATATAAAAATTTCGAAGTGAATATCAGAAAACATAAAAAAATTTAGAAAAAAAATTTTACAAATTTAAAAATTTTACTATTGAAGAAATGTATAAAACTTTAATCCTCATAAAGGTAAAGATACTTTCTATCTAATAAAAATGTTATAATTATTACTATCTAAAATAACGGTAAAATTATAGATCTATAAAAAATAATAAATAAAGTCTATACAAACACTTCAAATAAATAAAACAAGAATATATATTAGTCTAAAATAAGACTACAGAATCAAAACTATATAGACCATTATACATAAAAAAATTTTTAGTTAAAAAGATAAATTATAATATTAAAGTAAGCAAAAACCAAAAAGAAGCCTTAAAACAAAGATATATAAGAATTCATTAAAAAAAGTTGCATTCAAATCAGAATTTTAAGAACAATTATCTTTTTTATAGCCTCTTTGTTAAAAAAATTATCTTTGTTTCATGAATGCATTTCATTCCATAAAATCCATTCTTAATAAAGTCTAAATAATTCCCTAAAGTCACGATATACTAAATACAAATCTTCATAAAAAATACAATTCAAGAAAAAAAATACAAAAATTATTTTACTTTATTTAATAAAAAATTCTAATATGTTTCTATTTTCTTACAATTCTGAATATTTCATCTTTATTAAATCCCATAACATTTATAAAAAATTACATTCAAATCAAATAATTTTACAAAAATTATAGAAATAACATTTAGTAATATATAATCTATTCATATATGTTATTTTTATATAAGCAACTCTTATATTATTTATATAATAAAAAATATCAAAATATATTAATTTTTTATATAATTTCAAAGCATCAAAAACTTTAAACAATTTAAATAAAAGTCTAAAAAGATGTCAAACAAAAAATATAAAATTTTTTCAACAAAAAATAAAAACATTATTCAAAATGCTATAGAAAAAATTAAAACAACAGAAAACCAAACTATTCTACTATCTATTGCAGTGTTTACAGTAAAATTTTAAAAACTAAAGTTACCAAATATTAATAGGTTTTAGAGTGCAATAATGTTTTTTCAAAGTAATTGGGCAGAAATACTTATACCTCAAGTATATTCTTACTGATAAACACATTCTCTAACAAAATAAGCTTTAATTTATATTTTATTAAATAATTCTTTACAAAAAAATAGAAAAAAATAAACGTACATACATTTTTATTTTTTCAAAATAAATAATATCAATTAAATAGAATTAAACTTTTAAAATTCTTTTAATAATATTTTTATCTTATAATCTTTAAATATAATATTTTCTTAAATTATTTATAAAAATGACATGTCCACTTATCTAGAAAAGTAAAAAATAATTTAATACATAAGAAATTATTAAACTCTTTCACAAGCTTTTTGAAATAAATTCTAAACTATTATAATTATATCAAAAACATTAATAATAAAAATTTAAAATTTGTAAATACCTTTAAACTAAAAAATATTATAAATATATTTAATATTCAAAAATACATACATTATATAATTATAACATCATTTACACTTATAATTTCAAATATTCTTAAATTAATATTATTTATAATATTATTAAAATTCTGCATTTACATGAATGAATATTCCAATTAACATAAATTTTAAAAATTACAAAAACTCTGTCTTATTTTTAATATAATTAATAATAAAATAGATTTAATAGAAAAAGTTAATAAATCTATTTTTTTTAAAAAAATTATTTATATATTAATATTTCTAAAAAATGATATAAATCGAAAATTTATTTTTTAAAAAGATACTATATAAAACATATTATAATCATGAACATTTTATTTTTGTAAAAAAATTTAACTAAGTCTTTTAATTTAACAAAAGGCATAATAGAATAACTAATGTTAATTTACTAACTCTTAATTTCATATATTATTTAAATATTACATTATTTTTAAAGTTACATATTTCTCAAAATATTTTCCAAAATTTATTAAAGGCTAATTATATTCACAATAATTTTGAATTGTTAATACTTATCAGAAAAGAAAATTCAAATAGTTTTTATAAATATACCATATTTCAAAAATAAACATTTACAATTACAATAAAAAAAATTGAAACCATGTTTTGAGAACAGAAAAACTAATATATCACTAAAATTAATAATATAAATATCTTATAAACTATTGTATCTTATTTTTTATTACAAAATTCTACCCAAACTATATCAGCTTATAGTTTTAAGATAAAAATAATAAATAATAAATATATATATAACAAATTATAAACTTATATTACTAATTTTCTTTGATATGTATGAATATTTCCAAATTCAGAATCTCCGGGCCTTCTGAGGATAAATCTCTCATCAATCCAATCGAGTATTTCAGCAATACTCATCTGATTCGATAATTCACAACTCTCTAAAAACACTTAATTCTCAACACAATTAAAAAACAAAAAAACCTTTTTTATTTAATATTTTCCCCATCATTTTTAATATATGATATTTAAATAAATGAAAATTCAAGCCATATGATAATGAATATTCTATAAACCTTTCAATTGCAGACCATGGACAAGTATCAAAACCAGAGAACAAAGCAGGATTAGCCAATATTCCTCTTGAAGACATTATTCCTATTTAAATTATTATAAAAGAAACAAAACAATTTAAAATATATACCATCTGCGTTAGTATATTTTGCTATATTATTTACATCAGAAAAGGTAAAAACATCGCCATTTGCTACAACGGGAATGTTGAGAGATTCTTTTATTAATTTTATTGCATTTAGATTTACAGGTTCTGATGATCTTTGATTTCGTCGCCGTCCATGAACTACTATATAATCAATACCAGCAGCTTGAACTTTTTGTGCCCAATCAACCGTTTTTCTAGCCTAATATTACAAGAAATAAAAAAAACAAAATAAATATAAACCGTAAATCTCCATGAATTCTTATTTTAACTTCAACACACATTTGTCTACCACAACGCTCCTTTACAGCTTTTACCATTTCACAAACATTCTGTAGATCATGCATCAAATGAGCACCCAAACCTTCTTGACAAACCCATGATTGAGGGCAGCCACAATTCAAAGAAATCCCATCAACATAATTTGAAATTATCTCTACAGCTCGTCCAAGAATAATAGGATCATTAGAGGCAAACTGAGATACAACAGGCCTGTCATCCAAATTTGTAGAAAAATCACAATAACGTGCATTAGAATGAAAGAGAAATTCTTTTGCAACCATCATTGGAGTATATGCCAAATCAACACCATAAATACGAACAAGAGAACGAAAAGGTAATTTTGAATACCTAACCATAGGTCCGCTTATATATAGAGGTCTTTTCTCGCATTTTGCAGCAGAAAAAAGTTTTAATGGATGGTCTTCTATATTTCTTAAAGAAAGATGCTCAAAAACATCTATTTCTGAAACCATTACCATAAAAATTAAAATAAATATAAATCATATATAAATAATTATCACTAATACTTGACCTTTAGTATTGTATAATCTAATTTTATATCAAAAATTAAACTAATTTATATTAGTAAAACACAAGCCAAAACCTTTTTAAAAACCATAAAATATCAATCAATACGATAAAAAATCAATTTAATCTAAAATAATATAAATCTTATAAAATAATATTTTAGTAAATAACTTTAAATATATTTATATATTAAATGCAAGAAAAACAAAATATATATGAAAACTTCTTTCAGTTTCATGAAAATACAATAAAATTACATAGATTTTTCTCAAGTAGATAATTTAAATATGAAACTATTTAATATAAATTATATATATTATAACAAATTATCTATAAAATATTTTTCAATTTTGAAAATATAGCATTTTCATAATACTTTTTTATAACATTATATAATTAATATTAATAGATAATTTCAAAAAAATTATACAAATACTTATAAATCTTAAATCATAAAAACAACTTAGGTCTTTAAAAATATCAATAAAATAAATATAAAGATACAAAATTTAACATAAATAATTTTAATATATACTCAATCTTATAAAAAAATTCTAGAGCTCTTATTTAACCATAATAAATACATAGATATTCATATTTAAACATATTTTCAATAAAATTACTTAAAGTTATATGCAAATGTATTTTTAAACATTTTTATCGAATTCTTTTAAAAAATATATTTAAAATCTTTCTAATTAATCATTATATAGATTACTGCTCCAACGATATTTGTATTTACGAAACATCATTTTATACCGTTTAGTAGCCAAAAGACTGTTATCACAAAATTAACCGTTAGTTATATCGGTATTATAAACTATTTTCTTAATTATCCTTAATAGTAATCCTTTTTTTGAATCAAAATATTAAAATAATTTCTTAGTAGATTAAAACATAAAATTTATAACTTTAAAAATTGCTGAAGCAAAACTACATATTACTATAATTTTGAAAACAAAAATCATTTTTCAAAAAATATTATTAAAAAATAAAATCTTAACTTTAAGACAACTTCAAAAAAATTTCAATATATTTCTTTAATAAGAAAAATAAAAAATTACTAAACATAAATCTATTTTGCATTATAAAAAGTACACAAAAATTTATAAGGACATAAAATTTTTTATAATATCTTAAAATTACATAACATATAAAAGTGTGTCTTTAATAATCATCAAAATTGAAAACAACTTAAAAATGTATTGAACAAAGCATATAATTTTACTAAAATATTTCTAAAATTCCATAATAAAAAATTTGTAAGTTCATTAAATTTACAATATTTATTTATTGACAATTCTTTAAATACATTAAAAGATAAATATTTATTATTTGAAAAAGCAAGTTAAATAACAAACTTTATTAATTCGAAACATTTGATCCTTGAGAATATTCATAAACAAGAGTAATTCATAATTTTTTTTAAAAAAAAACATAAAAAAATGAATAATTATAATTTAAATATATTTAACTCCACATGTCTGTACCTTATTTTTTTTAAAAAAGTTTAAAACTTTTGTTAATTCTAAAATATCAACTTTTTAATACTTTTTTAATAACTAAATATATTTTTCGAGACTTTATACAATTTTAATAATAATACTACAATAACACATATATCCTGAACGATCTACAAAATTGATTTAAAATAATATTTATATAATATAAATATCATAAATATTTATAGGGATTTTATAATAAAATAATCCAAAATATTTCAAAAATATAACATTTTCTTTTTTTTCAAAACAACATCAAACAACACTTTAAAATTAAACTATATCAAAAAATAATATTCGTATCCTCTATTAATTCCAAAAATGAACAAACAGCTATTTGTTTATTAAAAATTAATACACATTTTTAATAAACGCAAGAAATTACATACTCGGAACATTTTCAAACGATACATAAAATCTCAATCAATATACTAATTTAATATTTTGTTAAAAGGATACTTAATATTATATCCTAAGCACTAAACATAGAATATTTCCAATCAAAAATAACACAACATTGTTCAAAACATTAATATTTCAATCTATAATTTTGCAAAGCAATTAAAACAATCATTGTATTCAAAAATAGACAAACGACAAATCAAACAGGCTAAAGGATATAGAATACTTTTTTTATACTCTAGGGCATATTATATACCATTAACTCTTAAAATAATCATATAACCTAGAAATACCCCATATAAAAAAAATTCAATAAAAGTAAACAATTAAGCAATAAAAGATAAAAACAAAACAAGCAGTAATCGAAACCGAAAAATTATCCAACATAGTAATGAAATGTATATATATATTTATATCTTACGAACATGCCATTCATCAAATAAAAAACAATCATATTGCTATATAAAGCACAATTATTCATCATCATGTGCCGTACATGCCACATGAGTATCACGCCATTGAGATTTCTCATTTTCAAATCGTTCCTTATCTTTTCTAGCTCTATTTTCATATGGCTATATATACACATTAAAAAAACTACATAAATCTAACAATATTACCTGTTTGTCTTTAGAAGACAAATTCTTCCATCTTTCACCAAGAATTTTACCAATCTGACCTATATTCCCGTTTACTAATCCTCCTAAAAAATATAAACAAATTCTTACCAAATGTTGCATCCGGGTTCTCTGTTTTTACCAATTCCCTGTTTTCTTGTGCGAAAAACATATAGGCCGACAACCCTCTTTTAGGAGCATCTGGATCTAAAACATATAAATCACAGCTTTCTCAACACTTAGAAAAACCTTTTTTCACCCGCTTTCCTGAAACTTTTTTAATTCCTCTTGATTTCGCGTCTTTTGGCATCTATTCAATATTAAATACATATTCTTTAGATTTCCTATATATGTATGCGCGTCTAATATGCATAAAAACCCATTTTCTGCACATTTTTTACGCTTATACACGCATTTACCTTAACCAAAACGCCTCAAAATTCTCTAATCAAATTAGTATACAAATTTTAACTGTCTATAATTATATGCGGTCAATCGCAACTTCTCTGCTTCAGGATCTTTCTTTTAATAAAACCTTTATTTAGATACCTGAAGCTATTTATCATAATCGACCAAAAATCTTACCAACGTTAAAATAATAAAGTTACGTTCCTGAGTGGGAGTAGCAATTTCCCACAGCTATTAGAAAGCAAACATCAGGAACACATCATACAGGACACATATTAGGGAAACCCTAACACTAACGATAAGATTAATCAATTTTAATTAACGAAGAGACTAAATTCTAATTAGTTGATTTACTATCCATTTTAATAACACTATGATAACATGAATATATCATCAATTTATTATTGATAATTTATTAAGAAAAATTACTAATCTAAGATATTTAAATAGTTTTTGGTCAACTAATTAATCATATTTTCCTTTTAGCCTGTATATAATATTAAAAACTGCATATCCAAAAAAACAATATTAACTGTACTTTCGAGCTTCAAATTGAAGCATAGAAAAACCTAAATACGATGACAAATAGTCCCAAAATGGATAAACCTATAAAACTTATCTAAAGATAAACTAACATACAACAAACTTATAATCAAACGTTATAAAACGCTTATATAGCATCGAATATCAACCAATATCTTTATATTTCAATTATAATTTTCACAAATCTAATTAATACAAATAGTCAAATCAAATCATCCGATAATAAAAATCAACATAAATGAAAAATTTACATAAATTTATACAAATTATATTAAATGATCTCAAGATCAGAATCGGAATTACAACAAATATCAGATGACAATGAACGTGCGATAGGTAAAATAGATGAACTAGACGGAAAAACCGAATGACTGTAGGGATTAAAACCAATTCGCTTAACAGATTGTATGGAAAAAGGTTCCGGATACAATTTGGATGAATTTTCTAAAGAAACAGAAGAAATAGGACATGTTACTTTTGCATGAATTTCTAAAGAATCAGGAACATTTCGAGGAACTTGTTCATAAGCAAAAAGTCTGGAAACCATATTAGATTCTTGTGTTTGTTTCTGATGTTGAAATCGCATTCTTTCAGCCCTTTTAGCGTCTAAAGCATCACGTTCATAACCATAAAGAAAATTAGATATCATAAATACATTTCCATTCCACGGATCATGAACCCAGCCCGTATGTTCAGCCAAAAGTCCTTCTGCAGATTTAGGACCTTTGCTATAGCCTACTTTACTCGATATATATTTACTTTTTTTAGGAGAATAAAGCCGTGTACCAGTAGCAACTTCCATTCGCGCATTTCTAATCTTATGCATTCCTTGATCAACATGAAATCCACAGACTTCAGAATGACGTATATCTACCCATGATGTACATTGTTTTCCATCTCGTCTTAAGGCATTACAAAACCCCAGATCCCGCGATAAACCAAGTTCTAATAATGAATCATACTCATGAGATAAAACTAAACTAAAATTTCCAGAATCTATCTAACAATAAATTATTTAATGCAATAATTCATTTTGAAAACACGCCTTTTTAGGTTTCATAATTCCCGGATTCAAAATTGCTATAATATATCCAACCTGAATCTTCCAATAACGTTCAAATGCGCCATCAAATAAAAAAAGACTTATTTCCCACTTTAAATTAGTCAACGTCAATACACAATATCTTGACTTTATATTCGCATCTTTTTTTTCATTTTGAATATGTTTTGGTATCGACTTATACGCAATAATACCAATTACAACACAATCATTGTCATGATCAGGAAACTCGTAAGTTGGTGCCGTTACTGTTTTTAATAATTCAGGTAATAAAAAGATTTTCTTTCCTTTAAAATAGAAGCTTAATTCATCATGAGAAATATTCCTTTTTGAAAGATAAAGCATTGAATATGAATCATAGGGATCTTCTGAAGAGAATGATAACACATTTTCTTTACTTTGAAAATCCGAAAAAATTTCTGAATCTACCAATTTATTTTTTTCATTTAATGCTACAAAGCCTTTAGAAAGTCTCCTTTTCTGCATGTCCGTTATATTTTCCTTTATTTTCTTCTTTGATCTAAGATCAGAAAGCTTTTCCGAAAATGTTTTAGAAGGTTTAACAGACAAATGCACAGTTTTTTTTAAGGATATATTATCATCCATTTTTCCTAAACATTTAAAAACAAAAAAAAGTAACCAAAGAAAAATACTTTCATGGAAAGATTGAAGATTCTTAGTAGACAAGGGTAGTGATTTTACTATTCGTATTAATCAAACATTGACAAGTCAAAACATTTATACCTGGACTTGGGCTTCTTGGAACTTGGACATAAACATTGCTCAGTCGTTTTCGCTTATTCTTGGTTTCTTCGGAAGAGAGAAAGTTTTGTGCATTTCTTGATTGACATTGAAATCTTTTTCTATCGTCGCTTTGTTTCGTTTTATGTTTCAATAATGAACAAGAAAAATCAGTCATCAGATTTCAAAATACGAAATCTAAAACCACATACAAAATCAGACAGACATACAAAACTAAATAACAAAAATTATTTTTAATTAATATCAATACCTTAAATTATTTTTAATAAACACGATAACGTTTCAAATAAATTCTTAACGACACCCCCATAAATTAAAGCTTTTTGACATATGACAAAAATAATTATTAAGCCTAGAAATTTTTTAAATGGAAAAACAACAGAAGAACAGATAATTGCACTTCCGCATCCTAAGACACAAATACCTGTTCGCTATCTTATTCAAAAACCACAGCTTTTACAATTAATCAAAGTCAATGATTCTTATAAAAAAGGAAGCTGGTTTATTAATAACAATATTGTAAAAGGTAATTTTTTATATATTAAATAGCTCATTTAAGTTTATTTAATAATAGATGGTACTATTTATCTTGCAACACCGTTCGATCTTGTATTTCTTGCAATTCCCGTTCTTGAAGAGACATATAAGGAAATTAATTAAAAAAAGACACCTCTTCCCTTATAACTAATTCCCTCTCTAGAAATCGGAGTATTTAGGAAAATATCTTCTTATGGATGATATTTTAGATCTTTTTTCAGAATACCACTTTCCTATCCTTATTTCATCTTTAGGCCCTCAAATGAAACATGCTATTCGTTCTATTTGTCATGAGCTAGATTCATCTCCATCATTTTTTCGTTTTGACGAATCTCTTTTACTGAAAATTATGAGAACTAAAGTTAAGAAGGTTGCTTCTCATTTACCCAAAAGTATTGAATTTGAAGCTATAACTAAAAACTTTATGGATAATATTCAAGGAAAAGAACTAAATAGCGAAAAAAAACCCAATGAATTGAGAAAAATTATCCAATTAGCACGTATAAAGACAGCAATGCAATTAATTAATAACTATTTACCCATTAAATATGCAAATCTTCTTCTTCAATCAGAAGAGTACATTCTATTCATTTATATTCTAACTTACTTGCTGAAATATATAGTTTTACTCCTTTATCTTTATATTTACAAAAATTACAAACTCATCGAGCTAGCACTCTCTTTATACAAAACATCAATCACTTTACAACTGATTTCTATTTGAAAAAAGATACAGTTCCTAAAGAAAAAAATAAAAATAAGAGAAGCTTTGAAAATGATAATACTAGAATACAGAAAAAAATGGATACAAAACAAATTAATAAAATTACTTCTTTCTTTAAAATACAGAATAAAAATTAATTTTTTTCTACTAAATATTCTTATATTGTTTATAAAACATAATACCAAATAGGTTATTTGCATTAAATTGAATTCTCTTAATTAAACTAGATGCACTTTGTTGAATTCAATATACTTAAAAATTGCACTAAATTCAAAACTTTTAAGTATTATTAATTCTCATAAAATTATATCTTGAATTTTCTATTTATTGAAATACATTTATTATCTTTTTAAATATTCAAAAAACAAAATATCAATCATTCTTTTTTGATATATTTTACATCAAATTATCTGTATTTTTTAATTTTACATTTATATAAAAAACAAAAACTTAAATTTATTCAATTTCTTATACAAATGAACTAATATTATCTTATTTTTTTATAATTTTATTTTTTTCAATTTACAATTTATAAAAATAAAATGTCTACAAATTCATAAATATGTCTCCTATATTAATTTTTATAAAACATTTAAATAAGATATAAAAAAATAAGTGCTTTTTGTTAAATAACTTCTAATATCTTTCAGAAAATATCTATAAAAAAAAACTTAAATTCATCTATTATTCAAATTATAATATATCTTTATTTTTTTTACACTATAAAATTATTATATATATATTATTTCTTATACTTTAAAAAATATTATTTTTTTCTATCATTTATCAATATTTTTAAAGAGCAAAAGATCGAAATTTATATACATATTTCAAGATTTTAAAAAACTTTTCATAAAAAATTAATTTTAAGCATTAATTTATTTCACTAATATTTAAAAATTTATCATATTATAAACAGTACTTAATTTTTTTAAATGTCATATTTTATCAAACTTATTGTAAGATAATTCAACAAATTATATTTTTTTACAGAAAATTGAATTTAATTTAGGCTTTTAAAAACTAATTTTTTTTTAAAAATTCTATGACCCTTTCTGGAAAAAACAATGAAACAATAGCAGTATCCTCAGCATCATCTATAGGTCTTCTTGCAGAACTTTCTCGTGTTCGAGATAAATTTGAACGAGAAAAATCAAAGAAATTAGATAAATCCAGTAACATTTATGAAAAAAAGGCATAGAAAATACAAGAAAAAAAAACAAAGACTTATATTAGCTAGAAAACATTATTAACAAAATCAAATGTAGGTGTAGAATATCGCGCAGCAAAAGATAGATATGAACAAGAGAATATTTTGGAACATGAAATTAAAGCATCAAGAATAGCTTTAAAGAGAAAAGCTATTCAATATCAAATGATGAAAAGAGGTGCTCATGATATGAACATAAAAGGTGTAGCAGCAGAGAATTTACTAGTAGATTTTGATAGAAAATGGGCAGAGCATCAGGAACTTGAAACAAGTTCATCCTCAGAAAGTGAAGTAGATGAAGAAAACAATCCATGGGTTGAATATATTGATGAATTTGGAAGAACAAGAAAAGTACGTAAAATAGATTTACCTAGAGAAATTACACCAGAACAAGAAATTCCTAAAAATATTATTTATGGAGACTTTATTCAACCGTTTAATCCAGATGAAGAACAAGTCCGAAAAATTCTTGATGAACCTGAAGAATGTAATAAACAACATTTATCTATCTGTATATATGTATTTAATATTAAATAGCTGCAGAAACATTTTATGATTCAACAAAAGAAATTAGAACAAAGGGAGTAGGATTTTATCAGTTTTCAAAAGATGCACAAAAAAGAGAAGAAGAGAGAAAAGCTCTTCAAGAAGAGCATAGGCTTACAGAGCTAATGAAACAAAATTTAGAATGGGCGTACGATAAAAGACAAAAAAAACTAAACGAAAGAAAAAAAGAAATAGAAAAAAGAAGGCATAAAAATATAGGAGAACAATAGCTAAGCAGCACTATGGACATGTATTCATAAAAGAATATTGAAAAAAATAAAATTTATTATATTCTAAAATATTTAAATTAATTATATTTATAACATTATTTATAAAACAATTTTCATAAAAATTAAAATTTAATAAATATTTCATAAACCATAAAAAAATACTAAAAATTATTCCAAATATATTAAGAATAATAACCAAAAATACGTAAACACTTTACTTATGCTAGAAACAGAAAATAGTGAGAATTTTCATAAATATTACCAAAACTCATCCAATTGTTGCTTTAATAGTTTCTAAAATCTCAAATATTATTTTTTTACATGTGTATCAAATCAGTTCCTTTAAATACCAATCTATATAAAAAATAAATGATAAAAGAAGTTACAGAAAGGTCAATATGTCTTCAAAATAATTTATTAAGCACAATTTTTATCAACAATCACATTAGATTAAAAGTAAAAAAAATTTAAAAAATCTTAAATAAAAATCAATATTAAAAAAACAAAAATCTATATACTAAAATATCTTTTTCAAATAAATTGAATCAAACAGCATATTCTCTACGATATTTTTCATCAATTTTAACAAGATAATATGCATTCAAAGCTATATTAGAAATATCACCATGTGGAATATAATCTTTTGCAAGATATGCTTGTTCTCGAAGAGATATCATCTAAAATTTTAACTATAAATCTTGAAAATTATAAAAAATATACTCTTTCAAACTCTACAGGAGATAATACTTTCCTATTTGCTAACTTCGTCTTTAAATCAAGAATCTTTACAATATAAGACACATCATCGTGAATTGTAAAACTAAAAAAAGTAGCAGCCAGTCCAGAACCATATGAATATGCTCCTATACGTTTCCCAACCTAAATTAAATTATACACAGTATATACATAAATATATATAAACCATACAAGCTTAGAAGGTAAAACGTTGCTTAAAAGACTCGCCAAACAGCCGTATAAACTAGCTGTATACATATTTCCAACATTTTTTGATACATCAAGACCAATACCAACACGTGACTCGAAACGTTTTTTACTAAGATTGATGAATTGCTTCTCAAGATCTTTATCTACCAAACTAGATTGATATTCTATGCCGGCAAGGTGTTTTACACTTTCAAATTCTGGATGGTCTTGATTTTCTATAAAATCATTATACATTAGCCTGGCATATGCTTTTTGAACAGATTTGCATGTAGGAGAATGAAAAATGCAATAATCAAAACGGTCGATAGGAAGTGAATATGCCGTATTACAATTCGTATCACCAAGACTTCTTCTAATAGAATATTTCATATTATAAGCTTTATAAGAATAATCAATAGCCCGAGTATAACATGAAATAGAATAATGTCCGTCTACAATAGGATATTCAGAAGTAAAATCAGGCTTATAAAAATCATAAACATGATCCATACAAGTCCCTCTAAGACCTACAGTAGAATCAAAGTTAGTCATACAAATATGTAATAATATAACTTACCAGAATCTAAAACAATAGGCGCATCTTTTCCAATAATCATAGCAACACATCCTGCACCACCTGTAGGACGCGCATTTCCTCTTGAATAAAGAGCAATATCACCTGCAACAACAATAGCGTCTCGACCATCCCAGTTTTCAGATTGAATCCAATTGACGGCATTAAAAAAAGCATTAGTGCCACCATAGCATGCGTTTATAGTATCTATACCCTCAATATCATAGTTCGGAGAAAACAATTGCATAAGAACGGTTTTAACAGATTTAGATTTGTCAATTAAAGTTTCTGTACCTACTTCTAGTCTTCCAATATTATTAACGTCAACATTATAATTTTTAATTAATCTCGAAACTGTCGTCAAGCATAATGAATAAATATCCTCCCTATCATCACAAAAGCCCATCATTGTTTGACCAAGACCTTATAGGATTCATTTTACGTATTATTGTTGAATTAAACGTACCAATTGTATATTTCCCTGGAGAAACCTGGTCGTACTTTTCCAAATCTTCTTGTAATACACACTATAACATTATTATATTTCATTTATTCAAAAATACTAATGAACATATCAATTATACCAGTGAAGGAAAATAGATTTCCATAGCTGAATAATCAATTATTCGTTGTTTTCTAACAAGAATAAACAACATACCTTTAATACCAACATTCTTTGGGGATTCCAATATTCTCATTCGAGAAATATATTCTCTCTTTAAATTTCAAGCCTAATTTTCTTCTATTCAAAAGAACTTAATACTTTTTAAAGCTTCGATCACTAGGTCATCTCAGAGACTTGAAAAAAAGACTCAATAATTCATGATTGTTATATTTTAAATAAATAACACAAATATACATAAATACATAATAAAATATAGTTCAGATATGTTTTCATATTTATTATTCATAAAATATAATAATTTTTTATTACAAATTCAACTACAAAGATTTTTATGCTCTATCTTTTTATAAACAGGAAATTTTAAATAATAAAAACATAAGTTTCAAGATACTAGAGATACTTTAGTGCATTTCCTGTATAATTATAAGCAAATAATACTTCATATAAAATCATGACTATTTCGTTAGCACTTATAAATATAAACATTTTAGAAAAGACTATCTCTAAAAGTCAAACAAAATATTTTGTAAAAAAAATATACTCTAAATTTGAATATATTTATATTTTAAATAAAGTTTCTTCAAATAATCTTACTAAAATTCAGTATCAGTTTAATTTCCAATATTTTAAACAATTAAACCAAATAATATAGGGATATTAATGATAACACTATATTTCTATATGAAAAAAATAAAATCAAAGACTATACCAAATCATTATCCAAAACCCGAAAACTCATTAAATGTTTGCCGTTAGATATAAACAGAAAAAATATACAGTATCTTAACTACAAAAACAAAATACCAATATCAACCAGAAAACATTATAGTCCTTAAAATTATAATATAAATCATAAACCAAAATAATATTAATAATTTTAATTATATATTAACACCCTATCCCATATAAAGTTCCATAATAAGCAATACATAAAACACTAAAAACAATACTACTATGAAAACTTCAAAATATTAATACTTCAAAAAGTTATAATATAAAAAACTATTTCAAATTATAGTTACCAAAACCATCAGATGCTTTCATTCTTTTTGGAAAATGCCTTAATGAATCTGAGCTCTGTGTTTTGAGTAACAAAAAATTATCTAAATTTTTATCTTGAAAATTATTAAATGAATTTGACGATTTTAAAGCTGTAACCTGACTTTTTCCTTTAGAAAAGTCGAATTTTATTGAACGATTTTGTGAATTTTCTAAAAATAAAGACTTTTCTTCCGAAACATTTTTTGCAATGTTACAGTCATTCATTGCAGAAGATTTCTTGTTTATACTATTTATAGACTTATCATCTAAATTTTTCGTAGATCCACCATCTAAATTTTCCATAGGTTCACCATCTAAATTTTCCATAGGTTCACCATCTAAATTTTCCATAGGTTCATCATCTAAATTTTCTATAGATTTATTATCAAAATTCCTATTTGTATCATTCTTTTTTTGAGAATCCAAGTTATCAATTTTTATAGTATTCTCGCTTTCCTGAGTAGAAAGGCCATAATCAATATTCAAACGATCGTCAGTTAAATTATCCGTAATTCTCTTCCACCCAGATCTTACGAAATTAGATTTTACAATTTGAGAAGATTTATTAAATTTTGAATCATTAGACAGAAAATCCTCATCTAACTCCGACTTTTCCTTGTTACCAAGAAAAATTTCCAAAAAATTTTCTAAAACACCCTGTCCAAAAACTATCCAGCTCTCCCAAGCACTAGTAATATTTACTACCTGTCGACGAAAATTATCTGCTTTAATACGCCCATCAAATGATTTATAGATTTCAGAAAAATGTTTAAAAACTACACCTAAATTTTGTTCTAGTCTAAAAAATATTAAAGACATTTAATAAATATTACTAACTTACAATTGTCTATATTTCCAAACATTAGGAATTGCAATAGATGAATTATGCAAAATATCACTAACTAAATATAATCTTGCAATTTTAGTAGAGATAGGAACATGTGGTTGTATTAATGATGATATTAATATTTCAACAATCTTTAATTATTTAAAATATCGTAAAAAAAGAAAAATAAAATAACCTCATCAGCAGCATTAGCATGCTCTATTGCAAATGACATAGCCCTAGCAATATTTCCGCGACGATAAGAAATTTCGCGCAACAACCAATCAAAATGAGATCTAGAAACAGAACCTAAATATGTCATCTGTTTTCTTTTCTCAGAAATATCATCGGCAAACTCATCATCACCCTATTAATCTATAAGAATCACAAAAATAATATTATGTTCAACAAACATCATCAGTATTTTCAGGAGGCACCCACCATGCTTCATTTGTAAACATTTGAAAAGGTTCTTTGGACCATTTATATGGAAAATCGCCATTTAATAAAGAAAACAACTTCCATCTATAATAAATATGTTCAGAAGTCTTAGAAAAATCAGGAAATATTTCCAATAAAAAAAATAAACCATACAGTTGAATCAAACAAAAACTCATAATCAGGATTATCATACTCTCTTTTCATAAGAAATGCCTAATACATTAAATAATATATAAAAATAATAAAAAAATACCTCAAACTCTACACCATGCTCAATAATTTTCTCAATTACTCTATGAATTCTTCTTAATAATTTCAAATCCTTAGGCTTTGAAACAACCACTTCAATCCTATTTAGCATAGATAAAGGATTAAATCTTCCATTAGTTACTCCTCCTGGAGGAGGTGCTCGATTAAAACCTATTATTCCTTGTTTAGCATCAAATGGAAGTTTAGTCTTATGACTATCAACATCTATAATATAAAAATTTCATCATTTTTTAAAAAAATTATAATTACAAGTAAATGATTTTAGCTCCTTTCCCCATACAGCTTTTACTCGCCAACCTTCCCCAATATATGTTCCATCAATATTACTCTTAGCCTTTTCTGCATTTTTAGGATCTTCAAAAGTTACAAAAGCAGAAACTCCTTTTTTAAATTGATCATCAGTAGACTTTGAAGGAAGAATATTGATAGATGTAATTTTTCCATACGGCAAAAGTAATGTTGAAAGAGATTGTTGTGTAGTTGAGGGTGGTAATGAAGTCAAATGAAGACTTCGAGGATGAGAAGAATCAAAACAATCATCACACTTTTCTAAAAATAAATTAAACGTTATATCATTTATTAATTATAAATAAATAAACCCATAGAAAAAATTCCCGTATTAGTAGTACGTGCAATTCTAAGAATTTCCTTTTGTTGAATACTAGTTCAATCAATAACTTTCCAAATTCTTAGAAAAAACAATACCTTTTAATCTCTTCAAGAAAGTTATCCAAATTCCTCTTTCGACTTAATCCAGCTTCCTTTACCCATAAATAATTTTCTAAAAATTTCAAGAGAAATACCGTATTAGAAGATGATTCAGCAAAATGACGCTTACTACATGAAATACCTCTCGTAGAATTTGGAGATAAAGCTTCTAAAAGTCAGAAAAACTATATTCATAACTTCTTACAACATTTTATGTTATACTCTCCTGATCCATCATCAAAGCTCTTTACAAAATCCTCATATATTACTCTCGTTTCTTCTTCTTCTCTCTAAAAAATATAAAAACAATACATATATTAAGGTTTTACACAACTTTTTTCTTTGCATTAGCTTCTTCTCTCGCCTTATCATATGCAGTTTTTTTTGGTGTTGCACGCTCAAAAGCAGCAATTTTTTCTTGATCAATAGCCTTTAAAAATTTTAACTAATAAATTTAATAAATTTTAACTAAAAATACCCGAAGACTTCCTTCTTTAAATGTTGTTAAACCATAAGGCAACTGAAGAGGTCTTGCCATTTTTCATTAGTTTTATGGTATCGAAATAAAAAATACTCCAAAAATATATACGATACAGATTTTTGAAATAATTCTATATCTTTAGAAAAATTTTTAGAATAGACTTTTACTAAATAAAAACTAAGCAATTTCATAAAAAAAATATAATCTCAAGCTTTGCATTAATAAAATTCTTTTTTAATTTTATTAAATTGTTTATTCAAATAGTATTATCAGATTTATATACTGCTTTATTTAAATCTATATAAGTATTATCAATTGCTCAAATAAGATTAATATTATATATAATTTACCAAAAGCAATTTAAAAAAATCATATTCAAAACAAAAATTTATCTTAAAAAATATATCCATTAAAAATAATAACACATAATACCCTAAAATATATTAAGATTCAAAAATAATTAAGTTAATATTAGTTTTTAAATTATACTTCATACATCATCATACGAATAAAAAGTCGCTTTTTTCAAACAATTAACATTTTTTTAAAAACAATAATTATAAAAAAACACTATTTTAAACTTATTCAAAACAAAATATTCAAAAGTATTAGAACAAATATTATTATTTCAAAATTCTTATAAAACAGAAATTTATATAAATGTTTCATATAAGCCATGCTTTTTTGTAATACTTAAGTTCTTCTATACTCCCTAAGATATCATCCATGGCCCTATGATTAGCTTTTTTTTTTGGAGCACTTTGAAAAACTTCATAATTCCAACATCTAGCAAGTTCCTTTATTGTAGAAACATCAATAATTCTATAATGCAAATATTCTAGAACGCTTGGAATATAACGAGATAAAAAAGCTCTATCGACATAAACACTATTTCCTGCCAACAAAGCAACTTTAGGTTTTGAAATGTATTTTTGGAGATAATCCAAAAGCTCTATTTCTGTAGATACCAAAGTATGCGAAGATGACAAAACACTTTGAATAAGGCCATTCTATTCCACTACGTTATATAACCATAACTTTATTCAATAGAAAATTACCTCTTCATGATATTTTCTACACCAAGAGTCCATAGAATTCAAAATATGTTCTGGGTGATGAATAACTCTTTGAAATCCTTTCTAACAATAATTCAAATAAATACATATGAAAAAATATATTAAACAAAATAGATACACTTTCTATGATATTTAAATTTCCATCAGTAATTAGAACAGCAATCTCAAGTAATTCGTGTTTTTCAGGATCCAAACCGGACATTTCTTTTAAAAAATCAATAAATCTTAAAATAGACATTCTTAACAAACCACAATCTACCCATATCATTGGATTCTGAATCATTATTCTAGTAGTTAAACTCTTCGTAGTCAGACTCTTCCAAAGAATACAATTCATCCAATATACCTTTGAATATATATCGAATTATAGGAAAAATAAAAATATAACTATAATATTTCATATTTATAATAAATATAACTATAAAAATATATAAATCTTTATTACTAAATTTACATATGCAATTAGTACATATATTCTAAAAAACTTATCTAATAAGGTTAAAAACAAAAATATTCATAATATTTAATTATAAATTGAAAATCTAAAAAAGCAAAAACTCAAAAATCATTATTGAAATATTCATTTTTATATTCACAAAAAGATACTTTATGTAATATTACAACTCAAATCTATTATATAAAAAACCCTGAATTCTTTTTAAATAAACAAATATATAAGACTATTTATTAATACATTAATTTATAAAAAATATTTAGCTATTGTATTTGTCATAATATCATATACTATATGAATTTTACAACACATACTTTTTACAAAAATTAATCTTAAACTAAAAAATTTAATTAAAATTACACCATATTTCATCAAGTTAAGGATATAGTTTTTTATTTCTCTAAAAGAAAATAATTTTAATTTATTAAAAGCGATATTTAAACATTTTTATATCAAAAATAGATTTTACAAAAACAAAAAATTCTTATATCAAAATACCATTTGCTTGTAAAAAAAACGTATTTAATTTATATCTATCAGTTTATCTACACATATATACATTTAATGAGGTCTAATATGATTAATTTTTTCAAATCCAGCTATTTTAAATTTAAAATTTAATAAATTCAATAAAATAATTTTCATTAAAAATAAAACATATCTAGCACTACACAACCTATTTGTAAATCTCATCAATACAATGATATATTAAATCAATAAATCAGGGTAAATATCATAACTATCAATAAAAAAATCTTATTAAAATCCTTCCAGAATTAAAATTATTCAAATTTAAAAAATTATTAAAACCTAATTGCATTACTAAAATTACCGATCATATTTCTTCTCAATACTGATGCTGCAAAGATCTAATGTATCTTCCAAGAGGTATCTAATTATGAGTTCGTGACTATTTGTATCATTCCTCCTGACTAAAACTATATTCAAATACCTTAAAAGACTCAAATGTTATATATCTGTATTCTTAGGTTTTCTTAATGTGTAACCAATATACAAATAAAATAACTTAAAGTCTAAATTACTTGTAAAAATGATACTAAAGAAATTACTATTGTCATACCAAAAACTGAAAGAGATTGTATTTATATTTTTAAAAAGATTTTGGCTATTATCAAGACATGTAAAGATATCTTGACAAAAATAATTATCAAAATATCATTTCATAGTCTTAAGCAAAAAATTACCACTTATATATATTATAAAAAGATAGATGTCGTCTTTGTAAGTAAAAATACAACTCTGGGTGCTATAGCACCACTGTAAAAGATCTTGTTTTTATAAAAAAGTTAGTAATATATATAAAAGACAGCGGAGAAATAAAAATATTGGAATTTTTTTCAAAAAAATGAACTAGACAGGAGTTAAGAGAATTAGATTAAGAGAATAGACATTTTTTAGGAAACTAAATTTACTAACAATAAAGATTTTTAAATATATATTTTATAATCATTTCCATCTATATTATATACATATTCAAGATTACTATTCCTTAAAAAAGAAAATAAAAGCATAAAAAAAAGATTTTATCAATATTTCTTTAGTTTCATAAAATATCTATTTTTAGATCAATTTAAAGTTTTAACGAATCAGTTCTCGAACATCAACACAAAATTTCCATGATTTGATAAAGCTTAAATTTGATAGTTAAGAAAATATTTATGACTCCTTTCAAAAATATAAGCACTTTTAAATCGAAATTTCTTTCCGAAAATCAAGATTGTTTAACTTTTCTTAATCAAGAATCAAACATATCCAGATTTCATAAACCTCAAACCGAAAAACAGACAAATAATTTTTTGAAAGACCATAGGAAAAATTTCAAAGAAAAATCATTAAATCATGAGAAATTGTCAGAAGAAGAGGTATATTATCTAGTAAACTTATTTTTGATTTTTAATTAAGTTTTAGCTCATTATTCGTTTAACAACACCAAAATCTCTACATTCTTCAACATATTCATCATCACCACCTTTTATTCGTGAACTATCTAATGATCTTAAAAGACTTGAAAGGGCTTGTGGTTCTGCTTCATCGAAAATACAGGAAAAAACAAATAATTTTTTTCCATTATCATATTCGCTATATAACAAATCACAATCTCCAGAAAATAACAATACCACAACTATTCCATCTAATATACATGACAATGAAGATTTGAAAATTTCTAAAAAAGATATATCCGTAAAATCTCCAAATTCTTCTGAATATTTCATGAAGCTTTCAACAAACGTTTCACCTATTTATCCTCTCTCTGGACACATGGAAAGTTATATTCCACTACCTGATCTTATGTCGGACTCAAGAGCATCTACATCTTGTTCTGAAGAAAGTGAAATAAAACCAATTCATTCAACTCCATTATATAAAGTTACAAGACATTCTAAAAAAACTGCAGAAGAAAAAAGAGATATTCCCTGTAAAATTTTAAAGGAAATAACACCACATGATCAAGATTTTAGACATAGCATTTCACATACTCAGCTAAATGTAGAGTCCAAAAATATTTTTAACAAAAAATCAAATAGTACAATAGAAACAGATAATTTTCATAAAAATAACATTCATAAAGACATAACATTCTTTTCAGAAGATAAGAAGCCATGTAATATTACTGATCCTACTATTGATAAAACTATAAAACTTTTTGGGCCAGGCGCATGGACAACCACACCGCAAAGTAGGAATATAATCATATATAATCAATTTCTTATATTATATAGCTCGAACATACATCAAAATGCTATCAAATTTAGATATTTCTGGCGAAGAGAGTAAACATTCTCATATTTCAGAAACTCAAAATGAAGACCATCGACTCACAAAAATGTTATTACTTTTGCAAGAAGAATTGAAAAGTACAATTATCAATGTAGAAGAACTAGAACTTAAAATACAAAAATTCGAAGAAGATTCTAAAAACAAGGTTTCTATTTCAAAAGAAGATTTGTTGAAACTTCAATTTTTATATGAAGCTAAAAAGAGGGAGATTAAAACATATGTTCCTCTTTGTATAAGGTATTTTTTTTTCATATTATGTATTATGTTTCTAGCTATAAATATATTAAATTGGTACGTATTTTTTTTTAAAAATACAATATAACAAATCGTTAGGGCTTTGCCTATGCACAAAACTTATTCGGAATTACCATTATATCAATCTTGGCCAACTTAATTATTATAAAATTTTCTATGATTTAAATTTTTTGAAATTAAGCGAAATCTTTTTTCAATAATATATTTAAGTACAAATTCACATATGTATATACAACTGTTCTTTTAAACATCAACTCTGTATAAATACCAATTATAAAAATTAATAATTAAATAATAGATTAATTAAATCTTTAACATTTACATAAAACTTTAGCTTAGTAAACCCTAATATTAATTATAATTAAAATTTAGTTTTTTAATTTCCAGAAAAAAATCCAATTTTAACTGCATGTTAAAACGAAATCTTAAACATTTAAAGATAAAATTTGCTCTTTTGAAACCTATACAGATAATAATTTCGAATATTATTTATTAATCACGATCATACAATTATTTATATGAATAACTAAACTATACAATGATACGCCATACTCTTGAAACATCAAAAATATTCCAAAATTTACTTCAAAAGTAGCAATAATACATCTCTTACAAATATTTATAAAAAGTAATTATACAAAAAAAATACTAATATCTTATGAAACAATAATTAAAAAACAATTATACCATATTTATACATTGCATTTTCTCTTCAACAGGGTATACACACATTCTTATATTTATTTTTTTAACCGATAAAAACTTTTAACCTAAATTCCCTACTAATGTCTAATGATTTTAATATCATAAACAATACTTCCATCTCGTAAAAACAATTTATATAAGTTATTACTTATTGTTTGATACTATATTTCTAACTTTCACTAATTTCTATGCTCATACTTTTTTATTAATATCTCTAAATTATCAATTATAATTTTTAAATCCTGCATAAATATAAACAGCAAAAACATGACCTGAAGCAATTATAATGTTCATAGAATAAAAATTTAATGTACTGTTATAAATAAAAATATCATGAATTATCTACCTAAATAAACTTGCTATTCTTCCTAGAGCTAGACAAGTTATTTTAATAAGACACTATACGTCTTGAATGGTAGTCAATACAGAAAATTTAGACTTTACCAAAAAAAGAAATAATCTATCTTATGAACCAATTTGGAGACATTGAGAAGTAAAAAAAATCCTCTTTAATAAATGTGTTTTTATGCAGACTAGTGCATACCTGTATCCCTGCGTTGACACCTAAATCTTTTATAAATCGAATTCCGTGATATCCGAAATCATACTAAATCTATTTATGGAAATTAGTAGCAAAATTTATAACGTTTTTAAACCCTAAATTTATAAATATATTCCTACAATGATTTTTCTAATTGCTATAATCAAGTCTTGGTTTTTACGACAATCCAACTAAACTACATAAAGACAAGCCATAAATCTAATATAACGAATTACGACACTGTACCAAAACCATGTTTATAATACATATTATTAGTTTTTTTGTCAAGATTATGCAAAACAAGTTTAGCTTTAGACGGGTTTTTATTAAGGAAGGTCAGTTATACATACTAAGGTACGATTAAAGATTTTGCAAGAGTGCTTAATGTTCTAAAACGTATGAATAACAGTTTTAAGATGTTATATTAATGTCGCAGTTCAACAATTCGTTTTAGATACAATCCGCTTTACACATTTACATTATCTATTACCACTGCTATTTTCCCTCGTCTTTTGCGTTTTATAATACGTCTTTTCGACGGGAAGTGCCTTTGGTTCTTTTCCAAAATTCTAGAACTTGGTTCAATTTATATGGATTTGAGTCAACTTTTTTCTTTTGACCTTTAAAAAGTATTTTTCAGACCAGTTTTTTGACTAAGTGAAAGAACATTGCTTAGACTAAGAGTCTTTATGAAATAACTGATAGAAGATTGGCAAAATATAGGGTTGAACATATACCAGGTGCCAACTTTATTGCCAGTTTAAATACTATTGAGCTCGATAGTTCATCTTTTATTTAAAAAACCTTAGTTCCAATTTAGAGACACCAACCTTTTCTTTAAACGCGTTAATAATATTTTTTGTATCTTATTATAGTAACTTTTTGTAGATCTATTATTTTGTCTATTAGCTGAATACTAAAGAGATAAACCAATCGGATCACGCGTTTCTTGATAGTTTATGAAATATTTTTCTCCATTGATTCATCAACATCTTACAACATTGCCACTTAAACAGTGTCATTCAATGTCATCCTCAGAGCAGATTTTTGCATCACCCTATCATATTTATCGTAGCGACTCAATATCTTCTAATATGTCACCTGCAAGCACTCTTGAAACACCTTCTCAAATGTTTCCTTTAACACCACTTAAAAGTGTTGTTTATAAAGGTTTTTGTACCACTGCACCTAAAATACAGCATGTTCCTGTTTCTACATTGCCAAATAATCTTTATGAGCAATCCGTTTTTAAGAAAAATCGATCATGTCATGAAAGCGTTAAGATGGCACACTACAATACAAATTCTTCTGACTATATTCATAATTCACATTGTGTATTTACAACACCTTTTTCTTATCCTTCATCATTTTCTCAGTCATTAACAGATTCTTTTTGTGATAAGAAATCGTCAGCACAGATTATCGCTGCTGGTACAGTACTTAATCATTATCAATATCGATACATTCAAGAGAGATCATTAGTACCATATAAGGATAATCATTCTCTTCCTTTGATAGTTTCTTCTCTTGATAAAACACATATCTGTGATGTTTGCAATAAGCGTTTTAAACGTTATGAGCATCTTAAGCGTCATGGACGTTCGCATACCAGTGAAAAACCATTTCAATGCAGTATAAGAAAATGTGGACGATGGTTTTCGCGAAGTGATAATTTACGTGCTCATTTACGCACGCATTTTAGACGTGGTGGTCGCAATTTATTTGTAGGAGATCCCAATAACAATGATGAAACTAGTTATATGGCTATAAATCCTATAAGTCCAAATACCTTTGAGAATTAGACCGTTTATATTATATAGCATTCTTCCAGTACATCTATATATGTTCTTTTTATGCACTAAAAATTCCGTTTTTTCTTTTGGAAAATGATTATTGGGAATACAGATAAATAACATTTTTTTATTTTTGGAGGAAAACCCAATTATTATTTCATATTAAAATTTGCTATCTATATTATTTTACAAGAACTATTTATTCATATATCTTGCAAACTTCCAGGAGAAGAAATATATTGTATCTTTCTAGCTCATTTTATAATCAACCTCTTAAGAATACAAAAATAAATATTAATCGAATGTTTTTTTAAAATCATTTTTATCGACGAGCCTAAAGTAACTCTAATTTTTAACCTTACTGTTGTCAATCCTCCAAAAAAGCCGTGTTGATAGTACATATACTATATAATTATTCAAATATATATTATTCTTGCCTGAAGGAAGATCATTATATTTTATGTCTTTACCGCCTGTTCCACCTCATCCTAACAGTCCACAAAAGTTTATCACATACACTTTGCATTCAGGACAATCCATAAAACAAACGGATTCACAATTTAACAAAGAAAAATGCGCTACATTTCCATCTCTTTGTCAAGAACAATTTTCAGATCCTTTATTTAATTTTAATAAACAAAATTTAACAAGACAGACGGAACACCTTAAAAAGGAAGAAAAAAATATTAATACACTTACAAATAACACTCAAAAAAACATAGAAATTTGCTTATCTGGCTATTTTTCTGAACCGGATTCACAAAAATTACATGTACCTCAAAAACCTAATTCCATTTTAAATCCAACTGATTCAATATTTAATATACAAAAACGCCAAAAATATATTTATAATAAAACTAACGGAATGCTTAGCGAAGAACCTTCATCTAAACTTGAAAATGAAACAAACGTATCCTTTTATCCGAATGATCATAACATTTATCAATCAAGTTCTATAGAAAAAAATACTATTATTGAAAATAAACAGACAAAAAAATATAACGAAAATGATAACCTCTTCTCTACAGACTCTGTTTCTTCTCAAAAAGGTGCACATTTTTTGAATAATGATTCCACTGCAACTCATACAAATTCACCCGAAATTATCAAAAATTTTAATTCTTCCCAAAACATAAAATCATCTTCAGGAAATATTATTTCTAGAAATATAGGAGACAACTCCTGCTTCAACAGCGATATATCAAATGTATTTCAAAAATCTAAAGAAAAAAATGAACACAAAGAGTCTCAAAACTTAAAAGCCACAATAATATGCGCTCAAAATTCCATATCAAGTAATACTGATTTAGATAATGAAAAAAATATTTCGAACCAGACATCTTACGGACAAAGTAATATTTCTTCAGGTAGCATTTTCAAAAAAAAAAAGTCAATAATTTTGTTAGGTTTTAGCGGAAATACTTCTAAAACTGAAAAACTAGAATTTATACAAAATACTAACTCATCTATTCCAAATATACAATCAAAAGAAAGAAGTAGCTCATCTCAAAATCTAGAATATACCTTTAATGAAGAACAAAAAGCTTTAAAAAGTAAAAATCTTCAACAATTAACTAACTCAGACACAAATGATAAGCCTATTCATTTATTAAGACCCATAAAAAAAGAAATAACATCTACAGCGCCTCATTCATTACATGCATCATTGTCTAATATTAGGAACTCAGCTAGTACACGAATTCAATTTTCTCAAGATTTAGAAAAAAAGCTAAAATCCGGCCCCCCTAAAATAACAGGTTTCACGCATTTTCATATCAGTAACGATGAAAAAAATGAGCTTAATTCTCCAGTACCTAAAAATACTAAACTTTTATCAGAATCATCTATATTACATGATTTACGAAAAACAAGACCCAAAGGACCCTCTAGACGTAAACCTACAACTATTGCAGCAGAACTCCCAGAAAGACTAGAATTTTCTAACATTATTCAATTATTTAATATAAAAAAGAATATTTTAGAAACCTCTCAAAAAAACAATATATCACTAACTGTTACATCTGATGATGATTTATCAGATATTTTTTCAATGACCACTATTGCTTATCAGTATTAGTTATGAAAAATAAATGGAATTCATAATTTATTTAATTTTGACAAGTTGATCTGACTACCAATAATGGAATAGCTTCTTTGTTTTTATAAATTATAAAATCTCTCTACTTTTATTATTTTTATTCTCTTAGAGTGCCACAAAGCATAAAAAAATTATTTTTATAATATTAATCTTTCATTTTAATTTTTATAATTTTTGTAAACGTACTACGATAATTTGGTAAATCTTTTATAATGGAAATAAATACTATAACTGATACTATTCACTACACCTTTCCATGGCTTATTTTTATGCTATATATAGTATCTTCAATGATTCCAGAAAAACATAATAAGCAAAAATCCGATATTTCATCATTACTTCAAACTATTTCAACTTTTTTAATTCTATTGACTTTTGTATATCCTAGTTTATAAAAAGATAATAAAATATTCATATTTAGATCGGAAATTCCATGTTGATTTTAGTTTATATTTTAGTCAAACAAGATTGGTGGATTGCACAATCTTCCGTGGTATTATTTCAAATTTTAATAAAAATAATACCTATTAATTCTTAGTTTTATACATTAACCAGTATTTTTTCTTGGGGCATAATATTTATAAATACTATTGAGATAAAACATCGGATTTCTATAAAGTTAAATAGCTTAATTATTTATATTTTTCAAATATTAGCAGATACAATACTCGTTTTTTCTATATTATCAAAACCATTTATATCTAAATGGGAAATATCATATTCCATAATAAGTTCATCAAGGATTTTAATTTCAATGTTTTTTTTTACTTTATGTTTTTTGATTAAACAAAAAAAGTCATTAACAAATCTAGAAGACGAACCTTTACTTGAGCAAAATCAAATATATAAAGATGATGAGTTACTAGATATTAAGGTAGATAGAAATTCTTTCATTTTAATTTTTTTCTAATCTAAAAAAGAGAAAAGGAATTTTAAATGATAAAAAGTTAGAAAACACATGGTGGAACTATATTAAAAAATTTTATTTATTTTTCCCATATCTTTGGCCTAAAGACGTATTATTCCTACAGATTATGATTTTTTTTTGTTTTAGTATGGGTTTTATATTATAAAATATTCTTTTTTAAATTTTTAGTACTTTTAATTGTTTCAAGATATATAAATATTTTGGTACCACAGCAGTTAGGGATTGTCACAGATAAACTCAATGCATATGTAGACAAGAAAGGTTATAGATAATTGCTGTTGCTAAAAATGCTAATAATTTAGAGAATATATGGATATCTATCTTTCTTTTTATGTTTTATCGATTCTTACAAGGGAATATGGGCTTACTTGGATCTATTAGATCTTATCTTTGGATACCAATTAATCAACATGCTTATCAAACTCTTTCTGAAAAGGTATTTCTTTTATTTATAATTATCTATTATTATAATCTCAAGGCTTTTGAACATATTCATACTCTTTCATTAGATTTTCATTTATCAAAAAAGACAGGAGAAATCATAAGTGCATTAGATCATGGTTCTTCTATAAATACATTTTTCGAAATGATTATATTTCAAGTTTTACCAGTAATTATTGATATTTTTGTTGCTATTATTTATTTTTTCATAAATTTCGATGCGTATTTCGCTCTTAATGTTGTAATTATGGCAATCTCATACATTTATGCAACAATTAAAATTACTGAATGGAGAACAGAATATCGGTTAGTTTAATATTGAAATTTATATTGAAATTAAACATTTATAAATAGAAGAGATATGGTTAATAAACACAGAGATGAGTATTCAATAAAAAGCGATTCTATAACTAATTATGAAACTGTAAAGGTTTGTTATATAGTACACTTTAAAATTAATTAACATATTAAGTATTTTAATGCTGAACCTTTTGAGTTTAATCGCCACAAAAATGCAATTAGAACATACCAAAAGGCCGAATTCAAAGTTCTAAGTAAAGATAGCTTCGTTCAAAAAATAACATATAATTATTTTAGGCTCTTTAAATTTGTTAAATGTAGTACAAAATGTAATATATACAGCTGGTCTTCTTTCTATAACATCACTTTCTGCATATAAAATTATCAAAAATCTAACTTCCGTGGGAAATTTTGTGTCTTTATTGACATATATGACTCAATTACAAGGTATTCTAATGTTTCTTAAAAATAATATTTAATCATTTCTAAGGACCTCTAAACTATTTTGGAAGGTAGAATAATATTGGTTAGAATATTATAAGTTAACAAAACAAATCAAGTCTCTATAGATCTATACAATCTAGTCTAGTAAATGCAGAAAGAATGCTGGAACTAGTAAAAAATATTTCCACCATTATTTTAAATAACATTTTGAAAGTTTAGCGAAGAGTCAGCGGTTTCTGACAATCCTGATGCTATTGATATAAAAATAACACAAGGGGAAGTCATATTTGGTATGTTTTTTAAAATTAATGCCTAAATATTATTAAAGAATATAGATAATGTCAGTTTTAGTTATGATAAAAGAAAAAATGCACTAAATGCATTAAGTTTTCATGCAAAACCGGGAACTTCTATTGCTTTAGTAGGCAAGTAAACAAAATATTGCTTATTAAATATCCAATAATTTTAAATAAAGGAGAGAGCGGATCAGGAAAAACAACAATATTTAGATGTTTATTTAAATTCTTTAATATTGATTCTGGAACAATTACAATTGATGGGCAAAATATTCATAATATAAAACTTAACTCTTTAAGAAAAAATATAGGAATTGTTCCACAAGGTGTTTTATTATCCTAAAAAATTTAGTTTCTTAACATTTCTAGATACTGTTCTTTTTAATGACACTATTATGTTTAATATTCGTTATGCAAAACCAAATGCATCTGACGAAGAAGTTTTCCAAGCAGCACGTATGGCACAAATTCATGATAAAATTATAACTTGGCCAGAGAAATATAATACAAAGGTGGGAGAAAGAGGACTACGTTTAAGTGGTGGAGAAAAACAAAGAATTGCAATAGCACGAACAATTTTAAAAAATCCTAAAGTATATATAAATATATTATCATTATTTTAATTATTGATAATATTAGATAATTTTATTGGATGAAGCAACATCTGCTCTTGATACACATACAGAAAGACAAGTTCAACTTGCATTGAAAAAATTAACTGAGGGTCGTACTACTATATGTATTGCTCATAGACTCTCTACCATTACATCCTGTGATCTTATTCTTTGTATGAGAGATGGACATATAGTAGAAAGTGGTACACATAATGAACTTTTAGCTAAAGTAGAAGAAGCAGGAGAAAAAGGGCTATATTATTCTATGTGGCAAAAACAAATCCATGCAAATAAAAATTCAAACAATAACAATAACGATAAAGTATAAAAATTTACTTATATTATTAAATATTTAATCTTTCAAATAATTTCGAAAAATTAATATTTATTTTCTAATCAATATTTATAACTAACATTACTAATAATAAATATAAAAGAAACATTATAAAAAATCTACAAGTTTAAATTTCATATTAACAATATAAAATCCTTAAATTTATAAATCCTCAAAACGTAGCCTAACTAATAATCGTCAACTTCGCCAGCCTTAAGCATTATGTTTCTCCAGTGTTCATTCCCATACCAATCAATTCCGCTCTCTAGAATTATACCCTAAAAAATAAATACAAAAACAAAATTCAAAGATGATTACTTGTAAACAGTTTTTTACAATAATAGCACGATTCTTTATATCATTCATTTCCTTAATAAGTCTAAAAAATATTAAAAATATTAGAAAAACAAACAATCTATAGCACTTTTCTTTTTGTTGTTTTTCCAAAACTGACAATATTTTCTCTTCGCGGTCCTTAATATTTGTAATAATTTCCATAATTTTATTAACCTTTTCTTTATTTTTTAAAAACAAATCTAATAAAAAGTTACAAATAAATAAACAAACAATATCAATATACTTAAAACTTCTTTTTGAAGAGGGACAATTTTTTTTTCATTTTTTAATAAAATATTGTGAAGATTTAAAAGATTGGAGATAATATTATCACAATTCTCAAGACATAAACCTATAATTCTAAAATATAAAAAAATGAAAGAATAGATATATCAAACTACTTATCCTGTTTTGTTGAATCCTGAGTTGAATAAGCTGCCTGCAAAATAGGATTTGTTTCAATAAAACTATATTGTTATAAAAATTATACAATACACTTAAAAATACTTCTCAATTATAAGATCTTTTGTCGTATTTGTTGCATTAGCAATAAGCAGCTCAAATTCTGCTTCTTTAATTTTTTCCGATAACTCTTGATCCAAAATATTATTATCCACCGCTAAATCAACATTAAACAAAAAATACTATAATTGAAAAACAAACAGATTTCCTCCTCAAACAAAAGCATTTTTCTTTTATTCCTCAGTTCCTCTAATTTCTTATAAAGCAATAATACATTTCTTTCTTTCTCATTAAAAACTTCAGAAGGACATAACTTTAGCCGATGAAATTGATTCCGATCTTCAGTTATGTTTAAAATCAATAATTCACAAAAACTCGATAATTCTTTCAAAGAATTCATTGATCTTTTATAACTTTAAAAATGAAATTAATTTTTTAAATAACGTTCACGTTAATCATTCTCGGCTTTCAAAAAAACTAGAAAAATATATTTTTATTAAGAATCTATTGCATATACTGAGATATTACATTATATTGCTCATATTTTTAAGATTTACCAACCTTATATTTATATTACAAAGAAAATTTAGCAATGAAGAAATTGATATCTGTTTAAATACCATATAGTTCAATAAAAGTTATCTGAAAAGTCGTGAAATACTTTATTTTTAATTAATATCTTTCTATAAAACTCGACTTGAAAAAACTTGATAAAAATAATAAAAAATATTATCTAAAAACGTTTTTTTATTAATCATCTAAATAACAGATGTTTCAAAAAAATAATCATTTTTGCTAAATTATTAAGATTTTACACTAATCTTACCTATCCGTTTTAATTCATTCATATATTACTAAAAATATTTAGTAATTGAATTTTTTTAATAATTTATTAAATAATAAATTTATAAATATCCAACAAAATACTAAAAAAAACAAACATTATAATTTATATTTTAAATATCAACATAAAAACATTTTAATAAGTTTTCATTTATAAAAACAATGAATCTTTGAAATTTATTAGGGTTTATTTTTACATTTTTCAAAATTTATTCAATTATAAGTCTCCAATGATATCATTTTATTATGTATATCTAATTGTAACGAAAAAAAATTGATTAGATAAAATACATAATCTCTTTAACAGGATGATATTCATTAAATATATTATTATTTGTACTCCTAACATCAAAAATAATTACTTTCTAGCCAGTTAAGTATTTCTAACACATTCAATTATGTTATTAACAGCAGAAATTTGAACGAATAACCTAATGAATTTAAAAAAAATTAATTTAAACTCATCATTTTATTGTATATTTGAATATTTACAATATTATAACTTTAAAAATTAAACTTTCTAAAACTGAAACTTCAATACAAAATAACCCAAAAAATTTAATATAAAAACAATACTATTAAAAACCAATTTATTAAAATAAATTGACGTAACTTGAAACTAAATAAAAACATAAAACAAATCAAAGATTACATAATGTCAAAAAGCAAAATATATTTAATAAGAATGTTTAGGAACTATATCAATAAGAAATTCAAAACCCTTTTCTAGTAATCATTTATATATCAAATAGTCCCACTAAAATAAATATAATGAATTTATTACATCGTTTGAGAAACGCCTGTTCCACCAAAAACAGAACTACTTATAAATTCTTTTCCCTGAAGAGCAGCAGTTGCTATTAATATTTAGCAATTCATATAAACGAAAGCAAAAATTCATACTATAGCATAAACAAGTAATAGCCATAAAAAGTGCAGGAACAATTAGAGAGGTCCATTTAACTATACCCGAAAGAAACAAGGTAATAGAAAAAATAGCATATAATCCCTATGAAATAAATTATAATATACCTAAAATGTCTTTAAAACACACACAGCACGTGGCCAATTTTGATTAAAATATTCAACAAAAGAATCACTGTAACATTAATATTTAAAAAAAAACAGAAGACATACAATTTTTGACTAGTAGGGCATATCCTTAATAAATGTGGGATTTCAACGAAAGAAAGTATAATTCCCATTATCCTAAAGTATTAAAAAAAGAATGTAAAAAAAACAATAATACATGCTCAATATACCAAAAACAACGATCACCCCAATATGGAATAAATTAGAGAATCCAAGAATAAGACAAACTATACGTATATATTATTTTTCATCCAATAATAATAGATAAATACGAATCATAGAAAGAATTCCAAACCTAAATATTAAATCAAAGCGTTAGGGAAGAAAAGGCTTTAAGAAACTCGATACCATTGTGCATATATGCTAAAATTGCGTGATTTAATTTCATCAGAGAAACCCATAGCTTAAATTATTCTAAGAAAACCTTAAAACAACTCCTAGAAAATAATTCCCAAAATCTATATAAGAAATCCTTAAACATACTCTAATAACCAAAGCAAAATATAATCCTTTATGATCAAATCTATTTTTTAATCAATTAAAAATTTCCAAACACTTGTTTCAAAAATTAGCAATTATCTAAATAATTCAGAATAAAAAGTATAGCGTTTTACAACTTCTATATACTCACCAAGCCACCTTATTAATAAATGTAAACACTTCACTATTATCTAGCTATATTATATTTATTAATATATTTTTAAAAAATAAGAAAATTTTATTCGTAGCGAATCAGAAAAATATTAAAAAAAATATAAAATGACAGGTATATATTTTTAATATTTTTTTAATGAAGTACTAATAATTATAGATATTAATCAACTAGCGGCTCAGTTTACTGTACTAGAAACTTTATAGAATTTAAATATGCTATTAATAGATCTTTAGGACTATTATTATAAAAATTTTGATACAAATCGATCTCAATTAGCATCATTATATGTATGAAGCATAAAGACCTAGCTTTTTTTAAAAAGCTTATTACTGAATAGCGTTCTAATTCAATGCTTACTTTTGAAAATTCTCAAATTCAAGGAGTTGAAAAAATTATACAAAAGCTAATGGTTTCCTCCCCTTTCCTTTTTTTAATATGATATTTAGATTTCCATAAAATTATCATAAATGTAAATATTTTTTAAAACTAACCATTTTTAGGAACTTCCTTTTGAAAAAGTGCTACATAAAATTACAACTATTGATGCTCAGCCTTCTATGTTGTCCGGAGGAAGTATTATTGTTATGGTTACGGGCCAGCTTTTAGTAAGTAATTTATATTTTTGAAGAATAAAAATTAATATTTTTTAGGTTGATGAAGAGCAGAATCCTCAACAATACTCACAGACTTTTCATCTTATTCCAGAAGGAAACACTTTTTATGTATTAAATGACATTTTTAGATTAAATTATTCCTAAAATATCTATGTATATATTTCATTAAAGTATTTTATGTAATTATCATGGAACATATACTTTATAGACCTAGGTCTAGGGCTAGGATTAGCAATTCGATTTTTTCGTTTAGTAGCGTGGACCATGTATCCCCCCTTATCCCTTGTTTTAGCAATCAAAAACATTTTTCTATCGTTTTTCTATATGTTTTGCCTGATTTATACAATGAAGGTTTCATATTTTACCCTTTTTGTGAAACTGGGTTATATTTTAGTATGTGCTTTTTAAAGTGAAATAATATCAAACGCAGAGTCGAGTAATAAAAAAAAAACAATATTTATGTTATTTTATCTATTTAATAGTTGAAATCATTTTTTAAGTTCTATTCCTTGTCTTAGAACATACCCTTTATTCATCTGAATATGGAAATTATATTCTCCTTAAACGTGCTTATTTTTTCATAAAACTTAAAGTGATTAAGATGCTTCAAAATGCAAAGCTACTAGAATTACTAAAGATTAGAGAATTTAAACGTCTCAGAAGCGGTAGATTAAGTAGAAATTTTGATGGAAATTACTTTGGAGATCATCCAGGAGTTGATTATTTTAGAAAAGACGATTATGATTTTTTTTTTCCTAAAGACTATCCTCAAGACAACCAATGGGTTAAGGAAGCTATTCAGAAAGGAGCAGTGATGGCACGGTCGGTTAAGAGACAAGCAGCAGAACAAGTAGCAAAAGATGAAATTAAAGGAGGAACATGTTTTGGCTTTAATTGTGAAAAGTGATTATAAAGATAATAAATGCAAAAAAAAGTTCGAAGAATATAATAGCGAATTGAAGAATGTAAGTTTGGAATTAAAGAATGCGGATCCTAAAGTTAAAGAACTTTATGAAGATAAAAAATCCGAAAAAACTAGAAAAAAGTTGAAAAAGAATCAAAAGATCTAAAAAAGGAACTTTTAGAAGCATTCAAAAACATAAAAGATGAAGATTGTAGAAAATATGAGGATAAGTGTATATTTTTAGAAGAAGCAGATCCAATTAATCTTAAGGAGAACCGCGTTAAGTTGAGAAATAAATGTTATAAAAAGAAGCGTTAGGATCTTGTATATGAGATTCTTTATAGAATTTTTGGGGTATCTTTTGATAATATAAGTGAATATGAAGAATAAAACGAGTTTATGAAATATTATTTGGAAACACTGTTGAATTAGTGTTTTCATGCCTTAATCCAAATGTTACATGTCAAAGGCTCAAAAGCAGAGTGGAAGATGTTTGCACACATTTAGGCAGAATATTGAATGAGAATGAATTAGAGGAAAAATGCCAAGAATATCTTGAAAACTGTTATTTTTATAAATCAAATTGTGGCAGTACAAAATGTGATAAAATTAAGAATCAATGCGAAAGAAAAGGAATTACATACAAAGTTCTAGAATCAGATTTTAATCCGCTCGAACTAAAATGATGCTTAGATAACATTATACTGGAAAAAATTTATGAAAAAGAGGAAGTTAAAGGAATTATCAGTGAAAAACTACAAGAAAAGAGCCTAGAAAATATAATATTATTGTTGAGTAAAGAAAAGAATAGGAAAAGTCTACAAGAAATATGCAAAAATGTCTTAAATGATTGTGATTTTTTATACATGAATTATCATTTAAAAGAATTATCCAAAGAAGCAAGTAAAAATATAGACAGCAGATGCAAAGAATTAGTAAAGGTAGAAACGCGATATACAAATCTTAAATTAGAACTTTACCTGAAAGAATTGTCTACAGAATTTGAAAAAAATAAAGATTCAAAATATTTTTCATGGGAACAGGTTCCAAAATTACCTAGTAAGGAAGATTGTATAAAGTTTGAGTCGGAATGTTTCTATTTAGAAAATGTATGTACGAATAAAATTGATAAAGCATGTGAAAATGTAAGAATAGTGTGTTATAGAAAAGGACAAAATAGGGTGTTTAATAAATTAATTCAAAATCGATTAATAAGTCTTAATTATTTAAAATCGTATGAAGTAAAACTTAAAGAATGTAAAGAATTAATGGTTAAAAATTGTATAAAATTTAAGGGAGATAAAAGATACTTTCTAAAGTGTCATCGACCAACTAAACTATGTTATGAATTTTTAGAAGATATTATTGATCAATCGAAGGAATTCGAGGCACTTTTGGATTCAAAAAGAGATTTTCCAAAAGGGAATGATTGTTTTAAACTGATAAGGAAGTGCCATGATCTTAGAACATATTCACATTCGAATAATGATAGATGTACTACATTGAATATACGCTGTGAATATTTAGAAGTTAGAGAAAAATTTAAAAAAAGATTTTTAGAAAGAAAAGATGATTCATTAAAAACAAAGGAAAACTGTATAAAAGCGTTAAAGGAAGAATGTGAGAGATTGTCTAGAGGGAAAAAGAATCCATTTGTTACTTTTTGTGCTTTGCCAGAAGAAACATGTAATTTTATTGTAAAAGAGGTTATAGATGAGTGTTATAATTTAGCTTATAACATGAACGACAGAAATATTATTAATAAAATTGAAAAAACAAATAAAGCATTGACTAAAGAAATCTGCATGTTTTGGGATCCATATTGTCATCAATATATAGAGAATTGTCCGGAAATATTGAAACAAGAAAACATTAACACTAAAAGGGCTCACTGTCTAAAACTCCAAAGATATTGTACTCCATTATGGGAAAATTTGCGATTGGAGGGAGAGTTAATTCATGAATTGAAAAGTAGTTTAATTAATGATACTATATGTAAAGAAACATTAGAAAAGTATTACACTAAATGGAAAAGTGAAAAAAATCAAACATTCGATAGTGCAAGTGAAGATAAAAATGGTTCAAGTGAACATCTTAGGAGAAATGTTTGCAAGAAGTTAATTGAGAAAGTAAAAAGAAAATGTTCAGCCTTAAAAAATGAACTGGATAAAGAAAAAGATGAATTAAAGGAGAAGAATGAATACGAAAAGGTTAAAAAGGAGGCAGAAAATTTTATGAAAGTAACTAACTTACTGTTGTCAAAACCTAAAAAAAATGAAAATGGACAAAGTGCTACATTAAGTGTACAAAATAATAGTGTTCTTGCACCAGTGGCACCGTCAACAGCACCGCCAACAGCAGCGGAATCGGCTTCTTCACAAGGCGGAACGGAACACACAACGGAGCAAAGACTTATTTTGAGAAGATTTGTAGATGAAGGGGTATCAAAAACAGAAACGAACGCATTTGATCTAATGACAAGAGCATTGAAATTGTATTTAGGAATGAAAGAAGATTGTAAAACTTTGCAAGTAAACTGCGGTTTTAGAGAGAATTGCTTGAACTTTGGGACAGTATGTGAAGACATAGACAAGTTGTGTAACGTAAAACCATTAGAAGTTATACCTCATCATACACTGATATTAACGACGATATCGACAGCGACGAGAACAGCAACAATGCCCAACAACAGCGACATTGATGATAACGGTGACATCAATAATTACGAGAACGATGAGAATGACAACGACAGTAACAACGTCAATAAAAGAAGCAGCAACAGAACAATGTACATTAATTCGAACGATAAATACATCGGTGATAGATACATCGTTGCATACGAGTACGATGACAAGTACATCTGCAGTCACATCTACGGTGACATTGACGTCGATGCAAGAATGCAAACCTACGAGATGTACAACAGATTCAAGTAGAAAAACAAAAATGAGAGGAAAACTGATATCAGGTCAAGGAATGAAGATGAGAGTACCAAAAATGATAAAAATAATGTTAGGAGTGATTGTTATGAGAATGTTGTAAAATGAATGAAAAAAGTGATTAGAATGAAAAAGTGCATATATCCATTGTTTATATATAATATATAAGATATAGAAGAATGATGTATAAATTTTTAATAAAGCATGAAGAATTGGGAACTGAAATTTTGATTATTTTACCCCGCAATTTTACCCCGCGATTTTGCTTTATTGGGTAAAGTCCAAGCTTATCATAAAAGATTAAGGAAATGTATGCTTATCATAAAAAAATTAAAATGTATGGTTATTTTGAAAGAATTATTTCAAGATTTAGATTTGATTCACCCAGTCATATGCTACTCAGGGACAAGCGATGGGTAGAGGAAGTCGCCCAGAAAGAGGCGGCGATGGCACAGCCGGTTAAGAGGCAAGCAGCAGGACAAGCAGCAGGAAATGATGAGATTAAGGAGGAACAGGTTTTGGGTTTAATTGTGAAAAGTGGTTATAATAATGATAATAAATGCAAGGCAAACCTCAAACACTATTGTGAGGAATTGAAGAAAATAGATGGAAAATTGGAGAGTGTGGATGTCAAAGTTAAGGGACTTTGTGAAAATGGAAAAGAAGAAGAAAAATGCAAAAGCCTGAAAGATAAAGTTAAAACTGAATTGGATGCTTTTAAAACAGAAGTTGAAAATGCATTGAATAACCTAACAGATGAAAAATGTAGAAAATATGAAGAAAAATGTCTATTATTAGAAGAAGCAGATCCAAATAATCTTGAAGAGAAGTGCGTTAAGTTGAGAGATAGATGTTATCGACAGAGACGTCAAGGAGTGGCAAAAGAAATTCTTTTAAGAGCTCTTGAAGGGAAGGTTAATGATACAAATGAATGTAAAAAAAAAATGAAAGAAATTTGTCAAGGATTAAGTGAATATAGTGATGAATTAGTGTTTTCATGTTTTAATTCAGATAAAACATGTGAATACCTTCAAAAGAATCATGGAGATAGTTGTAAGCCTTTAGAGAAGGAACTTGAAGATAAAGAATTAGTGGAAAAATGTCAAGAATATCTTGAAAAGTGTTATTTTTATGGATCAAGTTGTAAGGATACAAAATGTGATAAAGTCAAGAATAAATGTAAGGGAAAAGGGATTGAATATGAAGGACCAAAATTAGATTTTAGTCCGGTTAGAGAAAAACCAAGATTTCCAGAAAAGATTGAAGTGGAAAATCTTTATAAAAAAGAAGAAGCTAAGGGAATTATTGTTGGAAAACCAAAATATAAGACGTTGCGAGATTTAGCATTATTGTTGATCAAAGAAAGGAATGGAAAAGATGAGGGAGAAAAATGCAAAAAAGCGTTAGAAGATTGTGAATCTTTTAAACACCTAGATTATGGATTAGAAGAATTATGTGGAGATAAAGATAAAGAGGATAGATGCAAAGAATTAGTAGAAGTAGAAGATAGATGTACGAATTTTAAATTAGAACTTTACCTGAAAGGATTGTCTACGGAATTTGAAAAAGATAAAGAATCAGATTATTTTTCATGGGGACAGGTATCAAAATTGGTTAGTAGGGAAGATTGTATAAAGTTTGAATCGGAATGTTTCCATTTAGAAGGTGTATGTACGAATAAAATTGGAAAAGCATGTGAAAATGTAAGAGTAGCATGCTATAAAAAGGGACAAGATAGGGTGTTGAATAGATACTTTCAAGAAGGATTGAAAGGGCTTATTGGTGATTTAGAATTGGTTACTGAGAATCTTGAAAAATGTCAAAAATCGGTAGTAGGTAATTATACAAAACTTAAGGAGGATAGAAGATACTTTACAAAGTGTCATCTACCAACTAAACTATGTTATGAACTTTTAGATGATGTAATTCTTCAATCGGAAGAATTAGAAGTAGTTTTAAATTTGAGAAGAGATTTTCCAAGAAAGGAAGATTGTGTAGAATTGAAGAAGAAGTGCAAAGATCTTGAAAGTGATTCATATTTGAATCATGAGAAATGTGATACACTGAATAGACGATGTGAATATTTAAAAGTTACAGAAGAATTGAGAAAAAGATTATTAAAAAGAGGAGATGATGCATTAAGAACTCAAGGAAATTGTACGGCAGTATTAAAGAAAGAATGTGAGGAATTATCTAGAAGAGGAAAAGAAGATTTTAGTGTTTCATGTGCTTTACGAGAAGAAACATGTAGTTTTATGGTAGAACAAACAGAAAATGAGTGTCTTTTTTTAAAAAATAACATGGACATTGGAAAAATTATAGAAAAAATTGAAAATGGAAAAAGAAATGAAACATTGGTTGAAGAACTCTGCACGTTGTTTGATCCATATTGTCATCAATATATAGAAAATTGTCCAGATAGGTTGAAAAAAACAAACAATGCGGGTAGAAAAGGAGTCTGTTTAGAACTAGAAGAGAAATGCAAGCCATTCTTTGAAAAGTTAAAATTGGAGAATGAGTTGACGCATAAATTGAAAGGTAGTTTAAGCGATGAAACTAAATGTAAAGAAACATTAGGAAAACATTGTACTGAATGGAAAAAAGAAGGGAATCAAACATTGAATAGTCTATGTGAAGATGCTAAGAAAGAAGAACTTTGCAAAAAGTTGGTTAAAAAAGTAAAAGAAAAATGTCCAACCCTAAAAAATAAACTGGATAATGAGAAAGATGAATTAGAGAAGAAGAAAGATGAATACGAAAAGGTGAAACAGGAATCAGAAAAATTTGCGAAGGAAGCTAAGTTAGTATTATCAAGACCTGAACAAAATGGACAAGGTGGAGGATCAAAGGCTCAAGATGGCAGTGTTCCTAAACCAGTGGGACCACCGGTACAGCCACCAGCACCAGCACAACCAACACCAGGAGGCGTACCAGTACCAGCACCAACACTAGCACCGCCAGCACAACCAACATCAGGAGGGGCACCACTACCAGTACCACCAGCAGCACCAGGAGGAACACCAGGAGGGGCACCTGTACCAGTACCACCACCAGCACCAGGAACACCACCAGCAGGGCCAGCAGGGCCATCAGGGCCATCAGGAGGAACACCAGCAGGGCCACCAGCACCAGGAGGATCAACACCAAGTGGAACGACAAACACGAGTAATGTTATACTTGTTCGGAGAACATTTGTAAGTGGAGAAGTATCAGAACCAGAAAAGAAGGCATTTGTTGCAACGGCGAGAGCATTGGAATTGTATTTAGAATTGAAAGAGAAATGTAAAGGTTTACAAGGAGACTGCGGGTTTAGAAAGGATTGTCCAGGGTGTGAAGCGGCCTGTAAAGAAATAGACAAGTTGTGTGAAGGAATAGAAGGATTAAAAGTTACACCGCATCATACGGTGATATCAACGGCGACACAGACAACGACGACGACAGCAACGACAACGACGACGACGACAACAACAACGACGACGACGACGACGACGACAACGACGGCAACGACGACAGAGTCGGTAGATGGAGGGAAGGTAACGGAAGAATGTACATTAGTTCAGACGACAGATACATGGGTGACGAGTACATCGTTGCATACGAGTACGTTGACAAGTACATCTACAGTGACATCAACGGTGACATTGACGTCGATGCGAAAATGCAAACCTACGAGATGTACGAGTGATTCAAGTAAAGAAACAGAAACACAAAAAGAGGAAGAGAAAGAGGAAGAAGTGAAACCGAATGAAGGAATGAAAATAAGAGTTCCGGAAATGATAAAAATCATGTTGTTGGGAGTGATTGTTATGGGAATGTTGTAAAAAGAATGAAAAAAGAGATTAGAATGAAAAAGTGCATATATCCATTGTTTATATATAATATAGAAGAAGATGTAGAAGAATGAGGTGTAGATTTTTAATCTAGAATAATGAAATAAAAATTGAGAATTGCCGTTTAATTATAGGAAAAATGGAGAAAAAAGCCCGAGAGTTAGTGGAGAATTGTTAAAGATGATAAGAAAGTTTAAA